TGAAGGGTGGTGGAAGGACGTGGGTTGGCAGTTGTAGTGGGGGGGGGGGGGGGGGGGTTGTTGAAGGGTGGTGGAAGGACGTGGGTTGGCAGTTGTAGTGCGCGTCTTGGGGAATAAGGGGGAAACGGACATTCGTTTGGGGCGGCGGCGGCGACGACAACGACTACGGGGGGGGTGGGTGACGGGGTTGTGCGGTGGGAGATGGGATTGACGGTACGGACACGCGCACACACATCCGTCTACTAATTTACACACGCACTTTCCGTTCTATACATGGGTAAGGGAAAAGAAGAAGAAAAAGAAGAAAATACAAAGTATCGAGTTGGGAAGGCGTACGTTCGGGCTATTCGGCCCAGAAGTTCGCCCCGCAATTACCAGGTTCAGCGAGTGAGAACACAGTAAAGGTAAAGTGCGTGCACATAGGCCTGTAGTGTAGAGAGCGACGGGCGAATGATTAGAGGGAAGTGGGTAGGTAACGTTCTAGTGGGGATTCACCACTAAATCATGGCTAAAGGCCCATTACGATACCTTATGCCTTACTGGTGTAGTGGGCAAATGTCACCAAAGAAAAACTGCAGCCCGAGGATATACCTAGGTACCTAGTCTTAGAGAAATGTACGTGCGCGCCTTCGTATGGGCTAATGAGCAAGTTGTCATCTAAACAAACGACGGAGGCACCGAGAGGCCCAAACGGGGATGACAGGCGACAGCTTAATACTTGGTAACGACAGAAGGACGGATGACGGATGACTGGGGATTTGATGAGAAGGGAGGGGCGAGGGCAGGGTGGTTGTTGGAGGTAGGTAGGTAGGTAGGTAGGCAGGTAGGTAGGTAGGCAGGTTGCTCGTAGAGAAAGTGTGTGGTGGGTGGGCGTAGGAGAGGGGTCGTGCAAAGGTCAGCGACTGTAAAAAAAAATTGATGAGAGGGCAACACTTGCTCGACGAATGGAGTAAAGATGTGGACAAGCAAACCTGATAATCCAATCCTTTTTCCACCATTACAGTACCACTGTGATTGTGCTCGTCATCAGCATCATCGTCGCTCGTCGTTCTACTCGTTCCGATTCTTCCCTATAGCGACTTATTCGTTCCTGCTGTTTTGGGTCAGGACCCAGGTACCACTACTAACCACCTTACGGACTACTGTCCTCACTAAGGTGAAGGTACTTCCCTCAACTATATCATTGGGGTCGCTCCATTCATCGCCGTTGTGCGCCTATCAATAAATTAATGTGCCGGCATCCAATTCTCATTATTATTATTTCCTCTTTTCCCAAACCCCAAAGGGCAATCTGAGCGGCGAGACCGAACCCTTCACGGGCCCAGCCCCCCTTGTCGTGGCTTGCTTTGCCGGATGACCCAGGTCAGGATCGAGGATCATGGATCGTTGGGACCGCAAGGGCTTAGGGGCCGCTCTTGTTGCAGATGCGACGCGATGTGATGCGAGGCGAATGCGATAGTTACCCATACCCAGGCCTTGCCCTGCTCGTTGACCCTGGTCATGCCAAATTGGCGGGACACATGTTCAGAGATTGGAAAAGAGCACAACGCCCCGATTTGAGCCAACCTCATCCTCCCAGACATGGAGTCCCCTCAATGGCAAGTACCTCAATCGCACAAGGGAATGAGGGACCCTTCACACAGTGACGAACGGAGGAACAAAGAACGAACCAGAGACACTAACGTAAATGCGAGACAAGAAGCGATCAATGACGGGCTCTAAACTGCCATCCCGCGTCGCGACGGCACGGAGGGACCCTCTTAACTGGTACAGTATGAGCGACGCGCTAGACCGCGAATATCGAGTGGATCTAACAGCTTCGTCCCGTGGCAACCGGTTTCTTTGGTTGGAGCAACCTTTTCCTCATTAAAACTAGCCGAACAAGTCAGGATTGGCAGGTACCGAACTGCTAGTGCGAGAATCCGCTGTCAGTACCTAGTCCCTACTCAGTTAGGGCGAGCAGTTACCCCGGCGATACAGGTCATCTGGAGGTCACCCTTGCTATATGCTGTTTTGGGCCGAGAGATGAACGTTCCCCCCCCCCCCAAGGCCAAGACAACTCGCCATTGAGGCTTGCGCTCTGCTCGTCAGCCTCACTTCCCACCTCGTCACCGCCGCCAGTAAACCCCCGTCTCCTCTCGTCCACTTGTTTTTCTGTGCAGAGTGTCCACAGCACAGGTACCAACCGATGTCTTTCACGTCTATCCCTGGCCTGCCACCAGGTTGAGCGAGATGGTGTCCAGCGCTGGTGGCAGTCTGTCATCCGCCTCCCCCATAACGTTGTCGGTCATGGCCATGACGAATACGTGTATCGATAGAGGGGCATTCTACCCCTCCAGCGTCGGTGATCAGGTTGCGCACCCCGCTCTGCGTCGAATCGTCTATCAGAGAATGAGGGGGCCCAAGAGGGGTTGAGAAGGCAAGGCGCTCGGCGCTCGCGACCGCGCTCGTCCAAGCATCCGGACAGGGCAGGAATGTTCTCGTGCCCTGCGATTAGAGAGGCGCTTTCGTGGCGAGTGAGCTGGCGCCTCCCGGACCTTAGCGTTGCCGGGCCGTCTTCCCCTCTTGTAGAGGTAAGAAGAGGCCAAAAGAGAGCTATTGAATACGGTGTAGGTAGGCATGCTTCAGGTCGTGATGCTTCAACATGTCTCTCTGGCCCAGATTGGCAAATTTTGTAGATCTTCAGGGCCATGTTTAACTAGGACGAAACATCAATGCAAGTAGGGCGCGAGGGGAGTCCTAGACGAGACGAGACAAATGCAGTACAGATGCAACACCAAAAAAGTGCGAGATGATGGTCGAGGAAGAGGCGGTATAGAGAGTAGCAGTACCTCTAAGCGCGAAATGAAGCCTACGTGGATGCAAGTACCGTGTCATTTTTGCATATGTCCTACCTGCCAGAGCCCTGTAGTTATGAGCCAGCACATCTAGCTCGTAATGTTCACTATGACGAGCAGCTGCAATATTGTCAGTTTCCGGCACACCGCTGCATGACAGGTAACTCTGTATTTTCCTACATAGGGCATCCTTCAAGCGTAGCAACCATGATTTGTCGCATTACAGGGGCAGCTGAGGTTATACTTGGGAATGAGTGTTCAGGCAATGCGGTGCAAATGCATGCACTGTACATCAGTTTGACGCCCCGCTGCACTAGAACCAAGCGAACCACCGCCAGATATTTCCATTATCACCGAAGTGTCGTTAGTTAAACGCTGTACTCTAGGGGAGAGACGCTGAATCTCGAGCGTTTTGCCGTTCTGGGGGCCTTTGTACCCCGTTGCAGACTGCCCAATCCAGGTCACACCGCCGACGTGGATTGACCAGAAACAGCATACTGAACACTAAATGATGCAGGCGTCAAAGATGATTCGCTGCATCGATGTCAAAAAATCAGTAGTAGAAGTCAATCCTTCCATCAGTCATTGCGCCCTGTTCCAAAGGAAAGGAGCGGGCTGGAAAAGTCGTGTAACAGAGGAGGGCCCAAGGCTTTGGTCCGACGAACAGCAATGACAGATACGGTACGTAGTTGCACGAATGATAGAGCATGAAATTAGAAATTTGTGTGGATGCATTGCTCGTTTGATCGGCACGAAAAGAGAGACACTCATATGGCAAGAGGGTGGTACCGATCAGCACCGGTTCCTGAATGAGCCCGCGTTTCTGACGCGACAAAGGGGCAGTTCGTTGTCGGACACGATAAACACTAAGCCATAACGAGCTTCGCCAAGTCCGTTGCCCCGGACTCGCTCATCCGGTACGAGGAACGACTTCGTTACAGCCCGTCGATTCAAGCGAGCCCAAGGTATTCCCATGTGGCACCTTCTCTACCAAATGTCGGGGAAAGCGAAAGAGCCCTGGTCGTAGTGTCCCGAGAGAAGATCCACTAGACGGCCTGTTCCTGACGATGAGTATCTCTGTACATTTTCAGGCACTCACCTTCTGTCCCTCATTAACTACTCGGTACTATTTCATGACAATTATGAAAACTTGAGAATTGACACATTTTGATCTCCGTCCCCCGACAACCCTACTAGCTCAGTCATCCCCACTCACACACACACGCAAAGGCTCACACGCGCACGTTCGCTCCTTTGGGCATGCCTTGCCCGCCTCAGGTGGCCTTAGCCACTCTAATTTAGGGGGATTCAGTCCCTGGTCGCCTGGTACCGTTATGAAGCCATCCGTAGGGATGCCTTTTACCAGCGGGAACGAGCACGACGTGCGACAATTTCTCGGAGCAGCTTCGGCAGTAAATTGACCCAAGTAAGCGATTTCCTTACTACTGCTGCTGTTTCGTGCACACTTAATTAGAGGAGATAATCTGTAACTTACTTTCTTGGCCAAGCATGATCGACAGGCAGCAGGTTCGTCATAGCTATCGTCGCCATGTCGCTCACCGGCCGGTTGTGTCATTCTACATTTTGTTCTCCTATAATGTACGGGAGCGAGAAAACTTTCCAACCTTGGATCAAGAGGTTCTAGTTAGTTCAGACTGTGTCTCACCAAACAACCACGAATAGAAGTTGAAAAGAAAAAAAAAAAAATTAAATGAAGAGCGCGCGAAAAAAAATTTTCTTTCTCATCAAATAAGTGGACTCAAGCTAGTACGACTTCTCTAGCAGGTATGTTTGAAATGCCAAGACGGCTACAAGTTCACTTCGGCGCGCGTCTTTTTGCATGTTCTGATGTAAAAAGATTGAAGCAAATTATTCAGATCGATCCCGAGCTCTACCGGGAAACTCAAACGGCGATGACCAATTGATGCAGCTTCGGGGAGCGAGACGGAACGGACAGGCGGGTACCTGATGGGTTAGGGATCAAACGGAAAACCTCAGGATCGCGTCGTCACCTTTTCTTCACCCCTAACCCGCGATTAGAATGACGGCCAGGATCACGACCCGAAGTTTTCTGGGCTCTACCCTACATAGAGTAAGACTGTTCTTAGGCTCTCGCGTGGAAACGGACAGAGCAGCACCAAGACCAGCCGCGAGACGACTAAAAGATCCACAATCCAGAGAGCCGGACTGACGGGTCATACTATATCGCTAAGGAGTGAGAAAAGAGGCGTCGATTCAAGATCAACCTTTGTAACCGCCGTCTACTCATAGTTGTGTGTGTGTGGAGCGCCCAAACTTTGCAGTATCAAAAGAAGGTGCCGTTTCATTCGCGAGCATGACGCTCCCGCGTCCCGACGGTTTCACGGAAGCAAACGGGGTGGGGGCATTTTTTCTTCTGCTCGTGCCGAAAATCTTTTCATCCCGTCCATCAGGTACCAAGCTGCAGCATCGGACTCTACAAATCAGCAGTCATTGCCATAGCTTTAGTGGATTGGAGGCATGTTGAAAAGATCACAGCTTCGATTGGCAGTAGAAGCAGAAGCAACAACTGTAAACAAATGTCAATAGCCGACTCTCTGGGATCTATTGTACCTGTGTGGCAGCAAAAAGCTCGGTAAAACTGGGAAAACTGTGGTTTGTGCGGATACATCCGTAGTGTACCAGATTTTTCCATTGGTGCACCCTCGCACCAGTCCTGCCGAGCCGTTCAAACGAGACCATCAACCCATCTATCTCAGCGTAAGGGTAAGGGAAGATCAAGGCGATTCTTACGAATAGTCCATCAGCAAATGGTTTCGGATGGGTCCCTTGAACGTGGAAGGTTGCTAAGATACTGACTACGAAGTCCTACTATATGCCGTCGTTATCAATTGCATTGGCGGCAGTCAAACGGTCGAGGGCGAGGAAAGGAAAGTCATGGCTTATTTTGGACACGCAAAAAAACGTTGCCATGCAAAGAAGCGGTGATGCTGATCTGTATCTCCTTCGCTGCAGGAGCTCGCGGCCGCCCTGCCACGTAGTCGGCGGTATTTGTCGCTCTTCGCGACCGCCACTCTTTGCACACAGGCTAGTGCACTGAGGCCGTCTCGCAACCCGCAGTCCAAGATATCTCGAATGACTGCTCAATAATACGTGTCACTCGCTCTCCAACTATTAACCGCAGTCAGTATTATCAGTCGACTCATTCGATTTTTAGCGCCTGTCTTTGAGAGTCTTTCTTTCTTTGCCATGCCTACGGTAGACCAGGATCAGTCCTTAGGGTGACTCGTGTCAAACTCCGGACTACTTACGGCTTATTGTGAACTTGATCATTACGGATCCTTTACTGACATTCAATAGGGTAGGGCGTGCCTAGCCCTTGGCCGACAATCCCGGCAAAAGACTCTTGTAGGCAAGAACACAGCCAGGCAAACGAATCATAGAGACCCATCCTGTTTGATTTTCAGCGCTATCATTTACTTTTGGTCCATCGATCCGGCTGATGCTCTTAGTTGCTAGACTACTCACTCTTATGGTCCGCGATCCGACAGCTTGGGCCCGGAACTCTTCGGAGCAGAAGCAGCGGCATCAACGACAAGATATTGCCGGTAGTGCGCAACTTAGGCTGCCCAGGAGAATTTTCATTGAAGACGAAATCTCGACTGACTTGTCAACTTTGCTAGAGATAAATTTTCTAGGTGACACTCTAGCCTGACCGACGGAGCTATGTTGTCTCTTGCCGCCGGCAATATCACCGTCAGATATAAAGAACATGTAGCTTGTCTTTGACCGATAACTATACCGAGGATAGAGTGCTACCTGAAGTGCTGGTTTTGCTCGCTGCTCAGTACTGGCCAATTCTTGACCGCTAATACAATATTTATACATGAACTCTATCGATTTGAGTTCGTGAAATCAAGCGTGCCTACATGGATGAGAGAGAGGTAGGATGTTAGGAATTATGCCTGGGAGCGCGCTAATATGCGCAATTGTACACGCACTTCCATCACCTGACCCCGAAACTTTAAAGTGTGCTCGGTTTCTAGCTGTAATTTGGTTTCTCATATATGGGATCGGACTTTCCCTCTTCATCCAATGAATGTTGGAAGTATAATTTTCTTGTTAGGTCCCGGCATATGAATTTCAGCAGGAAGGGAGCTGGGGGAACAATTGAAGAAATGAAATAAATCTCTGCAAATTCCCTGTCGATCAAATACACCTTCCGTTCTCTAGGGCTGTTCTCCTAGTACCGAGACGGTCAATGTTTTGCGGAGCTTTTTTATTTCTATTTCTATTTCATTTTGTTTTGAATCCCCCCCTTCTTTTCCTGAACTGCGATATTGCGTGTTATTGCGTGTCATGGATTGGTAAGTTGAAGATGAGCGCATGTGATCAGCCGCCGAGCCGTCCCTGCATTGTACGTCGAGTTACTCCAAGTTGCGCCCCTCTTTGCTACGGACTGATATTATGAGATTGAAATACTCAAAAGTCAATTCCATGAGTGTAAAGAACACTACGATAAATTGATGGTAGGGCAAGGAGATGGCTTCAATTCGCACAATAATGGCGTGCTTTGTCCTGCAGTGCTCTTCAAAGAGAAGAATATGGGTACGTATTCGCATCAAAGGCAGAGATCAAAGTCGACTAGAATTCTCCAGTATTTGCTGATTAGCGGAGGATCTACTCGGGTCAAACAGCTTTCTTGTTACCCAATTGCTGAGAATAATATCAATCTGTGACGACCCGTCCAGACCGATCTCCGGTGCTAAAGGCAACGAGTCTTCTCAGCACTGATTTTGAGTTTAACGGACCACGCCCAACATATTTTGATAACCCAGAGCGGCAGAGCATTTCACGGCATCTGGTCTATTGCCTATGTGATAATCTCATCATTTTCCTTGTGACCTTTTATGACTGCTTGTGGTCGGCGGAAAGTTGCCTCCCGGCGCCTTTCTTTTGCATTTTTGCCCGAGACAATACCTTCACTTGATCACCTCTTTTATTTTCCGATCCTCTTATGTTTCCCTGGGCGCGCTTCGCTGGAACAAAAACCCCAACCTGGTATGAAATCAGGATAGAGGTAGAATGTTTTACTAACCGCATAGAGTTTGCTAGATTATTGTCGCCATGTTATCTCGGCATCTGTGAGGCTTAGAATTTGTCATAATTAATTTACGGCAGATATTGCCCAGGCGCGCCATCTTGCCGGGTTCAAGCCGGTGCCGCCAAGCAGGAAAATGAGCCAAGGACGTGGATCCCAGAGCCACACGCAAGGGACAACAATAAGCCGTTTCCAATAATATCTGTGCTCAGTCAAATGAACAGCAGCAGAAGTTTATGCAATTGCGATGTCTGTCTGGTCCTACCAAAAGAGCCCACAAACCTCTCGCCCTTTACCGCCGAGAAAGCGGGTACTAAAAGATTCTTGTTGCACTTTTGGGATTCAGTTCATTCGATTGCATACACCGTGTGTGGAGGGCCGCGTGGGGCTCGCGGCCCAAATTATCGCTCGGAGATAAAATAATAAGGGGGGATGATCCTCTTGTTCTAGAAGATGGTCAAGACCCGACTCAAGCCCCCTATTGCCCATTCGACCTATCAAAGTCTATCGCAACATTAATCACTTCTCGGTGATCAAACCTTTTCTTCCGGAGCAGCTCATCAATCAGCCCAGTATACTTTGTACAGGGTATTCGGAATCCTGGCTTTATCGCTCGTGCTCGACACGAACAAGAGCCCGGAGGCAACTTAGGCCGAACACGGAAGCTTCTAAGGTGAGTAAAGTATGATTAGGTCTTGGTTTTCCGTTTCTCTCTTCTCCTATACATAAGCTAGGCGATAATACCTAGGATAATCATATCCCACATGCTATCTATCTGAGCCTCTTTTCCCCAAAGAAGGGGAGTGGGGAGAGATATAGCTTTGCTGCTCTGATACTGGGGACGGGTCAAGTCTAGAAGGTAGTACTTTCGAGGAGGGGTCGGATACGACCGTTACAGCGATCGCCCAGATTGATCGCTCTATCCAGTATGATTCGTGAATCCCCGGAGACGGTCCCGAATACATGGGAAATGAAAGCAAAGCCTGATTGATTACGGAGGCGTAGCTAGGTGAGTAATCTAGCGGTGGTCGGCCTTATAGGGGCGGGAAAGGGTTCATGAGCGGGAGAGGGGTCTTCCGAACCATTTGTGCCCAGTCTCCTGAGAGATTGGACCCGTTTGTTCGTGGGTTTTCCATATTTGCGTGCCACTGAGCAAACCGTGTCATGGCATAATCGGTGGATCAGTCTCCCATAATTAACTGAATGCCTGAAGATGAAATGAATTGAACCGTGAGGCTTGTCGTTAGTGTCGATTACAGCCATTCATCTAAAACCAACTTGCTTTGGCGCATCAGTTATAAGTTATACTCCAGTACTAGAGGAGTAAAAGTCCCCCCTCCCCACTCCGACTGCCGCCCACTCGCGCCAAAGCCGCACCCTCAAACGATCTCCCCCCCTCTGCCCACCCCCCCCAATCATTGTTGAAGAGGAGGGAAAAGCTTCAAGTCAAACAAAGGAAAGCTTTCTCACCTCATTGTTCCGTATCGTCATCGCGCATCCCCTTCTCCCAAACCCAGACCCTCGGGAGAGGACTACCAAGGATTCTTCCGATGCGACGAGAGGGTATCGCCTCTTCTTTCTCTTCCGACTGGCGTCCAGACTACCAATCTGATATCCTTCATCTCGTCTTTTCTTGGCTTTCCACTTGTTCTCGCGATTGTGGATGAAGCAACTCTCGTTCAAATTTTATTCCCTTTTAACTTGATCACTCGTTTCGATAATTCGACAGCAATTGCAGGGAACGAAAAGCGGAGACAACGATAGAGCTCGAAGAAATAAAAAAGAGAAGTTGCTCATGAAGCTACTGCTGCATCTACTTGTTCTCGACCTTTGAATGGACCATCCGTTAGACGTTTTGTGTCCCCTCGCTCAACCAAAGAAAAGTCACCAGCCACCCCGCTCGTACAGCTGACCGAGCCCCCCGGACATTTGACTGGCGGTTTACAGAATCGCCACTCATTTTACTAAACGACGACCAAAAAGAAAAACGGAGAGCTAGGCTTATGCTGCATCCTTGCCTGACACGCAGCGGCGCCTAACGAGAGGGCTATTCGATCTTTTGCTAGCCTGGTGGCAGCTCAGTTCCCCATTGTTACTTCGGCCCCCCTGTTCCCCTACTGGATTCGCTCGTTCTCTTGGGGCAGTGGAGAAAAAGCGAGTTGAAGAAAAGAGTGCGCGCGAGTGAGAAACCTTTCGCACTTCTCTTTGATTTGTGTCGCAGCAAGCTCACCTGGCTGTGATCGCTTTCGTTGGATCGGTACTTGTGCCCATAGTCGGCATCAATATGCTCATGACCCAGCCGCTGTCATCCCCACGTGCAACCGATTCTGAAGTATCTGAGCGATTTGAGAGCATAAAGCAACCGTTAGCCACGGTCACAGCTACCGAACCCGACGACGAACCGACAGATATCTTTACCCATTTTCAGTCGATTCGCGCTGCCAAGATTGCCAAAGTATCGCGCGGTCGAGAAACTTCTCCCTCTGGCGTCGGTGGAGATCAATATTTACGCGGCGCTGCCTGCCCGTCAAACGACATGTACGTACGGGCGCTATACGACTACCAAGCCGATGATCGAACGAGCTTGAGTTTCCGCCAGGGGGACATAATCCAGGTCATCACGCAGCTCGAGAGTGGTTGGTGGGATGGAGTGATCAACGGTGTGCGCGGTTGGTTTCCAAGCAACTACTGCGCTCTGGTCTCTGGACCTGAGGAGGCCACCAACGAGGGAAACCGCACCGCTTTACTCGATGATGGCGATGCCGAGGATGAAGATGGACTAGGTGGCGACCAAGACTATGACGACGATAATGATTCGGACACAGGCACGGCGGATGACAACCCTTTGTTGCCCATTGAAGGCACGGACGGTCATCAGCAGGAGGAGGCTGCTTTTTGGATACCGCAAGCAACGCCCGATGGACGTCTTTTCTATTTCAACACCCTGACGGGTGTGACGACGATGGAGCTCCCGCTGGAGAGCCCGACGTCGGCGACAGAGACAGGGCCCCGAGATCGCACCAACGTTCACCTCCCAGATCAAAGCCGGTTGCCTCCCGAGTTGATGGCTGGAGGATACGAGCGCGATGAGGACGAGACGACGGATGATTACGATGGGAATTCCGCGTCGGAGCTCGAGGGAGAGTCTATTATGATGGCGTCACAGGCATCTCTGGTAAGTTTAAGCCTCTTCGCGCTCCTTGCTCCCGGGTCGAGAGCCCACAATCACACCTCTACAGGCAGGCTGGCTGACCAACATTGCTCTACTTCAGCCGAGAAGACGGAGACGTTCATACATTTCCGATGGTGTATCGCCTGCCACTTCCATGGATTCGATGAGTGGCCTCTCGACGATACCCAAATCGACCAGCAACGCGAGCGACTTTTACCTGCCAAGCATTTCGATGAGTGCAGTGCAACAGGCTTTGCCGACAATGGGAGTCAGTTCCACGTCGTTCGCCGCCGCCAACCTTGGACTTGGGCCAACCTCAAACATTCCTCGATCCATGTTTGCCGACGGACCGGCCGTACCTCTGACTTGGAACCGACTCGTGGAAAATATGCGTTCAGCGGTGGAACGCTATCGGCAAGCCATCAACAACGGGCAGCGGGCAGAATATGTCAAGCGGGCAGAGGATATCTCAGACCACCTGAGGCTGCTGCTTGCTGCGGGGTCTGGGACCACGGATAATCATTCGGGAAATCCTTCGATCATCTCGACGAACAAGGCACTCTACCCTCATTTTCGAGACATGATGTCGAGATTTTCGAAGCTGGTCCTGTCGTCGCATATAGCTGCGACAGACTGGCCCGCTCAGGATTCCTACGCAAAGTGTCTTTTTGAGGCGGACGGCGTTCTGCAGGGCGTGTACAGCTATGTGGAGGTTGCGCGGCAGCAGCGTGGCGAGGATATCCCACGGTTGACGCCTGGGTTTGTACTCGGCAACAATGTCGGCGGCAATTGGCAAAACAATGGCATGGAAGCTCGCAATCGCAACCCCTCAACATCGATCTCTGAAAGTGAGGAGGCCGAGTCGTTTGTGGAGCCCAATGCACGCCTCGATATCCAGCTCCTGGAGCGTATGGATGAGATGCGAAGGGTGGTGACGGCAAATATCAAACGTCTGGACGAGCAGCTTGCTCTCACTGAAAAGATTATCACTCCGTACCGACATCGATTGATCGGCGATGCTGTCTGTGTGGCTGGCGGAAAAGTAATTGAATCAATGCGGCCGTGGCTGTCGACCATTGAAGCGATCAACCTACGTCCTTTGAAGGCATACCCGCAGCTTCCCGAGCTGGCGAATTACTCTACGCTGAAGCAGAAGCTCTATGATCTTACGTCGGATTTGGTGATTGGCTGTCAGGCCGTTTCTGCTCCGCTCGCGGACGAATGGGCAGAGCTACGCGGCGAATCACTTGAGAATCGCCTTGTATATATCCGATCTGTATCCCGACACCTTGAGTCGTGCATGTCACAACTTGGTTTCTCCCTACAGCTTCTTGCCGAGTTGATGCCGCAAGAAACCTCTGCGCCGGCGACTGAAACGCCTGTGCAGACGGAAACCATCTCCTTATTTCCCCGAACAAACGCTCAACCACCTGACATTTCCAACCTCCAGCGCCCACGCACAACATCTGCTGCTACAACAGCCAGTAGCACCGGCCAATCTCAGACCTATTCTGAAGGACCTGATCCCGTCACCGACAAATACCGCCGGGAGAACTCGAAAGTCAAAAAGTTCTTTGGTGAAGTACCCGCGCCGATTTTGCCTCCGGGCGCGTCAGAACCACCGGCGTTCCTCAAGCTGGACCATGAGGACGAGATTGCCTACGACGCAAAGTTTGAACCCCCATTACTCAAAGGAGGCACGCTAGTTGGGCTGGTCGAGCAACTGACGAGACACGACCGATTGGATTCGCCGTTCAACAATACTTTCCTTTTGACGTATCGGTCATTCACGACGGCAGAAGAACTATTTGAGCTGGTTGTAAAGAGATTCACCATCCAGCCACCCCCTGCACTGAGCCAAGAAGATTTCCAGACATGGGTGGATCGAAAGCAGAAACCGATTCGGTTCCGCGTGGTCAACATTCTCAAGAGCTGGTTTGACAATTACTGGATGGAGTTCAATGACGACGCAAGCAAAGAGCTATTGCGAAGGGTATATTCTTTTGTCAAGGACTCAATTGCCACGACAAGTACTCCCGGAGCTCAAGGTCTCATGACGGTCATTGAACAGCGGTTACAAGGCCAAGAGGCAAAATCCAAGCGGCTCGTCCTGACGCTGAATCAGAATACGCCTGCGCCAATTATGCCCAAGAACATGAAGAAACTCAAGTTCTTGGACATTGACGTGACCGAATTCGCACGACAGCTTACAATTATCGAGTCCAGACTTTATGGAAAGATTAAGCCAACTGAATGTCTCAATAAGATTTGGCAGAAGAAGATCCCAACAGAAGGTTCAGTGCCGGCGGCCAATGTCCGCGCACTGATTCTGCACTCCAATCAACTCACCAATTGGGTCGCAGAGATGATTCTGACGCAACAGGACATTAAGAAGCGTGTGGTGGTCATCAAACACTTTGTCTCTGTCGCTGATGTATGACCGTCCTTTTTCCTTTTATTCCCCTTTCTTGCATCACTGACACAAATATAGAAATGCCGACAATTAAACAACTTCTCGACATTGACATCTATCATTTCTGCCCTTGGAACGGCACCAATTCACCGGCTTGCGAGGACGTGGGCCCAGGTACCCGCACGAACGCAGACTGTTCTTGAACAAATGCGTAGATTGATGGGCAGCACCAAGAACTTTGGCGAATACCGAGAGACCCTTCACTTGGCTAACCCGCCTTGCATTCCCTTTTTCGGTATGTCGTTACCTGTCCGTCCAGTCGTTTTCTTTTCGGCCTCGTATATCCTTTATAATAAATGATGCTGACCACATTTCGACAGGTGTCTACCTCACTGATCTGGTCTTTATTGAAGACGGTATCCCATCAACTGTCAAAAAGACTAACCTCATCAACTTTGCCAAGCGCGCCAAGACTGCCGAAGTCATCCGTGATATCCAGCAATACCAGAACGTGCCGTACTCGTTACAGGCTGTGCCTGAGTTGCAGGAGTACATCTTGTCCAATATGCAGGCCGCTGGGGACGTGCATGAGATGTATGAAAAGAGTTTGGCAGTCGAGCCAAGAGAACGCGAAGACGAGAAGATTGCAAGGTACGTTAACAGTGTTCAGATCTATGCTTCTCACGCTTCCTGTCATGATTCCATTCATGCATGCCATGTTCCTGTGCTAATGCTCTTTCTGCCAATAAATATAGGCTCTTATCTGAATCTGGTTTTCTTTGATCGATCTCCATTTCTTTTTTTTCTTTTTCATTTTATTTTATTCCTCATCCAAAAAGAATCAGTTTTCACGAACAGAAAACCCATTACTGCATGACTGAAGAGTTTAGAGCTTCACTGCTTTTCTCTTTTTCTCGGCCCTCAAATAAGTCTTTTAGCGTCATTTCATCTTCTTTTTCTTTTCATTCCTTTTGCTTTATACTTTTTTTCTTCACGCTTCTTCACCTTCTTCTACTTTTCCTACTTCTTCTTCTTCTCCTTTTACTTTATTCTTCTCTCCTTTTCTCTTCTTCTCCTTCTACTCTATTTTCTTCTTACTACTTCTTTTACTTCTTTCTCGGAACTTTCGAATTGGGAAACCTAAATACCCACATGCGCTCATTGCGCTTCCTTTTTTTTTGGCATAGCGTACCATACAATACCATTACCTTTACCATTACCTTTACCTTTATCATGATCTTGATTTTTCCATCTGACTTGATTACCATTTTCCATCCCAATACATTTACATTATCATTCCATCTTATTACTTTATCAATCCCATCTTACTAAATTATCATTTTTATCGTATTACTTTATCATTTCTCATCTTATTACACTATCAATCCCGTCTTACTACATTACCCTTTTCATCTCGGTCCATTTATATTTTTCTCTTCTCCTTTATCATCATGTTCTTTAAGATTTAGATTACTCCATGAGACATTTCCAACCCATTTCTATAGAGATTGGATATCTTTCTTCTTTCTTTCCTCTTTATTTTCTCTTCTTTCTCTTCTTTCTTGGTATTTAAACATCTATATCTGTATCTTTATCTATACCTCCATCTTATCTATATATTCTCTTATATAGACTAAGACTACTTTATTCCTAAATGCACTGTAAAAAGATGTTCCTAGCATTTGCCACTTCCCGTTATCGTTGTTTTCATCATTCCTGCCACCACTATCGTTACTGTTACCGTCACCAATAGACAGCTGTACTTACTGCTACAAAGCTCTACACTTACAATTGGTATAACCATCCAGTGATACTATACTTACCATTCCATACCATACCATGCCATACCAGACCATGTCATGCCAACTACGAGTTCACGGACCCTGGTACGTGCTCGGCGGCGGCGGCAGCAGAGCAGCTACATCCCTCCCTCACCTTACACAGCTGTATACAAGGACATCCGAGTGAAAACCATGGCAAGTTACATTTTACATGCGCAGAGGCAACAGAGGCAACAGGAAGAGGCAAGGGAGAAGAAGATAAAAGTGTTTTGAACGTCTAATATACGATAAATACGTCTAATATAGAAGAGCCATGTAGGTACATAGAAATACAAAACTGATGCTGATACCAATAGGGAAAAAGAGGAGAAACGCCATCATCCCGATGTTTACAGATCGAGCAGGAAAAGTAAAAACGGACAAAATAAAAATAAAAGAGACAAACTTGAAATAATAATAACAAACAAATAAAACAAACTTTTAAATCTAAAAATTCAACAATCACATGTCCTACTCCTCCTTTTCTTCTTGCTTCCGAACATATTCCGCCGCTCTGGCCTTGACCATTTCGACACTCTTCTTATCGCCGTGCTTCTCCTCAAACTCGAGCCAGCGCTTGAAAAAGTATTTAGCCTGCTTGCTCTTGAGCTTGGGTGAGGACGTGACGCGGGCAAAGAGCTGGCGAATCTGGTCCTTGTCGCCCTGGCGGGTCTCCAGATCGAGCAAGACGTTCCACAGGTCGAGCCGTTTCGGGAACGTGGTCAGGAGACCTTCGAAAATGGTGCGGCCACGCTCGGGGTCGCCATGGGGGGAGCGGAACTCGAGCTGGGCAAACTTCAAAGTGAGGTCGAGATGGGCGTGTTTGGGGAGGGCCTGCATGGCACGGGGGAGGAGAGCGCGGGCGCGGTCTGGGGCGGCCAGGACGTCGGCGAGGAAAGTGGCATAGTTGAGCCAGACTTTGGGATCTTGGGAGAATTTCTTGACGAGAGATTGGAACAGAGCGTCTGCTTTCTGTTGTGCGGGGGAAAGAAAAGGGTTAGTCGTATAGTCACAAAATAACAATTGGCAGTCCCAGGGGGGGAACAAGACAGATACATACCTCGTTCTTGCCAGACTGAATGTAAATGCTGGAGAGACGTTGGTGAATCTCCTGAGAGTCATTGTACTGGCAGGCACGCTTGAAGACTTCTTCGACGCTGTCTTCAGTACCGTACGTGTTCTCCAAGTTAAGCAGACCGACCCAGATGTTCATTTTCTCAGTCTCCTCGCGAATGTTGATGGTGCGGAGAGCCCGCTCGGCAATGTCTCTCGCCTTGCTCACTTCGTTGGCTTGGAGCTGGAAGGCCATATAGCTGAGCCACAAGTAGGACGAGTCAGGCTGGCCGAGCAAGAGACGTTCATAGTCTGCAACAGACTGCGGGCCCTGGGCATCCAAGTCGCCGGTTCGGTCAACCTGGATCTCGGCCTTTCTTCGCTTCTTCTTCTTCTGCTTGCCTTCACCGTCACTCTCACCCTCGTCCTGGTCCTGGCCGGCGTCAAGAGTCTCGCCGGTCCAGTCGAAGCCGCCAGCGGAAAGGCCAGGCGCTGCAATGTCCATCTTATCCTCTTCCTCTTCCTCGTCCTCCTCCTCCGCATCCTCATCCTCATCCTCATCCTCTTCTTCGTCAGATTCTTCTTCCTCCTCGCCTGCCTCTTCCTCCTCGTCTGACTCGCCTTCCTCATCACTCTCCATGTCTTGGACATTGTTAAGATCAATGCTGATGCCTCCTTCGCTAGATTCGTCGTCGGAGCCTTCAAGCTGGACACCTTCCATAGCATCTTCATCGCTCTCTTCTTCGCTCTCCTCGCCTTCCTCAAAGTACGCAGCCTTGAGACCAAAGGCAACGCGACGCTTCTCTCGGTCCACCTTGAGAACCTTGGCCTTGACTGCATCGCCCTCGTTATACAACTTCCTGACGTCCTGGACCCGGTGCTCTGCCATCTCGCTACGGTGGCACAAACCACTGACATTGACAGATCCATCGACCACAATGAAGACACCAAAATCCTCAACTTTCCGGACCTTACCGGTCACGACCTGGCCAACTTCAATATCGTTGAAAGTGATCGGAGGAACATAATCTTTGTCAATAACAGAAGCCTTCAAGCTCAACTGGACGTGGTTGAGCAAAGGATCGACTGCAACGACCTTGCCCTTGATGAGCTGGTCAATCTGGAAGGCGGACTTCCAGTCCTTAATGAAGGAGTCGGAAAGATCCGAGATGCGGACAAAAGCCGTCACTTTGGGAGAGAGGCTGACGAAAAGCCCCTCATTGGCAACGTTCTTGACGAATCCACGCACAATATCGTTGACCTTCAGTTGAGACAGGTTGCTGACTTCGGGATCTTTGACGGGAAGAGAAGAGTTGAGGACTCTTGATGGTCTCATGGAGAGGGTGACCCGCTTATTAGGTTCATCAACTTCCGTTACGCAAACACGTACAACGTCATTCTTGTTGTGGACAGTAGGGTTGGCTTGCGAGAAATCGTCGGTCAAATCGGTCAAACCAACCGGTCCGGAGACTGTGTCACTCAATTGCACCATGAGATTTCTTTCCGTGACCTTGGTGATTCGTCCTGGAATAACCATGCCCCCCGATATCTTGTCAATGGTCAATCCAGTCGAGGTCTTTGCCCTCGCAGACAGATCAAGTCGGTTATTGGCAACGTCAACCCTGACAACGTGCGCACGAATGGCGGATCCAACTGGGAAGTTCCGCTCGACATCATGGAGAAGTGAGACGTCTTCGCAGAGATCCATGAGCTTTATTCTTCCTCGGACGTTTGGTGAGAGGTTCACCCATATGCAATCATCCGAAACGTTGTTGACGAATGCAATCCAGTTTGAGCCGACCTTGACCTTCTCCAGGGAAAGAACGTCCAGCTCAGCTGCGGCAACATCGCTGGGCTTAGCAGTGAGCTCAAAGACTGGAGTCTTGCTGGATCGATGCGTGATTGGAAGGAATCGATGGTTTCTCTGGTCATGGATACCAATAACCCGGACTGAAATCTCCTGCTTGGCGTGGAAACTCTTGAGGGGGTGCTTTCTATCCCTAATCTGATCCCACCCATCAAAAACCTCGGACACGTCGACTCGAGCCTGAACATTATCCGCAAGTTGGACATTTAGCTGGGTGTCCTTCACAGAGGCAATACGAGCTTTGGTAATCTTTCCAAATGTGAAGTCGTCCATCAGTGTCGTTGTGCCATCACAAGGGTTTACTACAGTAGGGTCCGCAAAGGGGGCGGGGCCCTTGGCAGCCTTGGTTGGAGCCTCTTTTTCGGGGCGAGGCTCCTTCATCGTAAGCAAGAACCGCTGTCCGGCGTGGTCGATTGAGAGAACCTTGACAGAGATTGAAGCATGCTTTTGAAGCCCAAACTCAGGCAATTGAAGCAAGTCATCGGTGAGCTGATACTTGGGCAGAAGACCCACAAGACCGCCAGCGAACTGGACAAAAACTGCATTGGGAGTGACGTTCCTGACGAAGCCTTCAATTTTGCTTCCCTGTTTGATGTCGGCGAATTTGCTCGGCAAGCTGCCAGCCTTGGACGCTTTGACTAAGCTGGGCTTGCTGCTGAGCACAATCAGTCGCTTTCCCTCCAATTTCTCAATAACGACAAGATCCTGAAGGGTCTGTCCAACCCTAATTCTCTTCAACGCATTAGCGTTCTTCTGCGTTGAGCCATCCGTGAGATGCGCGGCGGGTAACGTCGCCTTCAATCCAGCACCTTGGATTTCAACTGAAATGTCATCGTCAGACTTTTCCATAACGCTTGCGCTGACGGTGCCACCCAGAGGAAGCTCCTTGAAAGCAGCCTGTTGAGCTTGTCCAAAGACTGAAGGATCTTTGCAGGATACAATCATCTTCTGAGCCGCTGCGTCAACAGACAGAACATGGACGTTCACGACCTGGCCAACGCGGAAATGCTGCTTGGGGTCTTGAATATAAGCTTCACTCATCTCCGAAACGGGCAGGAATGCCCGAAGGGTTCCGTAGAACTGAACAACAGCCCCATTGTTCAGGATGTTGATGAGAGCACCCGGTGAGCTAGCGCCAACAGTCACGTCTTCGTAAGAGCTCCAGATGGCACTCTCCGAATTGACAAGCGTCTTCTTCAGAGTCAATCGAATTTGTCTCTTCTCAGGATTCGTGGATAGAACGCGGGCGGTGACCGACATGCCCTCCCGGAATTTCTTTTCTGGGTGTTGCAAGTGAACGTCGGTCAGATGCATTTCTGGAACAAGGCCAGAGATACCCTCGGCAAGATTGACCAAGACACCGCCAAAACCAGTGGCATTGACAATTAGCTTCTCGATTTTGCCCTTGACAATCTCTCCGACCTTGACATCTTCGACGCGAAGAAAGGGTTGATCCAGGATGTGTTGCTCCAGAGAGAGCAAGAATAACCTATCCATTGGATTGTAGCCGAGAACTCTGGCCTTGTGAACGGAGCCTTCCTTGTACGGGCCAGTTGACTCGGATAGAGTGTCAACCTTGCCATCCTTGACTCGCGACACGTGCACAAACCCGGCCGCACCAGACACACCGATGTCCATGAAGAGACCTAGCACAGGATCGACCTTGACCACCTTGGCTTCATTGACGAAAGAAGAAATGGGGATCTGGTCAAGAGGACCCTTCTCGTCTTCACCCCCGCCAATTGTCTGCGGCGAGAGGGAGAGTACATGATCAAGAAAGGAGACACCTAGTTTCTTTGGCTCCGCATTTGGGAAAGTGCAAATGATTCTGCCCTTGACCTTGCTTCCCACCTTGAATTTCTTCTCCAGGCTCTTTGAGCCAGAGCTAAGGCCGGAATGGAGCACATCGGCGGTGACATCCAGCATACCCATCACTTTGCCAGCAACGCCGGCAGGAGTGAAATCCTCCACCAATATCTCAACGGCAGAACCAGGAAGGAATGCATCGACAGTAGGCGCATCAGTCAAGAAGCCAATCTTCTTCAGATTACCAGCCTTTTGGTTGTCGGCGGACAGCTTTACGATATTTCCGTTGGCGCTATGACCGGTGACCGTGCATAAGAATACCGCTCCTTCTTGGATCTTGGAATGGTCGACATTGTATCCGACTTCATTTGAAGACATGAAGCCTTTTAACGATTTATCATCAATGCCAACATCCATGACCAGACCGTGATCTTCAACGCTAGTGACCGATGCTTGCACCATGCTGTTGACGATCAGATCTGACTTCGATAAGCCCGGGTTGGCTGCGCGCGGGTTGATGGAGAGTTCAATCCGTTTCTTCGCCTTATTTGACGCACTCTCTTCGCTGGTGGATGTGACGTAGGCACGGAGATACTGGCCGACAGAGAAGATGGACTTCAAATCAATGTCCTTGTCATCATCGTCTTCCTCCTCATCGCTTTTATCCTCATCCTCCTGCAGCAGCGCCTCAATTCTCTCGGTAAGTTTGTCCGAAACAGCGGTCAGTGGGATGTAGCCAGTCAGGTTATTAGGGAGCGCAAGCGCAATATCATTCGTATTGATCTGGGAGATGCAGCCTAGGACCACAGATCCGGGCATCAATCTCTACAAATAAATTTTTAGCCCAGCCAAAAACGAAAATCAAATTGGGGCAAACACCCACCTTGTAGCTCAAACCTTCAATTCGCACGCCTTTTTCCTCTTCGGCCTCGGGTTGAGCATTCTTCTTCTTCTTCGACTTTGACTTTGGTTTTCCAGCCTTTGGAGCGCCGGCATCCTCCATGTCGACGTCGCCATCCTCCGTCACAGGCTTCTTGCCTTTCTTGGACGCATTTTGCTCAAACAGAACGTCTCTTGTAGCGTCGATTTGAATTTGCTTGTGCTCCAGTGGGGTTAAGATACTCGCACCACCTCGGGGGAAAGAAGGTTCATCCTCCTTGAGCGCAGAAAGGCTTGATGCTGGAGGAGCACTGGCTTTTGCAGGTTTTTGATCGCCGCCTTTGGATGCGGAGGGCTCCGTCTGTCGCTGTCTCTTGGACGGCCGTCCGTCTGCCGCAGCCTGCTGTTTTTTGGCTGGGACTTGGGGTGCCGCATCGCCGGCTGAGCCCCCTTTTCTTTTGATTGGGGCCATGGCGATTGACTTTGTGTTGATGATGGAGGAGTTGTCAACTGTCTCTCTCTCCTCTCACACAACTTCACTCGCAGCTGGCACACACAACAATCGTCTGTCGCACCTTCTTCTTTCCATGAATTTTTGTGCCAGTGTTCCTTCCTCTTTGGGACTTAGATCATTCGCTTAACCCTTTCAATACCCGCTAGTGATGGATTTGGTTAAATCATCTACTTTGTCTTCGTAATATCTGTTTTGCTCAATACTTGGTTCATATTTCGACACTTAACGCGAGGACACACGAAACCCATTAAGGACGACGTGCATCGACACGACCAGACACGCACCCAAACACGCATTTGCGTGAGTCGCTCGTGTGCAAGTCGTGATTGAGCGCGAAATCTTCTTCTTTTACCATCTCACTCTCCCTCTCTCCACTTCATCAGTCATCATGGTCTTCACGATCCACAGTCGCTTCCGTCTTTGATTTCTGTCTTTCCTTTTTCCTCTCTCCCATTCAACCAGTTTCTCTCCTTCTCTCCCTTATCTCTCCCCACCACCACCACCTCTTGACATCGAGTTCCCGTGACCATGGTTAAAGCTTTCTAAGCTAGCTGTGTCATCGCGCTTGTTCAAAAGTGAGAGATAGAGAAAGAGTGTAATCATGGATGAAGCAGAGGCAAACGTCTCCTCCCCAATTGAGAGACTCTCTGAACAAGATGTCTTCTCTCCCGAGAATTTAATGTCCTCTCCTCTGTCTTCCAAGATTACCGGAGCAAACAGCAGTGGGAAGCCAAAGCGGCCACCGCCAATAACTCCTAATTCTTTTCGCCGATTCTTCACTCCTCGCTCCTCACAGGCCAAGGGAACCAAGGTCAGCGCCTCGAGAAAGGCTCTCCAGGATATCACCAACCCAGCACGCAACAGCGACGGCTCGGCAATTCATCGACCTTTCCCTGGTCCTGAGCTATTCCGAGATATTCCAAGGGATGCCAGCACAGCTTTCGACTTTGACTTCACGACCCCGACATCTCAGAAAAAAAGAGGTTTCCTCATCTCGCCAGATTCCTCGCCAGAGCACGCTTCTCCTTCTAAGAGGCAGCGAAATCTTCCTTTGAATATCCTAGAAGATGAAGAGCCTGCTGAGGAGGTCAAGGCATCTGATGCAACTGCTGAGAAGGAGCAAATCGAGAAGGTGTCGGTGGAGATTCCAACGCCCACTCCGATACGCCGTCGTCTCCCCAATATCAATGGACGCATTTACCAACGAAGCTTGGGCCCTTGGGGCTCGGGTAGGCCGTTCAGGCACCTCCAGATCAGTTGCAGTAAGTAAGAGTCTGCAATTGGCCTTTGATCAACCTATTAACCGGATAATCAGACTGGCAGTACGAAACGGCAGCATTCTACACCGCACCAGAGGACCGCTACGACTGTAGAGATGCTGATGACGAGAGCGGGGTGCTACCATTTTGCACAGCAAGCTGTAACAGTATGCTTATAAAATTGTAAAGACGGCCAGCGCAATGCATCTGCTAACATATAGTCTTAGCAAACTCTCTCGTGGCAATTGGGGATGAAGAAGGACGTGTCCGACTTCTTGAATCTGCTCCTGATAGTACTCCAGAGTTCTCAAGCGCTTTTCTAGAATTCTATCCACATGAGAATGCAATTCTGGATCTGGCATTCTCCTCGGATGACCTCTTGCTCGCCACCGGATCTGGTGATCAGACCGCCCGGATCATCGACATGTCAACCCAGCGTCCAATTTACTCGCTGGCCGGCCATTCAGCGTCTGTGAAACAAGTCCGATTCCAACCCGGGAGTAACAACAACGTTATTGCGACATCTAGTAGAGACGGGACCGTTCACATTTGGGACCTTCGATGCAAGGCGGGCAATTCGTCTGTGCGCCAGGTCCATGTGTCGCTGGATCCAGACTCGACCGGCGCTGTCTCCACTGGTCAGGCTTCCCATTGCATTTCTCGTGCTCAGGCGGTGAACAGCATCTTTGAAGCCCACGCCAATCGCCCACATCCACCCCCCGCAGGTAGCTCGGTGGCCTCTGCTCTCACCGAAGGTGTCGCAAGAGCCGAATCAATTGAGCGACGTGGGGACGTATCCGTCACTGCCCTGTCCTTTTTGAACCCTGGCCGAGAGCACCTCCTTTTAACCGCCTCTGAAGCCAACGCGACAGTGAAGCTCTGGGATTTGCGTACGACATATAGCCACCGTCGTGGACGAACTGCTCCCCTGTCCACTACCTGCCAACCCGATTCTCACAACACCCATCGTCACTTTGGTATCAACTCTCTGACCTTGAACGGTGACGGTAGCCGACTTTACAGTCTTTGCAGAGATAACACTATTTACGCATACTCGACGTCGCATCTTGTGCTGGGGAATTCACCTGAACTCTCTAGTGCTTCGTCTAAACCTCGCCGTGCCGCTGCCTCTGTTGGGAAAGAAGGCCTTGGGCCACTGTACGGTTTCCGTCATCCTCAGCTCCATGCTACTACATTCTATGTCAAGACAGCCTTGAGGCCTGCCTCTGGTGACCAACCAGAACTTTTGGCAGTCGGGAGCAGCGACGGCTGTGCCGTCTTGTTCCCCACCGATGAGCGCCACCTTACTCGCACGGAGCATTTAGAGAATGAGAATGGATCGTCCTCACCTTTGCCCCTGTCCAACACCCCAACACCTCCAGCCACACCTCGGCCTTGGACTCGATCGCCTGGAGCTACAATGAGCAGCGGTTTGGCATCTCGACTAAACGACACCATTCCCATCTACCGCAACGGCTCTGCTCTCGTTCACGGGCATTCGCGCGAGGTCACCAGTCTGACATGGTCCTCCCGAGGCGAGCTCGTCACCGTCGGTGATGACATGCTTGCTCGTTGCTGGCGCGAGGGTCCCAAAGCCAAGGAATTACGTCGAGGGGATGAGGCAGATGGCCGACTCTGGAATTATGGTTGGGCCGAGGCTGAGCCTGGCTTCGACGATGACAGCGACGACGAATAACGGCCGACTCTATTACTTTTATTTTTTATTGTGCATATTTTGCATTGTTGCTTTGTCCGATTGCTTTACTTTGTCTGACTTTATCAGCCCACAAACATCATACCCATACCCGGGCTTGTCATTTCCATTGTCAGCATATGTTCATGCGAATAAGCTTTATTCGCTTCTGTCATTATTATTATTATCATCTTCCAACCTCGATTCATCACATGTCCGTCTGCATTTCAATGGCGTTTGTTTGCTTTTTTTGCTGAACCGAAAATGGCTCTTTTGCACTCTTTGCTTTTTTACACTCCTAAATCGGGCACTTAGGTGGCTCCGGACCTTGCTTGTTTGCTTGTTTGCTTGCTTTCTGCATAAAGTCGATTATTTGCTGTACTTGCGTGCTTTCAGAGCGTATTTGTCCCCAAGTCCTTGCCTTTCATACCTCATGCTAGATTCGCTAGATTTGCATTACACGGTGATAGATACCTTGGCTTATACACCTTTGCTATATTTGCACACACACACACACACACACAACATCAATCAAATATATTCATTTTAAAAAAAAAAAATAATGGCTTCATTTTTATATTATCGTCTGTGCCTGTGTGTGTGTGTGTATGTGTTTGAAAATGTAAATAATGTATGCTCTATGCCAATAATATCGCTTGAACGTGTATATAAGCAACGTGGCTTGAAAAGAAGACAATGTAGGAAAGGAAGACAAGAAGGAGAAGATGATATGACAAGATATATAGCTGGGAGAACCATCAGTGGTTTTAAGCCCGTTCTAGAGGGGGGAGGTAAGTGTAATGAAGAGATAGAGACGGTTTGTTGAGGATTCGTGACCTGGAGTAGAGTGGCGTGGCATGGAATAGCGTGAACTACGTAGTTCTAGTAGCTTTACACATGTGAGGATGTGAGGGGAGGGAAGGGAAGGGAAGAAAGAGGTGATGATGAAGAAGATGATGATGAAAATAGAATATATAGCATGAAGTGCAAGCGGCGAAAAGGTTAAGGATGGGACGTATACAGAATGATGAACAGATGAACAGATGAATCGTATAGAACAAACAGAGAATGTTACAGTATGGTTCGAGAAAAGAGAACTGTAAAGAAACAGAATGTTACAATGTGAATCAAGACAAGAGGATCGCGAGAAAAAAAAAAGAGTACAATATGTATCAAGACAAGAGGGATCGCTAAAAAAACAAAAAAGATTGAAAATGAAAATGAAACTAGCAACGGTATGAAGATGATAAAGTGAATCGTAAATCGTGTATCGTGTATATATGCCGTCGTTGAGAGCGGTATATCGTCCAGTCGTACAACACATAAGGTAGATATATGTATGTATGTACATATATGTATATATTATCTGTAGGTGGTGACGACGAGATCGTTATAGAGGTATGTCATCTTAATGCGTGGTTCACACAGTGCAAAACTATTGCAGGGCACCTCCGCCAAGTAGAGGCGCGGATTCGGGATCGACCATGCTCTTGGCGCGCTTGGGGGGCATGTGGCAGAAGGAGCCACCGCTCACGTGGCGGACTTTCCAAGTCTGGTGGTCTTTGGCCTCGGTGAAGAAGCGCTGGTTCTCTTCAAACGAGCGGCCGCCGGACTCGGGGGTGTAGACCTGTAATCGAGTCAATTTATTGCTACAGATAAATTGAATGGGCAAAAAGGGAAAATATGGGGAGTTGGCTTAAGAGTAGGGGGTCAAGAGTGAAGGGCAAAATAAGGAAAGGAGGGGAAAGAAGGACTGAGAGGATCAAACTTACCCAGGTCCACCAGCCTGCAAATTCGTTGGTGACAGCAAAGACCAAAAAGAGCCAATAACTCAAATTGTTGAAGCCGATAGGCGTGAGCAGCGTGACGGCAAAGTTTGCAAGTCCCCAGATTATGACAGATACGGCAGAGCCCTGGGCACGGGCACTTGTCGGGTAAATCTCCGTGGGGATTAGCCAGACTGTTGGCAGCCATCCGATGCCGAAGATGGCAGTGGCTGCGTATAACACGAGTGTACCTGGGATGGCGACGGGAAGACTGGGGATATGCAGGTTTTCAGAATTGAGCGCGAGCCCGCCGAGAAGCGTGAGGGCTGCAAAACCAAGGGAAATGCCAAAGGCACCCCAGATCATCAGCGGGCGCCGTCCGACATGATCGATGAGCATCCATGAAAATGTCATGGTGAAGAAATAAAACAAGTAGTTGCCCAGCGTAATGTATTCGGATGCGCGCACATCGAAACCGAGCAGCTCAAAGATTTGCGGGCCGTAAACGCTGACAGCGCCGTAGCCGGTCAGCGCCTGGTTAATCTGACACATGACGACAAGAATGGTAGGGTGGAAATGGCTTCCCGAGGGCAGCAACATGTCCTTGTATCCGACAGAGTGACCAGATTCTTCTTCCCGGGCGACCAAAAGTTCATCTACCATGGACTTCGCTTCTGCCGGAGTGTGCATGGACTCAAGGGCGGTTCGGGCGTCGTCCTTGCGATCCTTGGCCACGAACCAACGCGGCGATTCCGGGAGCTGTTCAATAACAGCGAGTAGAAGAAGCGGAAATACCTGCATGACCACAATGGGGGTCCTCCAGGCCCATTGATTGTCCTTGCCTAGGGCAATGGTGACGCCAAGATTGATGCTGAATGCCATGAGGAGGCCAAAAATGTTCATCTGAAACTCTTGTGCAAGAGCCCGCCCTCGAGCCTTGGCCGAAGCAAGTTCAGAGGAATATATAGGTACTACCATGTCAATTCCGCCAACTCCGAGACCTAGGACAATGCGTCCAAGAAGCATCATTGCTTGGGCGCCTTTCGTGAAGCCAAGACCGGATAGGAACATGAGCAGATTGCCCAGCACAGTTGTTGCGAGGCACGCAAAAATACCGGCTTTTCGTCCTCGCATATCCGAGTACTTGGACGCAATTACAGCGCCCACAGTACAGCCCAGGTAGTACACCGAGACAATGACACCCACCATGGGCGATTCCTCGGCAAGCCCCATGGTGCGAAGGTAGTCGCGATTGGTGTTGATGAGCGACATCATGCCCTGATCGTAGCCATAGAGCGCAATGGCTATCGAAGAAAACATGACGATGTGGCTCTTCTTGCTCTTGACTTTCTCCACGATTGCCGTCATCTTGTCGACTGGGGAATTGGACAACTCCCGGGACAAATTTGATTTTGAATGAAGCTGTAATTCGTACACAATCACGTTCCTACCCAAAGACCAGGTCCAGATAAAGGGTTGACGAGAGGATCTGCCCTGTTACTTATCGGGGCGGAACGTCTAAGGGAAATGATGAGGGAGGAGTGACACTAAGGCCGGTGGATGTGGGTGGATAGTCAAGATTGCATCGTTGCATCCAACGATATCAATGTTGTTTGGGGCTCCACAAAAATTCCCCCAGCAAGCTCTGGCGCTTAACGACGTCATATCAAAGATAAGATCATAATCTGATAAGATACATCCATGCTTGCCCTAATGCTCTTTTGTTAATATTATAGTTTATACCATCGCAAACACCTTTCTAGATCAATTTCAGAGGTTGTGAAATTATTATAGTACAAGTCTTAAATTGCTAATAGGCTGGTATGGCTTGAATGTGAATGGCTTTCATTTTCTAAGAGCAGATACCATACCAGTCCTATTGTAAACTATGCAGACGAACAGATCTCGTGGGACACAACCAAATTTCGGCATCACTAATTCCAATTGATACCAGCCCCTCAGCGAAAGTTTGAACAAGCTATTGAAATCAGAGGTCTGAGTGGCGTAAACACAATCAAGCCCGTTGCAATGAATAATTGAACTCTAATCCTAAATATTTACATAGTTACCTTAACCCCGTGGCTTAACGCCGTGTGTGTCTTACGGGAGCAGATTAAACACGAAATGGCTTACAACATATACGTAAAGAGCATTGGCCTTTCAATTATTCTTATAAGAGGGTTTGATAATAACTTCAGCGAACTGGTCGTCTACTCTTCTTCTTCACCCAAACATACACCAGCCGTACATCAAGCAGCATGACTACCACCTTCACCACGCCCAAGAAGCAGCTTACCTGGCTCATTACAGGCTGCTCCTCTGGATTTGGCCTCTCGCTCACTCGCATCGCGCAGGCAGAAGGGGACAAAGTGATTGCAACTTCACGAAACCCATCGCGTACACCCGAGCTCGTCAGAGAGGTCGAAAGTAAAGGTGGCAAATGGCTCCAGCTGGACCTTGACAACCCAAACAATGCCCAAGTTATCGAACAGCTTGAAAATTCAGGTCAAGAGATTGATGTATTGGTGAACAATGCGGGCTTTTCCATCTTTAGCCCAGTCGAAACCTCTACGGAGGAGGAATACCGCGCGCAGATGGAATCAATGTACTTTGGTCCGCTGCGGTTGATCCGAGCTGTGCTGCCTCATATGCGCAAACGGCGGTTCGGCATCATTGTAAATATGAGCAGTGGTGCGGCTCTAGAGGGTAGAGATACCATGGGTGGGTATGCCGGGGCCAAGGCGGGGCTCGATGGTACGTGTATCTTTTCCACCAGCATTTTGTCTGAATTGAAAACTGATGCTGGATTGGTTTCATGGACAGGTGTGACAAAAGTCATGGCAAAAGAAGTAGCGCCGTTCAACGTTCGAACCTTGACTGTCAATCTGGGTACATTTAACACCGACATGCCCAATGCCGCCACATTTGGAAAAAATCCGCTGCCGGATGATTATCAAGGTTCTGTTTCCGCGCAGATGATTCAGGTAATCAAAAGCGGCAAGCTTCCCATCCTCGGTGACAAGGACAAGGCCATGAAGGCAGTGTACGAAGTCGTAGTAGGGGAAGGTGTTGGGGCCGGATACGAAGCCGAGCGATTCCTTCCGCTGGGCAGTGACATGACGCCCCGGGTGAAGCAGGTGCAGCAATATCTTGCTCACGGCCTGGAGGTCTTCGGGCACGTCACCGATAATGTAAATCTTGATAGATGAGTCAAAATGTCATAACGACGACGCACATCTCTTGAGAAGAACAAGAACGCTTCTCTGGGCCACATTTCTCCGCTCCTAGATCATATCGAGCATATTTGGGACAGAGATGCAGGAAGATGGGGAGCGTAATATAAGAGGCTAGAATTTGAGAAGTCTTTTGACGGGGCTACTACAGTAGCTCTAACCACTCAACTTTCTCTCTCCAATTCTGTCAAAGTTAAGCCTTTCTACCCTCTATATCGGGTACAATGTTCCCTTCTCCGTTAGTTATTGCGACTTCAATCACGGCAGTTCAAAATAAAACCTACAGATCAATAGGCACTTGTCTTTAAATGCCATTATTGTCTTCAGATCTTGAAGAAGATTATCAAATTCCAGCATATCACAGTTTGCGTAATGCTGCAATTCATGTTTCCTCCAAAATTGAAGAGCACGGTCCGTCGGCTGCTGCCGAGACAACTAATGACTGGAATGTAGCCAAATTTATTCCAAGCTTTTTTCTTTTCCTGCCATTGCAGACCACTTGCTTACTAAGAAGGCGTTCACAGTGTGCTTGAGGCTCATAAAAGGCGCCTTTGCACAGCTGACGTCGTGCTTTGCAAGAACACAGTTTGATCAACAGTTTTCCTGATGTTTGCTTAATCCATGCCTTGAGCGCAAATAGTTTCTCGTTGAAGTTGCGAACGTAGAAATTCGCAAATAAACGGAAAGGGACGTGGTCGTGTCTTGAACTCAGCTTTTGGACGGTGAGCATTAAGCTTCACTTCGTTTCATAGGCTTTGCTGATGATGACATTCCTGCTCCGGCGAGTACATACCGACGTCAGTCGCCTTGGTCCAAAAGGCATCGCATGCAAGGAGCACAACGCTTTGGCCGTTTTCCCTCTGGTGGTTCGCATCATCTGCGAATAACAAGCTCAGTAGCTCTCTCCTATCATTGAACCGTTGAAGCCGTAAGCTTGTCTGGGCCCCAACTTTCTCCACATCTCCATGGCCTTTCCCCAGGTCACCATGCTTCAGTTCTTATTCCCGCCCTTGACCCCTGCCCCCACGTTCTCTGCTAGTCTGGGGTTGGTTTGGTACATTCCTCTGATCAATTTCCTCGACGCAGCTCAAGAAAAGCGATTATTTTGCTGTCGTATCGCAAGCAAAAGTGCAATCAGATGTAAAGCTGGTTTTCCTGGACGGCCGTTGCGTAACAAAACTACCAGCCACATTTCACCTGCCTGTTCCTTGCCAGACTCGGGTTTCCCAGCAACGCCGAAGCTTAGCGTGAGATTCCCGCAAAAGCCTTTTTTCCCCGAGCTCGACACCGCCTCTCCCGAGGATCAGAGCCAATCAGCAGTCACAAGCGCAAATGAAGTGGGTGTAGTGGATCAATCTCTTGTCTCGTCCTCGATGCTGACTGGATCATACACCCCGGGCGGACTATCTTCCTGGTCGGTCCTTTCACTCCCTCATCTTTCCTGTTTGGGCGGATGGATTTTCTTCATCAGCAACAGCAGGAACCTGTTGCCATGGTCCGCGGGACTAAAGCCAATAGTGCGTGAACGTGATGCGTGTAAGTGTGCGTAATTAATGGTAGCGACAGTTCGATTCCATACAGTTATCTCCGACTGGCTCAGTTAGTGGATAAGCCTTCTGTCATGAGGGTGCGCTTGTCGTCAAACCCTTGTGTCTCTTCTCCTTCTTTTCACGCCCCCTGGCTGTTGTGCTCCTGATTTGTTATTCTCCTCAATAGTCTCTCCTTAAGCCCCATTTGTGTGTCAGGGACACAGAAGAAGGGAAGTGAGCGGAAGAGCCCACTTTTGGACGCGTTGCCTTTCCCTTCCATCTTTCTCTGTGTTGTGTGTGTGTGTGTACCTGCTGCTGTGTGCAAAGTCAATAATCTTGCCTTTTTTTTTTTTCTCTCCTCTTTCTGCTCAGTAAACTCACTGCTTGTTCTTGTGTGTCTCTCTCATCGTCCAAGCACCGTCCCCTTCATTTGCCGACCCTCCTTCCTCACCACTTTTTCTCTCTCACACGTTCGTCTCTGCTGCTAGGGAGGACCCACCTTGGATCTTCTCACGGTCGCTGGGTAGAGTAACCAAACTTAGAATCAGTTTTTGCCCCCATTGCGTCGTACATCCTGTTGCGATGGATCATTTGGTTGTTTCGCCCTAGTCGTCTTCTCTCCTGTTCTGCATCGACCCTCGTTCGAGGAAACACCACCAATTCACCCCCACACTCTTTTCCACCAACTGCCATTATCGCAAGGCATCCAATCACTGGAGCCAGTAATAGACGACGAGAAATTCGATACTGTGTTTTCACAGGCAGAAGAACCGTGCAGCGACTGTCCCTATCGCAAGCATTTTCGATCGAGCGTTCTTGCATCGCGTTAGACTAGATAACTCTGCTTCCACCTCTGCAAGAAAAAAAACCACCTCAAGTCGACACCAAAGAGCGAGAAAGTTCTCAGTTGGCACAGTCCACTTTCTCCTTATCGCATCGCAAAGGTCTTCTCCGATCGGCCGGTCATATCGACGAGATCTGTCCATAGGGGGCATACACAAGATAGCAAATACACGATCGAAACCGATCCTCCTTTTAGTCGTCAATCGCACCCACGACTCGACAGGTCTTCAATCCATCTGAACAGCCAAGATGCGCTTTTCAGCTGCAAGCCTCCTCCTGCTTCCTGCACTCGTGCAGTGCCAAGGCTCTGCGCCGACCGCTCCTCGGACTACTTCCATCTCGACTCCCGTCTCAACACCTCCAGCGTCTATCGGAGCGAAGATACCTTTATCAAAAGCGACCCAAGCTGTGAATGTTCCGATCCCTGACGCCTCTGAAGTAGCGGATGAAAAGGAGCTATTAGAGTAAGCACCCTCGCAACAACTATGCAACCCCATCCCCCCTTGTCCCTCTCAATACTGACCCTGTCTGTGTCTACTCTTGTAGGCTTCGTGAAGTTGTCAATGCCATCGGCGCTACGCAAGCAATTACTCAAGCCAACCCCATGTCCACCATGTGGGTCGAATCATGGCTTCCCAACGGCCAAACGACCTGGGTTGAAGTCATTTACTCGCAGACCTTTGCCAGCGTTCCGGATCAAGCCCCAACGCCATCAAGCGGACAGGTTGGACTCGGCACCCACACTGGCAAGATAGGCGTATACAAGACGGACAAGGAACGGAAAAACGCTGCTGGATCATTAATGGTCAGCCCTGGAACTGTGTGGTCGGCCGCAATCGGAACAGGAGCAATGGTCGCTGGAGCTGCGTTCATGCTGTGGTAATCTTTCCCATGATCGTCACCACAGCAGAATCTATCCCTCTCTTCTTATCGCTCGGAAGATGAAGACCATTTCCCTCTTAGGCCCTTTGCAGTGTTTACTTCAATGGACTCTTGAAGAGTTCCATGCCGATTAGTGTTCCCATTCCTTATCTCTTTCCTTCGCCATATCGCTCGCATATGTGGAAGAAAACAAGAGCGAGCAACAGCGGTGCGCATCATGTTAATACCTTCTCTCCTTTTGACCGTTTCATACCAGCGCATCTCAATTCCACGCGTCCCCCGAGCGGCATCATCGTCACCATTTATCATTTATTTCTGAGCCAATGGACCAGCGAAAAGAAAGCACTCAGTCTGATGCGCAGTTTCGGTTTCCCTTTTGCATCATCATCATCATCATCATCACCATCGATAGACCGTCAATATTGCCAAGGACACAGATAGACTCTTTGACTCTCTTGTCCCGAGTGTGCAGCTGCATCTATCTATCTGTTTCTAAGTTTTTCTTTTTACTCTCCCTGGCAAGCAAGCGTCCCAAGCAGACAAGAATTCAAATAGCGTCAACTACAAGCGTCTACATACACGGGAACTGGCGTCCTTGGAAGCGAATCTTATTGGACCTGCGTGGCGTCTTTTATTCTTCTTATTTGATGATTTCCATGTCGATGGGTTTCGTCTTTGATTCGACGACTCGTTTATTGCCGATCCTTCGTCTTATCATCATTGTCTCCCACTATAGTTGTCATTATGGGCATATATCCTCTTCTTCTTTTCTCATTTTCCTCCCATTATCTCTTTTCTTATCTTTTCTTTTCTTTTTTTCCCTTCGTCTTTGCTGCATATGTATCCTGTCCAACGGCGTCATGTACATAGGACTGATTTAATTTCCAATTGCAATATCAAGCAATGTCTCAAGTCAAGGTCATGTGTATTATGCTTTCGTCCCAAAGTGCCAACTGATGCTACGGCCATCGCCTTTCCCGGGTCATTTTAACGGTATATCAGTGGGTTCGTCTTTGCTAAGGACAACGAATTCCGTACGCACATATCGGTCCTTGTGATATGGAGCTACACAAATGGTCGCGTTGTGGAGATCCTCCTTTCCCTTCCTTTCCTTTCCCTCTCCTCCCTCTCCCTTTTCTTCCCTTTCCCTTCCCTTCTCTTCTCTTACTGCGTACAGAATGCGGACTCTGTATAACTCTTGCATACTCTTAGCAAACTCTTCGCCAGGTTTAGTCTCCCGGTAGGTAGGTGAGTTGAGCGCGGCTACGAGTATGCGACTTGCTCGATTGCTCGATTGCTCGATTCCTCGATTCCTTGCCGCTCTTCGGGGTAACGTACCTAAGTTTTACGGTGTACTTCTCATCTATCCGTCCATCCATCCAAAAATGACATCATCCAAACGTGACAATGTCACGGTTTTTTAATTGTCTTTCTTTCTTTCTTTCTTTCTTCCTTCCTTCCTTCCTTCCTTCCTTCCTTTCTTTCTTTCTGGTTGGTTTTTTTTTTTTTTTTCCCCTCTACATCAGAAACCTTTCTCCCCTTTTTTCTCATTGCGAGTGTGGTTGATTCGTGGTATATAATTTATTTATTTACTTATTCGATAGAAGAGATTATCATGAGATCGAAACAAAAACAACTTTTAAATTGCTGAAAAAAAAAAAATCAAAAATCAAAAATCAAAAATATAGAAAAAGTATAGAAAAATATTAAAAGGAAATAAAAATAAAAGTAAAAAGACAGAAAAATGATTGAAAACCAAAAGACATAAGGGGTATAAACTTGGATATACAAAGTGGTGAAAAAAAAAAGAAAAAGAAGGACGAAACGGCTAGGTATAAGAAAGGAGCAGTCAGGCAACGAAGCAGAGTATCCTGATCGAAGCAGTTTGATACGGAGTAGACAAGTCGGAAGGCAGATCAGAGAATTGGCCGAGGGCGCTCGCTTACACCGATATTTCACCGAGAATCAAGCGATCGGAGACTCGCTGACTAAGGTACCAAAAATACACGGCCTGACGGTAGGGCAGAACATCCTGGTCTACTACGGTACCGGAGTAGCCCCAACGATGCAGAGCGTTAGAACAGAAACATGACGATATCACACAACCGGTGCATTCAACGGCAGAAACATCATCATGTACAACAGAGTCACACCAAACACCAAGACGGCACGAATATTTTGGATGACGGATTATTAAAATAATAAAAGAAGAGACAAATAGTATGTACAACGAAGAGAATCGAAAAAAAAAAAACAGAATTATAAAGCAGCAAATCCATGGATATCTCCGATACCCATAGCGCATCCGTATTAAAAAAAAACGTCTGGGCATTTAAACACACGATACCCGATACCCGATATCCGATAACCGAACCATTTGAACACCCATTAAAGATCATTTGAAAAGCCGAAAGGGGAGGAAAGGGGAGGTTTGAAGATAATAGAAAGGGGTAGAAAGAAAAATGAAAAAACAAATGTGTGCGTGTGTGCTGGGTGAATTGGGGTAATGTGAGGTGCCAGAGCAAGCAGCAAAGTGTAATAGCAAAGGAAGAAGCAATGAGCAAGTCTGTTGCGAGTGCAAGTGGGAGAGAGCAATAGCAGCTGTGAACCGATTATGACACAAGGAAAAATTGAGCAGTATGTATGTGTGCAGTTGGTGTTTAACAGGGAAGGGCGGTGAAAGCAACCGAGCAGGTAACAAAGGTGCAATGTAAAAAGAGCACCTTAGCTGTTTTTGAAACACAAACGCATGTGCAATGCTCATGTGCTTCAGTTCGTTACATCGTGGGATCATAACATTATTAACACCATCAAAGTCCCCGGGGAATAAAACATGTGTAAAATCAAGGGTCAACGCGGGAAAAAAGATGGGGAAACGCCAGCAGGAAAAAAAAAACCAGAACACGAGGCATGCCAGTGACAACAGCGCAAACAGCCAGAAGAAACAGAATGTCAAGGGATGAATGGAAGAGCCTTTTGCATCAACCCCACAAATGGGCTTTGGCAAAGCTCAACCGCCGAAGTCCAACGCAAAGAGGACATCCGGAAAATGCTGACCGACATGACTTGCGAACAAAACAAGAGCGACCGAGGATAAACACTGGACACAGCCAAGGGGAGGACAGAGAATCTTGTCAGGGACTGTACCTCCGACAAAACAGAACGGATACAAGCAATGCTTGCCAATGGTCCGCAATGGTGTCCAGCAGACCGAGAAGACTTTATGCAGCTGTAAAGTCGACATGTTGACAGTCAAAGAGCAAACCCGCAATGACAGTCAACACAAAAGGACAAGAGGAGAAACGGCAATAAACCCAGCACGAAGCTTCTCGTATCGAGCATTGTCACTCCAGGAAAACAGCAGGTGCACAAATTCAAGACGGCATCTGCAACAGCACCATGATCCCCAGGAAAACCTCGTCTTGACCTTTGCAAGTGTCGTTCACTTGCGTGTCCACTCGCTCAAACCGGCCAAACTAGCACCGGAGATGGACTTGCGACCTTCAGGCATCTGGAAACCCTTCTTCATTTCGGCTTCGACAAAGAGAGAGGCACGCTTGAAACGCCTGTCGGCATACTTTTCAAAAACGGCTGCGTGATGGCGACGCGGGCTTTCGCAGCATTCAAGAATGGTCGCAATCAGTTGGCGAAGCTGCGCAAAGGTGTAACCAGAATAGTAAATGTGAGCGCAAGACTAAAAGGTTTCTCAAGGTTAGCTATTGAAAGAAAACTCTTCAAGATGGCCAAGAGAATTGCTCCGGTCGGGATCAATGCACCACTCACCCAATCACCCTTCTTCAACATGCATCTCGACAAGCAGTGAGCACCAGCGGCAAGGAAGCTAGGCGGGCTGCCGACAAAGCGCTCATCCATAATAGTGATTTCGAGGAAATATTTGGCCAATGTTCTGGTCTCGAGGTCATAGTCATCGGCCTTGCTGATGCGTCTCAAGAAGCTCATAGGACCTGGCCATCCTAGCTCAAATTGCAACATAGTCAACATGAAGCGTTCTGCCTTGAGAATCTCTTCGGCCTCGTAGCCATTCTCAACAATATAAACAATCTCCTGGAGAGAAGGGCACGTGATCTCTTCAAACTTGGCTGCAATGAAGATAGCAGTGGCGCCCACGAGCTGAAGCTTGCCGAGGGAGACGATTTTGCACGACAAGAAGCGGTCAATGTAGTTGACACAGAGGAAGAGGGTCTCGGGAAGGAGATTGAAGCGCTGGTGGACTTGGACCAACCAATCAATCAGCACAGAGCGCATCGACCACTGAATCTCCGCTTGGTTGTCCATGTAGTGAGCATTGGGCAACATTTTAATCTAGATTGAGTTCCTCTCGTCAGCAACAAGTCTCTCGTCGGCAGCATGATCAGAGAGAATCAGCAAAACAGGGAACCATGGCGGGTTGTTTACCTCTAGATCCCTCATATACTCAAAGATCTCCTCGCCGTATTCAGCCACCATGCTCGTATCCCAGGTCTCATCTTCAACCTCCTCCAGGGTACGCGAGCCTTCAACGAGCTGCTTGGCAATTTCAAATTCGCGCTGGATGCGTGCATTGGTCTTGGGAAAGAGGGCCGTGGTCACGCCTCCAGTAGTGTTCTCCCCACGTGACCGATACGAACGGGCGGTGGTGTAGCCCTCTTCTTCATAGTTTTCGACATCATCCTCGTCGTCCCAATATTCCTCAGGGTCAGAGATGGGCAATTCATCAACTTTGTAACCCATCTCGGCCTTCACCTCCTCACGAACGCGCTCTTCAAGAATCTGTTCCATGACTAGATGCTGCGCCTCATGCTTCTCCAAATCGACAAACTCGCACTTGCGTCCAATGGGTTCCACTTCGTCTGAGATGTGGTAGGGAGCCTCCTCTTCAACAATGGTATCAATGTAAGTCTTCTCAGGGCGGACCGCGTCTGTCTCCTCCAAGATGGCGTGCAGAGCAGGAAGCTCCTCTGCTCCTTCGACCGGTTCAGCAATTGTAAGGTCGCTCGAAGGCCCTTCAACCACCGCAGTGTCGATGTTCGAATAATTGTGCTCTTTGATCGGACGCGTTGCAAGGTCCCGATGAACGGTGTTGGCAACAGCAAGTGTGTCTTGCACAAGCTGGGCTGGCGGCTCGACCTTCTCTTTTGCAGCGTCCTTGAAGACAGCAGTGCTGCGTTTGGCAGCAACCTTGCGGGTATTGGCTGGCTGAGCCTGGGGCTCCAAAGCCTTAGTAGTGTTGTTATCAGAAAGAGACACGTTCTCGGACGCGGGCTTGAGGGCAGCTTTGGCCGCAGCGGCGGACAATGGACGGTGAGCAGGTCGCAGCAATGCTGCCGTTTTCTTCTCGACGTTGACCTTGACGGCCTTTTCAGGAAGCTCCAAGCCAGCCTTGATAGGGACGCTGGAGTCGTCCTTGGAAATATAATTGGCACGAGTAGTGTTGCTAACGTCGCCAAACGCGGTACGCTTTGCAGCGGCCTTCAAGCCTCCAGCCTGAGCGGCAACAGAGAGCGCTGGGACGGATTTGTTGCGTTGAAGAGTCTTCTTCACGTCAAGGCCGGTGGGGATGTTTTCGTCTCCGCGAATGCGTACGGAGCGAACGGGACGTTGAGGCTAAAGAAGACACGATCAGTTCTGCTCTCGTTGCACCAATAAGGGACAGGTGAAGCAAAAGCAAATAATTGCAAGAATATTCTCTAAACAACAGGAGCAATAATGCGTTGCGATACCACTTTGGTGGAGAGGAAAATGTGGGGGAGAGGGCGAGTTGAGAGACCGAGAGAGGGAGGAAGGGAAAGCGATAAGATGAACCGCCATACAGAATACTCACTTTGGCATCCATGGTCGCTGGCATTGACTAAAATCGAGCGTAACAATGAAGCAGAGGTCGTGTCGAAGAGTATGACCGGTCAATGGAACCTCTGTTCCCACGTCGACTGCTTTTCGTCGAAGACTGCTCGACGAGTTTGACAGCGACACCGCGATCCCTAGTTCCCACTCTTGTCTGAACGCTTGACACACAGAGCACCAACGCTAGGTCACGTTGAAAGCTGGGGCTTGTGTGCTGAGAGACAGGAAGCTGGGCGAATGAAGAGAAAACACGGTGAAGGGGGAAAACGAAGCTGTCGACGGGGCGGGATTGGGAGTGTTGACAATCGACAGTCAAGGTTTGAGATGAGAGAGAGGGAGTAAGTGAGAGAGAGCTCCTAGGAGTTTCGCGATGTTTTTGTTTCCCAAGCGACGAGCAGCCCAGAGGCGAGAGCAGCCTGCATTAGGGAATTCCGTCCCAAACAAGAAGGCACGACTGAGGACGCAGCAACAACAGCAAGCATATTTCCTGATTGGGTTAGCAGAGTAACACAAACCGCTCTAAGCGATCTCGCCAAAATATCCATTTAGAGATAAATTGCAAATAAGCTCTGAGAGAGGTGCTCTGAAGTATATGGTACTTTGCAACATTCGAGGGATAGGGCTTTTAATTAAGTAGCGGTACAGAATATAGTTTCACTGACCCCTCGCCGTCCCATCTCGTCCCCCATTCAAGTCCCCCCATCTTGGCGTCCCCCTCCCTCCTGTCGCGTCTCCCCACAAGTGCAGCAAGGAATTGCATAATGCCAATCTTTCTAAAAAGAAGCAATGAAATTTGCAAACTTCATTTGTACGTGAAGATATTTATTGTACACCGGTATGAATGATTTTTTTTAATGCGCGACAGATATAAAGGTGGTTATAGGTGTTTATTTCAAGATGTCAACACCCACGTCATCTGTCGCGATGCCCAGCACGAGTTCAACGCCAAGTCACATGACCTCATCAGTATGTCTGTCGAGAGATCCATTTCAAGTTTTCTCTTGCAATTCCTCTCAGAAATGATCTGTTAAGAGCCTATGCTAAGGTTTACAGTTTACCTTACTTTACGCTGGAGACTTTGAAGAGCTGCAAGTGGTACTGCGACCGCTTGTCAGGTCCGAATGCGCTCATTGGAAGCGGGGGACCGAGGGACGTCCTGGTCTCCACTAACCGCACCAGCGGGCCGAACGCTGACCCATACTCCACTCACCCAAAGTTTCAACGCTGCCAGACTCGATTTGTCGCAATACTGACGAGTTATGAAACCCTGAAGATTGCGCCAGGCGGAACGAGTCGCAGATGCGTTTTGAATGCGCATGCTTGTCGGTCGCTGATGGTGGACGAGGACATGCTCCTCGATGCTATTGTCGTCTCCGGGTGGGAATGCATGACTGATGGTTCGTGGGGCGGCGCAAAGCCGAAAGCAAAAGCTAGCGAGGGCCCTGTGATCCAGTCTGATGCGATTCGCTTTTTTTGCGCAGTGTTCAGTGGTGGCAGATCAAAGAAGCCGCCGCAACCAAATGCGCCCGGGCGAGGGACCGATCAGCAGCACGCAGCCTTGCTTGCGATCATTGTTGTTGTTTGGTCTCAGTCCCTCTCTCTATTTCCCCCCCCATTACGCACCGTCTCAGTGCGTCTGGTTCTGGTTTGATCCATCGCGGGCTTATTTGATCCATTGGCCGTTGATAGTGGTGACCATGGACCTTTCAATGCCGGCTGCCAACACAACATGTTACAGAGGATGCATTGCTGCTTCTAAGGTCAACGGCCGCCAACAGGTAGTCCGCCAATGAATAGCGCTTTTTCCTGATGTGGAGCGATAGTCCTGGTGGAGACGAGGGTGGGTTAAAAGGGGCCATGGCAATGCGCATTAAATGTAGAATTATGACGGCGCGCATGATGAATCTCACTTGGGTGATTGTTGTCTCGTCCACTGAGCGGTTGAATCATTCAGTGGGTTGTCAAATGTTTCAAGCTTATTACTCTTGTGTTGCGCACAAAGCTCAAGGAAAGGAGGTATGTACCTCGACCCTCCACTCTGTCATGATCTGCCAATCGTGCATCCGAGACTGAGCAGCAAGGGCACTCTCGGTCTCTCTGACTGCCGATAGACTGCAAAGGAAAGAATGTATGATGAGGGTGAATCGGCTGATAGGGGAATTTTTGCCGGGTACTTTAAAAATGGACTCATTAGGTAGCATATGCGACTTTCAATTCAACAAAGAGCAAGGAAAAAGGGTCGCGACGAATGCGGGAAGGTTCAAGAGCAAGCGGTAGTGCTCTGCGGCTTGAAAAAGGGCAACCATCCAGCTTGCCGATGGCGTCGCATTCAGGATTCATAAGGTAGGCGCCGAGTCGTGTATGTAGAATTTTGGTCACGGTGTGCTCGGCCCTTGTCTACTGCAGCACGATGCGGAAGGCGTCGTCGCAGTCGCAGTCGCAACGTATCTTATCCGCCGCACAGTGCGCATGATTTCGGAGAGATCGGAGGGCTTGCGCGAACAAGGTTATTCAATGCTTTGCCAAGGATCTTCTGAAATAGAGCAGCTTCGACAAGAGCAGCGCAGTGCGCGACCCAAAGTCCCGAAGAACGCTTAGCACTTCTGAGCATTTTGCACTATCTGAGCCTTTGAGAGCGCCGGGAGAAGCCCGCCTACCCTTTTATTGTTCTCTATTTGTTTCGACATAGCTTATGAACCAAGTGCCTGCGGTAGACATGGGTCTGCCGTAACAACAAGCCACTATGGCGGTCGGAAAAGGCATGCATTCCCTGGACTGCTCCGGACTGGATTGGTTCGATCCTACGGGGGCGCTCTCGGACAGTCTGTACACCGGCTAAACCAAAACTGAGCAGAGTATAGCACGGAGAGGTGAAGGTGTGATGCGATGAGCAGGCAAAGAGGAGAGAAAGGCGTGGCAACCTCAAGGGTGTGCCAGCCCGTGTTCTCCACTAACAAGGTGTCTAATGATCTAACGTCTGTATGGTCGTCTCTCTACCGCTTCTCATGCTGAACTTACTTTCCCAGCAGATGCTCACCCACTCATGGACACCGGGGCCCGCAATTGCTCTTTCCAAACGAGCATTTTCAACCCCTCTGATACACGCCACCCGCTGCTGATCTTGTGAATTGAATTGCCAACCACATTCTTGCGAGTTGTTCCTTTTCGTGGTTCTGGAGCGTCACTGTATCCCGATGCGGCGCTTCTGCGCATCAGAGACCCGCATTGCGGCTCCTGCCCGTTTAAATAGAATGTCAACTCCACGTGCACCTATTTATCTTCGCATTTGACTTGATTTATGTGCAAAGGAACTGGTAATGGTTTGCGATGACAGGTGAAGATATCACTACGCTAGATTAGGACACCCGGAGGGCCATGAAAGTCAAACTGGGTCTCAAGTGCTAGCTCTCTATTCCCATGCGCGCACATGGGAGACGGCATCAAAAGCAATCGAAAGACATAAGATAGACCTTTCGAGCCTGGAGCGATTGCATATACTTTTGTAGCGCGCAAAATGGACCCCGCAGAGAGATTATTTAATAGATGGATTATTTGGTATGCGCGAGGAATCGAGTCTGAACGGCTCAAGGGGATGAATGAAAGGATGTCATTGCAGTACAGCGCTGGCAAGGAAACACAGTCAAGGGGCTCGGAAATGATTATGCCATGGGCGCAATGCTTATCCTTATGCGTAGACAGTGTGATTGTGCTCGTAATTGTTCTGTATAGATTGCATTTTGTGCCTGCGCAACTTGTCTTTGCCGGCTGGCTGAGTCGTCGTCGTAGTGGAACCCTCTCGCTTCTCATGCCTTGCGGTCCTTCTCTCCTCCCAACACCGTCCTGCGCCCGTCAGAAAGCCAGCGACATCAACGACGACCATCTTTAAGATTTCTCTTTGCTCGAATCATTGCAGACATTTCTTAGTTGCTTTTCCATTGTCTCTCATTTCTCCCAACCTCATATACGCTACACAAGGTTCTCCCGAACCGCTGGCATCGTATCCCACTGGCCTCCTCCTAGGGACGAGATACCGGCCCGCGGCGCCTTGGGAGTCAGCGTTGTCGAGCCAAACCAAGAAGCATCATAGGCTCTCTTTGGTAAGTTAGTTTTCTTGTTCAGTCAATGCGATCCATCTTGTGCCAATATTGGCTGTGCCATGGGACTCGTTCCACCCTTGGTGCCTCTACTTTGACGACTCTTACTCTCCCTTCACAGCCGAAATAGTATGAGTCTTTTTGCAAGCTGAATCAAGAGTTCATCGGCCTGTCTGTTATTTCAATATACTGCTTTGAAAGACACTGCGTGGTATTGCAGTTTGTTTGGGCTAACAAAGCTTTGTATTGCAGTCACCTGAATCACATTCCCCACGGTTCGCCCAATTTCCCCAGTTCCTGCGACACAAGGGCGCCATCGCCAAGGTTGCATCGCACAACAACACACCTACACGAGGACACAATAGGATATCGGCGGCTTGTTATTTTGCCGCTCGGGAGTCGTCGATCCAGGTTTCAACGTCCTGCAAGCCCGTCCTGCCAAGACGGATTTTGCAGCGACCGCTAGTTCATCCAGGGTCCATATCAGTGGGGGTTAATTGTGAAGTATCTGCTTCCTCGTCCGATTCATATTCCCTCGTCGGCCCGTCGGAACGAAATAATAAAAGAACCATGGCGGGTCGTTATACGACTCCGCCGGCGCATACATCTCGTGCTGATGGCCAGCCCACTGTGATCCACCCTTACGGGATGTCACCCATCAGCCCAACTCCCAAGCACGTAACTTTTGAGCTCCTCTTTCCCGAATCGCCAGCCTACAAGGCTCGTTTGCCGATGCGAGTGCAGATATTTCCTCATGATACGACTGACTCTATCATCACAACGGTGAAAAATTTCTATGGTCTCTACGAGGGACCCAATGGAATCCAGGGCGTTAGCTTTGAGGACGAACAAGGGAACACATTGATTGCAAGATATGAAAACCTGAGAGACCGGATGATCGTCTACGTGCGCGTGATTCCGGACTATACTACAGTCTTCAATCAGGGTTTGGAGCAACTCAATGCAGCGGCAGGTCTTCGCAAAGGCTCTTCACTCGATGATCCACACGCTGCTGTCCCTTCTTTCGCTCAGCCGTACGGCAATGGGCAGCCCCACTCACGACCATCTTCCAGACTTGCTCGGAAGCGGAGCGTTTCGCCCCAGTCTGGCCGTGGTCGCCGCTCACAATCCGCCACCACCATGAAGAAGCCTCGCTCTCGGTCGGGTGCTATGAGTCGTCAGTCGAGCTCTCATGGCTTCCCACCAGATCACGGAAGCGATGGTCTGACTGGTTATAGCAGTGGTGATGGAGCGCCTGGATCGGCAACGGGGTCTCGCAAGAGTAGAAATGAGCAGGTCGCCAGTGCGGACATTAGCTTAGACAATATCGTGGAAGGCGGTCGCAGAAAGAGGGCCAAGTTTGAAAGTTCGGTAAGTCGCACCGCGCTTGTCGCTCCTTGATGAAAGATGACTGACGTACCTTGCAACTCATCAGGAGCTCCCTCTTTTCGTCCCACCACAAGTGCCCGCTCCGACGTCTATCTCATCAGTCTCCCCTCAGCGCGGCCTCCACGCACAGACTGTAGTCCCGCCGGAGGCTTATGCCATGCAATCCACGATTTCTTACAATCCGATGCATTCTCAGAATTATACTGCTTCTTACGCATACACAGATGGTGTGGCACCGTCTTACTCAACACCTCCTGGCGTGCAACACGGCCATCGTCTTCGCACTCGAGGGGCTGCTACCTATCCTCCCACTCGTCAAGCATTTGGTGCTGCGTCTTCTGTCAATTTGCCTGGGATTCTTCCCACTCCTGATCCCACGGTAGCGAGCTGCATTTCCGACGAGGATGTCGCACTTCAGTTGATGCGTCTTGGTGATACGTCAAATATCTCCAATGGTACGCGCAACTCGACTTCTACCCTGGACGATGAACTTAGTGGTGCTGCCGATGTCGCATCTTCCAGTGGCGCTACTAGTGAGCATGAGGAGGATGCGGACCAACCGTCTCTCCCTGCACATCCTGTGCCCAAACTTGAGTCGAGCCCCATTCCCCGGCCCGGCACAATCAAGAAGCGCCCGAAGCACCTGGATGAAATCCTGCCTAGCTTCGACAGCACTGATATCAGCGGCGATGAAGGCGCCCGTGCTGATGACGAGGTCGACGAGGACTATGAATACGAAGAACGCAAGGATGCCTCTTTCCTACCAAATTCGAATGACGTCATCCAAGAAAATGCAGTCGATGGGCCTACCGCTGCTATCGTTAAGATCAAGGTTAACAAGTCAAAGACAACTACAAATGGGTCCTCACAAGCTCGCAGTGGGACTTCTTTAAAGTCGACCAAAGCAGGAAAGTCGCAGGCTGGCGCCACCAACAAGACCAAAGCGAAATCTGCTCCATCCAACAAGGTTCCAATTTCTCCCACTTCTCTTTCCTCGCATTCGCGCAAACCCTCGACCGCTTCCACACTCAATTTCCAGCATCAGCTTGGCGAGGATGAGGAAGATTTGTCAACAAAACCTCGTTGCCAACGTTGCCGGAAGAGCAAAAAGGGATGCGATCGTCAGCGCCCATGCCAACGATGCAAGGATGCTGGCATTGGGATTGAGGGTTGTATTAGTGAAGATGAGGGGAACGGTCGCAAAGGTCGATATGGTCGGCACATGGGGGTACCTGTCAAGAAAGAGACAGTTCCTATAGTGCCGAATCCTGAACTGCAGGCAGCTAGTGCCATCCTTGGCGGGATCGCGGCGGGAGATGCCAACGCTGACAAGAGCAAGAAGCGTAAGAGATAAAATGACCGACTTAATGGTCACCTTTGCAAAACTCAAGAGGAACCCTGAATCTTGTGCAAATATCACAAGCGTTATCACCTGACTGGCGACACAAACGGACGTAAAGATTGACGGTCGATCCAGATGCGTCGAGCTATCGGCGCATGACTTCTTTGAAGTCTTTGACCCTTGCTATGCATTTTCAGAATCTCCCAATTGGCTGCTTTTGCTTCTCTTTCTGGGCATAATCCGGATTATTTTCGTTCCTTTCTAGCGAATTTGATGATCTGCGATGGCTTGAATTTGGTGGTGATCATCATTACCATTCCTTGATCACTCGGTGGTTTTTGTTTTCAATTGGATACAGTTTCAAAATTGATGCAAATTTTCTCCTTTCCCTTTTTCTTTTCAACTTCTCTGTCAAAGCTACTTGGTCAAAAGTGGTCATTACGTCATACCTCTCCTTATTCTATTTTTTGAGACGGGCTCTTTTAATTTGGAACAAATACCGTCCGTTCCAGAGTCAGGAAAATGGAGAAAAAAAAATTGAGATCTGGAAGCAGTGAAAAAGATTCCACGGGTTGGGAACGTGGCAGGTACGCGCAATGCCTTCCAAGGCACCACCTCTACCTGAACCTACTTTCGAGGGGCAATGTTCACGTCATGTCTGCCTACACATTTCATTATTGGTCCGAGTCTGGAACGGTTCAGAAAATCATTTCTCATCTCTCTTTCCTCTTGTATTTCTTCACATTCTCCTTTCATACTTTTGTTGAAGTCGGATCCGTCGATCCTGACCATCATTTGACTCTCCTTGTCCTCTCCTTCCCTATTTCCTTTCTTTTTTTTGCTTCACTTTCTCTCAATACGTCTCTCTTTTCAATTTTCAAGATTTTTATACTCTCTTGGAATTCATCTATCTGTCGATTTCACATTTCCTAGTCATTTGTTCCGTGTCATCATTGTCATGCACACTTAAGTTCTGTGGGGTATAATGGGTTTCTTTTTGGCGAACTTGAGCAGAATTACATGTACTACATTGTTAAAATCTAGCCTCAAACGTGGATGAACCTTCGAAGAGTCTATCTCGGATAAAATCAATATCGTTTATCGCGATGAGTGCTGGCATTCTTGAATTTCACGTTGGATGCAGTCGTCATGTGTCGTCCAAACTTTCCTATTTCGGCGATACCCACTAGCTTAAGCACGAGCCGAAGGGGTCCCGAGCATATCAATCTAACCGTAGATAGCATAGTTTCAAATCTTGGGCAAAAGAGGAATATAACTGCGCTGTTGGCGTATATAACCTGCCGAAATAAAAGTTCCCAAATGTGAGCGGAAGGGTCCTTGAGAGCATTCTATGAGGATATACAATCATATCCAACTCCTGCCGCATTCCATAAACCCACGGAGCACGAACTGAACCGTTCTTCTTAGGGCATGCAGATGGTTTGGCAGTAGGTATCCCAGCTAGAGGCAAAAAGTCAGGGATTACACAAGCCACGGATCAATCGTGAGTCGCCAAAATAATTCTTGGCAATTTGTTAGCTTTGCGACAAGCTATTCAATTGCCTTTTGCTACGACTAAGCCGCTGATTCGAGTCTACATTTATTGTCAGGGTCATCTAGCTGACTTCAAGCAATTCCGGCTCTCTTTCTGTGCCCCATCACTCCGCACCTAAGTCCAAACTCACGCAAACCCGTCAAGATAATGCCGCCAAAGAAGATCACACCAAGACAGCCACCTAGGGCTAGGACTGCTACTGAGAACAGCAGCGGCGGCGATGTTGCAGCCGATGCGCAGGCAAACAGTGGAGAGCAGGCAGGTGCAGCAAGCAATGCTTCTGAAACCAGCGCCCCGCGCCCCGCATCACGTCCTCCTGTTCAACGGCTGGCATCCTTGAAAGGACGTACTTCAGCCAGTCCCGCTGCTGCTGGCGCCGCAGGATCGAAAGCCCAGCTCAAGTTTAAGCCAAAAAACACTCTGCGACGAAGTGAAGATGAGCGTCTCCAGGCAGAGCGCACAGAGGTCGCTCGTCTGCAAGCTCGACAAGCGGCTGTGGATGCAGCGAATGCAAATAACAGCAAGGAAAAAAATCATCAGGGGAGTGGATCAAGAGGGAGAGGGCGGGGAGGGTTCTCTCGTGGTGGGAGAGGTGGCCGTGGCGGGTTCGCAGACGGAGGCGATAAAAGAGGAGAAGGAATGGCAAGTGGGCCGTTCTCAAGTATGGCCGATTCAATGGGTGAGTGTCAAACACTTTCTTTGAATGGGATCCAACTAGCGTTGGTATCTTGAGCTGTGTAATATCTTGGCCCCTGCGTTTTTCTCTTGAATTGGCTTCCACCGCGTATTTGAGAGCGTTGGTGGACTTTCATTTGGACGTTTAATGCTTGCTTGGAATTCTTTAGATAGCCGAACATGTGCTGACAAGGCATTCACGACAAACAGGAAGGCGAAAACCGGGACAATTTGGCTCCGGCGGAGGTGCCAACAGGATAAAACGAGAAGGGGGACCTCGAATCAAGTCCGAATTCTACACACCAGACGATTACTCGTCTGACGACGATGACGCAACCGAAGGACCGCGAATAGCAGTTGAGCATATTAATCTCATCAGCGATAGCGAAGGCGAGGACGATCCATCTGGCAAAGGCAAAGGACGCGCGAGAAACGGTGGACGCACAATGGGCAGCGGGCTCAAACCCATCAGAGTGGACCGAGTCGAACACGTCGATAGACAGTCGGGAGTTAGCACAGAAGCAAGTTCATCTACATCTGCAGAGCTTCGAAAACAAGCTCAGGAAAAAGATGACAAGGGCGGGCTTTTTGTGCCCGAGGACGAACCCGAGGCTGCAGCGAAGAAGGACAAGGGCAAAGAGAAAGCTCCAACGGCTTCCCGCGACGAACAGCAAGTTCAAGTCAAGCAAGAGCCCACAGATGAAGCCACACCCATGGACGTCGACGCTATCCCTCCTGCCGCCGCCGCCGAAGACGGCACTGCCATCAAGCAATCTTTATCCCCCGAGCAAAAGAAGAAGAGAGTCAAGATGCTTCTCAAACCTACCAAGCGCAGAAAGCCAGGCCTCTTTGACTTCAACCCCGTTCTGCAAACCAACGAAGATCGCGAAGAATGGGAGCGGCATCAAGAAGACGTACAATTCCTTGCGCGAGAACTGGGCATGATGAAAGCGTACCAAGCTCCCGACCAGCAGCAGCAACAAGACAAAGAACAGGAAAAGGACAAGGACGCAGAAGGCGATGTCGCCATGGCAGAAGGCGAAGCAAACACCGACGAGAACGCCCAAAAACCCGAACAGGGACAACAACAACAGTCCCAGCCGCAGTCTCCTCAAGAAGACCGCAAAGAAGGTCTCATCTACCTCTTCCAATTCCCCCCTATCGTCCCCAGTCTCGTCAACCCCGTCCTGAAAAAGGAAGAAGACGGCGACACGGCCGACGGCAACACCGCTGGCGCTCCCGCACCATCTGCCGCCGCCGGCGCCGCTGCCGCCGAAAATAGCCGACAGAAACCCATTGTCATTTCTGACACCTCTTCTTCTTCCGCCTCTCGCACCGGCCGCCGCGCACCTGACGCGCAACAACAACCAGCCTCCCACGAGACAGAAGAACATGTGCCCCCTCCCCCGCTCACCGCTCCCTCCGCAGACATTCCTTCCGGTTTCGCAGGTAAATTGCGCGTCCACCAATCCGGCCGCGTCACGCTTGCCTGGGGAAACACTGCGCTAGAACTGTCCCGCGGCGCGGACTGCGAGTTTCTGCAGGACGCCATGCTCGCCAATCCCGTCACCAATAATGCGGACGCCTCTCGATCCGGGGCCACTGCAGGCGGCGCACCAGGAATCAAACAAGAGCCTGGAACGGCAGAAGGTGAAGATACCGCCCAGATGGGAAACCAAGTCATTCCTCGCAGCGGATGGGCGCTTGGACAAGTCCGTGGAAAGTTTGTCGTTACTCCTGACTGGAGCGAGATGTTTAGTTAGTCTGTGGGTGATTGTTATTATTTTCTTTTCTTCTATTTCTTTTCTTTGCTTTTACTTTTTGTTTCATTTTCGGTCATATCTGTCGCGTGAGCCGGTCAGTTGGTTAAGCTCAAACTGGTCAGTTCAACTGTGGACGGGCCCTTTGTTTTCTGGTTATACTTGGTGTGGCCGGTCGTCAAAATTGGAGTTGATGGTTTTCTTTGCCCCTTTTGTCATCATCTCTTCTTTTATTTTTCCACTCTTCTTTCTGTCACCTTCTTTTTCTTTCCATTTTTCATTTTGTCGGCTCAACCATCTTTTCTCCAATTTAAACACTTTGCTTTAAAATTATACATCATGTCAAGGAATGGGGAGGGGGGTGGGGGTTTGTGAAGGGAAAGGAAATAAGGCAAATAAAAGCAAATGTTTTCAGACATGTCTATATGTCTATACTTAAATACCTATATCCTATCCTATCCTATTTAGACGACACCTTTACCTTTGCTGTGGTTATTCTTGATGTATGGTTATTCTTGATGTATGGTAATTCCTGATGTATGGTTATTCCCGATGTAAGGTTAAATCCCGATGTACTATGATACAGTCAGTCATACAGACAGTGAACCAGTGGACCAGTGGACCAGTGGTATAGAACTGTATAGCATTGTATAGCATTGTATAGAGCTATAGAATGGTATACCTATCATGAGTATATAAGGTAGGTATATGTAGATAGGTGTATGTAGGTAGATGTAGGCACGATAGGTGGCGTGGTAGTCTATCGTATTTAGTATACTCCCTTCCCCCCCCCTTCTTTCCTTCTTTCCACTCTTAGGATTTCCTGCTTTTTCTAGATACGCACACGCTGTAATCTCTTTTTGGATACGCACTCGCAGGTAAGGTAAGGATAATTCGTTCTGATATGCCAGATCTTTTCGGTTTCGGTCCCGGTCCTATTTCGCACAAAACAAGTAATTGAGGACCACGGGATTTTGCCGTTCCGGTGCTCTCCATATCAATAACTTAGCCAGCCAAGTGTGGATTGATGGAATGCAAAAGGCGGAAACTAATGGAATGTCAAGTGTAGGGTAAGAAATCGAATCCACATGGGTAGAGAAAGGAAAAGGAAATAAGTAAATAAGTAACCAGCCGATGATGATGACGATAAACTTTTTGATGCATGAAATCGACGATTGAAACGCGACGAATGAAAAAGGGAAAATGAAGACGAAGACGAAGACGGGGACGGGGAAGGGGAAGGGAAAGTCCTAAATGCGGAAAAGATAATGCATTTTGGGTGAGAATGATGAGGGAAAGTATTGTAAGAGTATTGCTGAAGGGGGAAGTAATATAAGAATATTGTTGAAGGAGTTAAAAGGCGACGAAGAAGATGAAGAGGAGGAGGAAGAGGAGGAAGATGGTGATGAAAGTCTAATAGGAATGGCAAAAATGATAAAAGAAGAAAACCTAATGATATATAGAAACAAGACAAAACAACAACAAAATATAGCCAAAAAAAACCCCCCCCCAGACTAGAACGTCATCGATCCATTCCATCCAACTCGACAAGTTTCGCAACCACATTGATAATCTCACTCTCGTCCCTCGCGCTGGCCAGGTCGAGAGACGGGTCCTCGAGCTTGCGAGCGAGCACGGCGTCGAGCATGGACCGGAGCCGGGACACGAGCACGCCGATACGCGCCCAGCCGCGGAGACGGGCCCAGTCGTCGACGAGGAGACCACGGCCGCGGGTGTCGAGTGTGATTTTGCCGCAGAAGAGAAGGAGGGTGTATGCGTTGAATGCTGTGAGGTCGTTAGCTCATCTGCCCTCCCAGACACAAAACCTACTGGTGACAAATTGAAAGAAAAGGAAGGGGGGGGCCGTGGTGTTTATAAAGAAAGAGAAAGAAGAGGAGAAAGAAAGAAATTGGAAGAAAGAAAGAAAGAAAGAAAGAAAGAAAGAAAGAAAGAAAGAAAGAAAGAAAGAAAGAAAGAAAGAAAGAAAGAAAGAAAGAAAGAAAGAAAGAAAGGAAGGAAGAAAGAAAGAAAGAGAAACGGAAGAAAGTGCTGATGAAAAAGGAACGGAAGAAAACGTAGGGGGACTCACGAGTTAATTCCCTGATAAAGACCTTACTGGTCGCCATTTTGTTAAAGTAGCTCATAAAGACAGCGGAACCAGGGAAAGACTGGGCGTCAAACAAGGTGGAGCTCGGATGGACAAAGACCCGTCCGTTCTCTTGATTAAAGTACTTGATCATACGGGCTTCAGGATCGAGTTCGACCGCGCCGGAAATGGACGCGGCGAATTTCTTCTCGGGGAACTCGATCCGGGCGATCTGGGGATTGAACGCGCCGGCGATGAGGGCGCGGATGAGTCCATCGTTGTCGTTGTTCTTGTTGAACCCGCTGTTGAGTGACGACGAGCTGTGGTACGTGACGGGGATAAAACCGATTTCTTTGAGCGAGGTGAGGTACTGGGACCGATTGGACAAAATGTCCATGAGGGTCTGGAAGGAGAGGAAGTTGTCGTCGCACCAGGCGCGGACTTCTCGCTGGGATGTCGACGTTTTGCGCACTTCCAGCCACTCCTCGTAGGCGCGCAGGTCGCCGAGCAGGTCGCCGTGGGATCTGGCAAAGGCTGCTCGGGCGGCTTTGGATTCGTCGCGCTTGGCCTGAGGAGAGACAAAGGGGCTTTTGACAGTCAGGATGGCAGCGACGGTGAGACAGGCTTCGAGACAGCCAAACGCTGCGCCGTAGACGATGAGCTTGCCGCAGCGCAGGTCGGCAGGGATCATGGCGAGATGACGACCGAGAGCGGTGAGGGAGTCGCCGTCCAGCGCGCCCATGCGGCCGAGTAAGTCGATGGCGCCCTCTACGGCCATGCTTTCCGGCGGAGTAAGGGCGCTGGCGAGGAACGAGGGCACGTCTTGTACGCCCATGGCCTTGACGGAGAGACAGAGCTGCTCGAGCGGCACGCGCCGGATCTCCGGGTCCGGCCGTTCCATCATTTTGCTCATTTCAGCATTGCGCGTGTACAGCTTGTAGCATTCGCCGGCGCGGACACGACCCGCTCGACCGCGACGCTGCTTGCATGCGGCGCGCGAGGCCCATACTTCTTCGAGCTTGACCATGTTGTTTTGTGGGTCGAAGCTGGTCTCTTTGACCCGGCCCGTGTCGATGACTGCAACAATGTCTTGGATTGTAATGGACGTTTCGGCCACGTTGGTGGCGGCGATCACTTTGCGCTTGCCTTTGGGTGCGGGAGGAAACACGCGCCGTTGCTCGGCGGGGAGGAGAGACGCGTGCAATGGGAGGGCGTGGATGTTGGGAATGGCTTTGACGGCGTCGAGGGTGCGGTTGATTTCAAGTGTACCAGGGAGGAAGATGAGGATACCGCCGTCCTGGTCGCCGAGTTCGGCGTCAATGTATTGAACGGTTCTCGCGATGAGGTCGTAGTTGATTCGCATGCCAATCCTTTGGATGGCGTTGGCGACAGAACTCTCCTGAGAGGAAATACCGTCGCCGCTTTCGTCATCTTCGAGCTCTTTGCCGCCCGAAGAGGACGTGAAGTTGACTTTGCGCAAAATGTCGTCGAGGTAGTAGTCTTGAACGGGGAACGTGCGGCCTTGGATCTCGACCCGGCCAACTTTGCCGGAACCTCTGAAGTAGTTTTCAAAGATTTCGGCGTCGAGAGTGGCACTCATAAGGATGAGCTTAAGGTCTTTTCGCCTTTGAAGTACGCCACGGAGGAGCACGAGGAGGAAGTCGGTGTCTAAGCTTCGCTCGTGGACTTCGTCGACCACCACGTGGCTCACGTCGGAGAGGGCTGCGACTACGTCCGCCTCGCTGCCACCGGATGTTTGTAATCTTCGTAAGAGCACACCTGTCGTGACAAACGTGATTTTTGTCGTTCCCGGCTTCTGCTTTGATTCGCCGCGGATGGCGTATCCGACTTCGTCACCAACTGTAGAACAGCGCTCCTCACTCACACGGTCTGCGAGACCGAGTGCTGAGATCCTGCGCGGTTGTGTACATATAATGTTCGCCGCTCCACCGAGCTGTCTCCGGATCAAGTCATCCAAGACGAATTGAACCGACTGTGTCGATTTACCTGAACCAGTCTCTCCAGAGATGATAGTGACCTGGTGATCGTTGACTGTCTTGACGAGAATGTCCTTGAGACTCCAGGCTGGAAGCGATTGTCTCGCAGCAAGCATCTTCTTCCCGGCCGGTTGGTTCATTGCCGATTGCCAACGAGAGAGCGCCGAGAGACTTGCCTCGGTACCAGGCTGCCAGTTGATCTGTCTCGGTGCCCTTCTAGGTTTGGACTTGCCCGGCACAGGCTTTGGTGCTGCTTGGACTTCTCCAGCCGCAGAAGCAGCAGACGAAATGTCACTCAGTCGGCCTGGATTCTCAATGATGTTTGGAATTTCGTGTTCGAGCCAGTCGACAAGGTTGAAGATCATTTGCTCGCCAATTAGACTTATCTCAGCATACTCCGCGGTCCGCCGGATGATGCTCAAGCGGATATACGCCGGCAAACCCTCTGCGGTGACGGATATGATGGGTATACAGGCTGGATAGGGGCGTGACGGTCTTCGAACCTGTAAAGTAAACGGCTTCTTGGCTTTTTGAACTTCCAGCTGGATTCTGCAAACGTTTGGAGAGGGCGATTGAAAACGTTCTCCAAAGATTGCTTCGAGAGTAATCTGTTCTTCATCCCATACCGACATCTCGCCGTCCTCATTGCCATCTGCAATCTCCAGTGAGGAAACGTCAGGCGTGTCAGTACCAAAAGGATCTTCATCATCATGCAAAAGTACTCGCTGAAGCGTCTCTGCAGCCTTTCCTTCATCACCACGGTGCGCATCAAATGCCTTTTCGCACAACTCCGTTGCATATCCCGCAGCTGCCAGGCGCTTGACCGCAGCTTCACGCCTGAGATCACCGCTCGCCATGCTGATTCCAGCGACGTAGCCTTCCGGCAAACTCCACTTGGGAAGATCATCCTCTGGGACATGTACAAGAAGCCACTCAAGTGCCTCCTCCTGGTCTTTGCATTGCTGAACGGCCTCTTCGGCGTGACTTTTGCGGAAGCCCAGAGTGCAAAGCTCGTCGACAATCTTCTTTCGCTGCGTGTTCGGAATTTGAACACTATATGCGTTCCATACTGCATGGGTTCTGATAAGTCTCTCGATTGTACTGCGCATCCGCTTGCCCATCTCAATCTTCGCGGCTCTAGTCCAGCCTTTCATGACATTCCCTCCGCCAGCGCCTCCTGCCCCAGAAGCGCCTCCAAGGGCTCCCGGTTGGCTTGCCTGTTTTGCCTTTTGTTTCTCACGCTCTTCCCTCTGCTTGACTATGGCCGCCTGTGCGTCGTCTCTCTCGCGCTTGGCCAGAAACGGATCGGCCTCGTACATCCACCCTCGACCTTCCCTGACATCTTCCTTTTTCAAATCCTGAAATGCACCCTTCCAAAGATCGCGATAATTGGGGGGAAGCATCATCTGGATATTTCGCATGCTGGACACGCGGAAAAGCGCATAGGTCGCGGCAAAGTGACGTGCCTCAACGGGTGAAGGCTGTACAGCTAGATGTTTATGCGTCGGCGGCAATTTAAAGGGCGCGAGCGTTGTTGTCTCTCGAGTTTTTGGATTTGTCGCTTTGAGAATGACCATTGAGGAAAACCCACCGTCAGTTTTGCTCTGTGTACGATCCATGGTCAGCATTTTGTAGAACTTGTGAGGGTAACAGAAGTCCCCCACTGTTGGTTTCTACTGGGCGCACTATACCATTGTGTATTCTGGCTTCTCCCACCGCTGCTTCTGGCAATGCTCTGAAAGCATATTCACCGGCAGCTTGCCCGTCCATGATGCGCCTCCAATCAACGCGCGGGTTGTCGGCTTCTTCGGGCCCTCGCCCAGAAGCTCCTCCGGAGAAGGTCCACCTTTGTTTCCGGCAGTCTTGGGTTTTGTCGGCGCTGATGACGCATTTCCAGGTTTGTCTCCCGCATTTTTGGAACCTTTCGGCTTGTCTTTGGCGTTCGAGAAGACAATGTAGCTGTCGTCCACACCCGACGTTGTGGCAGGAGAGGATTTCTTTGGGCCACCGCCGCCAGACGGCTTGGCGCTCCCCTTCTTCGGCATACTCCACTGGTCTAGGCAGGGAATCAAACTATCAGTATAGAATGCTGATACTCCATATGGCGCCAAAACTCGAGAACTTGTTGTCTTGCACTTCCGCTGAACTTTTCAAGTGTATAACTAACTGCCACAACTTTCTTAGCTGTGGAAACACGCCGCGCGGATAAGGGTTTTGAATCTTTTCCCGATCAGGGAAGGCGCCCGCTGATGATCTCTGATAATCGCTGATAATCGCGCTATCGCTCCAACTACGTAAGGTTGCCGTGATTGTTGACTCCAGTCGCTGCAGCCTTGGGTGCGACATTAAGACTCACAAGAAGTCCTTTTACTATTCAAAAGTTCAATTTCTCACATTTTGTAGTTTATCAAGCATTGTGTAGCATCATGCCAGACTCTCATGACGCAGCACGGGATGATGAAGAACCTCAAGACGCCATCACCGCCGAAGAAATGACCGGCACAGCATTGCCGGGGCAGCCTTCAATAGGGACTGACTCGACCCAGAAGCGCGATGCCTGTATGTTATTCTCTCCCACTGTCTTGGTCATTGACTCTGAAGTTTTTTACTAAACCCACGCCTTCGCAGTCGCCGAACTTATGGCTCCTAAACCAAAACATCATCCCGCGCCAAAACCCTCCAGACCGCGAGCGCATCCCAATCTCTTCATTGGCCGGGACGGACTGGGCGCCTACAGCTATGATCCTACAGCCTTTGGTCCCGAGCGCGTAATCTACTATAACGACGACTTTGTCGTCATTAATGACTTGTACCCGAAAGCCGCTGTGCATATTCTACTTTTGCCACGAGACCCATCCAAGTTTCTATTACACCCGTTTGACGCATTTGAGGATAGGGAATTTCTGGCGCTCGTGCAAAAAGAAGTTAAATCGCTCCGGGTGCTGGTCGCCAAGGAGCTGCGGCGCAGATATGGCAAGTTCTCAGCCACGGAGCGCAAAAGGGAGGCGGCATTGGAGGCTGCACTAGCTGCAGATCCCAGAAAAGCGGAATTGCAACAGCCCGAGGAATCTTTGGATCTGCCTCCTGGCCGTGACTACTCCACGTCAGTGATATCCGGGATCCACGCACACCCATCAATGAGCCATCTCCATATCCACGTCCTCTCTGTCGATGCTGTGAGCGACTGTCTACACCATCGCAGCCATTATAATAGTTTCAAATCACCCTTTTTGATTGATGTGGAGGATTTTCCGCTTTCCCCAACAGACGTCCGGCGACATCCTGGGCGAGAAGGATACCTGCAGCGTGATCTCGTGTGTTGGCGTTGCGGAAAGAATTTTGGGAATAAATACATCAGGCATTTGAAAGAGCATTTGGAATGGGAGTTTGAGGAGTGGAAGAAGGAATGAACCTATCTGTGTTTTTTGATAGTTGTTGGTTATTTTGGGCGACAGGACTTCTCCTTTTCTTTTGGATATTACAAGTTATTACTGGCATTGTATAAAATCGAAGTCGATGAGATTTACGTTATAGCATTTCTAGAAATACAGCGTTATAGCAATTTGGCAATATAGTTGAATACCGGCGTTTTACGTCTAGCTTGATTTAGTTGCCGCATGAAAAGAACATGCCAAGATGTAAGACACAGAGTGGTGAAGATATATTGTGCTCGATAAACCTTTAGGTTCATAAACAAAATGGTCAATTTAAGTTCTAGTACACGATGCACAATGAGCCTTATTAAGTTATGCTGTGCTATACATTAATTAAACCCGCTTATATCAACACCGAGTATGATGCTATAATTGGCCGCATAAATATCAGGCTCCTCCGCTGTACTAAACAAACCATACATTGTAAAGACCAGGGGATGTTAACAACTGATTGAATGTAGGAGTAAAAGCGCCGGGAAAGAGCAAGCGCCACGCCCGAAAGGTCCCGCTGCCAAAATCATTTGAACACGCCAAAGCTTAACAGAAAAGAGGGAGACACCGCTGGCTAGAAAGAAAGTAGAGACAAAAGAAGACGAAGTAAATTCGAGTCCAACGCTGGACGCCAACCCCCTTTTTCGCAATACTGTATATACAATAAACAAAATATCTGTGTGCATGGATAGGCGTGCACATCTTGAGAATCTGATCCTATGCACATATGCACAAGACAATTATACTGTATCGAAGAACTTGCGCAAGAGTTTTTAAAAGCACATCATGATGTGCGGCTAGGACACCCTTTTATGGTCTCTATCGTATACTATTTCGCGACGTCCTCGTCGCTGCTGACTTCGTAGTGATCAAACTCGGGCTCCTCGGATCCATCGTCGCCATTGTCTTGCCGGCCAAAGGGACGTAAAGTGTGCATCGAGACACCGCTGTTTGGACGTCCGCCGCCGCTTGCATCGCCAGGACTCAATGGCCGACCGAGAAGTTGCTCTGCTTTTCCAGGAGATCTTTGGCCCGAAGTAGGCACCCAGACGCCACCGGTCGAGGTAGTAAGGTAATGGCTGTCTTCACCATTGGGCGTGGGTTGCCATCGCGGAGGAAGACGGCGCTGGCTCGTCGAAGGGGTGGAAGAGAAGGAATCAGTATAGCTTCTTCCAGTAACGTCCTCTGCGCCCCATCCTGCCGCGCGCTCGCGCTCTTGCTCGGCTCGCCATCGCTCCTCGCGATCCCGGCGGATGCGATCTCGCGCGTCGAGCCACTTCGGGCTCGGCTCCCAGCTCCATCCATCGCCAGTGGTGTTGCAAATGGGAATCCACCATAATAAGGGCCTCTCGCCGAAAAGATGTAGCAAGTTGCGTCGCCAGCCAAGGTCAAAGGCGTTGGGTAATTTTTCAGAGTCTTTTTCATCCATGTAGTCCTCGTAGCGCTGGCGCTCGCGCCACCGTTCAGAGTCGTAGTAAGTGCGCTGTAGCGATATTTGTGCTGGGCTGTTGATTAGTGGTGATGCAGCTTCGCTTCGGTCCTCTTCGCCTTCTTCGGGTCGCGTCACACCTGGTACCGCATTGGCATGGATCTCCATGAATTGTTGCGAGTAACTGGGTGTGTTGGCGCCGCTGGAGTCGACGAAGTGTTGCTGGTAGGAAGCGGTTTGAAGAGACTTGCGCAACGGTGAGAGGTATCGAGTTTTCTCGAGACATTCAATCGTCGTTTGTCCACGGAAAGCCAGGCTAATATGCCATGCTGTAAAGCCGCTCAGGACAAGCCCGATAATGCCTGCAATCACCGCCAATAGGACGTAGTTGATTGTCATGAAACCTTCTACCATTTCGCCAGCGTCGCTGGCAAGTTCGCGCAGGACCTGGGTCATTGATACAGCGAAACAGATCCAGCAGTAAAGACTCGTGTAGATGAGGAACAAGAGAAAAGCCTTGTAGTTGCGTAGTCCAACGCACGTCGCTAGCCAGGGACAATGGTGGTCCATTTTGAGGACGCATCGTCGGCACGTAGAGCAGTGGTGGGATCGGTCAGGTTTTCGCGACTGACATTTCTTGCAGAATCGCAGCTCGCCAGTGGACTTGACGGTGAAAGACGTTGGACTTCGTGGTTCTTGCATTGGCAGGTGACTGTAACCGGATTTGCGGGAGAGAGGAGATCCAGGATCAGTGAAGACGGCAGTCGTATAGGACCAGTTTAAAAGGACGTAAAAGGCAACTCCGACAGTCGAACTCGTGAAGCCTGATATCGTTAGCCTTTGCGATTTACTTCCTCTGTAGATTTCATATCCTTCTCGAGACATACCAGTCCAGTCGGAGGTACTGGAGTTTTGTCCAATGATCGTCACCACCCAGACCGCCCATGTCGTCAAGCCATAGACAAAAGCGAGCGGAAAGTATGTGAGGGTTAGACAGCAGTAACGCTCACATTTTCTGGCCCAAGCTTTCCGTCTGCGACTCAAGGGAGGCACGGGGGAAGACGACCGAGATGCCAGGGTGGCCATGGTCCGGTTTTACCCTCTGTTAGGTCCCAAGCGCTCTTGAAACCCGATCCGACTTTAAGAGCAATAGACGAATTATAATCTGTAATCAAAGGTCATTGGTAAAAGAAGCATGTCCTGCACGCGTCGAGTAGGTAAATGTAACGAGGTCTAGCCAGTTGTCGAAGGGCACGAGTCGAGGGCCGCGAAGAGGCACAGCGAGGCGTTGAATGGATTTAATACATAGATATCTATTCACAAAAGGAAAGCCATTCAGAAAATAGCAGACGAGGCAGACTCGTCTGACCTTGCAGCAAAGCAGTCAGCCTAATTCGTCAGGGGGGGCCGCGTGGGATTGAGGCGGAGTTGTATCAAGGAGCTTCAGCGCTCAGCCATGCATAAGATATTGTCCCTTTGCATAATGCCTGCACAATTAGCATATGGTTGCATAAGATATTCATAGAGTGCATAAGATCCAAAGAGCGGCAGGCCGAGTTCGTTTCATCACAAAATGCGTAGAATGTATCATTTGTCCTTCCACGTGTTGTTGGTGGCTGAAGTACCGATACCTCCCGCAGAGGTTTCGGGCTTTGAAGATACCTGTTATATCGAACAGAATCCTGCGAGGCTGAGGTAGCCTTTCAACCCCTCCATCCCTTGAAGAAGTATCCAAAACTTAGGTGCACTTTTGCCAATCATAAAGGAGGAAAAGCAACGACGACTGACGTGATGTAGTAGAGTGTCCAACCCCACCAGATCTTGAAGAGTGGGAGAGAAGCTCAGGGTTTGAGATGGAGATGAGAGATTTAAGAGATGAAATGGGAATCCATAACATGGAAGCTTGTATATTAGTAGAAGGTACAGCAAACGATCAGGGACAAAAACAAAGGTGACGAATACCGAAACAGTGAGAGGCTCAACCCCCCGCTATAATTGAATGAGGTCTAGTTTAATGATGATGGGCCCCTGGTGTCATTAGACAAGTAACCCCACCACCCCTCTTTCCTGATCGATGTGCCCGCACTAACTTTGGGCCGAGGAGATTGTGAGAAGAACCATCCCGATTGGGTTCAGTCTGCGGATACCACCGATGCCGGTTCACCTTCAATCCCAATCTTTCTCCGCGACCTTTTTGTGACTCGATTTCTTTGAATTCCTAAGAGAACCCCCTCTTCACTTCACATATCAACACATATTCCCCAATAATGGGTGCAACGGTGGTGCTAGGTGCCCAATGGGGCGATGAAGGTGCGTCAATTACTTTTCATATGGCGAATATACGTATAAAGACTAATTATGCATGGTCATTGTACAGGCAAAGGTTGGTAGTCACCGCTATTATGAGGCATATGCAGTCAGGAAGTAACACAGCATCAAAGGAAAGCTTGTCGACGCCCTTCTCGCGCAGGACGCGTTTGACCTCGTCGCCCGGTGCGCCGGAGGTCACAATGCGGGTCACACACTCGTCATTAATGGCGTCAAGGTACGTCCCAAATAGGCCTCTCCCGTGTACTTTGAGAACAAGCAAGGATCACTCGAACAGTTTGAGCAAAGCGAGGATAAGCAAGGCGACAATGCTGACTTATAGCTGATATATAGTACCATTTTCATCTCCTTCCCAGTGGCTTGATCAACAAGAAGGCCACCAACCTTGTCGTACGTCTACCTTCGTTCCCTTCGTTGCAGCAGTTCCCCGCGGCGCGTCTTCGTGGGGATATGCCAATAATAAGACATTGGAAGATCATCGGCCGGTTAAAGCTAACAAACGTTCGATTGTTGTCAATTAGGGAAACGGAACCGTCGTCCACGTGCCCCAGTTCCTGAAGGAACTCAAGGAGCTCAAGGAGAAGGGTTGCGATACCGACGGTCGCATTTTCATCAGTGATCGTGCCCATGTCCTCCTTACTCTTCATAAGCGCCTTGATGGTCTTGAAGAGGCCGAACTTGGCAGCGCCAAGGTCGGCACCACGGGCAACGGCATTGGTCCCGCTTATTCGAGCAAGGCCGCCCGCAATGGTATCCGCGTCAACAAGATCTTTGACAAGCCCGGTTTCGACGACCTCCTCCGCCGCATGGCAGCCGGTCAAAAGAAGCGATGGGGCGACTTGCTTGACTACGATGTAGAGCAGGAGATCCGCGACTTTGACGAGTACCGCAAGATCCTGAAACCTTTTGTCGTCGACTCCGTTGCTTTGGTCTCGCAGGCCCAGCGCAAGGGCAGCGAGATCTTGATTGAGGGTGCCAACGCCATGCTCTTGTAGGTTCATTTTCACGGGGATCTAAAGATTCGGGGCGCTGATTAGAGAAATTTAGGGACATTGACTTTGGCACATTCCCTTATGTAAGTTGTTCATCGCATCCAGCTCTCTTCTTGAATACACACTGACTCCAGATAGGTCACTTCATCATCGACCGGAATGTACGATTACACTCATAACTCTTTGCCCCCTTCCATTTCACCATTGTCTAACAAGATACAGGGGAGGTGTCTTCACTGGTCTCGGTGGCATCAAGCGCAGCAACATCAAGGAAGTCATTGGTGTTGTCAAGGCCTACACCACGCGTGTCGGTAGCGGTTCGTCTTTTCCCTCCTTCTTATTCCTATTCCGCAAAATGCTTATCACTGCCTTAGGTCCCTTCCCCACCGAGCAGCTCAACGCCGTTGGCGAGAGACTACAAGAACAGGGCGCCGAGTTCGGGTACGTTCCTTTCAGCTTGTTACCATCTTATCCTTCAATTCCAGACCAATCAAACTCTGACAACAAATTAGTACCACCACTGGTCGCCGACGACGTTGCGGCTGGTTGGATCTTTGCATCATGCGCTACTCGCATGTCATCAACGAGTACACCGCTCTCAACCTGACCAAGCTCGACGTCCTCGACACTTTTGACGAGCTCAAGGTCGCCGTCAAGTACCGGGTCAAGCGCCCAGACGGCACCGTCGACGAGTACAATGGCGAGAGCTTCCCTGCTGACCTGGCCCAGGCCGAGCACGACGGTCTCGAGATTGACTACGTCACCCTGCCCGGCTGGAAGACCGACATCACCAAGTGCACTACCTGGGACGAGCTGCCCCGCCAGGCCAAGACATACGTCGAGTTTATCGAAAAGGAGCTCAACGTGCCCGTCAAGTGGGTCGGTGTTGGCCCTGGCCGGGATGCTCTCATCGAGCATTAAGAGCCTGACTTAGAGCTGCCGTCCCAAATTCTTTTTTTGTTTTCTTTTTCTTTTTTTAGAAATGATATGGCCTATAACTGGCCCCTCCCTCCCCCCACGGCCCTCGTTTGGGTCCCCGAAAATCCCCGAAAGGAAAAAAGTGAAAGCGCTTATGAATATCACGAGTAGAATTGTTCTTTTTTCTTTTTTTTGTGGTGGGCAGGCAGGCAGGCAGGCAGGCAGGCCTGAATGTAAGTAGAATGGCACGTGTAGGTGTAGGTATTAGAAGAAGTATGCGCAAATAGTACCTACCTTATATATCCCCAAGTTATAAATAGATATACCATTTGAATAGCGAAAAAAACACGCGCATATATGCAAACATGCATAGAACTGGTGCATGCATACCAGGTGCCTTTCTCCCTTATGCGCGCACAGGTACTGCCATTTGTCATGCTAGGAACGGTAGGTAGATACTATTTGTGATGCTAGGTAAACTATAATTTGTATCAAAGACCAAGTAAAAAATCGCTACATAACTATCTAACCTATACCCGACCTACCTTACCTAGACACATAGGTAGCTAAATTGGTACAAAGGGGACATACACACCATGAAGCCTTTAGTAAAGAGACAGTACGGACATAAGTACGACAGAACCAACCAGTCAGATAAACGAGAAGGCATGAAGAGACATGAAGAGACGAGAAGAAGAAAAGGAAGAAAATAGGAGAAAGAAAGGAGAAAGAAAGAGGGGAATATTTTGCACATCAAAGCAAGAAGCAAGAATAAGCAAAAAAGCAAGACGCAAGACGCCATCGCGATCAGGATCCATAGACATGGCATAAAAAAGTGTGGCAGTACAATGCTAGAACCGGAAAAGAAAATATCACAGCAAATATACTATCATCTCAACAACAAAAAGACCCTAAACAAAACCCCAGAATAAGACCCTAAAGGATCAATCGCCTAGGATATCGTCTCCGTCGTCGTCTTTCGCGGCTGCTGCTGCTGCTGCTGCTGCTGTATCACCTTCTTCATCTTCGTCATGCTCATCATGAACAGCATCGTCCTCTTCCTCTTCTTCAGCTTCATTGTCATCAACCTCGTCGTCGTCCTCATCATCATCATCATCCAGGACATATTCTTTTGACTTATGCCCATGCCCAGCTTTTGCTCCAGCACTCGTTGATGCAGAAGGTCGTCGCTTATTCGCGGCTGATGCTGATGCTGACGATGCCTTGGCGGCCTTGGAAGGAGGTCCGGCCGCACTGGCGCCGCCAGCTCCAGCACCAGCACCAGCAGTTCTTCGCGTCGTAGCCGCACTTTCATCCAGATAAGCGACGACTTCCTTGAAATTCTGACCTAGACGATTTCTATTCCTGAGGATTCTCGTTCTGAGCTTACTGCCGTGATCATCATGATGATCGAGCACTTTTGCGAGAATAGCAAGGACGAGTTTGCCCGTGAGTTCGCAGAGCTTTTGTTCCGCGGACAAAGCGACGACGAGTTTTCGTTGTGCGCGTCGTGCCTGGACTTCTTCCTCTGTCGCGTCTGCGTCTACCTCGTCATCATCCTCGTCCTCGTCATCGTCATCTTCAAGGTCTGCATCGTCGTCATCTTCGGAATCGATGGGGTCGTCTTCGTCGCCGACTTCGCGCGTGCGATTGGCTTTCTGTGAATATACTCGTTCAGTAGACGTGAAGAGGGACGTGAGGATTTTCTGTGTGTCTGACGGGATTTCTTGGATGAGGGCGGCGAGAGAAGAAATGTATTGATTCTCGCCTTCGTCTTCTTCTTCTTCTTCTTCTGGGAGATTGTGGTTTTGCTCGTCGTTGCGAGTCCGGGGGTGGGTGCGAGAAGACTCGACAAGTTGCCGAAACGTTGCGGCGAAGAGGGTATAAAGATCAAGCAATGTCCCGGCGGCAGCGAGTCGGAGGTCGTCGATTCCGCTGACGCCACCCCCGAGGCGACTTGACCCTGGTGCGGACTTGCGGCGAAGAATGGAAAGAAGGCCCCGGGCAAAGGCTGCGCGGCGGTCTTGTAACGTATCAATGTCTGCGCTTGATATGTCTTTGCCTGACGAGGCGGCAGCTTGGAATGATCGTGTTTTCCACATAAAGTAGAACATGAGCGATTTCAGAGCACTCTCGACGAGAGAGTCTTCGAGGACCTGTTCCGTTTCCAGTTCTGCCTTTTTCTGCGCAGATGAGGCGGATAACGTGTCTGTGGATTCTTTGCCGCGGGAAAGAATGTTGAGGAGAATTTTTGATGCGTCTGTCGGCGTGCGGGATGCTGAGCTGCGCTTGCTGGAGTTTCTCTCATTCGTGGAAAGTGCTGGTACGGTTTCGAGTGGTTCGACACAGTCTGATATGCTTGCGAGGTTACTTATCCGGCGGACATTGTTGCAGAGTTCTTTCAGTGAGCTGGTGGTGAAGTTGCCCCTGACGCCAAGGTTCCCGCCTTTTGCCAGGTTGTGGAGCGTGCCGACGGTATCTTCCCAGAGCAGCTGGACTTTACCCTCTGTGACTTCTTCGAGTTCTTCGTAACTCTTGGCGTGAAGGAGTGCGGCGCTGGCCTCGACGAGAACGTTGGGGTCGGCGTGTGAAAGGAACTGGCGATTAATGTCGTCGAGGAGAGCAGAGTACGTGGTAGAGTCTTGTCGAAGTTCCTGGAAAACCTCGAGGTTGAGGAGGTGTTCCAGACGGAGAACGGCCGAGGCCGCGTCGGGGGCTGGGCCAAACTTTTTGAGTAGGCGAGGAATCAGTTGTGCGAGATGAAGGGCGGCGGTTTCTTGGATTTCTTTTGTCTGCTGTTGTCGGGCTTTGGCGGATAACGGTGCGGCTTTTCCGCCTTTGATGGTTGGCTCGAGTGCTTGGGTCAGGCAGTGTTTAACTGCCTCATGGAGAACCTCGAGGAGTATTACTTCCTCGCCCTCGTCAAGAGCGCATTCTTTCTTGAACGTCACGTCTGGGTCGTCGCCTGTGGCTTCGGCAGATGCGGAGTGGTCGAAGAGTACATAGCCCGCGAGAATCTCCCATTTTTGCAGCTCAGGCATTTTCTCGCATAATGCGTGAGCAGCCAGTGAGAATCGTGATTCCGTAGCACCGGCGACAAGGATATCTACCGCGCCGTTGTGCCTTCGTGAGCGCTCGTTTCCGTCATTGTCCGAGTCGTAGAGCTTGAGCACTTCTGCCAGGCATTTTAGTTTCACCCAGGGAATTTGCGGGCTCTCGTAATCCTCATCGTCGTGAGCTAGAGCTTCTTCGAGAGTTTCTTTGCCGCCAAGGTCGTCAATTCTCGAGTCGCACAAATCATTGATATTTTCTGAGAAGAAGTTTACCACGGCTTTGCGCACTCGGCCTTCTGAATCGAAGATGAGTCGTCCGATCGTGTCAATGTCGTCGGGTTCCAGCATGCCCGCTTCGCGAATGGTGTCGAGTAACTCCACTGCGGACGCACGCACACCGGCATCTGCATCTCGTGTGGCCATTTCGACCAAACGCGGACGGAAGCGGTCGGTGAATGTGCGCAGCCCGGCTATGTTGTCCTTGACCCTGAATATTTTCTGCAACTGCTTCACAACCTCGGCGCGGGTAGGCGCTGCAATGTCTGAGAGCAGCCATCCTAGGTAACGTAGATACTGACCCTCGAAGAAAAGATCGGGAAAGATGAGAATCCAGTAACCTAGTGCTTGAACGCAGTCTGTTCTTATCCTCGGATCGACGTCGCGGTATCGATGAACAAAGACTGTGTCAAAAATATCCTTGATGAGACCTTCAAGAACGTCTCGCTTTTTGCCGCTTTCGTCCATCTTCTCTTGTAGAGCAGTCACCCGACCTTTGTTTACTCTGCCCTTTTTCTTTTCACCCTCCTGCTGTCGCAAAGTCTTGGCGGTGTTCTCCACAATGCCTCGCGCAATCTCGCAGAGTGCGCTGACAATAGAAAGCGAGACAACCGTAGCAGTATGCCGGAAGGGCCGTATCGCGGAAGAGGACATGGAGCCTATCCACACTTGAATATTCTCCATGAGCGTAGCATCGGTGTAGAGGGTTGACGACGCATGGAGGGTAGCAATCAAGGTACCAAAAAAGTCGGTGAGCATGGAACGGAAGGAAGAATGGCCTTTGGCTTTGGAGATGAGAGGATATTCGGTAATCGATTGCTGCGACGGTTAGAAAGAGAATCGCAAGAGAAGCAAAGTTCGGCGCATTGAAACTCACCGATTGGTACTCCTCCTGGAGATCGTCCAGTCTGCTTGCAACGTTGTCTGGGTCCTCAATATCGTGCTCATCAACCTGGAGGTTGCAGCCCGAGCATTTCAGGACAAAGTTGACGAGGTCTCGTACAGCGTTCGAATTATGCTGCTCGTATTGTGAAAGCCATTCCGCGGTAACGGCATCTACTGTATGACCGCGCGCAAAGACCTCCGCTGACCAGACATTAGAAAAAAAGAAAACAATAAGTCATGCAGCGGTAGGGCAACCGCCAAGCTACGTACCATAAAGTCCCTCGGCCTCGTCATCGTTAATGGCAAGCGCCCTCGCTCTGGGTTTTCGGGGTTTTCGAATCCCTTTCGGTGCCGGCCGCATGGCGAGGCTCGGGCCTACACCGTTGGTGGTCTTTGGTTTCTTCGCCGCCGGTTTAGCCGCCGCCGCAGCCTTCTTGCTTCTAGCTTTTGCTCTCCTGCGCTCCTTGAGTTCTTCCTCGTCGGGCTCCGATTCCACCTCATCGCTCTCGTCGCTCTCATCCTCGGATGGCTCGGTGCCATCCTCTTCAATTTCGTCACCTCCTTCGCGCTCCGTGCGCTTGCGCTTTGCCCGTCCTGCCTGCTTGGCAGCTTGCGATGCGCTCAGTCGTTGGGGTTGCTTCACGACGCGTCCGGACCGTCGGCGGAGCGAGGCTTCCGGCGTGCTGCTTTCGGGGGTTGCGGGATCAGATAATTCCATGCTGGAGAGCCGCGACGGCATTAGACAGTTATGCAACACTATATATATGTAATATTTCGTCGAGGACGCGTTCCGTCTCTGACTCGTCACAATCGGACGCGCTCAAAATAGAAGTATGAAATAAATGTCGATAGAGGGCTTTCGGGTAGGACAGCCACAAGCTTGTATATTCGTAGTAGCGGAATGGACAGAATGTGTGGTGCGTATGCGTTGCAACGCTCAACGTTATCGCAAATGTTGTATATGCTAGTAGGGTAGGGAAGTTTGACGTGTTTCTGAAGCTGATGATGCTCTGCTAAGATTCGTAGAGAGTAGCAGTAGTCACTCAAGCCATTGCCGACAATACCGGGTCCTCGATCCCGCAGTTAACAGAATGTGAAATCTTGTATCGAAGCTGTTTGATCGAAAACTCGGGGAAAGCGTCCTGATCCAACAGACTTTCCCATGGACAACGCGTCGAGCAGCTGCGAGGGCGTTGTGGTGGTGGATTATGTAATCAACGCGACTCCCAGGCATCTCCGGTATCTACCGACGATCAAAACATCCCGTCATTGTTGACAGCAGTCACAATGCCCCTCTTTTGATCAAATTCGGCCTCATCCAGCTGTTTAATCATTTCTTTCAATAATGTATACTACCGACTCTGTTCCGGTTGTTACACGTACGTTTCGCTCCTTTGCCCAGGATTCAACAACATCATCCTCACTATCGGGGCTTCCTCCGATAGCAGCGTCCCCACATTGATATCTCCGGTTTCTCTCCCCTCGCCCGCCCAGAAACAGTTTGACCCTTCCGTCTCTACGAGAACACTTAAATATAGATCAATTTGCTCTACGTTGCATCATGTCAAACAGCAGTCTCACGTCACCATTTGCATCGGCCACTCTCCAACCAGGCCATGGACTCATCACACTGGTCCTTCTACTGCCTTCATCGCCGACACTGCAGGCTTTAACCTACCAATACCCGCTCAAACTTATTGCGCCTGATCCAATCACTCTTCCATCGGGTCAGCGCATTGTCCTCGCGTTCCTACTCACCTATGGCGGCGGGCTTGTCGCCGGCGACAGCATCACACTACACATTGAGTTGGCGCCGCAAACACGCCTGGCGCTCGCAACACAAGGATCCACAAAACTCTTCAAATCGCCCAGTCGGAGCGTGGTCAGCCGCCAAACCCTCGACGTCGTCATCAGGCCCGGCGCAGCACTATGCTACCTCCCAGACCCGACACAGCCTTTTGCCGGCAGCTGCTACGAGCAAAAGCAGGTATTCCACATGGGCAAGGGGTCCAGTCTGTGCATGCTGGACTGGGTCAGCGAAGGACGCCGCGCGCGCGGGGAACGATGGAGTTTTCGTCGCTGGACAGGGAAAAATGAAATATGGACGCTACCTTCAGTGGGGGGTCCGAATTTTCGAAATCCTCCTCCTTCTCCGCCATCCACGACCGAAGGGGGAAAAGAAAAGGAAGACATACCTGCCCTACTCAATCCCTACAAGCACGGTGCGCCCCGCCTTCTTCTCCGGGACCATCTCATCCTCGACGGCGACGAACAAGCCGAAGGGTGGCCGGAATACTCCAAAAACGAGTACATAAACAGAGAACAACCTTCACCGCCGCAGCACCGCATTAGCAATTCAGATATCCGTCATTCACGTCCCTCGTTCACTGGCGACGTTCCCGACAGTCTTGCCGAGAAAATGGACGCCCTCGGAGTCTTTGCCACATTAATCCTGCGCGGCCCGCTATTCGCGACTCTCGGGACTTTCTTCCTCGATGAGTTCACCAAAACACCTCGCATCGGAGCGCGCAATTGGTCTGGCGCTGCGGCGCCTGATCCAAATGATCCGAGTGTTCCTCTGGATGAACGTAGACGCCGAAGCCGAATCGCGCAGGAAACAAAGGACGGCGTCATCTGGACTGCTGCCCACGTGCGTGGCAATGTTTTGGTCAAGTTTGGCGCACGCGAGGTCGAGGGCGCGCGAAGATGGTGCGGCGACATGCTGAGACAGGAAGGCAGCGTTGAGAGGGAGTTTGGCGAGAGTGCCCTTTTATGTCTGCGGTGATGTCAAGTTATATCTACGCTTTTATATTTGCGGTGATGTTAAGTCATATCTGCCCTTTTACGGAGTATGTTTGCGCTGATGTCAAGTCATATCTGCCCTGTTATATTCCCGCTCATGTCAGGACATATACCCCGTATGGCTTTTTGAGGCAGTGTAGGGCGTCGACGTCACGTCCCGAGCAGTGGAGATATACCCATTTAGTGCGTTGCATTATTTTATATTATATCTATAGATCTCATGATATACCCCGTTTTTTCCCCTTTTCTTTTGTCCATGTACAAAATATAGATTCCCGCATCTCAAAATGAATTACATGAACAAAACATAGATTCCAGCATCTCAAAATAAAAGGAAATAAATTGAATTAAAAAAAATGCCGTATCAACTTTTTTGGTGTTGTCTCCACGCCTTGGAAATGCCTTAATATGTATAATCCGAAACCCAGGGTCTATCCATCGGTAAAGGTGACCAGAGTGGGCTTTGAAGCTTTCTAATACCCGATAAGCAAAGAAAAAGAAAAAGAAAAAGAAAAAGAAAAAGAAAAAGAGGAAAGAAAGGGAAAGGGAAGGAACGGAAAGGAAATGAAAGAAAAGGCACAATGGTATAAAGATCTGTATGTATCTATATATATGTCGTCTCCACCGTTTCTCTTCACACACCCCTCTTCTGCTCCATCATCTTGCGATACGCTTCGAGCACATTCTGTCTCGCCTCGCCCAACTCCTCTCGCCGTCTCAAGCTGCCCGCGGCATTGGGCACATTCGCGACATTGACTCGCGCGCCGTTCTTGACGCGGAACTTTTCTGTAGGGATCTTTGTGAACGTCGGCGGGGCCTGCGCCACATCGTTCAATCTAGGTTTCTGGTCCCGTTCTTTGAGCACTGCCCAGGGATCATCGTCGTCGTCATGTCCCGCCTTGTGTCCGCCCTTCTTCTTTTTCTTCTTTTGTCCTGCGCCTGCACCTTCTCCGCCAGTAGAGTCTCCAACCGTCCCGCTGACCGGCAGCCCGTACAATTCCCGCTGTTCTTCTTCGCGTTCTTCAGCTTCTTCACGCTCGTCTTCTAACCGGTCTTTGATCCGCTGGTCTTCTTCTCGCCACTCCGCGTACATTTTCTGCAGACGCTTCTCGGTTTTGGTTTGTCGCTGCTTGGCTCCCATCGAACGGAGCGGGTCGGCGCCCTTGTTCTTCAGTCCGGAGACGGGCAGAGCGGCGTCAACGCGGGCAGCGAAGTCAGAGAGCTTTTCACCGGGCTTGATTGTAGGCATGGCTGCGGCAGCGGCGGTTGTCGTCGTCGTCCCCGAGGCCGATGATGCGTCCTTCTTGGAGGAGCTATTGGCAGCGGAAGCGGTTGAGTTGTTGTTGTCGCCGCCCCGCTTGCGTTTTTTGTTCGGGATGTTTGTGGGTTCAGTGTTGGAATTTGACCCCTTATTCCCTTTGGAGGACTGCCAGGCCATCATGCGCGCAAAGGCTCGAGGAGTGTCGTCGTGGTAGGACGTAATCGGTTTGGAGAGAAAGGAATTGGCGTCGTCGGACTTGGCAGAGTTTGAGCTATCCTTGTTCTTGTTGCCGTTCTTGTTCTTCCCTTTGTTGGAGTTGCCGGCTTGTTTGCCAACGGGCAAAGGGCGGGCCATTCGCGATGGAGGTAGATCGAATCTGAATTGAATGCCATTATTAGTCCTACAGAGAAAATGGGAGACGAATGGGGGGAATGGATCAGTGGTTTACCCAGAGGAATCGTCGCCATTTCTGCGCTTGTGCTTGTGAGGCATGGTGACGGAGCGGGCGCAATCAAAGGGATATTTTGATGTTTGGTGATGATGATGATGTCTATGGTGTTGATTTTCAACGGGGGAAAAGTGACGGGTCTTGGCAAGAATCTACCCGCCCGTAGCCGAACTCGAGTCTCATAGTTTATTTGCCAGTGTTGGGCTGGGAGAATATTCCATGCATTGTCTCATAAATTTATTTCTGTTCTTTCTTTTATTTTAAAAGATGCAATTGATAGATCCTTCTGCAGATTTAATTTGCTTCACGACAATATTTTTTGTGGGATATTTGATTGTTTTGCCCGGTGTCACAAATATTTCTATGGGACGGACATATAATCCCCTGCAATATGAATGCATCTTATAGAAAAAGTCTATTGCTCACTGCATATATTGACGAATACATCTCGAGAAGGGATGCGGAAGATATAAGTCATGAAAAATGCTCCCTTGCGCGGTCCAATTCATGAAGGCTTGTACCCTATATCCGTTCTTGCGATGTCTCTGAGTTCCGCTGGATGTGGCGTATATAAACATAAATCTGGCGACATATTCGCATAGGCAATAGATATCAAAGGAGACGCTAGAAATTTGCATCAGCGGTCAGAGAATCAAGCGTCAAGCTATCCGTTAGAACAAAAGCCGGACACGTTTCACGAATTCCGATCGGAATAAAGTCGGGCTCTGATTCCTAAGCATAATTGTTCGGATTTCACGGCGCAAAGGCGCCAATCGCGCAATCAGCCACAAAAAAGTCTTGATAGGGAAGCTCCAAATATTCCCGGCTTCTACTCAATCTGGGAGATAAGCACCGAAAAGTTCCAAAGATTTATAAAAGTGAAATGTACTCCTATCCTCCGTAGTCACGACATTGAGTAACTGTGGGCCCTAAAGCTGTTATCATTTGGTTGCAAAAAATCGCCATCAGGACACGGACCAAAACTATCATCCAAGGGCCCAATCCCGCCATTCAACTCAAAGGCCCTGCGTTGCCTGAAGACTAGATTTAGTAGGTAGAATAGGGGTCCCGATTCTCGTCCCTTGCAGCTCTCCTTCTTAAACCAAATAAATGCAAACCTCCGGAGCCCATTTTATGTGGACAAGAGATCCAAGCTCATTCTACCTTCCGTTTCCGTCATCGCAGGCGCTGAGTCTCGCTTGACGGGGTGAAGAAATGGGGATGATTGGCGAGACAACCCGGCACGACTCAGGGCCAGCCTCTTGGCTTTTGGATCCCCGCAATTTGCATGTCAGCACTTTATTGCCTTTGCAGCATCTTCAGTCAAATTCTCCATGCCTCGAAGGGGCTGGTCATTCGCATCGAGACCGTGGACGCATTGATGGTTCGTCGCACAGTCATGCACCGTTCAGGGTCAGCGCCACACTGTATTATTTTTTTTAAAATGCAGCATTATTGAACCTATTTTCGCAGTGGATTTGGCGGGTAGCCGTTCATAGAGAACCGCAGCACTCTGGTGGCATCAATCATTCCTATCTCCCCCCATTGTTCTTCCGGTGTCGGGACTCGAATCGCAGTGTTCTTGGCACACCACTAACAGATCGGCCAAGAGATCGGATGGTGTGCCAAAAAGAATGTCAAACTCAAATCTTTTAACTTGCCGCCATTCAAGGTTTGACGCGACCGATAAGCCGATTCGGCATTTCATCATTGACCCGTATTTTGACGAGTTGATCAAGATATGTGAAGACATGATCCGCTCGTTTCTCTGCGCCCCCCACCAGAGCATCGTGGCTTTTTGCTTTTCCTATCCCATGGTTCTCTTGTGACCGCCCCACCATGGACCAATCGTGTGGCTTGGAAACGTGTCGTGGGGAGAAAGCCGCGATAGACTGGGATAGAAGGTCGTCCTTATGCAAGCCCGATTTATTTGAAAGTGGAGAAATTTCGAGATGCATAGGCGCCCGTCTGCAAGTCACAAAGGACACATGATGAGGGCGACAGGATCATAAGGATAGAAACGAAGTCTGGCCGCGGCCATACTCCGGAGCTGTGCCCCAGATGCCCTTGAAAGTCTCGTTCGCTAGATGATTTGATCGGGTTTCCCTCCATTTGTAGCCCATACCGTAGAAGACAAAGTCCCAATGTCCGTGCGGGAGCCGTCGCAAACGGCCAAGGGTACCGAACCATCACCAATCTCCCCACCACGTTCTCCCAGACCGGCCCTTTTCTGGACGCCTGTAACCAGAGATGGATGGGCGTACTGTAACTCTCTCACAGAGTTGGGTTAACGCCTTTGGTGGGTAACTGTGGGGAATGTTCTTTCCTCTGCCCATGTTGAGCGTGTGCCGGAGGGGAAAGGGAGCAATAATGAGCCATTATTTGCACTCGGCAGAATACCGCACGCAGATCGACATCTGGCCGGAACGCGTCGTCATATATATCATAGTGCCTCTCGCCCACCGCGGGAGGTCCCTAGTGTAGGAGATAGGATAGTGTGCTATCATATTGCAGCTTTTTTCTTCACCGTCGTCTTTTTGTCCTTTCTTTTCATAATCATCAATGTGTTGTTGACTCGTCGGTCATTATATCCCATCTGTCCAGCACGTATTGCAGGTTGAGGACTGCTGCTCCCTTTTCATTCAGGGGGTTGATATCTACATGATCCGCCATTTGGGGCCTCAAGAATCCATTGTGTGATAGCTGTTGAGGAATCCTCCGATCGATGCCCTCAACGACTGTAGTCTTACCCAGTCTTTCACTACCTATTGCGTTTGTTCGCAGTCTGGCTCGTTCCGCTCGATGACGGCGTCCGTGACTGCCCCCGAGCCGTCACAACAACCTCTACCCCAAGCCGGTCTGGGAGAGGAACAATCGACTCGATCCCAACCTGAAAACCCTCTAATCATTGTCATTGACGACGACAAAAATGGCGAGCCTTCGTCCGGCTCGAAGGGGACGGTGAGAGGCATCGAGAAAGACGAGGTAGGGAAAATAATCCTTGCAAGTGCTGCAGGGGCGGATACTGGTGCCGAGACACTCTTTCAAGACCCTTGGAGAGGGACCGTCGTCCCTGTCGAATCGGATTCCAGCTCGAAACATCATCATCATCGACCTCAACATCCTCTTTCTCTCCGCCGCCACTCAAACAGCTGTGTGGAGCATGGCTTCGCTCATCACCTCTCGTACTCTGTTACACCGCTCTGGAAGCGCACTTGGAGAGCGCTCGTCTCGTCAATGCCTCTGATACGCCGACATCCCCCCGGCCACCTTCACCATCAGCCGCGTCAAACCCACATTGTTACCTCCAACAACCACGCCATATGGGCCGAGAAATCTCCGCTTCCCCACAACAGCAACAACAACATTAACGACGATGATGACCGAGACGACGATGATGACCGAGACGACGATGATGATCCTACATTGAAGGAATACGACGACTCCGAACCAGAGCCGTCTCACCCGTATTGTCGCGCAGGTGTGGCCGCGACCATTGTGGGCTTGCTCGCAATCATGTACGCTCTTCTTGCTCTCGCTGCCCTAATCGCTTCTGAATGACAACTGACTGACTGACCCAATCAACAGTGGCCTGGGTTTCATCCTCTTCTTCATCCCCGACCACCACAACCTTATCGATCGCACATTCCGCATCTCTACCGACGATCCCACTCACGATGTGCGACCTGTTCACTGCCACTCGCACAATGACTACTGGCGTCGGGTGCCTCTTTTCTCCGCCATCTCCGCCGGCTGCATTGGCGTCGAGGCCGACATCTGGCTGTACGACAACGACCTCTTTGTCGGACACGATACCTCATCATTGCGCCGTAACCGGACGCTCCAAAGCCTCTACGTGAATCCACTTCTGAACCTTCTCGACCGGCAAAACGGCCTGATTTCCAGTAGTAACAACAATAACGACAATAACATCGCGGACAAACCAGTCGTACTCGACAACTCCACCTTACCATCCATCGCATCATCATCATCATCATCGTCATCATCATTCTCCTTCACTCTATCTCCTCGAGGCGTCTTTGACACGGACCCCGATCAGACGCTTACCCTGCTGATCGACTTCAAGACCTACGGCCGCGACATCTGGCCACTCGTACTCGACCAGCTCGAGCCGCTGCGCGCTCGAAACTATCTCTCCTACTTCAACGGTACCGACGTCGTCCGCCGACCTCTCACCATTGTCGCCACTGGCGACGCACCATTTGACCTCCTGACCGCAAATACCACGTACCGGTACATCTTCTACGACGCGCCGCTGAATCAGATGTGGGACGAAAGAGCACACCGAGGCAGCAGCCGCTGGTATGATTGGTTATTCACAGGATACAAGTCCGTCAAGGGGGAAGGAAGTAGCGCTGTCGAAACCGAGATTGAAGAATGGTCTTCTTCCTCCAACGAGCCCAACGAAGAAGATTCTAATTCCCGGCATCATCGCCGCCCCCACCACCGGCCGCACCGGCCCTGGTCGACTCGCGATGACTCTGCAGACAGCTCCTCCCAGCAACTGGAACCATACTCTACCAGCAACTCGTACTATGCCAGCTTCTCGTTCAAGAAAACAATTGGTATCCCTTGGCGCCTCCACCTGACCAAGTGGCAAATCGAGCGTATTCGGGGCCAGATCCGCGGCGCCCACGCGCGCGGCCTGCAGGCCCGCTATTGGAGCCTGCCCGCCTGGCCGCTCAGGCTGCGCAATCATATCTGGGATGTGCTCGTCCAGGAAGGCATCGATTTGCTGAATGTCGATGATTTGCGCGGCGCGACTCGACGAGAGTGGCGCACTAATGAGCCTTCTACCACGACTGATCTGCCGACTTGATTTCCGTTCATCCGAGATCCATATTCCTCCATTTCCTGTGGGATCTCTTATCCAGTTCATACCGATCTCATTCGATTCGATCACTTATCCCATTCACACGATCCCACTCTATGTATACGGATCTCACATCTCCATACATATCTCAGGATATCTCAGAAGCATCTTTCGATGGTCGAGTGGGACATGTACCACTTTCTTCTTCACGTCGCGCTACGTATACTTCCACGTACATATCGTACATATCGTACATTTGTCATTCTACTACCTCCCTACCTTACATATCACATCCTCTCATCTTCTCATCTACTCAGCCTCTCACCTTCATCTCTTCATCTCACCATCAACTCTTCATCATCATCACCAAAACGTACGATACATACCGTTTCTTCCTCTTCGTTCGTACCATCTTACTTTCATCTCGGCGTATATTTTCTGTTATATATATATGTGTACATATACCCACGCCCATATAGACCTATGTTCGAATCTATCTATCTACCTATCAGTTATCTAGCCCGCACTACGCACTCCGCGCTTGCAATCTGCCGTCCGCAGCCCATGTCACGGCCCATTCATGTATCAAATTGAAGCATTATAGAATTATTTATTGGACGACAAGAAAAAAGAAAAAAGAAAAGAAAAGAAAAGAAAAGAAAAGAAAAGAAAAGAAAAGAAAAGAAAAGAAAAGAAAAGAAAAGAAAAGAAAAGAAAAGAAAATGAGATCCCAAAATTACAACAAAACATCAACGTACCTGCTCTTTGAAAAATCTCGCCTGCTCAAATGGAGGAGCAAAAAAGGAAATACGGTTCGTTCAAGCTATATGCATCGAGTACATCAAATGACAAATGACTATGCTGTAAATGGAAATAAATAAAAACGGGTATCGACCACTCAACCGTCTAATTCAAATGCGAGTAACAAGGAAGGGAAAGGCATGACAAAATCCTAGACAGACAGACACCCAAGACGCATTTTTCTGTGACGGTTGTCAAGCGTGGAACCTGAACTGTGTCAAGCTTGAAAAAGACCTAAAGTACGCCGATATAATGCCCAGTACCTAGTACCATGACCAATGCAAAGAGCTGAAACCAAAAAGCAGATGGCAAAGGGAAAATTAAAAGTGAGAAAAGCGTCGTGTTGATATCAAAACGCCCAAATGCTGCTTAGAGGAGAAGTTCGCCTTGAGGAAAAAAAAATTGTCAAAAGTTTACATCGATTGAGAACCAGCAAACGCCGAATACTTTTAGAGATGGCTCACGTCAAGTCATGATTGTCGTGCCCCAAAGCTGAAACCTGCGTTCCCAGCGACATCCCATGTCGTCGATTAGGTCGAAGGTAGGGTATTCGTCGTCCTCGGCCTGGCCTGGAGGAGGTCTGGGAATAGAAAGCGGCATTGTGACTGGAACTTTGACACCGTACTCTTTAATGCAGCAAATGAATGGTTTGGCGGAAGATTTAGGCAGCGTTTGCGCCTGAATAGGAGGTGATAATGGTGGGGCAGGTTTTGATGGAGGAGGTTGAATATCTTTGGACTTGGGCTTCTCCGCCTTTGTAGACGGAACAGCCTGGGTCGACTGTTTTCTTGGTGTTAAATGAGATCCGATGTGACGACTGTTTAAATCGAGGGGTTGGAGCACGTTGGAGTTTATCGGTGGAGAAATGACCGTGTGGGCCTTCAATCTTGCGGCGGCGGCGGCAGCAGCAGCAGCTTGTTTTTGCTCTTCAAGATCGCCCCAGAGGATAAAAAGAGTTTCGCGAAGCTTGCAGAGAGCATTCTCGTCATTGCGGAGACTGTCAAGGAATGAATTAGTATGAATTGAAGAAAGCGCCATCGGACATATGATGAAGCGAGCAAGAAGGTAAGGGCAATAAAGGTATTGAGCTGGAAGAGTGCTCACTCTGTTGCATCCATCCCGAGCAAAAAGACTGCATCCATATCTGCCACAATCAATTGCAGTCTGTCCACCTCTTCATTGCTTGAGGACGAAGATGACCGCCCATCTTCAAGGAGAAGGCAGAATCTCCACTGCCATCTGCTTCGGGATTCAGGAATCGGGCTGCAGTGAAAACCCTGTTCGTCGTCACTGAAACTTGGTTCTTTCTGATGCGCTTCTTTTGGATTTACTCGTATGGCGAAATCCTCCAGCTTGGGCGGGTAAAAATCGACTATTCTGACGCATGCTCGACATTTGGCATTAAGAAAAGGTACCTTGAAATTGGTCCCTTTGGGGGAGGTGCGTTCGTACAGGTCCTTCTCGACAATTTCGGACACCGGTATGACGGGGTAGGCAGGATGGTTGGCTTTCACTATTGTTAAGACTTAGCCGTGATTGTCGACAAGTCGGCCATGGTTGACTCTCACCATGCTTGTTCAATTTACTTTGATCAAAAGGCTCGTCTTCAGCTTCCCTTTCTTCCTCTTTACCCCCCTCCTTTCCTTCGTTATCATCGGGGTCGCTTCCTTTGTCACTTTCCTGGTCCTTATTTCTCACATCTCTCTTCTTCTGAGCCCTTTTCTTATTCTTCTTCGCCCTCTTGGATTCTCCTGGACCTGGATTGCCACCTTTTCTCTTGATGCCGTGTATCTGCTGAAGATAATTCTCCTTTTGTGTCTTGTTCTTTTCCCAATAATCTTCGGCTCGGTCTTTCACCTCTTTCACACGATCGTGATTTGGCTTCAGAATCGAGACATCCACTCGGTCAGGGAACTTCATATCGTCGAACATGGTTCCCTCCAGCTGACTACACTGATCCATTTTCATTCGGACATTTCGTAGCAAGACATGCTGACCCACTTTAACGTTTTCTTGCGCATAAAAGGCATGATTACCCCAGAGGGAGACACGTAAAGTTCTTTTGCCGTAAGGTCCTGGCCACTGCTTGTCTGGCTTTCTAAAAGAAGTGTACCCATATTCATCGCCGTCCCGTGAGGTGGCATCTTCTTTGTCATGCACCCACCGATAATTGTAAAGATTGTAATTCTGGGTATAATCCGTCACGTACATTTCAATGACACTGTTCCCGCTAAATATGCGTATAACTTCGCCGACCAGATCATAAAATGAACCGACTTCGACATCCTTGACGAGAGAGAATTTGTCCTTTGCCGGAAACGCCGTAATAACTCGGCCATTCGAATCAGGCTTCTCTAAGGAGGCTGGTACCTCCGCAGGGACAGTAAATTGGCTCCTGTCCTGAGAGTTGCAAAGCTGGACGGCATAAAGGCACTCCGCAGGCGAAGGCGGTACTCTAACGCGCTGAGATCGGCAGTGTGGGATACTTGGCTCCTTGGGATTCAGCTCGACAGGTATTGTGCTTGCGGGGAACACAGTCCAATGAGACCAGCTACTTGACAAGAGTGTAATGTTGCCATTGTAACTCGTAATCTACTACCTCGTCAGCAGGATCTTCAATGCTGGAGACCATGCACTTTGATTAATTGTACCTTGAATTTTTGCAAAATCACCACATCACCGGTACCCTGAACTGCAGGCAGCTCCTTCAAGTTGCTGTTGAAACATTTCACTCTCAATGAGCCGTTCGAATAATATTGGCTCATATCAGTGATGGCGAATGTAATTTGGTAATCTAGTATTTTGGCGGAAGTAAGTTGGATGCACTCATAGACTTGATTGTTTTGGTCGACAATACTACCTTTTCCTCTTGTTGCAGATGCAGGCATATAGTCAACAAGGATACCAATCACGTTCACAGTCTTGTTAAGTTGCTTGCAAACGTCCTCAATCGAGACGTAACCTTTGGGAGGAGGAATATCATCCATCTTGTGTAGAATGGGTGAAATTTTTGGCCTCGAAGATTAATCCTTTAAGCAATCACGATGGGAGCTCTGAAAAACAGCAGGTGCCAATGTTTTGCCGTTATAGTCACATCTCATTTTAACTGTATTGTCGTGAATGGCATCGTTTGCTCTCTATGTCAACAAACCGTATATGAGACGTTGAGCATTAGGGCCGGGGAAACGCGTATCGACGCGCTTCTCGCGCAGTCAATATGGGGAAACAACTGGCAACGCAAGGATGACTCAGAAATGACAAAGCCAAAATTCACGTGACTCGCAGTGGTATTTCCTAAAACGGCGAAAGCGGGATTGGGTCCTTCTTCCTCTCTTGGGCGGTAGTTTCGGTTCCATCATCTTTCACAAACTCACTTTCAACTTCTCTTATCCTTTTCATCTTCTTCTCCCTCGAACATCCCAAACACCCCCCACGTTTGCAAACAAGGGATCGTTTTCTTTTTCTTTTCTCTTTATTTTCATCTTTTCCTCAACAAAGAAAAAATAATCCGAATTACGAATTAGTTCCCACCATGGCGGACCGCTACATTCCCGAGCACCGTCGTACCCAGTTCAAGGCCAAGAACACCTTCAAGCCCGATGAGCTCCGTCGTCGTCGTGAGGAACAACAGGTTGAGATTCGAAAGGCCAAGCGTGAGGAGAATTTGGCCAAGAGAAGAGGCATTCAATCCCGCGATGGAGGCGTTACTGTAGGCGGTGGCCTCGTCGACTCCCACCAGGACAGCGATGATGAGGGCGGTAGCATTGCCAGCCAGGTTCGTTTACACCCCAACACCCCTCCATGCATGTCTTGCTCTTTTTATACACTCTTGTTCTACTTCATTACACCTTTGATTCTTTTTGCTTTTACTGTCTCACATTCAGCACCATGTTTGCCCCTCCCTCACGTTTGTTTTTCTCGTTTTCTCTCGCTTGCCCCGGTCGCCACTATTCGACCGATTGTTGGCAGGTGAACGGCAACCGAGCTTGCCCCCCTTTTCTTCAGTCGGCCCTAGCAGCTTTTTTTTTGTGTTCTCCACATAGTTCGCGTGGTGTTTTCATTAGCTAACGCAAATCATCATGTTTAGCTCAGTGAGGAGCTTCCTCAAATGGTCAAGGGAGTCTTCTCCGAGGACATCGAGGCCCAGATCCAAGCTACCACAAAGTTCCGAAAGCTTCTATCCAAGGAGCGTAACCCGCCAATTGAGGAGGTCATCAAGACTGGTGTCGTCTCTCGTTTTGTCCAATTTCTCTCTTCGCCTCATACCCTTGTCCAGTTTGAAGCTGCTTGGGCTCTTACCAACATTGCTTCTGGATCCGCCCAGCAGACTCAGGTCGTCATTGAAGCTGGTGCCGTCCCCGTCTTTGTGGAGCTGCTGAGCAACCCCGAGCCTGACGTTAGAGAGCAGGCTGTGTGGGCTTTGGGTAACATTGCTGGTGACAGCCCTGTTTGCCGTGACTATGTTTTGGGTGCCGGTGCCCTCCGACCCCTCCTTGCCCTTTTGGGTGACAGCCGCAAGCTGAGCATGCTTCGCAATGCCACCTGGACCTTGAGCAACTTCTGCCGTGGCAAGACTCCCCAGCCGGACTGGAATACTGTAAGTTTTTTCTGTTTGACGCCTTTTGAAATATCTTCGTCAACATTCTAATTTTATTTCGACAGATTCTTCCCGCTTTGCCCGTCCTTGCTAAGCTTGTTTACTCCCTGGATGATGAGGTCCTTATCGATGCTTGCTGGGCCATCTCGTACCTTTCAGATGGTTCCAACGACAAGATCCAGTCCGTCATCGAGGCTGGTATCCCTCGTCGTCTTGTAGAGCTTCTCATGCATGCCTCGACTTCTGTGCAAACCCCGGCCCTCCGGTCCGTCGGAAACATTGTCACTGGTGACGATGTTCAGACTCAGGTGGTCATCAACTGTGGTGCTCTGCCTGCTCTCCTCTCGCTCCTGGGCTCCTCCAAGGACGGTATCCGCAAGGAGGCCTGCTGGACCATCTCCAACATTACTGCTGGAAACTCTACTCAGATCCAAGCTGTCGTTGATGCCAACCTCATCCCTCCGCTTATCAACCTCTTGTCCAATGGCGACTTCAAGACCAGAAAGGAGGCCTGCTGGGCTATCTCCAACGCTACGTCTGGTGGATTGCAGAAGCCTGAACAGATCCGCTACCTGGTATCCCAAGGCTGCATCAAGCCCCTCTGTGAGCTGCTCACCTGCCCCGACAACAAGATTATCCAGGTCGCTCTCGACGGCCTCGAGAATATCCTCAAGGTTGGCGAGCTTGACAAGAATGCGGCTGCTGGCAACGCTGCCGAGAACATCAACAAGTTCGCCTTGTTCATTGAGGAGGCCGGTGGCATGGAGAAGATCCACGACTGCCAGAACAACGCCAATGAGGATATCTACATGAAGGCTTACAGCATCATTGAGAGATATTTCTCTGATGAGGAGGAGGCCGCTGGCGATATTAGCGAGATCGCCCCTCAGCAAGGCGAGGGTGGTACCTTTGGTTTCGGTACTCAAACCCAGCAGCAGGGTGGCTTCAACTTCGCCGAAAACGCTGACTCGATGGACATGTAAAATGCGTGATCCCGACTGTCTAACTTTGGCGAAGACGGGGGCGTTTTCGGGATGGCGTTGCTTCGGATTATCTGCTGTTTGCGGAGTCAACCCGCAAAGTGTAAACATGCTGGTCCGGGCCAAATAGGGATCCCAATGGGTCTCTTTCTCCTACGACAAAGAGGAGCCCTGAAACGTGGACGGACAGCTCGCGTGTACGCTGCGCTTCCAACCAGCGCTGGCGATTGCTCATTTGGGCCCCACCCGCTTCGAATGTTGCGTTTCTGTTCGATGCGTGAGCTCTTATGCTTGGCTTCGCTTTTGCCATCTCTATGCCCTGTGCCCCTGTTCTACATTCAGAATCCCTCCCATGACATTTTTCGTTTTTCGCCTTCCAACACCCCCTTAACCCCAATACCTTTCTTCCCACAATCCCCCGTTGCCTTTTTTCTCCTTGGAATGGGCTTGTTTCATGTGTTTATTCCCCGCGAAGATTCACCATCATGTATGTTCCTGCTTCTTTAAATTTCACCCTCCTATTTTTTTTTTTTCATTATCTACCCCCTAAGGCACAAGCATCATGTTCGAGAGTGGCGCAGACTTGAGAGTTCGGGCTTTGGTTTGACCTATTTATGCAGTGGCTTGCTTTATTTCTTCATGTCTATAGAGCCCCCTTTACAATCCCCCCCTATTTCCCTTTTTTTCATTTCCTCAGTCATCTGTTCACCCCTCGTACGACATGATCTAGATGCCCCGTCATGTAAATGTGTCAATTTGTGTGTGGCACATAGTCTTGCAAGACAAATAAAAATTATTTCATTCTTCAAAACATCTGAAGTGCACTTTGAAATGGTTCTTATTATCGTGCTAATTGCAATGTCAATGTTAAATGTTTCATTCATGAGAAATCTTCATTGGGAACTATAAATGCAAGACCCGGCCTACAAGGGCAGGCAGATCGTATGAATTCTTTTTTTTTTTTTTGGATTTCCCTTGCTCTTTTTACTTTCTCGACAATGAGCAGACGGAGAAAAGAACAAGGTAGTATGCATATATCCATGGATTCCACTCCTTTTCAAAGATCATCACGAAATGAGACAGTAAAATGGGCTGACAGAAAATATCATCCCTACCCGCCAATCAAAGAAAAACAAATGCCAATCTGTCTGCCTGGCGCTTTGGTGTCTCATCCAATAGACTTTATCCTCTTTTATCCTCTTTTTCCGTCTCCTGAATGCCATCATACAATGCTACACAACAAGACAAGAATCACACGTACGTTGTATAATACATGTATCCATCGATCGATCCAATTTCCTTCCAGTTTTCCCGGCTCAATTCGATTCAGCGCGTTATACCAAAGGCGCCAACATCTTCCGCTTCCGATACTCTTCAACAGCTCTTCAGCAATGATGAGGAAAGAGAAAAATTAGCCAAAGCTAATAATTTATCCCCGCGACTTGGCGCGCTGGGGGGTGCCGCTCTTGACGCGACGTGCCTCGGGGCGCTTAATGTGGTGCTCGGGGATCCAGCTCTCATCGTAGGCCTTGGCTCCGGAGGTAACGGCAGGGCCGTCGGCGCCAACGACAGAAACCTGGTCGGCAGGATCGACCTTCTTGACACGGTGCGAAGAGGTCTTGGCGCGCTCGCCGCCCTTACCGCCGCGGCGCTTCTGAGGGAACAGGGTCGCAATCCAGGTGTTGTAGATAAAGTAGATGGTGCCTGCGAAACCGGCGGCCAGGACGAGGTACAGGAAGATTCTGTAATCGATAGATGTTAGTCACGTTTGGAAAATAAGGGAATGGAAGAAAGAGACATACATTTGAGGATCAAAGATGCTCATATCAGGCTCAACCACGCTGACCGTCTCGTTGAAGGCATTGAGCGAGAAGAAGGCACCCTCGGCATTGTGCAAGAGCGCAACCAGGTTGAGGCGGAGGTCCTGCGGGTGCAAGTCCGTGGCGAAGCTGTAGCTCAAGCTCTCCTTGGCACCAGCGGGGATCTCGACATTGTAGCGCGTCGTAGTCACGTTGCGGATGTTGATGCTGTTCTGGGCTTCGTCGGATAGAGTCCACAGCGAACCACCGACGACTGCGACGGTCACTGGGTTCGGCTCCTCATTGGTAAAGGACAGCACAGCTTGGGTGGGGTGACCGTTGACCAGCTTCACGCCAAAGATCTCCGATGAAGGGAAAGACGCTGAGACAGACACGGCAAGATTAGGGGACTGAACGGATTCGTCCTCGAGAGGGGCCTGTTACGACATTTTTGTCAGTGATAAACCAAAGAGGATTAGAGGCATGCGAAGTGTGACGATTGTTTGCCTTCGAAATTAACACAATTGGCACATGGCAGAAGATGCAATAATATGGGAAAGAGAGAGCAGAGAGAGCTCTTTCCTGCTAGGCTCATAAAACTCACCTCAGCCTGTGCAAGAGCGCCCAGCGCCCGAAGGGACAGCAGTGCTAGAGTAGAAAGTTTCCAGGAGACCATGATGAGGAATCTAATTGTCGATCGAGGACCAGATGGTGAAAGAGGTCAATGCTCCAAGACGAAGGAATGGAGATGAGGGAAGGTTGACGTTTCGAGATTCCTTTGGGGGAGGGTCTCGCGACAGGTACAAGGAGCAACTCAGTATTGACAGCAGCAACTCAACTCACAGACAACGCCAGGTGGCTCTAGCACGAGGGACCCCGATTACGTAAGCCATCTTTGGTCTCCCCAGTCTGCCGTAGCGATAACCTCCACCAAAGACGCGATGATGCCATAGCAATATCAACATCAACAACTAACACTTTTGAATCTATTGACTTATTGAACTGTCGAAAAACTCATGTAACGCATACACTACGACTTCTCACTAGACCTTTGATTTTTTTGATTAGTGTGATTGTCTTGATCCAAACCTGTGGCTCTACGTGTCTCCCATCTCCTACCTGCCACCATGTCACCAACGACTGGTGGTACACAATTCAACAGCAAATCCCCGACCGTGAAGAGAATACGTAAGCTCTTTGAATTTGACCTACCTACTCTTGATCTTGCACACTTGTGAATATCAAGAAAATTCTGCTGCTCAAATGAATATTCCCTTTGCTACAGCCTGCCTTCAGGCCAATCTTAGCTAACACCTTCCTTCGATAGTCAAGGAAGCCTCTGAGCTTGCCCATCACCCCTCAGGCGAATACGCTGCTTCACCACTTGAAGATAATCTATTTGAATGGCACTTTACCCTGCGCGGCCCGCCGGAGCCCTCGCCCTACGCCAAAGGACTCTACCACGGTCGAATCGTGCTGCCTGCAGACTATCCACTAAAGCCCCCAGCATTTCGTTTCCTGACCCCTACAGGGCGCTTTGAAGTCAATCGCGAGATATGTCTCAGCATAAGCGGACATCATGAAGAATTATGGCAGCCTGCATGGGGTATTCGTACGGCGCTGATTGCGATCCGGAGCTTCATGGACAGCGACCCCAAGGGGCAAGTAGGCGGACTAGAGTGCGATGATGCTGCACGGAGGAGAATGGCAAATGAAAGCCGTAAATGGGCATGTCGCGCGTGTGGAAAGAGCAACGAGGAGATTATCAACGAGGCAGAAGGTCAAGCTGAGAGCTCTGGCGCCAGCGCCGGCGAAAGTACAGGCCCGAAAACTACATTACCACCCTCCTCATCCGAGAACACCGCTACGGAAAAGGGAGCGCGAGCATCAGTACAAGCACAATCAGATATTGATGGCGTGCCACCCGAGTTACGACTCGCATATCGTGATGAAATGCAACCGGGCAGCACCAGTAGCGCTGGGCCAGAGGGTTACGCCAGGGAAGAAGAGAAAATGCATGCTTCGGAAGTCAGGTCAATGGCGCAAACAGGAACATTACTGCCCATTTCCACTACTTCTGACACTCCTCCACCATCAAAAATATCACCGTCCACCATTTCGTCTTCGACAGCCCCCGCTCAAGTACCCCTTCCTGTCCAGCCGGCCCCAGTAACCTCTTCTTCTTCTTCTTCATCACCCTCATCCCTTTCCGCGCCAAGACCTGCACCAGCCACCACAACCGCCGCTTCATCATCTTCACATCCCGAAACAACAGCCCCCGCCGCCCGTCCTGCCCATGCCGTCCCTCTTCAACCAACACCTACGTCTTCTCATCCTCACCCAGTCCCTGAATCCCATCCTTCGTCCTCAGCCCCTGGTCCCGCTCCTGGTCCTACCTCATCCTCTGTTTTCCCCTCGTTATCTTCCTCCACGTCATCATCTCCACAGCCTAATATTCCCGTGCAAGCTCAAACGCAGCATCCGTCACAGCAGCAGACAACAGCGCAAACGCCATCACAAGTGCAATCTGCGCGTCGTATACCAGATAATCGCCCTGTACCAGACTGGCTAGACAGAGCCATCTACGGCGTCGCAGCCGCATTGATTTTCATGGTCGTCAAGAAATTGTTATTTTTGTAATCCCCCCACCCTTTTCTTTTTCTTTTCATTCGTGGGTTAGGAGTGGGTGTTAAATGGCGGTTTCGTTGCAGCGTTTTCCCTTTTCCTTTTCCTTTTCTTTTCTTTTTCTTTTTCTTTTTCTTTTTCTTTCTTCTTCTTTTTTTTTTCTTTCTTTCTCTTTCCACATCATCATCATCTGCTTCTTTTTTGATGAGGGGAAAAGAGGGTGGTGGTGGTTCATTCCTTTTCGAATCCAGAATTCAATGTCCTCGGAGAGAAAGGAAGTGGGGGGAGGGGAGTTGGGTGTAACAAAGAGTGTAGGAGAACTGGCATAGTCTCAAACTCGTTCACGTACCTGGCAGCGTTCACTTTCATTTCTTGTCTTTGTATTCCGCGCCTCTTTTACCTTTATCAGAAGAAACGTGACAGCCTTCTTTTTGTATATATCATCTCGGCGTTCACCCCTCCTTCATTGTGTCTCAATTGGCGGAAAAAGAGACAGTGAAGCAAGAGGCCCTTTTTTTCCCCCCAAAGCGGACAGTCAATCCAATTACTCCAAATGCACGAATTAATTCTCTTCCGTCCGTCCGTCCATCGATCGAAATCTTGAGTTGTCAATGTGATCACTTCACTTGACTATCTGACACAGAAAGTGAGTCCACTCAGAGTAGTGAATACTGTACGTAATTGAGTACAAGCGACTATAGCTACTGTGAGGTACCGCAGAGAATAGTCAGCTAAAGGAATGAAACAAAAAAAAAAGAAGTGGAAAAAGTTCAAACAAATACTCCTATTCCTCCATTCCCCATTCCGTATGATGCCGATTTTGAGGCAAAGAAGTTCCCAGGATGACCTCGAAATAAAAATATCGCCAGTGGAAGAATATAACGATAAAGACTTGCTCACAACGCCCAATGAAGTTTCGCCCCGATGCTTGCGTGGAAATAAGAGTAAGAGATCAAAGACTCCTGCAGGAGATACGGAGGGTGGACGAAACAATAGCAGGGGAAAAAACAAAAACAAAATAGAACAGAAAGAAGAAGAGAAAGAAGAAGGGGAGAAAAAAAAAATCTGTCTGCAAAAGCCGGTATTCGTAACTGATCGTGCAAAATGTGCGGGACTACTCAATCATTGTAGGTTCCTCGCGCTGAGGTGGAGGATTATCAAGAGTAGTCTGTTGCGCGACACCATGACCCCTGAGATCATGAGCAGTGTGATGAATCGAGACATTCGGTTCTGGTCTGAGGACAGTCCACCACCATTCCTCAGGCGCGTACCCGGTCTCGGATATGGTGGCATCTGCTGCTGCTGCGGCGGCGGTAGTGGCTCTGTTGAGGCTACGAATGGCTTCTGCTCCTACTTCTCCGTCTCCATCACTGGCAACCATTCCGACTTTTCTTGCAGCCTTTGCTTCAACGAGCCATTCCAATAACAGCTGCAACTCCCATTCGTCAAAACAGGGGCGTGTCGCGGTATGTAGCTGGCGAACATTGATTCCGGGACGAAGCGCCATGATACTTAGCACTGCGGCCAGCGCGAGACGCCACATGACGGGGTTGAAGTTTTCATGAATGTCTACCCAAAAGGGGATCCGCTTTTGTTGGGATGCGGCTATTTGCCCCTGTGCTATAACTGTCGTAGGTACTTGACCAACGTCAATAGTATCATGGGTATTGCCATCCTGTGATTGAGAACTTTGGTATGCAAATTCATCCATTGGAGGCGGAGGAAGCGGCTCAAGTGGGAGACCTTGAATATATGTTGTCGAAGGACGAACTTCGACGTCAAAGATCAATCGCGATTTTTGCATAAATCTCGTCCGGTATCCTCCATCGGTGAGCCCAAACTTGTTCATTGGTGGATTCTTGGGAACCAGTCGAACACGACCGTTGGCTAAGAGGTTTATGACGGCCATGACGTCGCCGTCCTCTGCATGATACGAAAAGTCAATGGAACCCTTGTCCGCGAATGCTTGGTCAAGAATGTGTTTAAATGCAACGGCGCGGACAAAGTGATTTTCCTCGAGGGTTTTTCGTGACGACTTAAGAAAATGGTCGGAAATGTCATAGTTGCGGCCTGGGACGAGTCGACCCTTGTTTGATTCGATAATGGACCTTTCTTGCAGGAGGGCGTGCACGGCCTTATCGAGTAAATCACTGCTGATGCCGAGGAACTTCTCGCGTGCTTTGTCGGGATTATATATCTCTGGGTAGGTGAAGATGTTTGCGCGAACCCAGGATCGAGCGAGCGATCTCTTCTGTTCCATTTCCCTTTGCTTTTCTTCTTCCCCTTTGTCCGTATAGGAAAGCTTGGAAGTAGCAAATGGAAGGGTGAACGGAACAGATTTAACGGTCGAAATTCGCTTCAGCATTGTAACATTCTGGCTGGTGAATTCCTCTCTCCATGTCGAAGCGTTGTCAGGAAGGTCGCGAACTTCGTACATGTCATCCAATCTCTTGCGGTTGTCTGGGAGATCAGGTGGCCCTTGCACACTGCGTGGTGATCAGTACAGGAACATTTATTGCATTCAAATGGCTCATTCACTTACTTTTGCAAATCCAAAGCTCGCTGAGCCCAACTTACCAACCAAGACCAATCGTATGCCAAAAGATTGTCATAGTCAATACGAGGCACGCGGTCTTCTTCATATGCTTGAGCAAAGACTTCCTGAAATTCCGACTGAAGGTTGTCAATGTGTAGCCGATACTTTGGCTGAAGAGCAGACCAGCGCTGTTGAATGAATCTCTGCGGGTATTCTGGCTCAAAAATACGTGAAACAATGATCCAATCAATGTTTCTCTCTAATCCTCCTGTAAGCGTGCGGACCACAATGACCGCAGTCAGCAGCTTATGTTCCATTTCAGGCGAAAGTGCAGTGTCCGAGTTTGGACCACGCACGCGGCGAGACCTGAAGATGCCTGGGTCTGATGTTAGAAGATGCACTGGCGAGTGACTATTAGAAACAAAGCCATAACTTACTATCATTTTCTTCCAGAACGCCGAGATTAACCTTTGCATCATATGCGGCTTTCTCAGCTAGAGACGTAAGCCTTCTTGTTGTCAGTTGTCTTTTATTTCGCGATGATGGCTTCGATGGTATCAATCTCGGTGGCCGCATTTGTTCTCTTCCAGAAGCCGTTACATCTTCAAAGTCTGCACGCTCCCAGGCTTCAGCAGGAGTGGGCGATCTTTCGTCATCAGACCCAGCCTCAGCCAAGTCAGGCTCAGGGTGACCAGACTGGAAGACAATTTGGAGCCGCTGAGATGGTACACTGACTAAGGTATCCTGGTCTGGAATTTTATGATTTATGAAGTGCCAGCCGTCTCGGCGTTGATCGATAATGGTCGGGTTTTCAATCTCCCAGGCTTGCACCGTCTCAACTTCGCGCGCAAATTTTCGCCAAGATGACTGCAGCGCTGGTTGGTATGCTCGTCTTCGCCGTTTGACACAACGCTCCATAAGGTCTTCCAAAGAAGTCGGTAAAGGCCGCTTGGCAGAGACATCGCCCTGTGATCGACCACGCACAGGAGCGACCTTCAGAGCTGGGTCCGCTAGAGATTTGCGCCGTCGTTCTCTATGGAGACTCGCGAGTTTCTCGGTGAAAGTCTGTTGACGGTGTGCTGAATCTGCAAGTGAGGTTGTTTCACTGGAAAGGGCTAGCAGCGCAGGGTCTATGGGAAGAGGTTGCTGTTGGTCTCCGTCTTCCAGTGCGCCAGGGCCTGTTGGCCGCTGTGGCCGCTGAAGTCGATAGAGACGACTCCTTGCCCGAGCATTAGTTGGCTGAGGAGCCTGGTCCCGGCTTTCGGTCACGTCCGGAGAGCCAAACGCTATATTCCGCTTCAAAGCTTCCAGCTGAGCAATCTTTTCCGCCAATGCTCCTTGTTCTGCATTCACGGACGCCTCGAGAGCCTCGATCTCGGCCCTCATTCGGTCTTCATCTTCGCCAGAAAACCCATTCTTCATCTTCCACACGTTGCCCCGCTTTCTGGTCCGCGACTTGTCGCCAGTCCGTTTCTTCTCGCCGATTTGTCTCATTGCAATCTGACGCGTCGATTGGATTATTCTCTTTTGGTACTTTTCTGCGATCTCTGCCCCTTCTGGCAGATGCAACCACGGATCGGCTTTGATCATGTTTTCTTGTATGTTCCTCACCACTGCTGAATTGGGCGAAACCTCTGGTTTGATAAGAATGTCTTTGGTTGCCATTGTGCCCTTCTTGTCTCTAAAAACAAATTTCAATTTCTTAATCTTGCCAGAATCGACGAGATTCTTTACTGCTTTTTGAACAGTTAATCGATCGGGTTCAGCGCGTCCAAGCTTCACCCAAGCAGTGAGAAACGGATAAATGATCTCAAGATTACCGGGGTAAGCACCTCCGCATTTTTCCAGAATTTCCAGAATTATCTTGGATCTCTGGAACCCAACAGTACCGCCACCCAAGGTTATCTTAGAGTCATCTCGAACGTTGAATTTTGTTCTTTCTTCAAGCAACGTTGGCAAATCACCGGATTCGTATTCTATGGTTTGCGATTCCTGAATGGCGTCAACCGGAGTCTCTCTGCTTGTCGCAGCTTCGGCTTGAGTAGCTTGAGCCCGGTCAACGGGCTGTTCACGAGTCCCATCTTCTGTACCAACTTGGGTTTCACCGAGGCCACTTTCCGCAGTTCGCCCAGCATCTGAAGGTGTGATTTGTCGTACTGGAGATTCGGCGTTGACCTGCTCGTTTTGAGGAGATATTGCTCTTCGCTTGGGCCTTGGGCTGTCTTTGTGCCCCGCCGGGCTGCCCTTTGCTTGGCGTTGGCTTTTCCTCGGTGTCACTGGAGCAATGACTTTTCTGCGCTTTGGAGATGGCTCTAGTGGCTCTGGCACGCGATGGCTCGTCGCACTAAGAATCGTTGGGGTCTCATATAAACCCCCGGATTTGTCCCATGCGCCGCTCCGGCTTTGTAAAGAAGCAGCCAAGGACCCAAGCCACAAGAAATCCGAAATAAACAGTGGTCTAATATTGCTGTTTTCCGTCGTTGTAGTCACACTTGGAGATGTTTCATAAGCAATGTCTGAAGATGAAGATCCCTTTGAGGGCTGGGGTTGAGAATCAGGAGAGCTTTGCTTCGAAGGGCGCCCCCTTCGGCGTTTAGCTGGTTCCAAATCCATCGCTAACGACACCCCTGGCCTTTTCCCGGTGATGCTCCGAGGTTCATTCGTGGGTAAAGGTGAAGATGGGCGTTCTTCTGCAGCAATAGGCGTGGCAAATCGTACACTCCTATTTGTTTTGCAAAACCAACCGAGGTCTCTTAACCTTGGTGATTTAAAAACGGCTATTATAGCTCTTCGTGGACGACCCCTGCCTTTTACTTTAGGACGAGCGGAACCAGGCGGATTGATATAGATTCCAGGACACGATAGTTGATCTGCTTCGCCGGTTTCAGATGCAGGTTGAGGTGTAGCACCGTTGACATTGTCCAAAGGAGGCTCGTCCTGAACTTCGGGAGTTGGCGAAGCAAGGACGATCGTATCCGCCTCTTCCACATCTTGAGCGTTAGATCCTCGCGTGCGAGATCTTCTGGTTACAGTGGATCGTGGAGGGAGAGGGGACTCCACTTCAACATCACTTGGAGTGCGTAGTCTTGCGCCATCCTGGTCGTTCGCGGGTTGTTGTGACTCTTCCTCTGGCTCTTGTGACTGGTGCTCTCCGGCTGCCTTTTGTGCTCTCCTTGCGGCCCACGCCGCTGCAAGACGCTCCGCCCTTCCCTTCGCCAAGGCTTCGGCCGCCGCCTTCTTTTCAGCCCTCAATTTTGCCTTGTTTTCTCTGCTATATGGTTCTTCTCCCTTTGCGTATTTCCTAGGCCGTCCGAGAGGCTTACGCGGTGCATCAGGGTCGACTTGAACCACTTGCCTTAGTGAGCTATCGGATCTTGGTGGTCTACCGAGCGGCACACTTGGTGTGCCATCAGCTCCCCGTCCTGCCCAGTTCAGTGCTAGATCAGACGTCAATATAATCATGCATATAGAAGTATTGGGAAGAAATTTTCTTGAACTTACAATATTGGCCGTTCTCTGCTTTTTCGAGGACAGCGTCCAGACGAGTCAAGAAGAACGGTATTTTCGCGGCCTGCAAGCATTCGGAGAGAGACTTGTCGCCATTTCCAACGAATTTTGACGCTGTAAGCGTACTGAAGTCATGCGAACCATTGCTGAGTGGACCCGTTGGACCGCTGCCTTTGTCTTTTGCAGGCTGAACACCGACTGCTTCCCAGTCCGCATTGCCCATATCCACAAGTCGAGAAAAGTTTTCGTAGGTGAAATATTTGTAACATGAAACACTCAAGAGTTGCTCGGTATCTCTAATGAGTGAAAGATGGCGCACATGGGGAGGCTGGGCAAGCTGCCATCGTTCTGACAGACGATCCAATAACTGTTCGAGTGGTCTAAGAAAGAACTGACCCATTCCTTTCGATTTTAAGAGCTAGCCGAAGTCAGCGGTGTGTCAGAATGTGTATGGGCTTGAGTTGGGATTTACCATTGTGTTGGCGCCTTCTAGCCCGGAGAAATCGGTCACATCGAACAACATGTTCGGAAGTGGTTGACTAGGGCTCCAGTATGGAAGGATTCTTTCGAGCTCCACCAGTTGCATTTGATCAGCTTCGTCCTCCATAATCTCGTCCTCATCATCCGCGGTTCTAAAGGTGACCTCGGCACCACCATCGTCTGCACTCCCGGAGAACACATGGTCCTCCATCTCGTCCATGTTCGGATCATACATGGCTCGGAACAAAGAAGGAGCAGAGCCAAGAAGATCACTGATTTCAGAAGGCTCTGGCTCACGAAGCAATTTCAAGCAGGTGCAAAAGGATTTGGGGGTGGCACTATTCGGAAATGAGCCTGAGACATGCCTGACTATGCCCAATTCTTCAAGCTCACGGAGGACTCGAAAGAAAACCCGCCTGTGAGCCTGACGGTCGATTGTTCCCTAAATAGGGTGTTAGCATTCCAAGTCAATTGAATCACATGCGGTGGCTAGGAGGTACCTGTTTGTGTTTCAGCTCTTCTCGTGTGACGAGAGTCTTGTTTCGCAAAGTCTCCAAAATGCTTTGAACAAACTGCGCAATGTCGAGCTCGTCGACTCTGCTGGCGGCCTCTGCTGTAGGATTTTCCTTGGTGGCGCCTTCTAAGCCCCTTCGAAAGGCATCGTGTGTCCCAGCGAATTTTTTGAGGATGCACAAGCTGGTGTGAGAACCTTTTGCCAAAGTAGACGCCTTCTCAATATATCCTTTGGTAACCAAAGCAGCGGTTCTTTTTGGGACAGAACGTTTATCTTGGGCCGAGAGTTTGACAAGCTCCGGCTGTATGATGCCTTTTCTTTTCGATGCTCCAATCAACGAAAGAATAACAAACTCCAAATATGGAATGCGTTTCCAGTCGATGCCATGTCCAGTCAGAGCATACCACATGCGCTCTTGGCTTACAAAAATTTTTGGCTGAACATCAGGGCGTTCTTCCACTTCAGCAGGTGCAGGAGAGGACGTCTGTTGCCGTCTTCTCTTAGAGGCGTCTTGCTTAGAGGATGGCTGAGGCGTTTGGTCATGCTGTGCTGCTTCCGAAGATCGAGGCTCAAGCGGAAGATTTTCGATTTCTGATAGCGACAGTCTGTTGGCTTGTCTTTTCATTCCAACGTATACATCCGGATGAGAAGTCAACCACCGCCAGGCACATTCCAGGAATGGCCGGTCTACTGTGAACTGCAGCGATTGCCCTACCCCGGGCACTTTGTTGTGCTCGCCATGGACAGCGCCACCGGCTTCTTGAGCTCCTGTTTCGGAGTCTTTGTAGAAGACAAAAATATTATCAATAATTTCTTCAACAGTTGTGCCTGTTGAGTGATGATCAGTAGCGTCCTCAGAATAAGCATGTCTTCACATATGGCGCGAGCGTGATTCGAACAGACGACTTCAAGACGAACAAGGGTCCCCAAAAAAAGAAGCGCTTTGATGCAGGTACCAGACTAATCAAGGGTGCATAGAATGACCTCGTGCGTCTGTGCAGATACGACGCTACTTTGATGCCAAAGCTGTATAATTTTCTCTGTTTGGGCATGGTGCTACTTCGCGCTCAAAATTTCATGTCGCTTGGAAGGGTCCAACACTTCCACCCATAACGGAAAAAAGCTTAAAACGTACCTTGCTCGCCACAGAGAGCGATCGCTTCGAGTAAAAAAGTGATCAATTCATCAAAACCTTTTGCCACGGCCATTTTGACTCATGATTAAAGGCATCCAGAAGTGAGATGGTGATGCCATCAAAATGCGATGACGGGGGATCGAACAACTTTGACGCAAGAAGGTGTTAACTTATGTTATGAGAAGTTATGGTTGGAATCTTATCGGGGTTAAAGCTACAAAGTCAAAATGACGATAGCTACTACTTCTTCCCAAAAGGGTAAAGCGCAACACCACCCAGAACAAACAATCATTCACAATGCTGCTCCATGACTCCCATAGACGAGCACTTGTTATGCCCAAATGGGTACAAAGTTTTACTTTGATATTCAAAGGGTATACTACAATTGCTAATTGAGCCATATTTTTGCCCATCAAAGAAAAACATCTATCAAGTTCCAACGCCAAATGCATTGCAGTGCGAAATGAGATAAAAAAAAAAAAAAACAGTTGGCCCCCTTCTGTAAACGCCGGTGATGCTATTGGGCAATTGTGAATAAAGCTGAAAGAGGGCTGCACACTCATGCGAATGCCTCGAATGAAGGAAATAAAGTCAGAGCTCTAACTAACGTCCATCTGATGCACGATCTTGGGGTATTCGCGAGAGGATTAGAGGAAGATGGCGTCGTCAAAACCAAAGAGATCCCGCTTGTTATTGTTGCTTGAGGTAGAGTTTCCGAGATGAAGGTTTCCTATGTCGCACCAGCCTTTTACGGGCTAATAAATTGAGTCAGCAATTGTACCTATCATGCAGGACCGAAGGGATAGATAGGACGTGACTTACCAAGCAGCTTAGGTACTTGCACCATTTGCAGGTATTACTTCCCGTGTAGAAGCTATTGATCAGCGCGATAAACCCAATAAGGACACCGATCAAAGCGGCAGCCCTAATGAGCCACCATGCCCACCATAAAGGCTTGCGATGCTTGAAGAACCCCGGAACGGACTTGAGCTTGGCAGCGAAGGAGGGCTGTCCGGCATCCCTATGTGGCACAACAGGTGCGTATGGCGGATCTCCTTGCCCTGTCCTCTGGCGCAGAGAGTCCGGAGAGCGCAAAAGGCAGATGCCCAGTACAAGTCCCATAAGGAATCCGCCAATATGGGAAAAGTTGTCCAGTCCAGGCAGCAGGCCAAGAACGAATGAAATGACCACCTCGACAAGAATCCAAATGAGCTCCACACCTGGTGAGCGACGCGTTTTCCAGGTGTAAAGAAGCTCGAGAATGTTTAGAGCAAGGATGCCGAAGAGGCAGCCAGATGCACCGCTGTCGGTTATCGTCAGTGTTGATCCCAATAGTCCACATAGAGGTAGCTAACGTACGTAGAAGCGATACCGGTCGCAGCATAGTTTCCTCCGAGGACAAATCCAAAAATACCACTGCTAAAGTATACTAGAGCAAATCGTAATGAACCAATCGATAATTCCATCTCCGAGCCCAACAACCATTGAAGCAGCATGTTGAATCCAATATGAATAAATCCTGCATGCAAAAAGATGGGTACAATGAAACGGAACCATTGGTCAGGTTGAGGTTGATCACTGAGCGAACCATTAGGCTTGGGATTCGGAACTCCTGAAAAACCGCAAAGCTCGGAGAGCGAACACTGCATCGTCGGGCTGGTAGCATCCGAAGTCGTACAGTTTGGGCAAGGCCAATTGATAGGAGTCTTTGCATTTTGAACTCCATCGAGAGCCTTCATGCAGGGTACGAAACGCGCACCCATGTTTATCAAGACATAGGTTGAGGGGCCAATCATTGGGTTGAAAGTAGGATGGATCATGATGGGCGAACCGGTCAGTTTACCTAGTCGATACCTGTTAGTACAATTCAATGTCATCATGTTCCCACTTCAGCCCTACCATTCTTTACGAGTTCGGCAATGAACACGGCCACTTGAACAATGGTCAAGCAGTACACTACCCACGGTCGTTTGAAAAATGATCGTGGTTTATCCTTTTTCCTTCCCCGCCGCTTTGGTAATGGCTGCGCCGGAGGTGGTCCGGCATTCTGCGCTGCCCACGCTTCTGCATCTGTTTGCTGTGGATGCGGTCGTAACGGTATCTCATCGGAGTCTCCACTTTGGTTTGGTATCCTTCCACTGACCGGACCATAGTACGTGGTGTCCGATCCCAGGCTTTGCTGGCTATGGTGTGCTGGAGGAGTATAGTATGAATATGCAGAATGATCAGGCGGTGTTGTTGCGCCTGACATTGAATAGCCGTGGGGGTCTACATTCGGCAAAGATGGTGACGAATTAAACGGTAGCGGGGGAAGCGGGCCATGAAGGTTCGGCGATTGAGCAGGTTTGTTCGTATATGGCGAGGAGTTGTAGTAATCGTTGGCGGCCATGGTTATGGTGTTTCAGAATTCCTTGAGGAACGATCCCGCTCCAGATGTGAATAGAGTCGGGATACTGTTGGATCGACGAATACCAGATCGCAAAAGAGTGGAATTAATAGCGAGTGGACATTATAAAATTTCCAGGGCCGAAAGCCTGTGCCTTCTCACTAGAAAATTGGTCAATTTGGGATTCAGGATGGTAAAACGGCCTCAAGAGCAATTTGGCCAGACCCTGAGCTTTGTATGGTTAGGAGTTGAGACGAAACAAAGCGGGAGACACACATGGCAGGCACAGCCCCTTGTGTTGCAGCGTCATCCGCAAGCAAACGCGTCTCAGAGTCTCGCTACGGCGGGGCCACCCCCGGTGCCGACCGGGACTAAGCGACCAACGGAGCGACCAACGGAGCAACGATGAACCTCCTATCGAGCCATCGTTGGTCAGGCACTCAAGGGCGAGGTGTACAACAACAGCCAAGCCCAACCGCTGACGACGCTATTCCTGCCACCACTTTTTCCCTGTAAACAAACCGATGCCGGTTGAAACGTTCACCTACTTGTGTCACGTAACTGTAGATAGCTCTGATATCATTTCACATTCCCTACAGAAAAAGACAGGAGAGAGACGGTGTCACGAATGTCAAAAGGCAAGATGCATCGTTGTTTAACACGCCAATCGAAAGAATATTTGTTGAGCAGCTGGGCAGTTCAGTATCGAAATTGAAATTAGAGCCGGTGAAATGGATCATCGTCATGAGCAGGACAAAACCCGTACAGCAAAGACACCCACAAGACTGCAAACAGATTAAAAAAACAGCGACTCGGATGCACAATGATCATTCTTATTTTGAGAAAAAGGTCATGATGTGTCGACTTCTCGTATCGACCATGACCTTGTGACTGAAATAGAAGTATCGTTCACAGTTTTTCCTCGTATTTCTGGAACCCAGTGGTCGTGGGTTGCACCTTGGATGTGTGGGATTTTCCAAGGCTTGAGGTTCATGTACTTTTGGTTGTCTTCGTCTCCTGTAGTGGTTGATTATGTAAGCTTTGCATAAATTAATACATGTTCCGAATTAGGAGCAGGATGCATTTATGTACATCATTAGCTCGTTCACGCGTAAAGTGGCTTCCCATCACGTAAATGCACGTTAAGTCATTCACGTCAAGGGTCTAAGACGCGACGTGCCTTTGAACGCGGGCCTCTCATTATTCCCACCCCACACCCGAGGCGTCGTGAACATTGCAAATCAACAAATGATAATTACTTTTACTGTTTAATTGGTGAGCGCCATTTTTTGCTCACCGCTGCAGCAATTTGTTGCAAAAAATGCCTGCTGCAACTTTACCTGCCCCGAAACGGGTGTTGGGAGATAGCACCAATAACAAACAGAACGTTGCTTCATCTCCAAGTGCTGCCAAGAAAAGAAAATTGGACGCATCCAGTGGACAGTTCAAACATCCTCAGAATGGAGGCAAGCTTGGATCAAGTCAACCTAAGAGTCAATTCGAGGAGGAAGTGCTGGAAAAACTGACCCAGGATATCAACGGTTTGAAGCAGAAGAATGCGGAAAGAGATCAGCAATGGGACCGTCCAGATCTTGGTGACTTTGACCCAGCACACGACAATCTCATTTTCCAGCAGATAGAAGCTGAAGAAGGTTCACTTCATGGCGGGAAAACAACTGTCAAATTATTTGGTGTCACAGAGGTAGATGCTCTCGTTTACCCTCTCCAGCGAATGGTTAAGACTGACATTAAGATGCGTAAAATTAGAGAGGAAATTCAGTCCTGCTTCATGTCACCGACTTCTTACATTACCTATATGTTGCCGCGCCTGTCTCGTTTGGTCCAGTTGACTGCGAGGGATTCAAGGCCTACCTGGAGACACAGTTGGCGCAGCATCAGCCGACGATATACTCAGTGCAGATGCTCATGCGGGAGAATCTGTTCGGCTTTCAAGGCAATCAGAAGAGTCCTTACCTGAAGATTACGGTTACCGATCCTAAATATATCAATCGGCTACGAACGACCATTGAGACGGGTGCGGCAAATTACAAGGGCCTGTGGAAGGGGGTTGAAGGTGGCATATTGACCTTTGACAGCATCGAATATGTGCTTCGGTTTATGATTGATACCAAGGTATTTGAAATTTTAGAGAACTTGCTTATCCTCCGTTGCTAATTGTGATAGATTTCTGGCATGTCTTGGGTCGAAGCACCGGCTTCCAAGTATCATCTCATTCCCGAACGTGATAGGCAATCAAATTGCCAAGTTGAGGCTTTCATCCACTTTCGAGACCTTATCGCGCACGCAAACGACGGAGAATGGCTGAAGATGGCCCCTCTTCGTATCCTTTCGTTTGATATCGAGTGCGCGGGTCGCAAAGGTATCTTTCCAGAAGCCAATGTCGACCCGGTGATCCAAATTGCCAATGTTGTCACCAAGTACGGAGAGGATAAGCCGTTTGTGCGAAATGTCTTCTGCCTTGACACCTGCAGTCTGATCGTCAACACACAAATTTTTGAGTTTGACGCGGAGGAGAAGATGTTAATGGCATGGCGGGATTTTGTCAACCAGGTCGATCCCGACGTCATAATTGGCTATAACATTTCCAACTTCGATTTCCCGTACCTGCTGGATAGAGCGAGACATCTAAAGTGCTCAAAATTTCCTTACCTGTCGCGACTCAACAGTGTGTTATCACATGCCAAAGATACCAACTTTTCGAGCAAGCAAATGGGAAATCGAGATACAAAGTCAACAAACACGAACGGGCGACTTCAACTCGATCTTCTTCAGCTCGTTCAGCGTGATCATCAGCTGCGTAGTTATACGCTCAATTCGGTCTGTGCGCATTTCTTGGGCGAGCAAAAGGAAGATGTGCATCACACAATGATCACAGAGCTTTTCAACGGCACACCGGAATCACGACGAAGATTGGCAGTCTACTGTTTAAAAGACGCTTACCTGCCGCAGCGGCTCATGGACAAGTTAATGTGTCTTGTCAATTATACTGAAATGGCGAGAGTCACGGGAGTGCCATTCAACTATCTATTGTCACGAGGTCAGCAGGTGAAGTTCATCAGTCAACTTTTTAGAAAAGCGCTAGAGCAGCAGCTTGTCATTCCGAACCTAAAGAGGGAGGGCTCCGAAGACCAGTACGAAGGCGCCACTGTCATTGAGCCCAGTAGAGGGTACTACGACGTTCCGATTGCTACCCTCGATTTCGCGTCTCTTTACCCAAGTATCATTCAGGCCCACAATCTCTGCTACACGACGCTGTTAAACAAGACGAGCGTGGAGAAACTCAACCTACAAAAGGATGAGGACTATATCGTCACGCCCAACGGAGACATGTTTGCCACCGCCAAAGTCCGCAAGGGCCTTTTGACACAGATTCTCGAGGAACTTTTGACTGCCCGAAAAATGGCAAGGAAAGAGTTGGCAGTGGAAAAGGATCCTTTCAAAAAAGCTGTCTTGAACGGTCGTCAGTTGGCCTTGAAGATCAGTGCCAACAGTGTTTACGGTATTACTGGCGCAACAGTTGGAAAGCTCCCATGTCTGGCCATTGCTAGTAGTACGACCAGTTACGGACGACAAATGATTGAGAAGACCAAGGACGAAGTCGAGAAGCGGTACACCATTGCCAACGGTTATTCGCATGATGCTCAAGTCATTTACGGAGATACCGATTCCGTTATGGTCAAGTTTGGACCAAAAGAGCTCGAAAAGGCCATGGAAATGGGTCAGGATGCCGCAGAATATGTATCGTCGAAATTCGTCAAGCCCATCAAGCTCGAGTTCGAAAAGGTGTATTTTCCGTATCTCTTGATTAACAAGAAACGATATGCCGGATTATTCTGGACCAACCCGAATAAATACGACAAGATGGACAGCAAAGGAATCGAAACAGTCCGACGCGACAATTGCCGGCTGGTGCAAAATGTCATTGAGACGGTATTGCGTAAGATTCTGATAGACCAGGACGTTCAGGGCGCGCAAGAGTAAGTGCTAATCCCGTTCTATCTCCCACCATGTCCTCCGACCTAACATCCATGGCCTTCAAACAGCTACGTCAAAGACACCATTTCAGACCTCCTTCAAAACAAAATCGACATGTCGAAATTGGTCATTACCAAGGCGCTGTCCAAGAGCGACTACACCGCCAAGCAAGCTCACGTCGAACTCGCCGAGCGCATGAAGAAGCGTGATGCAGGATCAGCTCCGACACTTGGTGACCGTGTTGCCTATGTCATTGTCAAAGGCGCCGGCGGATCCAAAAACTACGAGCGGTCCGAGGACCCCATGTTTGTTCTCGAGAACAACTTGCCCATCGACACGAAATACTACCTTGACAACCAACTAGCCAAACCACTTGGCCGTATCTTCGAGCCCATCTTGGGCGAAAAGAAAGCCGGTCAACTCCTCACTGGCGAGCACACGCGATCTATTTCCGTTGCGGCTCCCACCGTCGGCGGACTCATGCGTTTCGCAAAGAAGACCCAGACTTGCTTGGGCTGTAAAAAGCCACTGGTCGGCAAAGAAGAAAGCGAAGGTGCCGTGTGTGCTGACGATCGTCCCCGTATCGGCGAACTCTACCAGCGGTCGCTCCAAAAAGTGTCCGATCTCGAAGTCCGCTTCGGCCGCCTCTGGACTCAATGCCAGCGCTGCCAAGGAAGTATGCACTGCGAGGTCATCTGTAGTAGTCGCGATTGTCCCATTTTCTATATGCGCATGAAGGCGAAGAAGGACGTGGAAGACGGAGGCAAGGAACTAGCGAGATTCGATCGAGACATTGCCGCCTGGTGATCAATTTGTCTCGTGTCTGTCCTTTTTAATCCTTTGATCAAGGCTTTTCTTCGTTGATGAGACTGGGCCAGGCGTTGCGGACGGAGAACATGCGGTACAACCTCAACGCACTGGTTCGGGTGCTCCTGTGTCATCATTCTCTTATGCGTTTTTTGTCTCCTCACTCATGCTCCTTTGTTTTTCGTATATAGTAAGCGCCTAAGCAGGGCCGCACTTTGTCATTATACCAGCATTACGGGCGTTGTATCGGGTCGAAGGCCAGGAAATAGGGATAATGATTTGACTAATATGGAAGTGTTTGTTCACAATGTTTAACATTAATCGCAATCCAGTGTATTTTCAACGGAAAGCGTCATCTGTGAATGTAATATGCATGTATAGTTATCTGTGTGTATAAGGTATGTAGGTGTATGAATCTATCCTGCTATGTACTCTCGCGACGTATACGATATGTCTAAATAGTCTGTAAATTAGGTAGAGACATGATGTAATGATGTATAATCTTGTCTTGGGCAATTGTCTTGGTCCGTTAAGGGGGGAAAGCCAGGGGTGCTCTAGATTAGACAGTAAAAAAAGTTCAACAACGCCACTATAAACGCCTTTGAAATATGCAACGATGCGATGATGCGATAATGCAATGCACCTCTCGTCTAAACCAAAGACCAAAACAGACAGAAAAAAAGAAAAAAACAGAACAAGAAAGCGCGGCGCTGGGGTATATCCTTCGTATGCTGGATTCTAATATCTCGTGAAAAAATCAAATCATAGGCAAAATTATAAAAACGTGTGTCAAGTTTCGGGTGTCGGGTGTCGGGTTTCGGGCATATATCAATGGGGCAAGTTCAAGGGGGCTGTAGAATTGGGAGAAGGGGACGACGAATAATAAGGAAAGTGGGAAAGGGAAGAGAAGATAGACGGGAACCAAAAGGAATGGGAGAAATCTAAAAAGAGACGATGAAAATAAAGATAGACCGGAACCAAAAGAGATCTAAAACGAAACGATGAAAAAATAAAAGAATAATCCAGACAGTCCCACAACGAGCGTAAGTAACGCTGCGAGATGCGGTTGCGATTGAATGAATGTCGATGGAGATCTGGACACGGATACCGCTCCGCCGGGCGCTTTGGTGGGATCGAGGTTCAGAGCGGATTTTTGAGTGTGTTCGTCAAGAGTCGCGCTGCCAGCCCGTGGAACGCTCTTGTTTCCGGCAGGTTCGACACTCGCCGTACCTGCTGGTAGAACGCTTGTGTTTTGCGCTTGCTGCCCACCAACCACACGATCCAACTCTTCCACCATCAGTGTACTAAACCGAAACACTGTCCTTGCCTCATCTACAATCTCGGCCTTCTCCTGCGCATTCAGGAGCTCTGCGGACTTGAGCACGAATCCCGCTTTGAACGCCACCTTGATATCTTCTCCGTCGAGGACGCCGGGGAAACAGAAGAACGAAATTCCAGGGACGCACGCGCTCTTTTCATCAGACAATAGGCCTGCTGTAGGCCACAGTCCGCTGCGCAATTGACCCCGGATCCACCGGCCCCCGGCGAACAACGCCATGTACATTGTCCAGAAATATGCGAGAAGCACGTGCGGTCTGGCTTGCACGGTGGTCCGGATATGCGAGATGTAATCTGCCACAACGGGGCTGGGCGCTTGGGTTAATGCGATTTCGAGCAGGTCTGGAGACAGGTCGAGCGTGTTGTGTAAGTCGGCGCGTAGGCTGGAAGAACGTAGGAGACCGGGGTCAAAGAGAGAGGATAGGAGGAGGGATACGCGCGGTGAAATTGAGGGTGAGGTGGAAGTGGCGGTGGGGTCCAGATCGGTTGTAGAGGCAGGCGCATTTTGTGAAGGTGAAGCCGACTCAGTATCAGAAGGACTAGTGGGTTGGTCTTTGACAATGTCCAGCCACAAAGATTCGAATGTAAAGTAGACATGGGCAAAGTGTAATAACCCGGAAGCGTAGACGCGCGGATCGGACGTATGTGGCGGAAGACAAAGCGGGAGACGCGCGGTGATCAGGCGGTTAAGGTGGGTATGTAGTTGTCTGTACACTGGGCGTTAATTTTGCACAAATACTGCCTATTACGTGTTGCAAAGAGAACCAGGAGAAGACTTCAGGGAGCAGCGTGAGGACGACGTTACGCACCGAGTTGCAATGTTGATTTCGTCGGCAAGAGTCCTTGCGCCAGAACGTGGTATCGTGGGATGATGTTCAGACGCCATCATGAGTTGCTGAGCATACGAGGCGGAAGTTCGATCAGGCTGGCCAGCGGTGATTCCTTTCTGAGGGTAGGAAAGAGAAATAAAGAGCTAACAATACGTTGGACAAGAGGAAAAAGGAGGGATCGAAATGCGCAGTGCGCAAAAAGAGCAAAGAATATATCAGGAATCGCGGAAGTTTTCAAAAGCCTTCGAGGACATGCGAAAGAGATCGTCGATTTATATATTAATCATATACACACGCGGAATGCTGCCGTGATCGCATCACAAGGATCGAGACTCCCACATGCAGACCATCATTCACTTTTTCTTTGCGTTCTAGGTCAGGTGTGTTGGTAGGCAGCGGTGGTTTATATGAATCATGTTCCGCTTGGGCTGCCGCCTTTGTCTTGCCTTGTGGGAAACGGGTAAGACACGCGATGACACCATGAGGGGAGCGTGGGATTTGTCTATAATAATGGGGACCTTGCATTTTATTCTCATCCGCCCCTCGCACGTGGAACTTAACCAGCTTAGGCACGGTACAGTTAACCGGCCACATGTGGGATCCCAGTTACTGTGGCTAAAGCGAGAGGGACCGTTGTGTGCTAACATTGGCCTAGATTCGCATCGTCCTTTTGTGTCTGTGGCTGCTGCCGGACTACCCAGATGCCCGTTTCCGGCTGCCTACGCGGTCCCCGGGGCGTCGAGTATTTGCCTGGGTCCGTCAGTTAGTTAGCTATAACACTTCACAAAAGTACCACACGGTCCTGCGGAAGTTCCACCGGGGCATGGGGAACGAACACCGATATAGTAGAAAATGTTCAACGATCTCGACCTGTCAATGGAGCAAATGCAATAGGTTCTGATAGGGCAGCAACTTCTGAGATCGACAGGGGAACAACCAGTCCTGTCCAAAAAAAGAAAATAAAGATAACTTTACCGCGCACGATCTGTCTATGCATTTAACCTTACCTTCCGATCGCCGGGGCTTGAAGAGGTTATTTCCTGTCATGCATTGCGCCCGGCTGTCAGCAGACTGACTCATCACGACGGTATTGGCTGACGAGTCTGCCAAAGAAAAGAAGTACCGTGTGTACCTTTTGGGGTCTTTGTGTACATTGTTATGCCGATCTGGCTCTGGCCTTGACGACAAGAACCTATCAAGAAAAGCGGTATCGTCGTGGACGGTAAAGAGCTGAGGAGAGGAATCATGAGCACGCTATCAAGAAGATCGCATCGCAAGACACGAACCGGTTGTGTGCAATGCAAGAAGCGCAGAATAAAAGTGAGTTTGGTCTGTATTTATATCGTCTGGTTCAGCTAGCTATTATGACTTATTTGCTGCGAAAGTCGTGCACGATATCAGTCCGTTTGACTATGTTGTTATCCTGTTGTCCGTTTCCTCTATAGAACTTTCCAATATCTACAAGCTCCTATGTGCCTTTTAGCTTCAATTTCCGTTGTCTCCTTTCTAACCCGGGTATAATCTATTTATCCTCATATTTTTGTAACATTTCCTCGTTATGCATCATATGACCTTTATTCAACCAGCACTAACCATCCAAGTGCGACGAAACTAAACCACGGTGTCAAAAATGCACCAACCACTCTATCCAATGCACCTATCTCTCCTCCACAATATCATCATCCTCACCAGGAGGAAATGGGTCTCCTTCCTCAGAGACTCCTCCCACTCCCTTTCTGGCTCCTGAGCGACACCCTCCCATCACTTCCGAACAGCCTCCCACAACGCCATCTCCGCCCCTTCTCATACCCAGTACCTCTTCATCCCAAGTGCAAGACGCCACCACCACCACCAATATCAACACCAACAACAACATCGAGGACCCATTTCTCGGCCTCAACATGGCAGACCTCGAGCTCCTGCACCACTTCAGCGTATCCACATGCTACACCATCTCGCGCAAGCCGGAACTCGTCACTCTCTGGCGGGTTACTATCCCGCAACTCGCCTTCTCGCAGCCCTTTCTCATGCGCGGACTCCTCGCCATATCGGCCTTACATCTCGCCCGCCTCCGCCCAAGCAGATCCGAGACCTACCTCTCGCAGGCCGCGCTGCACCAAGACTCCGCTCTGCGCGCTGCCCGACGCGCCATGTCGCGCGTGACGCAGGACAACTGCAACGCCTTACTCGCCTTCTCCATCTTGGTCGTCATGTTCGCCTTCGCTCGGCCCCGCGAACCGGACAGTCTTATCCTGATTGGCTCCATGGAGCACGGCACGGCCGAGTGGCTGCTGCTTCTGCGCGGGGTGCATTCGATCCTTTTGTCCGCGTGGGAGCATTTGGAGAATGGCGTACTGAGCGCCTTGTTTCGCGTTACGGCGTATTTTCCCAATCGTCATGACGAACATGGCAACGGCGGACTACCGTCTACTTCAGCTTCGGCGTCAGTGTCAGCGCCAGCGCCAGGACTGGCGCAAGCAGCGCACTGGACGCCGGAACTAGATCCCCTGGCAGAACTGCTGGACCTAGTGAAAGCGGAGCAGGAAGGAGAAGAAGAGGAAGAAGAAGGCCCAGAGGAAAAAGAAGAAAAAGAAAGGCAATTCCAAGTCTACGCGCACACGATCGAAGAGCTGGGCAAAGTGTTTTCCCTCATGCATGATAGCCACACGAGCATGTCGGATATCATGCGCACGTTCATCTGGCCGAATCGCATCCCGCAGGGGTACATTTCGCTTCTCAGTGCGAGGAAGCAGCAGGCATTGGCAATCTTCGCGTATTATTGCGTCCCGCTGAAGAATTTGGAACTCTACTGGTGGATGGAAGGGTGGAGTACACACCTCCTCTCGACGATTTATCGGCTGCTGGATGAGAGACATAGGTTGTGGATACGATGGCCGATGGAGCAGGTCGGGTGGGAGCCCGAACGGCAGATCTAGAACATGGGCCAATAAAAAAAAGGGTGGGAAGAGCAGGGCGTTTCAAAGGGAGTTTTGGTATACGGCGGAGTATGGCGTTTATTGATCTTTTCTAGCCTAGGTACGCGTGTGCACTGTTCTAAATCTATGTGTACATATCTGCTGTATTCTATGTGCTATTATGACTCGAAAAGTCGAATATATTGTCGATATCCTCTGCTGACGACTTTACCCATTCGGTTCGATGGCTAAGGCCAGCAACTTGTATTCGGTGTCCAATACTGCCTTGTAGGACGGAGTTACCTCGAATTCTTTGTACCCCGTCCTGCGATGGCTGATTCTCGCCCTGTGACATGTTTGATGATCAGACCGTATTCTCCCAAGCTCAATTGCCAGCAGACGATCCGTCCACGACTACCATCGCTCTTGAGCACTGAAAACAATGCTTGATGAAACCGTATATAGCACTGTTGGATGAGGAAGGTCCCTTAATGATCCAGAGCACCTCGTCGAGGCCCTTGATTACATGTAGTGTGTACATACTGCCTAGTGTACAACACAATCCCTTCAAGATTTCCAGAACTAAAGACTGTTAGCTGCTGGACCAGTTTATTGGATGGATTGAATACACCTACTGTATCCAAGCGCTGTCCACACATGAGTGTCAAACACGCTTATCGAAGCTTCTACTCGAAAACAGCGAATTGGGGCCAGACGGTAGATAATGAAAGCTAGTGGATGCTTTGCCACTTTGGTGAAGCGCTCGATGTTCCTATTCGTCTCCCGCTGGAGGAAGGCCTCCCGTATCTGGTCACGGCCGTTGCCCCGAGTTGTCAGGTCAGCACCCATGGACGCCATGGTGGTTAACCACACATCCATGTCTGATGCATGATATTTCAACGCAGTTTCGTTGTTTCGAAGTTTTAGAGACAATTCATGTGGTAAAGTCTCTGCAATCATTTCTCATACAGACACAAACGGTTCCTTCCTTCTCTACTCCCCCTCCAACAATGACAAGCCTAAGAATGCTTCTGTTCAATCAAATCCTTGCTCACTTTGTGAGCTTGTTTCCTCCGCCTCCCGGATCCCTTCTCTCTGGCCTCCTGCTTTGCTGCAAACGGCGGGGCTTCTTCCGCCTTTCCCTGTTTCTTAGGTTTCTTTCTTTATTGTTGCTTATGTCCATGATCAGAGTCCCGTAGTTCATATACCAGTCAAGCTGGCTTAGTGTTTGGCCAAGTTCTAACAAAAACCCTGATTCGGTTGGGACATGTTGCTATGCTGTGTTCTAGACACCAACTTGCTTTTGGGGGAGTGTGGTTTCGACCAATATCGTAATAACTAAATGGGCAATATCTGGGTTGAAATTCTGGATCGTTTCTGCGTACTCGCCAACATCGAACGAGACCGGATCCAGACCAGTCAGACGGTGAGTAGCTAACAGGTAGATAAACCCGGCTCGTAGGGCTCGGCGCACCCTTGGCATGACATACTCTGAGATTTTGCCTCTGCGGGAATTCTCGGTCGTGATGGCACGGGGTGGAGAGGTGGGCATGGCATCATAGCCAAGGTTAGTCTGGACCACGACATCCTTTGATAGAACTCAAGTGATATTCGGAGTGACCCCATGCCAGGCGAGGTTTCAGTAGCCTAGACGGTCATAGTGGTAATGTTGATTGCTGAATTGAGTGGCAGATTTTGCGGGAAACCTCCGTAGGGTAAATTGTAAATAATCTGTGAGAATTGTTTGATTTGCTACAGTGAGAACTGTGAGATGTTTCTTTGCATTTTAAGAGTGCGGGTTAAGTGTGTAGTTGTTGCTTAGAAAAGATACAAGCTGATGAAATTGTGGGAGAGGAAAGCTCGTATTGTTGGCGAGGATGGAGGCCCTTTTTAAGAAGCTTCTGTTAGCTTTTCAAAGTGAATGTCACTCGCAAATCCATATTCAATATGATGGAGATCCGATTAATTGGAGTGAAGGAGAAGCAATCGGAGAGTGAAGTTTTCAAAAACTTTTAAATGAAAAGGGTTTGCTGATCGACACGATGGTGTCCACGAAAATGCCTTTCTGCTAAGAAGCAAAAAGGAAAGACTAACCACGCTTGCTCAAAGATTAAAACTTGCCATTAATCCATTGCCAAGGAACGTTGTCAAGTACAGTAAAAGAATGTATGCCTCGTTCAGCCTTCCTTCCTTAACATCGGCTTGCTACAATATAGTAAGCCTCTAAGCAAAGCATGAAGGACTTGATTCACATACTAGAAGGGGTCTGGTTTCAACGACAAGCTCCTCTTCTTCTTCCAAGAATCCCTTTTGTCTATCCGTAATTTTATCTCGATCATAAGTCTCTGCTCGATTAAAATCTATCCAGACAACCCTTTCTGGGTCGTCCTTGACGACCATCATGTTTCTCGGTTTGACATCGCCGTGCCGTACAAGTGCTTTGTGTATTTCCCGGATGCCCGTAACAAGGTTGTCCATTCGCTTTTCCGTGTAGTTGTGTAAATGGAGAATTTCGATATTTGGAATGTATTCTAGAAAGAGTGCGCTTGGCAAGTATTCATCATTGAGAAAATGTCTCAAATATGGCTGAAGCTTTTTTGGATCAAACTTGTTCATGGAACCAAAGAAACGAGGGACGATCCCCCTGTCGCATAATCCTTGTTCGTTCAGGCGACGATAGGCCGTGGCCTCAAGCACGTGGATATCTAACTCACGATCTTTGGGTTCGTAGTATTGCCGCGGTCCCCGTCCGTGATGCTATTATCATCAGTATGTCTCTAACAGAAGCTGAATTTCTATCACTGGGCTTACCACTTTCATGACGCATGTCTGGTTACGAACAACAACGATAAAAATCTCAGAAAACTCAGAGTTAAACAGGTGGTCTGTGAAGACGATTTCGTGTGGTTGGACGTTGTCCAAATCCATTCCTTCCTATTCAAGTCGATGCAGAAATGGCAAGTACGCAGTAGCAAGAGTTGTCGAAAACAAGAACCCATTCAATTTTTGTTTTCTTTCTTGAGGCTCAAAGATTGAACTTCATTCTCAAAACATCTGGACGGGAATAAAATTGAGTCACGTGGATACAGCTCTCCCCCCATTCCAGTTAAGAGACCAGCAAACTAGGGCGGAAAGCTTAACTGTGAAACGGAGCATTCACGGTCAGTCACGTTGAATCCTTCACTGAATCTTGCTTAATGTCATAGCTAACGAAGGGCATGATTCATTACAGTTTCAATGAAGGAATTAAGCAACTTGAGAATTCAGACCAAAGTGTTGAAGATCGAGCGGACCCACACTTTATCTTCACCATTCCCGACGTTCCAAGGAACGAGTCAAAAGACGATCGCAACCTAATTAAGCCCCCTCACTAAACTTTAGAAGGAAAATCTGCCGTTGACAGATGTTTTAGTTTCGCCCTCTTTCTGGGCCCCGCAATCCTTCCCCAGTTTCAAAATTGCGCGTTCAATTTCCGATTACCGCGCATTACGCAACAGGTACGCATTGGATGGGAAATTGCCCTGAATTCGATCGCGATCTATGCCATTGTGTCTCAAACAAAAATTCTCTGCCAGCGATTCTCTCAAAGCTTCCAACTCAATTGCTCAATTGGTTCTATTTCAATCTGCGCGTCACTTGCACCAGAACGACCACCCTCTCCTCCCTTCTTTCCTGTCTCTTCCTTCAATTGAAACTCCCCACTTTCCATCTACAATAGATTCAGATACTCTGAGCTCAATATGGCTGTGAACGTTGCATTGATAGGGAGCGGTACGTGGTACACAGCCTAATTGACTATCTATCTTGAGAAAGGAAAAAGAGTCTATAATCTAAACATGTCCATACCATAGGCATCTTCGCTCGCGAGCAGCACCTCGTACGTTTTTATCAAGATATCCCATATGCTATGGCCGAACATACGTTAACGCCCTTCAGCCCGCAATCACGGCCTCTTCAAACATCACCCTCAAAGCAATTTACTCGCGCACACTTGCCTCGGCGCAGAACGTCGCATCGGGCGCCGAGACGCCCGTGGATCTCTACTCTGAAGATGGTGACCCCAGCAGAAACTACGTGAACCTGCTCTCCCGCGCGGACATTCACGCAGTTATTATCGCGTAAGTTTATACACTACAGAGGAAGAAAAGGAGAGAAGACGCAGCCCTGCTAAAACATTGTAACAGCCTCCCGATTACCCACCAACCGGAATATATCCGCTTGGCTCTTCTCAACGGAAAGCACGTCCTGTCCGAGAAGCCGGTCGCCAAAGACGTCGCATCAGCAAGAGAACTGATCAAATGGTATCATTCCGCCATGGACACGTTCAAGGTGACGTGGAGCGTCGCGGAGAATTACCGCTACATTGAAAGTTTTCTGTACGCTGCACAGGCAGTCAAGGAACTGGGTCGGGTGCTAGGGTTCCGCGTCAAGGTCCACAACTTTGTCAAGCCGGGGACCAAATATTTCGGTATTCCCTCTCTTCTCTTCCTTCTCTTGATGTATTCCTTTACTAAGTACTTTTGCGACCCGCCATATGCTAACAATTACATGATTGAAGAAACCGCGTGGCGCAAGACTCCCGAATACCAAGGCGGTTTCCTTCTCGACGGCGGTGTACATTTCGTGGCAGGCACACGATTGTTGCTCTCCGAGGAAAATGCGATTATGCGTGTATCCGCATTTTCGGCACAGCTTCAGCCTCACCTGCCTCCAGTAGACACGTTGGATGCGGTGCTGCGCACAAAGACTGGCGTCACAGGAACATGGTCTGTCTCGTTTGGCACCAGCTTGACGGGGAACCAGTATACTGTCGCCTGCGATAATGGCACTGTGACTGCCGGGCGCGGGTACGTGGTCGTCACGCGGGATGGGAAGGAAGAGCGCAAGGAGTTCCCCAATGAGGGCTCAGGGGTCAAGCAGGAGGTCCATGCGTGGGCGACGGGTATCCTCGAGGGCAAGCAGGACCCGCGACAGACACCGCACGAGGCATTGCGCGATTTGGAGATTGTAAGTGAAATGATGATATCGTCCCAAGAGTCTTATGCTAATACTCTATACAGCTTGAGAAGATGCTCCGCAGCGGAGAGTCGGCCGGTACTCCCCAGGATATCATACTGTAATTTTGCCGCGCAAAAGCAATGCGATACCCCCCTGCCATGCTATGCCATGCGACGAGGATATGATGCGTATATACCCATCCAAATGATGAAAAAGCAAGATATTTCTACAGAAAAAAGAAAATGCCGCCTTTATATCGCCATTTATGCAAGCGGGAAAAAAAAACTGCGCGGCGCCATTTTTATACAAACACCCCCCATATACCAGTATATAGATACCATATAACCCGCAAAAGAAATATATATAGTTCGATGCCGACGATTGATCGCACTTTTCTCATGACGCCTGCGCAGCGACTTCCGGCTCTACTTGCTGCACTTGCTCGGGTACTGTCTCTGGCGCAGCAGCAGCAGCAGCAGCAGCTTTACTCTTCTCTTCCTCCTCGTGCTCCCTCTTCTTTTTCTCTTCAAGCGATTTACCTTCCAGCCCCAACTTTTCCAGATCCGCCGCAAGGGGATCAGTCTCGGGCGTGGTTTCAGTCGGGCCAATCATGCCCGCGGGAGGCAACGCCCACTTGGGCAAAGGGGTCTCATACTCCCATCGTCCGTCCTGGCACGCGTAGCGCTTGGCATGGAGATAGATGCCGAGCTCATGGACACCGGGGTCGCTATAGAGCGGGGTATCACAAACCTCGCACAGCTCACCCGTCATTTTCTCTGCGCGCGTCTTCTCGTACTGATCGACCATTTCGTCATGATATGCCACTGCATCCGCGACTTCGTCTTTGCCCATGCGCGACAGTCGCGCAATGATATCTTCGTCCTTTTCGCCGTCTGCGTCGCCCTGCGCCAGATTCGACCCAAAGACCTTGCGATTGCAATAGATTGGGTCGTTCGTGATCGGGTGTCCGAGGAACTGCAAATGCACGCGCAACTGATGCGTGCGGCCGGTCAGCGGGAGACACCGCACGATCGAGTAGCCCGTCGAGTTGTCCCATGTCTTTTCCGACCCGTTGCCATCTGCGATAATCCCGTCCGGGTTCAGGGACGGGTAATATGCTAGTCGCCGGAACACGGTCCTGGCTTCTTTCCCACTGGCGCGCACCCGGTTGAGTCCGAGCTTCGGGCTGATTTGCAAAATGGGCTGTTCGCAGACGACGTCCCCGTCGGGGAACTTGCCCTTTACGCGCGCAATGTATTCTTTCTTCACCGTCCGGTCTTTGATCTGCATGCTCATGTCCTCTGCTGCTTTGGGGTGTTTGCCGACGAACATGACGCCCGATGTCAGCCGGTCGAGCCGGTTGCATGGTAGTGGGTTCCATTGGTAGCCCCGGTCCGCGCGCATGATTTCGACAATGGTGTTGTAGTTATATCGTCCTGCTGGGTGTACGGGGATGCCGCTCGGCTTGTTGATCACGATCATGTCGTTGTCTTCGTGAATGATGCCGATAGGCTCAGAGGTGACAGGGGGCTCGTGTCGGTGAAGAGTGTGAGAAATGACGTCGCCGTTCTTAACAAGTGTGTGGATTGAAGGGATCGGTTTTCCGTTGATTGTGACGAGACCTCGTTCAATAGCCGATTTCTGGAAGAAAGGTCATTTGCATTAGAAAAGATGTCCGTAATGAGAATGTGGTACTGGAATTGGTCCAACAACGTACATAATACTCCTTCGGCCTGTCCCGGAACTCGCTCGCAAAGACGTCTAGAATCTCTCGTCCCCGCCATCGTTCCTTGCAGTAGGTGTTATATGTAAAATGGTAGGGAGTCACACGGCGGAGCCCTCCTTCGAGATAATACGGTCTGGGCCAAGGGTCACATGGAGTCGTCACCACGGGAGGCGGCTCCTGGAAGGGCGCCGGCTGCTGCTGGGGCTCGGCGTTGCCAATAGTGTTGTCGACGACGGTCACGGCCATTTGGGAGGCAGGAATGCGGTTGCGGCGTATCAGGTACGCTAACAAACGCGGTGAGGGAGCCACTTGGGTCGATCTGTTCAGGCCGCGAGGGACGAGCCGCGTGCGGTCAAAAGATTAGGTGTTGAGTATAGAATATTGCAAATTTCGAAATCGTAAAAGATGTGCCAAAAAGATGCGTCTATATGCGGCGGGGCGCTTCAACGGCGAGAAGGACTGTCTGGGCACAGGAATGCGGAGAAAACAATCAAGGATTGATAAAGGAGCGTGGAATTGAATGCTCAACTGACTGGCTGAAATTTGTATCAAGTTCGAGTACTGGGTCGAGGCAAATGTTAGTATTGAGACGGAAAATTATTGAAACAGTAGCGGACTACTCGGCGAAAGGTGCACCCGTCTCCGACTGCTGGGGGCCGGCCCCGGCGGGCAGGCGGGGCGGTCCGACAGTCATGAGAGACATGAATGATTTTCCCTGCCCGCTGTAATATGGTCTTACAATAAGAATAAAATTCTCCGAGCCTTCTTTGATATTTCTCTATAGAAATTGTACAATCTCTTCAAATAATATTAAATTCACAAAGTCGGCGTTCTTTGTACACATTGCATCATGGCTCTTGCTGAGCTCAAACTCCGCCAAAGGAGCGACTATGGCTTTTTCTTGGACTGCTGCACGCGATGGTATGTAAATCGTAATATCTAGAGGCAATATTAGTCTTGATTTTAGATCATTGCTTTCTTGCTGTATCTTTTTAATCTTTTTAAGCTGACTGAAACAGGAATGACAATGACATGTACGGCCACGTGAACAATAGCATATATTATTTTCTGTATGTTTTTTATATCGCCATTTATTTTAATTTGCTTCAAGCAATCTCCCTTCACATTCAGAAATTAAATTGTCTCCACATCCATCCTAATTCTAAACAATATTTGCGGCAATCGTCTCAAATTTTTTTGTTTAGGAACCACCATTGCCCCAAGACTAACAATATCAGCTTCGACTCTATCGTAAACACCTATTTGATCCAGCACTGTGGACTACAGCCGCTCACGTCAGCGCAAATTGGTCTGGTCGTGCACTCTCACTGCAATTATTTTTCTCCTGTGAGTTTTCCGGCAACGCTGAAGCTTGGCCTACGGACCAATCGACTTGGAACGTCGAGCGTAGAGTACGAGATTGGTGTGTTTGAGCGCGGGTGTCCGGAAGTCAAAGCGGTTGGGGGATTCGTGCATGTATTTGTTGCCAGAGAGGCAGGGCGGCCAGTCAAGCAGGGTATGCCGTTGGAGATGAGAGAAGGGCTGGAAAAGTTGTTGCAAAGGGGCAGCATTTCTTCGAAGTTATAAAATTGATAGGCATTTGGCATTGGGAAGAGGGGTTCGCGCGATGGACATTAAAATGGCAACTTTGGGCGCTGTAGCATGCATATTACGTGGCAGAGTAATCTGGGATATAGCAGGAGTTCACAGACAAACTAGTTGACGATTTGCTATTGCTTGAAATTTAAAAATAACAACTTGCTGTTTCCCATAAAAATCTCGAGAATAAAGCAGCAGTATGTTGAAAATGAAAAAAGACATGGTATCAGAATTGAGATCATGTAAAGGACTCTTGAACTTTTTATTGTCATTGTATCATTAAGAAAGATGTTGGTCGAAGCCTATGTGTTCTAATAAATCCCCATCTCGAAACGCCTCGCTATGCAAGTAAAAGAAAATGTATGCCTCCATGATTATATGCAGTAGACAAAGGAGTTTCCACAAATACTGGCACAGTCTTGAAATTGACCAGCATTGTCCGGATGAATGTCGAGACAGCCTCATGAATAGCGAAAGGATTATGATTGGTGTGCGTCATTCTCCACCAAAGGGTAGCAGGAGCTGAACGAAACGATCAGGCGCGCATCTCAGCTGCATCTGATTTTGACCGAGTACTGCTGCTACTGCGGCTTGAAACGGTGCCATTGCTGGAAGAAATGCTGCGAAACCTTCCAGTCTCCTTGTCCACGTGCCAGCTCGGCCACGGACCAGGCACGAATTTGCCGTGTTCGTCCCAGCAAGAGAGCCAAGTACATCCATCGTCGGTGCGGAAAAACCTTCTGCGTTTAGGCTTTCCTCGCTCATCGGGGACGGTCGCCCAGGTTGTGCGCGCATTGAGATCGGTTAATAGCATCCAGCGGCGATTAATGGCGCAATACACGACTTGCTCTCGTCGAGTGGGCTCGCCCGAGTCCTGAGCGACCAAGTACCATCCTCGACCAGGGATGTATTCGTAGTGGCCAGGAACAGGATTATTCCAATGCTCCTTGCGACCGGATGATCGCTTGGTCTTTCGCTTGCTGTTGGTGAACCAGCGATGTGGCGTGAAGAGATTGATGGTGAGCAGGTAAAGATTCGGCGTCATTTTGAGATAGAATTTCCTGCTGGCTAGCCTGGAATTCAACGGTCCTTGTTTGATGTGTTTCGAGAGGACACAGTGGGAAAAGCTAATATCGTGAAAGCAATGTTTTGAAGGAATAAAAGCAAGTGTGGCCAGAGCCGTAATGGCGTATGCGCGTGTCAAAGAATCCAAGAAGTCATGATTGCGAGTTCCGTAGAGGGAATCCGATGATCATGGATATGTGATTGAGTTGAGAGAAGTGAAGAAGAAGGAATCGAAGGAGTGGAATGTTTAAATGGGCATGGTTGATATTCGAATGTGGAAATTGGCTTGTGATCCACCGAAAAGGAATTTTCGGTCACGACGTGTGGCTTCTGCCCTGCCGTGAAACTGACCGACATTTTACCTGTTAAGGTTCGTTAACTTTTTTTTCTTCCGCTTAGACCAACCTAGATGGGCTGGATCGAGAGATCACCCAACTGGCTCGTTTCGAACTAAAACCCTTGAGGTCTTTGACACAGCCGCTCTAGCTCAAGCTTTACCCCATACCGTTGGCTACTCCCGGGACGGTCAAGAAAAAAAGACGTCAATGGTAGCCCTGCAAAACTTGTTCGCCCCTTGCCCTGTCAAGCAGGAAAATGCCCTGCCAAGCGAATTGTCCGCACTGCCCCGGGTCCCCCAGACCGCCCTCGCATGGGCAAGATAGGAAGTGCAGTAATCATATCAAAGAGAATGATCGGTTGGACCAGTGAGGTTTCACGGTCGCTCAACGTGCTTGGTGATCGCGGTAAATCCATAGACTGTTTCATTGCATTCGTGCTTTATCTCCCGCGTTAAGCTTTCGGTGAGGAGAAAAATGCCATATCACATTTCTTGCCAAGAGTGGCTAAGTTGAGTGCCGATACCAAAACAACCCTTGGCGGCGGCAGTGTACGAGTAGCAATTGCCATTGCTATCGCTGCTTTTGCTGAGCTTAAATGGAGGAAAATCGGTAACCTGAGCGAATACATAGTCAAGTCAGCATCACGAGCTGACCTCGTAACCAAGCAGCCTCGGCAACTGTTTATCGATAATCTTGGCTTTTGAAACCTCCCCATAGTGAAGAGAAGAGGCCAGAGGCTTTTTTGGCAGCCCGCCCTTGACGCGTTGCGCCCAAAAAACCAACTGATTACATATGAGCTGTACAAGTGAAGGGCCTTCACAGAACGCCAGGACGCCCAGTTAGCCCATAGTCACGTCTACCTTGAAGTCATGAGCCAAAAGTCTTTCCCGGACAGCCCAGGAGCGGTAGACAGCAGCGCCAAGAAAATCTTCTCCATAAGTATTTGTCGCAGATGTAGTCATGAAGATTGCAATAACGAAGGTCGCGATAAGAGGTCGGATGTGAAATATGATATGCGTCGAGAATTGAAATTCCAAATGACAGTGAGAGGTCAAATTTAGCTTTTGAGAATGCCGACAGGTGGTCACACAACACTGAGTACCCCACTTGCAAGGTGCGTTGCCCAATGTTTTCATCACAATTCCAACACCAATGATTTCAGCCCACAGAGTTTCGGAACACCGTCATGGTCGTCACAAGCTAATGAATTTCGTTTTTGGTAGGGGCTAATATTTGGTAGAGGCTGTCGTACATATGCATCACCCTGATACCATGCAAAGTCCAGCTCATACGCCCCAGTCCTAGAAAAACCCTCAAAACCGCAAAACAACAGCCATTTAAGCCTCGGTAGTAACCTTCGCCTTGGCGTTCGTGACCTTGACGCCGAGCTGCTTGGCGCGGGCAATGATCTCAACCCGCTTTCTCGAGGAGACAGCGTGGGCGATCCTAACGCGAAATTAGCAAAATGTGTGGTGTGCGTGTCGGTAAATCGTATAACGTACTCAGCGGCGTAGGTGCGGTTGTGCATCAGGAGAATGTCAACATCCCGGGTGTTGTTGACGAGGAAGGCCTTGTGGCCGGAGGGCATGAGGTGACGGGTCTTCTTGTTGGAGCCGTAGCCGATCTGAAAGCAATCATCCATCAGCTGTTGTTCCCTTGGTGACAATTTTCCCAGCTAGATTCTCTTCTTCGCCTGCGCATCCTTCGAATCTCTCCCTAACAGTCCAGCCACCAAACCCGTCTTATCGTAGCTGTGAAAATTGTCGGAGTTCCTTTCGAATACACGTACCTTGGGCATCACGGGGCGGCCCTTGAACCGTCTGCGGACGGCATTGTCGATACCCTTAGGCTTCCGCCAGCTCGGATCCACACACTTGAAGCGGTCGCTCTGGTGGCGGTTGAACCGCTTGGGGTCTGAAATATGCGTTTTGTCAGTTCCATGAAGAAGGGAATTATGTCGTTTTAGTAACGTAAAATGGATATTTCAATCGCGATTGCGGACGGGGGATTCGAAAATCGTGCTCGGTATTGGAAGAGGGGCGACGTACGCTTCTTAACGATCGCAACGTGCTTCTTAGCGGCAACCATCTGGAAAAATAAACTGTCAATCGAAATATTCTCTCCCTCGACGATGAACCTTTGGATTTCGGAACTGATGGTGAAGCGTACCTTGTCGGCGTTGTCGTCGGTGTGGTCGGCGTCGTCTCAGGGCGGTCGATAATCCAACACTCAGTAAATTTCGTGATCTCCATTCTCGGTGGTGAGGCTAAGCGAGGCTTAGGGTAGCAAACCCTTTTCTTGGCATCATATATAAGCTCCCGAGCCGCATAAATCATAGGCGACCCTACGAAAGCGTCATCGCGATCTCGAACTGCGTAGATATTGTGGCAGCTGATCGAAAAAATCTAGTGTGTCTCATTAATCCACCAGATTTAATTCTAAGCAAAGAGAAATTGATATTTTCTCGATTACTACGTGGAATTGCGATCGTTAAATGCTTCAAGCCGATTGAGTAGGGTTTCATGTTTGTAATATCTACCAAGCCGTTTATGTCCCGTGCAGCCCCTCTAAATTTACATATGAATGGATGTACCGCTTTCCCAAAATGCGCCATGCTCAGTGAAGTAGAAAAAGATTATTACTGGGTTGCACACTGCGCCCCATCGGGCATGTCATCATCATCCTCGTCAGCCCATTCAGGACCAGCTCGAGAATCGTCAGAGCCCGCGCCAAAATCTTTCAGGTCCGCCTTTTCATCGTATTCAACCTCGTCTACTACATCGGCGGCTATCGGCTTCCCAGGTTTGGGTAGAATATCCTGCAGCTTTTTCAGCGTAGCGTCATCCCTCAGCCAACCGTCTTCCGGGAAGATGACATCGACAACGAGGTACAGGTCGCCACGCATGTCGCTTTTCTTGTAAGGCATGCCCTCCCCTTGAACCTTCAAGACCTGTCCCGGCTTCATGATACGGCCTCTAGGCTGGGGCACATGAATTTGAATTCCACGACCGTCAAGATGCTTGACAACAACCCGGTTGAAGCCCGTCAACGCTTCTGACAATGTAATCTTAAGATCAGCCTGCAGATCAGCGCCTACTCGCTCGAAGACATCATGAGGAGTTTCCCGCAGAGTGAAAACAATGTCACCCGGTTCCTGATCGGGAACTTGGTCGGCTTCACCTTCCAAGACTATGCGGTCTCCGTCCCTGCGCCATGAACATTAGTGAAGTTGTCCACCGAAGGTAACTTGAAAGTACTCACTTGGAACCGCGGGGGATGTAAAGCTCCAGAACCTTCCTCTCTTCTGTCACACGATCACCCTTGCACTTCCGGCACCTGTCTTTTTCTTTGAAGACTTTGCCGTTACCCTTACAGGCATTGCAGGTCGTCGTCTCTTGCGTGACGAGTCCAGGTCCCACGGAACGAAGTCCAGCTTTATAGCCTATGTTATCACAAATTAGTAAAAGCCAGCAATCAAATGAGAATGAGCATCTACATACCCTGTCCATTGCAAGTTGCGCACTGTCTTGGCTTTGCCTTCTCCTTGCCACCAGAGCCCTTGCAGTGACTGCAGATGACATTCTTTGTGCTGGCGAACCTCACAGTTTTTCCTTTGTACAACTCTTCAAGCGTGATCTCGTAATCCTGCTCTTCGCTTCTTCCTTTCCGTGGTCTTCGAGGCCCAGCGCCACCGAACCCGGGCATTCCTCCCATACCACCCATACCACCCATACCGCCGCCCATGCCAAACATCTGAGCCAGGATGTCATCCAGATCTACACCACCATTCATGCCGGGGCCGCCACCGGGCGTAAAGGCGGACATGCCGTGTGTGTCGTAGAGGTGGCGCTTTTCTTCATCGTAGAGAATCTCGTATGCTTCAGTCACGGCTTTGAACGTCGCTTCTGATTCCTCCCGCTCGTGCTCAGCTACTTTGTCCGGATGACTTGATAGAGCAGCCTTCATACTCTATTAGCATCTGCTTTCTCCGAGGCCCAGAACAAGAGCTTCTTCGCTCACCTTGTGGTATGCCTTCTTAATTTGCGATCTAGTAGCATCCCTCTCAACACCAAGGAGCTCTGAGAAATGTCAGTAGACCATAAAAAATCGCGAAGAAACCAGTCGTACCGTAAAGATCTACTTCCTCGGCGGCCACTGTTGAGTTTTACTGCGTCAGTACATGTTCCAGAACCAGGCACAGCGCGGACATACTTCTTTTTGATAAAGTGGTGAATCCGTAGCTAGAGAAATACCATATACCAAAATTAAAATAGAGAATGCAAAACTTGCAGGCCTCAGAAGTCTAATATAGACAAATCTATTGCTTCACTGTTTCTTCGGCGACGGAAACTTTTGGCGAAACGCCGCAATTCTATTCTGCCGACGCACGGACCAAGTTCGCCGGTGTACGGAAATGCCGTCAAACCGCCAGCACGCGGAAAAAGGGTCTCCCGTAACACACTTTTGACATACTCACCGTGTGATTCGCAGCGGCTGTCATGGCCAGCTTGTCGCGCACAATTCTAAAATGTTGTTGAGCTCTAGGCCTTTCCAGCGGGGCTCCGCATGGATCTGCAAGTCTTGCATAGCTCGATTTGCGACTTCCGCAACAAGGAAGCATTCAAACTCTCCGAATTCGCAAATTTCCAGGCTTCCCAGCAAGCCTGCGCGTACTCGTTTTGCACCATCTCCCACCGGGTACCTTCATCTTGGATCTCTACGGACGGCATTGTTTAATTATCTCCTGGCAAAGCGTACCGGCGGCCAATTTTTACTGCGAATTGAGGATACTGACCAGGTCAGAGATATTTTCCCCAATTGGCGGCGGCCCAACTGACGAAACAAGAAAAGGACAATCCCTGGTGCAGAGCAGAGGCTGTGTGAGGATTTGAAATGGGCTGGGCTTCAATGGGACGAAGGTATGCGTACAATGGCTCCCGGAATGTTCGTCCCTAACACAGTCTAGGGCCGGAGGTCGGTGGCCCATATGGTCCCTATAGACAGGTATTCATTCCCGAAGGTCGACATCATTGATCCTGTTACTAATTTCTGCAGTCTGAGCGAACCCCGTTATATCAAGAGCATGCGCAGAAGTTGATTAAATCCGGGCACGCTTACCGGTGCTTCTGTCCCTCTGAACGCCTACATGCCCTCGCCCGGCAGAGGAATAAGCTCGGTTTACCAACAGACTACGATCGAACATGTGCCAGTATACCGGCCGGAGAATCAGAGGATCGTGCAGCAAAGGGAGAGTCGCACGTTATTCGATTAAAAGTACCAGACAAATACCCGGACATGGTGGATCTCGTATATGGCAAGGTTCGAAATACAAAGGCAGTCGCACCGTTCAAGCATGGCGAGTTGTCTTTTGAGGATCCCGTGCTCTTGAAATCTGATGGCCTTCCAACATACCATTTGGCAAACGTTGTGGATGACCACCACATGAAGATTACGCACGTCATTCGAGCGGCTGTAAGTCCTTCGATGTCGCCAGAGATATGATCTTAATCTCACTATCGTTCTAGGAGTGGATATCGTCGACTCCGAAGCACCTCTACATGTATCATGCGTTTGACTGGGCTCCACCTGAGTTTGCGCACGTCGGGCTACTCCAGGACGAGAACGGACACAAGCTCAGCAAGCGCAACTTTGATCTAGATATTTCTGCGTTCCGCGATACATGGGGCATCTTCCCAGAAGCTCTTGCTAACTACGCCGCCCTACTCGGCTGGTCCCACAATCAGAAGACCGATTTCCTTCCCATGGATCAGCTGATCAAAAATGTACGCCCTCATCAATCCTCCTAAAGGCATATTATGATACTAATCCCGCGATTCCTTAGTTTGATCTCAAATTCACCAAGGGAAACACCATTGTAACATTTGGCAAACTGTGGTACCTGCAAAAGGAATACGCGCGACTCTATGCCAACAAGAACACTCCCGAGTTCGAGGCTACCGTGGATAAGATTACCAACGTCGTGCGGAACCATGCCGGGATTAGCGAAACGTGAGTCCTTTCAATTCCACTCTGTTAATGTAGTTCTTTATTGCTCAAATCCTACCCGATAGTGAGGAACTTCTCAATGGTCGAGATCTGCGTGAATACGTGGCGGCAATTTTCCGCGCCGACGCCAAAAATTACACGAGTCCCGAAGACTTTCTCGACCGCAACGACCGGTTTTTCCATCCAGTCATCAATGTACGATACGAACCACTAGAGTCATTCAGCAAGGATCCCCTACCGCCGCCTCCCCCTACAAACCTGGCCAGTGCTGCCGATAAAATTTGCCAACTGGGCCCAGAGAGCTGGAATGTTCCAGATCTCAAGGCTAAAATGAGCGCAATTGTCGAAGAGGGCTCGAGGATCAGTGCAGAAGACGTCTCCGGTGAAATGACCAAAGAGGTGCAGGCTCTTCGCCGCAGGCAGAAGGCTTGGAACAGGGCTTTCTATCATTACATGCGATGGGCACTTTTGGAGGGCAAGCAAGGACCAGACGCAGCATCCGTCATGGTCATTCTCGGACGCGACATTACCCTGGAGAGATTAAGCAAAGCGTCCAATTTGGTGCGGGCTAGCCAACGCTCAAATAACGAGGCAGTCGCAGCTGGAACACAAGCATGAAATGAAGGTGCTTGAATAATAGACTGATTGTACATTAGAAGGAGATCTAGCTCGCTAGTAAAAGTATCTCCGATTCATGTAGATAGAAATATAGAAAAGGAACGCCATCCTAAAACTCCTTTTCCGATGCGATGAAATGCGATTGCAAGCTTGTTTTATGCTCTCCATGGAACGCTCCCTTTAGTTTTCAAATGTTCGTGCCTTGGGAAGGGGTTTGTACAGATGCGCCAACACCGTTGAAAAGCTTAGCCTTGATGAGGTTGGCCATTAGACCCGAATTTTCTTCCCCAGTTATCTTGTTGCTATCCTTCACTACCTTGTCTAGCTGAGTATCCTTGCTAGATCTTCCGCCGATTCCACCCCTGGAGGAAGCCTGGACACTGGTTTCCGCTCGGCGAATCTTCTCACCCAAATCAAGAATCTGTTTGTTTGTGTAATCCCGATTGGTAAAGAGCGGGCTTTGACTCAGAGTCGACACCCAGTACTTATTCCATAGTTGTTCCAGCAGCTGCGTATCCAGAGTGCTCTTGAAGTGAGAAATTTCCAGAGAATAATACCGATTGGACCAAGCTCCAAAGTCTTCGATTTTTGCCAGCGGAATGGTTTGGTACTCATCACTTCCGGGCTCTCGCGGGGGTTTGTAGTCTTCGGGAAAGGTTCTGAAGGCGCCAATCTCGACTTTACCTGCGGAAATGGTGCGGTCTGGATCAATGACTACCGCCAAGAAGGGATCTTGGAATGTCTGCTGCGTCATCTGTGTATTGACATCGATTCCACTCAGCCAGCATCCGTATCCGGGATGACTGTGGTACCATCCGACAGCGTTTTCCATCTGCCCCGCATCTCGACATGACTGGAGGTAGGAGACCATGTATTCATTTGCTTGATCTTGGGCGTTGACTCGCGTCTCAGTTCCCTCGACTGGTAGTCTGAAAGCGTCGGTCACGATAAATGTGTCACCGGCAATCTTCCCTTGCATGAGGCCCATGACTTCAATGGAACCACCAGAACGCGCATGCATCACCATCTTGAGCAGCGCTACAGCAGAGATTCGAACATTCTTGAAGTGATTAGGGTCTTTTCGCCACGGCTTTGCTTGTTGGATTTCTCTTTGTTCCTTGTCGTCGTAGCTATAAAGGGCATCTCGTTGGGGATCGACGAGCTGGACGTCGTTGGCTAGCTCTTTTTATCGATAAGCTTGGTCAGTAAAGGATATTTGAGAGCTCAGCAAAGTGGCCTTGAGAGACTCACCCCAAGACTTCTGTGCAACCTCCATGTTTGGAGAAGCCTTTTCTTCTACAACTATGGTATTGGAAGATGCGATTTCAATTTGGAAACTCAGGTGAGGTGATTGCTGATAGCTAGTTGTGATATAAGGTAGAGGATGAAGTAGTGACGCGAGATGCAAGTGATTACCCGGTGATGAGATCGATCACTTTTATTGGATCTGAAGGCGGTGAGCCCGATTTGGCCAATCCGGGGGTAATAGTGTATCAGGAAGCGAGAGTGAGGCTCAACTGTCGTCGGGACAACCATCCCAGTCCAGGTTCGAATAGCGTCAACATGTCCGCCAAAGTTCTTGTTGAGACGCTTCATTCGCGCTATCAGCAATCGTTCCTTTGTTTTACTTCTCAGACCATCTCTGCTTTGCTTTTGTGAAGCATTTTTTCAACTTCACTTTCAGGTCTCAGTTCTTTTTCTCACTTGTGGATCGTGATTCATCCCCATAACACTCGCTTCGACTCTTGTCGAATTTCCGGGGATCTTCATCTTTTCTTAGGGCGTCTGCAACCATCCTAGCACGTCGATCATCATCGTCAATTACTCCGCATTCCTCGCTAGGCTAGACACATACTCTCATCCCATCTGCGCTTTCTTTTGTCTCAAGCCTGAGTGTAAGACTGCAAAGCGCGACGCGCCTCGTGGGTGCGATAGCCATGGACACCAGCTACCTGACGACGCAGGTCGCCGCCATCACCAAGAACCTCCATGGGTTGTTTGATGATATTGGGTTGTCATCGAATGAGCGCCGCTCAAGAGAGACAGAGGTGAGTGTCTGCAATTATCAATAAACCAAACATGCAGCTGACATCATCCAGCTCTTCAATGCGCTTTCAGAAGCTCTGCACAATCAAGTCCGTTTGGTAAATGCGTAAGTAACATATTTCAATAAGTGCATCATAGAATATATGCTCATGAGAGTTGCAATAAAGTGAAAGAGATGAGATGACCGAGGAAGCAAACCGCATAATCGGGGATATCCGCCAGATGAAGCTTTCGATGGGAGAAAAGAGCAAAAGCAGTAACGACGATGATGATTTACGAGTCACATACCCTCTAGTACAATGCTTGAAAACCCTTAAGGAGAAATACAACGGCATCTGCAGGCTCCACCGCGAAAGATCGGAGCAGGTCTTAAGTAAGTGATTCTAAAGCATCCCAAATTTATCTTCTGCAACCAGAACTGATAAACCTTTCTCTAGAACTTGTTACCGCTATCGAATCATATTCCTCGCATCTTGAATCTTCTTTTGTCAAAATCAATCTACCAACCATTGCGGCCGATCACTCTATACCGCTCAGCACCGATGTTTCTGCAAGTTATATCGAAGCTTTGGATGAGGAGTTCTCACGAATCTACCACGAGTACGTGCGCCGCTTGGATGCCGTCCAAGGGATTGCAGAGGACATTGTCAATCTCTGGGCAGAGCTTGGAACACCTCAAGCGCAGACAGATTCTACCATTGTCAAGTACTACCGCGAAACCCCCGAACAATTGGGCTTGCTCGAGGACGATGTTACGAAGTTGAAGGCGAAACGAGATAAACTGATTGATGAGAAGCACGTAAGAGAGCAGCGGATTGAGGATCTCAAGGCTAACGTTGAAAGCCTCTGGGATCGCCTGGGAGTGGAAGAGGTAGACCGCAAGCAGTTCCTTGCCACTCGTAGAGGCTGCGGTTTGCGGGTCATCAATGACTTTGAAGATGAGCTGGCGCGTCTGAACGAATTGAAGAGACAAAATCTGCATCTTTTTGTGGAGGATGCTCGGTACAGGCTTCAGGAGCTCTGGGACAGCCTCTACTTTTCCGAAGATGAAATGATTGAGTTTACCCCGGCTTTTACAGGTGAGAACAAGACCGCGAAAATTAAATGGGCTGTCCGCTGACTCTTGTTTTCCAGACGTATACAGCGATGCTCTACTTTCTGCTCACGAGACTGAGATTGAGCGACTGGAAGCTCTGCGCGAGCAACGAATGCCGCTGCTACAACTGATTGAGAGACACAAATCCTTAATCAAAGACCGTGACGACCTCGCCTCGTCCAGTCAGGATGCGTCTCGTTTGATGGCTCGTGGGGTCAAAGGTGAACGAAGGGATCCGACACGACTGCTTCGAGAGGAAAAGATGAGAAAAAGAGTAGCAAAAGAGCTGCCAAAGATTGAGACGGAGCTAACGAAAGTTCTCGAATCCTGGGAGGGAGACTATGGGCGTCCGTTCCTCGTCCTCGGCGAGAGATACTTGGATCAACTTGCAGTCTCTGCTGCAGCTCTCCCTCCTCGTTCAAAGACGCCTTCGACCCTTGGGAGATCGTCTTCACGAGCTGCAGCTCCTACCGCATCAGCCCTTCATCGTAGCACAATTGGCAGCATTCGAGGCCCAACGCCTTCACGGTCTGGAGCCAAGACTCCGACCGGTACGATTGGCCGCAATCCTCTCTCTTCCTCCATCTCGAGCTCCATTTCAACCATTGGCCGATCTCCCACCAAGCTCCCTGCACGTGCCCCTCTATCCAACATTCATGGCAACAATTCTCCTGAGCGTCCACGGCGGCCCGCGTCTGCGCAAGATCTTGGCCTAGTTTCTAAAACGATTCACGCACCTCGTGCCCCGCCGCCGAGAATGCGAGACCTCTTTGTTCCCCCGCCTGCCGCACCAACTCCTCTCAGTCGCTACGACCCCGCCAGTTCACGGAGCCAGAGTGTCGCGTCCTCCCACGACGAAGTAAGACAAGTGACTCCCGAAGATCCTTACGACGACAATAGTGGACGCAATTCCCGCATGCGCATTGCTGCAATGCGTCAGTCCGATAGATCCGCAATGCCTCCTCCGCCGAGCCATTATCAGGATTCTTACCGACCATCCTCCCATTACGAGCACAGTTCGTCTTCTTCTCAACGCTCCGGGTCATATGACGACCGCCAATCCAACGGAAGCAGACAAATCTCGAATACGTCGACCGTATCCACTGTAGTATCCGGCTCAGAAAATTGGGAAACATACGACGATGCTTCTGAACCGGAAGAAGACGCAAGCACATCCTACTTTGCAAAGATGCGAGCAGCTGCAGCAGTTAATAAACGAGTCACTCCCGAAGGAGGCTATTCGCCGCCGCCTCGCCCCGTGTCTGCCATTCCGGGCAAAAAGATGAGGAATATTGCGCAGGTAATGCATTCGGGTAATGGCGTACGGGCCTCTGGCAGCGAAGCTGGATGGACAGATGAAGACGTATTTTGATTCTAAAGACCTGGCGTTTGGAAACATCCAGGACGCGGTCATCTTCCGGCCTTGTGCAGCACGAGCATACGGTCGCCATTCATTCTACAACCAATTTCCCTTTGAATACCCCTTGGCTAGGCAATGTTACCTGGCTTTTTTCTCTTCTCAATTTTTTTTGAAGTCAATGTCACAATCTCCCGCGCGAGAAAATTTCGGCTTTTGTATTCACCTTTTCTTATTCTCCGAATATCCTCTTTTCCAGCTTTTTGTTTCTTTGGTCTTATGGCGTGTTTTCTTTTTGTTTTAACGACGAATACGGATTTCTTTATGCTCTTTTCACTTTTGAAGTCTTCTTCCCCCCTGTTTTTTTTATTATTGTTTTAATTGTATTGCTTTTTTTTGAAGTCTGCTTTTGTCGGATTTCATTATTTTACCTGACTTTTCACAAACGGCTCTGTTGTAGCTTGAAATTCTTCTATCATTTTACGCTTTATCGGTGGAAGTAATTCAATTACCTTCTTCGGGAAATAGGGCGGCTTTATTGCGTTAGGGAACCCTTTTATCATGTTTGTTCATTGCCTGTTATAGCCTTGATTTGTTTTTTTTTTTTTTTTTTTTTTTTTTTTTTTTATTATAAAACTCGAAATTTCAGTTGAGGTCTATGCTTTACCTTGTTACTGAATTCGTTAAAACTATTCTTGTATTTGATCATTAGGCAGTTCTTGATATCGCTATGAGATCTGATTAGTTATGACGTATGACGTGTATAGGGCAGGTCTATGTCCGCTCGATCTCCTTGGCGGTTTTTGAGCAGTGATACCGTGGAACCCCCCTTTTTTTTTCCTTTTTCCTTTTTATCGTTGTTTTTCTTTCTATCTTATCATTATCTTTCATCCCATCGTGTCATTATCTTCTTATCCCGCTTGTCAGGTTTGCAGTACAGAGTACGAAGTACAGGGGTATCAAATCCAGCAACGAAATCAGTTGTCATGAAAAGGTTGAAGTATTTGGTTCATTCTCCTACGTCAATGAACTAGTGACGTATTGATTGATTGACGTATCTGACGTACTTCGTAACAAGATTGCCAAGGCCCTTGGGATGCACTTATCTAGACCGATAACGGCCCTGCGATGGTTAGTACAAGCCCATCACGATTTAAAGTTTTTTGTTTATCCTCTTTTTTTTAGTCATTCGTATAAGTAATCTACCAGCGTACTGTGATACTGGGGCTGGACGTCTTTTGTGCAGTTTGTATGTAATAGTAATGTGTCTCGGGATCTAGTCGCCAGGACTCCATATCGGGAGCAAGGAGGTATCGTCATTGTTGTTCGGTAATCGACGATGCGTTGTTGCATACAGTACAAAGTATGTTTAGATGCAAATTGCATCGTCGATGAATGAACGACGCACGTGGTGCTGCGGGTGGGGACCAACGAGGGTTTGATCGAGGATCCTGGGATCAAAAATATCGACCCGTCCCGCGTAAGGCGCGCGCGCAGACGGCCGACGGCGGCGACGGCGTTGACGGCAGAGTTGCAGCCAAACGGGCCCTGCGAGGCTGCGGCTATAGAAAAACAAAGCGTGGTATGATGTAAGTAGGTAGGCAGGCCGTTTGGCAAAGTTAAAAGTATAGTACTGATATGATGTCGATGGCAACGGCAACGGCAACGGCAAAGCAGGGGTGTCGCGGTTGCAGATTAGTAGTGCTGATTTGTCAGAGCATATCATCGTAGGAGGAGGAAGAAGAGGAAGAGGGAAAGAAAGAGGAAATGATGATGATGATGCTCTGAGAGACGCTCAGAGAGACGGGAGGTTTGCAGTTTACTGGAATAAAATGGTCGTAGAACAAGACCGCCAATCTCAGCTAGGACCTTTACCATGCTCGCGTTTGTTTACAGTCCTACAGTACTACACTGTAGGTATATACCGTACTAGATCCTCAAATGGATCGCTCTCGCCACATTTGACGCCACACATTTGAATTGGGATTCAAAATACCTCAATATGAAAGATACTGTTAATGACTACATGATTTCTTCTTTCGCATCCCCTATCTCCAGAACAAAGAACATAATGCAGCACAGTACTGGTATCCTGGTTGCTTTCCTTCGTCCGTGTGATGCAGTTACCGAAATAGGCAACAATTTGCGGAAGATAAGGCGATGACAGCTTATCAAAGTGCTGTCTGGACGCTGAGTGCCCTGGTGCTTTCAACAACAAGGTCCGGGCCAGAAATGGAAGGCACACGCACACACACGTGAGCACTTTTGGCTCTTGTCATAATCTCTTGGGACTAGAGATGCAGAGAGCTGAAAAGAGGAGGAGCTAAAAAAGGAAAGAGCGATGCCGCTCTTATATGCTCTCATATCAGGTGCGCAAATGTTCCTATCAGGAAGGAACCCTTGTTACATTATCGCAACACCGCGTCTCTCGGGCCGCGCGGGATGCAAGTTGTATGACTCCCTCGTCCAGGAACAGAGATGATACCTCGACAACCACAAGATCGACCGTTGAATAGAAGCTGTACTATTGATCAATGACCAGCAACGGTCAAAATCCCATATTAACAAAGAGAAATCTCCAACCACATAACATTGCCGTCTACTAATAGCGTCTTTTTGATACTCTTGATAGGCCAACATAGGATACGGTGTCTTGATGAATTGCCTGCCTATTTGAGTTGAATGATCTATAAGAGGAAGGCAGGTCTGGTAGCTTCATGGATTCATAGCACAAGCTCCTTCAATCTAGTTGATTGTTCACAAGCTTACAGGGAGACAGGCTACATTGATGACTGGGTCTAACTATGCCAACAAGCATGGTTCAAACAAAGCCATGGGATGAACAATAGTCGTGAACAGAAGTAGAGACAGGATGCGACATGAACACAGAGAACTAGGACCTACCTATTATGAGTCCACTTTCGGGTCTGGTCGGATTGGGATGATCTCGGCGGGTGATGCTGAACTTTCCGAGCTTTTGCAGATGACCCCCAGAGTGGTTGTCAGTCTTCCAATGAGATGAAAACAGTTGCCGCGATAAGAGCAAATATTCCGGTCTCCCGGCACCAGTAAAGGACCTACTCATACATAGGATTTGGGGGCCTAAATCTTCCTAAACACAGCACATCGAACATCTATGCGCCTTTGAAGGTACTCAATGAAGCAGCTCCTCTGTTGACTCGGCCCAGGGTCCCAACGGACAGAGAAGAAAGATGATCAGCACTGTTTTCGGGAATTCAGGGTCTTTGCCGATCCTTGACCGCTATCCCGAGCCAACGCAGCTTTTATCAGCTTCTTTTACCTTCTAGTTCATGTTCCGTTGCTGAGAAGGTGGCTCCAGCTCTGGAATGAGGGTCCCTCGGTCGTGCTAAACGATGCCGACACCGGTATCGCAAGACCCTGAATTAATTTCTTCGGTCGCGCTTGATGCTATTGTGGAAAAGTCAGTCATGGTGTCGTTGGGAGATTTGAGGTATTTTCTCCTTCTTCCTCTCAGGGAAGGTACAGATCTCTGAGCTGCCTTCCAACCACGGAGAGCTATCCCCGAAGCTAAGCAAGTGATGGTGCTAGGGGTAGTGGGCACGGGCAGATAGGAAGCTCGGGTTCAATGTCTAAAGAATCCGCACCAAATGGGTTTATGAATCGCTTTTGAGATGCGTACGGGATCTGCCAAGAAAGAAACAGTAATGCTGACAATCGATATGGAAGAGAACCTGACATTGGTCAGTTTATCAGTAATCTACTTGATTATGCTCCCACCAAGACAGGGGGACAAGCTGCATGCAGCAGCGGCACGGTGTGCCATGGGGTTACCGTTGCCTCCCCGACCCTCCATCGTTGAGGATTCTCTCAGTGCAAAGTGTCCGATGCTAGCTAAAACACAATGGTTAAGTTAGTTAAGGCACGATTGCGTGGGTGCCCTAAGCCGGGACGTTACCCTTTTGTCGGGTACATTTGAGCATGGCCTTTGCCACCGACAACCAATCAGATCTTTAGGGTGCGTACCCCGCTAACTACAGTGGGAACGGTCCGTTTTGTCCCGTACACCTGCCTAGCTGAAGGTATTATCTACCAGTGTCAGGTCGCCCAGAACTACTCTTTTCTAGATGTTTGATGAACATTTTATCGGTGAAAATTGGCTGTCAAAAACGCATTAAAATTGTCCTAGGGATTATTGAAATGCATCGGTTTGGCTCCTCTACCGGGACAGACTGAAAACCCATGTTTTGAGATGTCAATTTTTACAGCAAACATTTCGAGTAACGATCAGCCTTTGGCTTGTGGGCCACGACAAGTGGCGATCTCCTCATAATGATTACGAAGAGGTTCAATGGTTCTCGGACGCGGCGCTCTCCGCCGCCTCAGAGGTTGGATCGACGCTCTATTGTGTTTGGGTGTTTTGTCCCTTTCATTCATGTCCAGCTGCTGCTGCTGCGCGGCAGCGGTGTGCGTGGCAGAGACCCTGGCCTATGGTCGACCACTTGAATGCAAAGACAGCTTACAAGGGAGCTTCAAGCTGAAAACCAATGCCATGTCGGTTGATTACAAGAGTCGTCGGGGGTATGCCCTTGGTGACGGGCCCAGCTTCTCGAAGATTTGGTACAGCCTTGTGCCGGCATATGAAGTCGCCCCCTTGTCTCGGATCTCACTTTGTCCTACATATTCTGCACTGTACAGTTCTCTACAAAGCTATTAGTTACCCCCAGGGGAGACCAGGTACAGCCTTGTCGTTATAGTAGTATGGATCTCTCATTTCGCCGGACCCTCCGTGATTGAATGGATGATTTAGGGGTCTTGGGTAGAGTATCGTGTGGTGCTTCCTCGCCCGGCCATGCCTCTCCCGGTAAAGCTGCTTTGATCCTACCTTGGGAACCAGCCCCGAATCGACCACCAATGGGGCCGCATAGGCACCGCGATAGCGCCGGGACTTGCTCTTCACGCTCTGGTAGGGTATCGCCGTAAGTTACCTTACTTACCAAGACGGAGGTTGGACTTGTGCCAGACGCAGCTTGAGCAATATACCTCCTTAGGAACGAATGGTACGTTAACATGTTAAAACCGAATAAAGGAATGGAACGATAGGAGGCTCGGGGAAGAAGTATGTCTGCTTTTTGATTCACGGTTACATTTGCCGTCTACCTTTGTACTCCGTACGGACCTGTACCCAAAGGTATCGTACGGAGATAGCCGACAGAGGAAAAAGGGCTGGGATGACTTTCCCAAGAGACTGATTCGACTTTGCAGCAGTCGGAACTATGCCGAACTATGACACACACTTCTCTCGCTCTAAGGCACAGCGTTCACCCCCCCACGTAATAATGATGAGTCGAACTAAAACTCCAGTACTGTGTGTCCGGCCACGTACTTTTACCTCTGGAGTGCAAAGGAAATTGGATTCCCAGAGCTCAATCCCTCCGAAACCCCCCCAAAATCTCGCCGCCTTTCATTTTCGTAGCGCCTTTCGAGAACAAACGCCCTAGAAGATTACCCGACCCGAATTCCTTCTGCTAACCATCTGCTAATCACATTTAAGGCAATTTTGAAGAGTTTCGCCTGTAACGTCTCTATCAGTGAATCTTAGTGGCCTTTATCGGTCAGATACCAAATGCTGCTCTTGTCACTTCCTCTGTACTAGAGAGTTCCTGGAAGTTGAAGTGTCACTCCCCAATGAAGCCCGCCTATCGCCCACAGCCCATGTCGTGTGCCTGCCTGTCTGCCTGCCCTACTTCGCCCACCCAAGTTCCTTATCATCCTCCTCCCCCATACGCAGTGACATACAACACACACCTGCCTGACCTACCTACCTACTTTAATAACAACACCCTACCCTCCTTCACCCACCCTCCATTCCTCCCACCATATATACTTCACTTTTTCATCTCCATCAACATCATCTCCAAACTATACGACACCGCGATAGACGCCGGGAAGAAACAATGTGTTGTTAGTCACTGTTGTTAGTGGTATCTTTGTCTAGATTATCACAGACACCATCTCCATCTACGCCTCATGCACACGGCATTACGTCGACAGAACGTCGCACAAGTCTAAGAAAATATCGTTCTCTCAATCATCATCAACATACACGCCACGGCCACTTCACATTGATATTAGTTCCGTCTTATCGACTATGATGTTGGTACCAAGATCGCATCTCTTCGCTACTGCTCCCCGCAGTCCTACCACATCGCCCTCCAGAGCGAGGAAACAAAGACAAGAAGAACGAAAGCCCAGGTTGGAGAAGAAAGTCACAGATGCGTCACTGCAAGAAGATTCTAGACGACAAGCACCACAGCCGATGCCTGAATCACCACCCTCGCAACCTGTCGTCATTCCATCTCGAACCCATAATGAGCAACGCGACGTTGGTCGACCTGCTCTAAGGGTCCTTTCGGATGGTTCCAATGGCAGGTCTTCGTCAAAAGGACGAAGAGCTAGGGATCTTCACAAACCTAGTGCCATTCCTCCATCTGTCGCTGCCTTGCTGGCTGTTACCACGATACCCAAGCCGGGCTCGGTCGGAAGCATTCGTCGCAGGAGTGAACAGAATGCTACACACAAGTCCCTTATGGAGCTACTAGAGAAGTCTCCATTGGAGCTCGAACTTGAGGATGCGGCAATGAATGCCAAGGAGGTTCTTCTCAGCTCCCCAGAAGAGTCCGAGGATGGATACTCTGGCCTGGATAGTCTCATGGATCGAACCCTGAACGCCAGGGCTCATTCGACGGATTCGGTCCCGTCATTGGGATCAGACGATGAATCCGCTGGGTCATTCATGACCCCTCCCACTCCTGGCACCAGCCTGAATGGCGGAAGAAGATCAGGCGCCGAGAAGAAACTAAAAAATATGTCTTCGCCGCCTTCTGAGGACGCTGCGTCCAATCATCCTCTACTATCGACCGATTTTGATCCCGTTCCGCCCTACGAGAATGCGGCGAGTGACGCCGAACTACTTACCCCAATGCCTACGACACCGCCGTTGGCTTCCAAGTCCAAGTCGGCGCTGAAATCGAACCTGACCGCTTCGCTGCGTGCCCTCAAGTCGGCAGCTCGCTCGCTTTCCGTCTTTGCCTCGCCCATTATTCAGCCGGACGACTTTTTGACACGATCAATTCTTTCGAGCGCTCCTCCGTATGCTGATGAAAGACGCCCACTACATGTGGGCGATACTCCAGCGCCCGCTCTACGTCGTTATCTGAACCCATCTACGCCCGCTCGTGTCGACATGGCAGTCCAGCAGTTACCTGCTGGCAAAGACCCCTGCACAGTCATGATTCAGATGCAGACCTACCACCGATCTCGCAAATCGGCTAAGAAGGGTCTTTCTACCGATCGCCACGCCGGCCACTCAACCACGGACGAGAGCCCCTTTGTGCAGAGCGCCGAGGTCGCCAGTCTGGTCGCGCGACAGCGGGAACCACGCGAAAACGGCGACTTTCTTCGGATAATTGTTCTCGAAATGAACATGCGTCGGGAGGGGAAATTGAGCGACGAAGTACCAGGCAAAGCTCGCATCTGGCTCCCGCCGCGCCGGCCGACAAAGGCCCAAACCGTTGATGACGGTGGAGTCCCGACACGGTGGATTGGCCTCAGTCTAGCGGATTAAGTCCTCGGCAATGAATTCGACGGTTCGCGACCCTTCTTTTACCCCTCTTTCTAACCGGCGATTGGTGGCAGCGCCGGTGGTCTTTGAATTCTCATTATTCGATGAGAATACAATAAGGGCTTGTTGGCTGTGGGTCTCCTGGCGTCAAAACCGCGGCGCCGTCGCTGCACCTGCAAGCGACGAACACGGCTTTTCCCATGATGCCCACCGACGCGATCGACTCGCCACATGGAACACTGTCGACTTTTGTTCTTTTGGTCGTGGATGTTCCCAGCAGCTGCCGTCCGAGCCGAAGTAGTATCACACTACGATCAAAACACTACGATGACCAGCACAATTGTGTCTGCTAGGGCTAGTTGATACCACCGGCGTGGCGCTTATATCGGAGTATACCAGGCATATTCACTGGTCTTGGGCAGACGATTCAGGCTGGTTTGTTTGAGGACATGGTCCGAAAATTTTCCTCCCTTGGCCCTTTCTTTTCTTTTTGAACAGGAAGGCGTCTTCCGAGCCTACCGAGATATGTCCTCGGAGATTCGTACCGTCTCGTCTCGGCAAAAGCGGTTCGCTTAGTCATCGGATTCTTTTACAAGAACCATCATTGGGCATTTGAGTTTCTGTTACGGCATACCGCAGTACAGCCAACAAACGCTTGAAGAGATTCTTTGCAAATTTCTCCTTTGCGCTGGTTTCTAGTGCGCACCTCACCGACAAGGATCAAATTCATTTCTTACATCGGGGATTTTTTGTTCCCTTTGTGTCCTACATTGACAGCTGCTACTCGTTGACGTCAATCAATTAGTAAACAGCTAATCTGCAAACTACTGTACTCTGACGATTTTGGGCTCGACAGGCCGACTGAGCACTTTCTCTGCGGGTCATTTCCTTTTTGCGCTTTTCACACAGCATTTCACTGGCGCATAATTGCTACGTACCCCTCTCCTTTTTGCATTTTCATTTGTCAATACCCACCCTCCCTTTTTGCTCCCCTTCAATTTTTTACGGAGTACCGTCGGTCTCGACTTCTCTTTTTTTGAATTGGCATTTCCGTTATCGGCGTCGAGGATGATTGATCCTCACGCATACATGTCATGGTGCTTGATTGCATGTATTACATTGTTGTTGCATATTTAGCGTCGGAGAGATTTTTGCATTGCCTGTGGGCGCTGGACTGTTTTGTTTGGAGACTGCTGGCAGTCTCACCCTTTTTGAAGCTACTGGATCCATTGGATTTTGCTTTGGTGTTGGGTCTTACTTTGGGGAAGACGGGATGTCGGGATGCATTTTCATGGAGAGGGAAATTCAACGGGATTTGATCTTGTTTTATTCGCATATCTATATAGCATTTTAGGCTGCATCAGTGGCTTTGGAAACAGTTTGTATTGCAGCATATTTTTTGGAATAGTAAAATACATTGGCTTTGGTCTTATGAATGGTGCGTCGATTTATTATATTGAGCGTGAATAATTCCTGCACGTTTGCCTATATATTTTGTTCGACTTTGATTAATTTCTAAATTGTTTTAATGCAATTTGTGAGGACAACATATTGAAACAAACTCCTGATTAAAAAAAAACAGTACGCTCTTCTGTTGTTCGCTGGTGTTCTCATTGGGTAACAGTGTCTACATGTGTTTTTATACATTAATCATTTCTGTTTTTGGGAAGCAGATGTACGGCTCCTTTCGTGATACTTTCCCTAAAACCGCCTTGGGCACGTGTATGCCACGATTGTACTGAGGTAACTCATCCGTCCAGTTAACCCCTACAGATACCGGAGTACAGCCGTCAGGTACATTTTGTGCCCACTATCGCCGCACCGCTTAATGGCATAACACACAGCCGCCGTGGCTGCAAGGGCGTATAACAACAAACCATGCGTTTTGCCTTGATACTGTTTCGCTCAATCAATGTACAGAATGCCTGCGTTTTTCGAATTTCCCTTTTTAAAGCTGAAACTCTTGACTGCTTTATGAAGACATGCTACATGCCACTATATGATCACTTTCCCGTTCGCTCTCTTTTGTGCTTTGCGTTTTGTGCTTTGATACTTTTATTACACTCCATTCAGCAGACCGACGTGGCCCGTCGTGCTGATCAATCTATTTTGCTATAACTATTTGCGAAGCTCGCGTTGCCATTATACTACACCCCAAGCCTAACCATCATCACTTGCAATGCAGCAAGATGATCCTTCTCTGCCCGACTTATATGCAACATGTCGTGGCCATTTCATCGGCATGGGCGTCACGGCGCTAGTCTACCCACTTGACGAGCACCGGGTCCTCAAGTACGCCTTTACGACAAACGAAAATGCATACACTGATAACCAGTCCCTCAAGGACATTCAAATTGAACGTATCATCTATCAGCGCTTGGGCACGCATCCGCGAATCTGCAAATTCATTTGTGCCGCAAAGCGTGGAATCGTCTTGGAGCGGCTAGGCATTCAGCTGCGGAGACGGTTGTACGACCTGCATCAGGAACAGCAGCGGCCCTCGTACGAGCAGGCGTTGAAATGGTCGTGCCAAGCTGCGGAGGGCATGGCATATATCCATCACAAGGGTGTCATTCAAGGAGATTTTGGTGGGCATAACATGCTCTTTGATGAACACGAGGACCTAAAGATCACCGATTTTGGCGGCTCTTCAATCGATGGCAGTCGGCAGTTGGTCAGCTACGAGACCAGATCCCAGCGATGGAATGCACTCGAAGAGACGCCATCGATTCAGAATGAGCTTTTCGCGCTCGGATCAGCGATCTACGAGATTTGGACAACGGTGCGCCCGTACCATGATCTGGCTGATGCTGAAGTGGAGACGAATTACAAGATACAGTGTTTTCCAAAGGATGTTGCAGACTTGCCGGTCGGAAATATTGTGCTAAGATGCTGGTTGGGGAAGTACGACACTGCGGACCAAGTCCTTGCTGACTTGAAGAAATTGCCATCCACGGAAGCAGAAACCGCAGAAGCCGCAGGCACTGCAGAAAAGGCACAACCAAGCGCAGCAACTTTTAACCCCAGCTACAGTTCACGCATCATTGTTGCTCTTGCTACAACTCTCATGACCGGCTTCATTCTCACTAGACTGATCCGCAGCCGTTCAACTTGACGACGCACAATTCCTTGTTTCATATCTCACCATGCATTCTTTTACCAATGTCATAGCCATAATATCACCACATCACCACATCACCACATCACCACCTCGCCATATCAAGCGTCTCCAACTCAAGCAGGACCTTGAAACTATGCGCCTCATTTACAAAGAAGCGGCATGGTTTCCACTGTAACAAACTCTTTCTTTTCATCCCCATCGTATGGGCTTGTACACAAGCCTCTTTATGCCCTTCTTTATCCCAAACTTCCATCCCAACGCATCGTCTCGTTTGCCTTTAGACCGGATCCTTGTATGCCTTTTTTTTTTAGTGCGTTAGATTCTCATGCACCATAACAAACAACCAGTACACACACAGCGCTTCCTTACCACTATTAATTCCGATCGCGTGCCTTTACACACAGGACAGTCATCCGGGCGTCGGGTCGAACCAAACGCAAAGCTCGGATCGGGACTCGCATCTTGACAATGGCGATATGTGCCCAACGGACGCGGATTCGCACACAGTGTGTATGCTCGGTTGGTCACTCGATGGCCGCCTTCTTTGGCGCATTTGCTGAAGATGTAGACTAGCTCTGTATAGTGGCACATTGTTGTCGTTGTCGTTGTTATTGTTTATCTTTAATTTATTTTATTTTATACTATTTTCTTCAATTGAATTGTATTTTATTTTTTTAATTCTTTTTTTGAGAGGGATGAAGAGAGGAGACAATCAATCGAGTTCAAAAACGTTTGAGATATTCGTGACAGAAGGTGACGATAGGATTTCCTCCCTCCTTTATTTCTTGTAAGTATGGAGATATATATATATATATATATTTCTATCTTCCCCGCAAATGCAAGCCTTGGTCCTCCTCTTCCACAATAAGCACATATAGATACACAATACTACTATCATTATCATTATAATATTCTTTTCTTTTTTCTTTTTCTTTTTTATAGGCTATATGCATATGCAAGGCTGAGTGCGGGGTACGAGCATCCCAATTCGCGGGATGGTGGCAAGGCAGCAACGAAGATCAGACCCTTGGAATCTTGGAATTTTGGATATATACCGTATGCAAGTCGCTGTTTTAGGTATTGTCTGTGTTTGTGTATTTTCAGTACCCTGGCCCAAAAGACTGAAATCCGTTCTAAACCAACCAGGACTCATAGTAACAAACTGCCTTAGGCAAGACCTTATATTTACTCTCTCGCTCCTCGCTCCTCGCTCCTCGCTCCCACGGTGAACGTTGAACGGTGAACGTTGAAAGCCTGTGGACCGTGGTATATGCATGGTGCACATGGTGACATGTCAATATAATGCATGCAGCATGGCTGTATAGTGGATCTGCAATGGTACAAATATAGGTAGGTAAAATACATTGCTACCTAAGGTACCTTACCTACTTCGCCCTTGACGGGTTTACGGTGTGTTTGACTTAAAGTAAGTACATCACCCAAGCTGAGTACATGAATGGTGACAAGGATGAGTGAGATATGGCATTGGCATGTGAAAATGAAAATTGGAACAAAGGACAGGAAGGATAAGAAGGACAAGATGGATAAGAAGGATAAGAAGGATACATCAAATGTATTGTTTCATGCTTTATACTACTGGGAGTGAACGGCAATAATGTCTAGTTATTCGTATTATATCCAAGGCGAATTCCAACCAGTGGGCAGGGAAACATGCATATATGAAATTTACATGTATATAGGCATTAAAGAGCACTGTAACCCATCAGGACGACAAGCCAGGTTAATCCAATCCAGCGGCGGGCAGTGAAGAAGGGGGTTCACAGTCTAAAATTACCAGATGAAATTATTTGGAGTAGACAATACGACCAGACGAAAATATCTAGAGACAATACATTCCCAGGGACAATGATCGGCTACCCGCAAATATCAACAATAACTCTAACAAACATCTTGACGGCATCAATATAGTCTACTATATCCACCTTTTCATCTGGGCGAGTATTATACCTGCCTCCGGGCCCACACACGATGCCTTGCATGCCGAGACGCTTATACAAGTGTCCTGCATCACTCCCGTAGAAGCACGACGGCGGCAACGCTCCTGTCGGCTGGGTCTCGCCCGGGCCGCGGACCTGCGAGTAAGCCTTGTTGAGAGACTGGACAATAGTAGCGTCGCGGGAGACTTGGAAGGCTGGCATGGTTGGGTAATCTACTGGTTTGAGGGTATATCTGAGTCCCTGAAATGGCCTTTTCGTCCCATTTTGGATGTAGTCTCCATAGTCGTCTGCGTCCTTCTTTTCCTCATCAGGCTTATTGTCGGGCTCGTCAATAAATCTTATAATCTCAGACTCTATATCCCTCAGTACTCCTTCCTGCGTCTGGCCCGGCGCATACCGCGCGGATCCTTGGATCTTGACATAATCAGCTACTTGCGGGGGCCGCCACTCGTCCAAGTCTGGTCCAAGCGCGCCATGCACGACACCGATATGGCAGCGATTGATACGGCGATGTTCCTCAGATGGCGCGTTGCTGAACTTCATTGCTGTGAGTCGCGGAATCAGCTTGCATGCCGCGAGGATGGCGTCAACGGCTTCTTCTCGCGCAGACATGTGTCTTGTGATGCCGACAAGAGTGAGTTCAAAGATGAGAGACTCGGCGTGCATGGTGATGGCGCGAATGTCGGAGGGCTCGCAGTTGATGAAGTAATCGGGAAGAGGGCCTTGTATTGCCGCCGAACTGGAAGGAAGTGGGGAAGGAGAAGAAGAGGCCTGAGAGGGGACTTTCTCCCCCAACAGCCCGTCATTGATAATGGCAACGGTGCCTACCCCGCCCTGTAGTTCTCCCACAACAAAGGTCAGCACGACGTCCCCTCTGGGCGTCCACCCGCTGTCTTTGAGCGCCTTGACGGCACAATAGTATGCCGCGCAGCCGGATTTCATATTGGACACCCCAATGCCATAAATGAATTCGTCATCATAGTACCCGGCCCACGGATCAATGGTCCACCCGGCGGACACGGGGTTAGTGTCAAGGTGGCCATTGAAGAGCAGGGTTTTGGCTTTGCCTGTCTCCGCTGCGTCTGGTGAAGAACTCGTAGAATCAACAGATGAAGAGGAGTCGGTAGTGGTGCCAGTCCCATGCCATCTCCCGATAGCATTCTGCCGCGTTCCAGAATCGAATGGAAATACATCAGATTCGAGACCAATCTCTTTCATAGCGTCTGCCATGAACTGCGTGGCTTCGAGTTCTCCGGCCGTTTTGGTATATGACTTGATCTGTATAAGGCGAGACAAGAAGTCAAGACACTCCTTCTCATTGATTTCTGGAAGTTGCCATTTCCCACGCGGTGGTTTATTAGCGTCTGCATTATCGTGATTCAGAGCGTATGATGAAGATGATGTCGCCGGACTTGGAGAATCGCCGCTCACGGTGAGATGAATGAATAAATTTGAATCCGACTCTGTCATTTTCTTTTCCGAAGCCTTCGCGGTAAGATATGTCTATGCTTTGATGCTTTATTTGCGGAGCGGTCTTAATCACTCTCATTACTTGACGATGAAGGAGTGCGATAGCCGCGCAACGAAAAGGCCGATCAAGTTCGGCCAGGCTCTCATCTTGCCGACACAGATCAAAGCGCTAGTAACTCCTCTGATATACCTATAATCCAATTTAATTTGAATTTGGAAAACCGGCTGAGTGATGCCCATGAGTGGTGCATAAGATGCGGCCCCGGAGACGTAGTTTTGGCTCTAGCGGGGACGCTTATCTTAGCTCCGGGCGGATTTTGATCGCGCGCGATAAGCCACACAGCTATCAATGGCCAAGTTGATATGTAGCATCAGTATATCAACAAGTCCACGAGCAAGGGACTTTACTGTGGAAATATTGTTAGTTAGAAATATATGTGCAGTCACAAAATACAGATGGTTTGATTGACTATTTTTCTGCTCCGTGACAATGCTGTGACTGCTGTACATTGCCTTAACGCATTGGCCATTTTCTTCAGCAGAAGCATTAATGTAAGTTGTAAAGGTGTGAAATAATGAGCAATGTATTCTAAGGGTATAATAATTGTGCACTCAAGAATAACATTGTTGAGAAAGGATGCCGTGAGCATTCCGCAATGACGTCTGCTTTTGGCCATAGAGTTCAGGTCCAGCAACGTGGTATCCCGCAAGTCTTTCAGCAGGAGTAACCGAGAAAGAAGAGCAGATTGTGCCTATAAGAAGAGAAACAATTCTTGTTTCTCGAGTTGGGGCGGTGCGGCGGTGATGTTCCGCATCCAAATACGCTCGAAGTAGCTATGATGCTATGGTGCTTGTCCCTTCTTGAGAAATGCATAATTTGCATATCGAAGACCTCTCATTCTCCCGTGAATAAACTGGTCCCAGTCTGTTGGATTTCAACGCGCTTGGATCATAAACCACCCAGCATGTCTCTGACTGCCTTTTTCCGCTCTTCTGGCGGAAGGTGAGCAGTGGAATCTAAGTACAAGTCTCGAATTAGCGATTCCTCTGTCGTCATGGGAACCATTAAGCTGTAATTTTGGCAAGACATACCCCTTATAGCAAGTACATGTCCAAATAGAGCATCGAGGTCCTCTACTTGACCTTCTTCATCATCCCCTGCCTGGCCATCATGGTCTTCTAAAGCTTCCCGAAGAGCGTTTTTGAGGCCAAAGACTTCGCCTTCGACCTCTGTAGCTTCAGCATCAAAACCGGTATTGGCTTCTGGGTCTTCATGCTCGTCGTCTTCATCTCCTAGCCCGAGCTGGGGAGCAGCCCAGTCATTGGCTTCTAGCGCTTCGATCACACGGGGGAGTCCAACCGGTTCTATCGATGGTAAGCCATTGCCCGGCAACACACAAAAGTAACAAAAAAGGTTCAACATACCACCAAATTCATTCCTCCCTTTTGCATTAAGATCAACATACTCAAACCCGTGATCCTGGCAAGAATCATCCCATTCCTCGGCAGTAGGGAGCTGAACCGCCGAATCCGTCGTGGCAATTGACCGTTGCATCTCCACGGCCAGACATATTCCGTCCCAAGAGTAGCCAGAGCCCGAGCCAACGACTTGACCAATAGCTTTAATCGAAGCTTTCACGTCACCCTATTCACACCTTGTCAATTTCAGTTCATTTACCAATTAGAGGAAAACCGTGGTGATATGTCAACTGACTTGCGGTTTTCTTCGCCATGCAGGGGACAGTAAAAATCCAATAAGTTTCTAAACCCAGGGCATCAAATAAACAATACATCGACAAAGGTTTGGTTCATATTTCAACACGGAAACACAAACTGATATACAAGATGAAGAAAAGTACCACCCAGGAGAAAAAGGAAAAGACCTACCAACTCGTTGACAGAAACAGGCGTCCGGAAACACAACACAATCGCACCAAGGACTTCCAAAACTTCCTTGGCCTCGGGCTTGAGCCACTCGCGGGACCACTCTTCCGCTGAGATGATTTCGTCAATCCATATCGGGATAGTCGCCGTGTAATATTGCGTGTTGATCTTCCAACTATGCGAGAGACCAGCTAGCGAGTCGCCTGACTGTTCTGGGGTACTTCCGGTGAGTTCTGCAGCAAGTCAGCATCGAACTCTTCATCTTACTTAAAATGATACGGCTTTAGTGGTTCAGGGGTTTTGGCGGCACCGGAGATCCGGGGTCTGCAGATGGCGGAGCGGCATATTGATGTACCTTTCAAAAACGCAAGTGCATCCGCATTGGGCTGCTGAATCGTTAAAAGTCTACGCGGATTTGAAACTTCCATACTGAAAAATTGTACAGATGCAGCAATATGTGATTGTTGATATTACAAGTTCGTGGTGTGGCTAATATTCATAGTGATTTCGGTCACGTGATTGGGCTTTCGAGCTATTGGTGGCTGTGCTATAAGGTGTTGAATCCAATAACTTGCACATGAAATATACTTTTCTTCATTTATAACTAGTACATTTCTCAAATTCAAGAGCACTTCTCCAATTAAATGGCTTCTTGTGCAGTCATGTTGTGTGTCAACACAAATGCAAGAATAGACGGCTCAGATATCAATCCCATACCCATTTCATTGCTTTTAATAACATACCATAGAACGAAACATAAGAGAAAAAAAAGAAAAGTAATAATACATGAGATATAAAGCTTTACCGTCCCGGTTTCTGGCCACGCGCACGGTTGACTGTGGCTCTTCCTCTGGCCATACCCACACCCTTGCCCTTGAGGCCTCTTGCTCTGAACATTGGTGCGTTTCTGCGCCGTTAGTTAGCTCTGCTATCACTGATGTCGTGAAACCGAATGGGTTTCCCCTCCTAGAATGAATTACACATACCTCAGCATGTCCGGAACGATGAAGAATCTGACATATGACCCCCGAATATAAACCTGGTCGAGATGCGATACACGGCCGTCGCGAGCGGTGACAGTAATGTCCTTGAGCTGAACGTTCATATTGTCCTCGGCTGTACACGCGCAAGTCAGCTCATTCATCCTTCTTATCTCTATCTCGTTCTTATATGACGTGGAGAATTATATAGAATGACGGCGCGATCGACGAAAAAGGTATATTTGCAGCTGGCGCGCGGAACCGACTAACCTTCGAGCAGCTTTCCTCGGTACACCTGGCCGGAAGTAATCTCAAGGGTGACAACGTGGCCCTGTAGTACATTTATTAGCATCTTGTTCCCAGATGAAGACAGCCAAACAAGTCCAGGCGCAAGCAATGACGCCGTGGCGGACAAATGCTGGGGTATTCCTCACTTGAGCCTCGCTGAGGAGTTTGATCGGGATACCAATGTTGCTCGTCATGACGGGCAGTAGGGGTCGTAACCAGTGTCCAAGATGCCGATAAGTGTGGAAATATATCTGCTAACTCGCCGAATCCTGACGGCAATAATAGATGGCGTTTTGGCTTTTTAATTTATTGGGCCTTTGGACTCTTGATCTCCAAGTCACAGCGAGCTAGATGGCCCAAGCGAGCAGATTGGAAGTGCGCGCAAGGCTGCGCCGGGTAACAATCAATGTCACCAGCACTTGCAACCTGTGTAGCTTGCGGGCAAGAATTCGGACCTCCGAGCGAGTGAGCCATTCGATAAACAAATCAACAATTCTTCTCCAATAAGCCACAAAGCGCACCTCTAGCACCTACAACTAGCCTCGAGGCATAAATTCGCGACATGTTAAACCTCTCCGCGACTCTCTCCGTATTCAAATTATTCTTTAATCCGTCACTATGTCTGCCGCACAGCACCGTGTCGAATTTCAGCCAGCTACCCATTCCGCTCTCTCGCGCTTTTATTCGCAACGAAAAGGCAAAGGAGCCAGATATTCGTGCAGTCGTCCTGGACAAGGACGATTGCTTTGCGATTCCACACCACAATGAGATATACAAAGACTACGAGGTAGTCTACCCCTTTTATCCTCCTGAAATATGAATACTTGAAACACATTTTGCTCGCATACACTCATATTCTTCAATATCCTTGAATTAACACATCGTGCATACATAGTCCACCTTCCGCCTCCTCCGGGAAACTTATCCCGGCCGCAAGCTCCTCATTGTAAGCAATTCCGCAGGCACCACGACAGAAGATCCGTCTGGGCGAGAAGCCAGTATTCTCGAAGCAGCTACAGACGTGCCTGTATTACGGCACTCGACCAAAAAACCCGGCTGCGGCGCACAAATCATGTCCTATTTCCAACAACACAGCGCCGAAACAGGCGTGACGCATCCATCGCAGATTGCGATTGTCGGGGACCGATTGCTTACAGATGTCATGATGGCGAATGATATGGGCGCATGGGGCGTGTGGATCAAAGATGGCGTTGTCCCGGAGGATAAGAAGAGCGTGGTACGTATCGTCCGGAGGAGGAGCAAATAGCGGGATCCTGGAAGTTCAGACGTGCTAACATCGCGTCTGACGCAGTTTTCAAAATTCGAAAAGAAGCTCCACGGATACCTCACTCGGAGAGGCTACGCGCCGCCTACGCCGCAGAGTCCGTTTGAATAGCGCGCCTAGTCGTGGAGCCAACTTTTCCAATTCCTCTTCATTCAATTCCTTATATCCAATTCCTTATTCTTCAATCTCAGCATAAACCTTCTGGAAGTGTCGAGATTCGAGATGGAGCTGCTCTAGCCAATTGAGCGACGAGCTGCCGAGATTCACATCAGACCATCAGATCATCCCACCGGCCCTGCTACTCCTTACAAACTCGGTAATCTGCTGGTGTCTTGACTGTCTCTATTGGATCCCTCATCCTTTGGCGTGAAAGCAATATATGAAACAGCATGGTACCATGAAAAGAATCCAGACCCAACTCCACGAGGCGACCCAACACAGACAGCTCAGAGATAGACTTTCAACTCTTCATACCGCGCCGCGCCAAGGAAACACGGAAAGATCAGTGCAGGATCCCCATTTCTCGAATTCTCCACCTGTTCTCGTCGTACGTATTGCAACATTGCAGTGCAATTCCTATTCCTCTAGAACCGGCTCCTATAGATCGTCAAAGCAAGGAGCACAAAAGCACAAGAGAACAAGAGCACATCTATCAATGGGCATCAAAGTTTCCTCCAATCAAGCCGAGCCAAGACAAGACAAGACAATTCTCTTATTCAGGTGCACACTGTACTATACTATTCTATACCTAACTTATATAGCATCAACCCAGATCAAAATACATATATATAGAGTGAGAGAGAGAGAAAACATCACGATGCCATACGACACATACTCCTACAGTGTACCTTCCCCCCTCTTCCCTCGCTCTTCCCTCACTCTTCACACTCACACACACCCCCCGTAGTGAGGAAATTAATTATCATACGAACATTTGCACATTGAGCATCGACGACAATTACCGTATCAAAAATGTAGGCAGAGGTTTAAAAAAATTGGAACTATTTGAGATAATTCAGACAAGGAGGGCTCCAATGAGCCCCTTTCGATACAACGATAAAAAAAGAATAAAGAATAAGAATAAAGAATAACCTAGTGATATACCAAAAATAAAAAAAAATCTCATCGCCGTACCGGACAGGCCCTGATAATAAAAAGGACAAACTATAGGGAAGAAAAATAAACCGGAGAGAAAAAAGGGTTTAATATCAAAATATCAAGACAAGTGACTCGCCAGAGTTTTCTCTTCCCTCTCTCAAATAATTAAGAATGGTAAAAAGAAAAAGAATAAAAAAAAAATTGGGATGATACTCCACATGGAGTCGTCAAAAGTTGGTGTGCATCAGAATAGAAAAATTTTCCTCCCAGCAAGGTAAACTCAGAGGGGAAAAGAAGTAAATCAAAATAAAAAGGACATTAAAAACAAAGAATAAGCAGCCTGCTCGTTTGTGGTTGCCCCGTCCCGCAGAATTTGTCAAGTTATATATACCCGCCTAGAAACGCCCACCGTTGCCCTAAAATTTTTCTTTTCCCCCCAAAGAAATACATTGGATAAAAAGAGATAGATGCGCTGAATCAACAGATCTTTTTTCTCTTTTTCCATCAAAGAAAGTAATACAGTTGAGATGTCTCCGCAGGAGACTTCCCGGGTTTGGATCAAGTGGCGCTCACGGAGGCACGGTCATGAAATTCGCATCCCGTTTGAACCAAAAATGGCATGGATCACCATAGGGTACTGGCTATAGCGCAGTATTATCAGGCGACAGATGCGAGGGGTCAATCGTCCCGAACGACACTAGATTGTGCATGTCGAAATCGTCGGAACCGTCAAGACCTGGAGATTGAACGGGTAGTCCCAGCGACTGTTTCGAGTATAAATCGCTTAGTGAGACCCCGTCGTCGTCCAAGCCAGAAGGATCTTGCGACATGGCGAAGATGTCTGTCGGATTTGCGCCGTGCATGGCAGATAACGGGGGCGATTGATCGGCAATGACAGGATCGCCGTGGCTCATGGCGGACAACGGCGAAATGGACGGGCCACCCATGCATGTAGGGTCTGTCATGGGAGAAAGGAAGGGCATATTGTACGGCGTGTTGAAGCTAGCCAGCGGCATCGGCTCGGCCTGACTTCCAGGCGCGAAAAACGACGGGCTTGCGTATTCGGACGGAGAAGTGGCAGTCGCCGACAGCGGGTATTGGCGAAAGTCCATGTTGAAACCAGTCGAAGTGTCGATTCGGAGATCCGGGCCGACTCCATTCAGGCTGCTGAAATGTTGCGGCGTGGGAGAAAAGATGTCCGGAGTCGGCATCGGCGGAGGAGCAGGACGCTCAGACTGAAACATGAACGGAGGCATGGGTTGTTGAAGGGCGGAGAAATCGATTGCAACAGGAACAGACCGGCTGCGGGTACGCTTGTGACCACGACCGGGCGTGAGACCAGGACCAAACGGACTCTCCTGAAGGAATGCCATGTGTGGGCGGGATAGACCATTGGGCTGCGACGCGGGCCGATGCTCAATGGGAGAGACTGGAGCGGCGGGCGGGATGAAGCTCATGTCGAAAGCAGCCGCAGCGTGTCGGTTTTGGAAGGACTCCAGCGACACCAGCTTTGCAAGCTGACCACTGAGGACCTTGGGGTGTCCACCGAGGTGATGCACGAGCATCTGCGAGGCTTGGTGATCCTCGGTGAAGTCTTCGCACTGCATAAACCCGCCGGAGCCAGAAGAGTCCGTGTAAAACTGCGGCGAGCGGTTGAGTTCGATGACGAGACCAGCTGGTCGCGGAATTCCGCCTTGGCCATCGCCAAGGGCGTCGCCAGAGTCGAGGCTGATGTTTTTAATGTACGAGAATGGATATTCAATCTTGTATCCAGCCGAGTCGCTATTAATATAGTACGTGACGCAGGCCTTGTCAGGCGAGTAGAACAGAACCAGGTCCATGGATTGCTGTCCAACTCGGCGCCAGGTGCCGATGCTGAGGGAACGGCAAGCAAAATGCTGAATGACTGCAAATGTCCGTGTCAGTTTAGAGAACACACATTGACCACGATTGTGGTTGTACTGAAGGGAGGTCAATACCTGTCTTGCCGGAATTACTAGACTCCTCTGGCAGGACAATTCCATTGCCATAGGCGGTCGTGGTACCGGTCGAGCGGCCAAGGAAACTTCGGCCCAGAGGCAGGCCATGCTCAATGGCTTGCATCATGAGATAGTGGCGCATTGACTCCGGAACCTGTTCGCAGTCCTCGCCAGTTTCGATGCTCCTTTTGGCAATCATCTTTATTTTTGCGCGACTAAACAGTACGTCAGAGGGACTGTGGACTCTCAATGCGAGAAAAAAGGTTCCTGCTCTCGACTTACCGATTCTGGAACCAAATTTGGACGGAGCGCTCAGTCATGTTGATATCCTGGGCAATCCGCTCCCGGACAAGAGCTGTCGGAGTAGGATTCTTGTTGAATTCATGTTCGAGAGTAAGGAGCTGGTCCTGGGTTGCACGCTGACGCTTCTGATTCTTCTGCTGCTGCGTGAGAGTGCTCTTCCTCGGCGGGCGACGAGAGCCCGAAGAGCTAGTTGTAGCGGTAGTCGTGGCCGTTGCCGTCGGAGAGGGCGTAGAAGCTGTCGTCGTAGACATGATCGCCGATGATTCCGTAGCGTTTCTGAATCGCAGGAGAACCAAAACGAGAGTTGGCCAGCAATGGATGACACCACGAAGGGTTTCTCTGACAAGATAGAAACCCCCTTCAGGCGGAAAACAGGTCGTCAGATCCACGGGGAAACAAGTAAAAGAGTATATGTGCGATAAAATAAATATCTGATCCGAAAGAAAGAGTTATACTGTCGGGTCGCTGAACGATCAGGAGAGTAAAGAGATAGGCGGCAAAAAATAACGGTCGATATAAGGTAACATATACGGACGTCAATCGAAAGGTGAGCTTCACTGAATCCGAGCAGGAAGGTAAACAAGGTAAAGTGTCGAGATCGTCCACGACAACTTATTCGACGCTGAAAAAAGATCGAATCAAAGATTGTAAAAGTACTGGCTAATACGGTAGACCGGACAGAGGGCCAAAAGAATGATATGAACTTGAAAAGAGTGACAAGTCCGTAAAAGGCGATGAACGCGAAAGAGAGTGTGGGTGAGAAATAAAGAAACGAATGTAGATAGAGAGCGACTTGGACAACGACGACGACAGCAACGCTCGACGACGCTGAGTCTTGAAAGGACTGTAATGAGGACTTGAAGGAGAGAGAGTGTGTGTAAGAGAAGGAGAGGAGAGAAAGAGAGAGCAAGAACGGCGGCGGAGACCGTGGTGGTGGTGGTGGTGGTGGGCGGCGGAGAAGCAACTCGTGAGCACAGGCGATTCGTGAGAAGAGACAAGAGGGCGCGAAAGGGGGGGGGGTTTCGCTTCACCAGAGGTAGCGATAGGGGTCATATCAGGTACCGTGGCTGATTCCAGAAGTACTTCTTATCAGTACATTACATGTTAGATTTACATGAATCCATGCTAGGGATACTTCCCGCATGGACCCCAATACCTTTTTTTCCCAGAAAACCCCCCGGGGGAAGAGCTGCGACGGGGGGGTTTGTCGTCGCTCAGGTTCTTTGGCTGGTAACCAGAAGAGCGTTTAGTTCCCCCCTACCGGACCAGTCAGTCGGTCAATCGGGGGTGTGTGTGGATCACTGACTTGAGAGTTTCTCCCCCCTCTCGGTCCAAAAAATGGCGTCCCTTCGTCCCTTCGGCCCCTCGAGCCCTTCTGCCACTACCGTGCTTAGGAGAGTTTAGTCGGGAGAGGCACGACCAACCAAGGTGGACCGCCAGCACGGGATGCGTGCTGCAGGTCCCGTCTGGCGATGCGGGACGAGGCGGAGAATGGCGGCAAGAGGGATGGTCGCAACGATACGATCAAACCTATCCGTCAATGGTTGAAGTTGAACTCGCGCAAGGACAAAGGCTTGGCAGTAGCGTAAGACGACACACCAGCGCGCCGCACATGCCGGATCACTCACGCAACACATCCCTCAAACACGCCCCTCCGAGTGCTTTCTCTCTCTCTCTTTCTGCCCCTTCTTCAGCGAGCCTGTGCGAGGGTCGAGAAAGTCTCGCGCGGCGCGAGCTCATGTGGACCTGACGCCGCGCTCCAGTCTCCCGTCAACAAATCCCGGCCAACGGTTCCATCATAATGCATGTAACTATGCGCTTTTTTGCTTTTGGGGGTGCAGTGTCAAAGCATCCATTCGGGTGCCCGTCAGGGGCTGGTGTGTCAACATCCTTTTTGAGAAAGCGTCATGGCGTAGTATGGTGTGCAGCTTATGGTAAAGCGAGACACCTATCCCTATTGAGCGTGTTCTCTTACTCCTTCCAAGTGGGATACGGATTAAGGCGTCTCTCTTGGAGACTTTGAGCAAAAAAAGGAAAAGAAATAGAAAAAAGAAACGTTGCGCGTATGGTAAGTCCTACCATGGAACCAAATCAGGAATCGCACAAATGGTGGGTGAAGGCCCAAAGGAGGCTACCTGAGCAGATCACATCGGTCAAAAAGCCGACACGCGGAGAGAACGAGGGGCTTGACCATGTCTCGCCCATGGAAAAGGGAAGCACGATGAATGTGCTCGGTCCTTTTCTGGTCAGCGAACTAAAGCGTCATCGTGTACCCATTTGCGTAGGTCGTTGGGTGTGCGTGTAAGTTTAAGCGGTGGATCGTGTCTAAGAGATGTTGCTGTTTTGCTTTGCGCTCGATGGGTGTTGTGGGTAAGCAAGCAGAATCGGGTAAAGCGGCCTCGCTTAGAAGCAACGGAACAGGGCAAAAAGTCAACAGGAACAGGATTAGCGTCAGGGACTTAGGGGGGAAACCATCGCACGCACAACGGACCGACAGGGATCAGGGATTTTCAACACGAACAAAAAGGTCCCCCCGTCGCCCAATACCAGTCACTTCATCATGTCCAACGCGTCGGGAAGTAACAACAACACCAAAGACAAGATATACAAAACATTCATCTCCACAAGAAAATAATACCGTTAGAAAATAAATCCAAATAATATATAGTTTTTGTAGATATGCCGAGACTTGTGATAAAAAAAAACTTTTCCATGTTCTTTCCCTTTTCCTTTTCCTCGCCGTACCATGGTCCCTCGGTCGTCGTTTTGCTCAACTCGGCTTTGTCGGTGATACTTGTTCAGCGTGCCCTAATTGGCCCGGGGCCCGGCCCGAGAAGGGAGAAAAACCTTCCCCCTGACCGTCATCAACGCTCTTCATCCCCTTAGGGTAAAGGTACCGGGAAAAAAAAGGTCGTTGTCTGGCAGTCTGTAACCTTTTGGGATCAAGTCATGTGAGAGCATAATCGAACGACGAAGCTTTTCCCATCTTGGCTTTCCTCGACTCCACTTGCATCGCAACGTTACTCCTTTTTTATCGAATGCGTTGATGCCCACCAGGCTAGTAACCCACCAACTCCTCGGTTTTCTCTGATAAGTATTCCGTACTCCGTAGAAAAGAATTGGGTTTTTTTTTTTTTTTTTCGTGCTCTATCTGGAAGAAGATGCCGTGTTCGTCGGGGCTAAATACCGCGAAAAGGAGAAGAAAAAAGACACTTGTCTTTTCAGAACCTACCTTGCCCGTTCCGAGTGATCGCCCCCAAGATACATCACGTTGTCAGGGCGGTAGAGGGATGCTATCGCGAGCATTTCGCGACACACGCGTTGAATGCCGTTTGATGCTCAATATGTACCTACCTAGGTAGGTCGCCTCCGTAGTAGGGGCGGGCTTCACCTGTCAGGCTGTCCGAAAGTCTTCTTGGTGCACTGTAGAGGTGCTGCAGGGGCTACAGTGTCCCCAAACTGCCAAGTATGTACCCAACCTGCACAGTAGGTGCCGTTACCGATGCATCTCCCGTGTGTGCCATGCCGTTTCCCTTGCACCGAGCACCACCCACCCACCCATCACCCACCGAAAGCCTCGTCAATGGCTACCTTATTGAGCGAGTGTGCAACTACGGAGCAAGTCCTATTTTTCGGAGCTCGTTTTAGGGGAAGGAGGACAGTCAAAAGTCGTTGGGGAGTCTCCTATCCTCTATGCGTACCGCCCTGACACTGACATTCGTTGTGCTACACTGCATATCCGTAACGTACGATTACAATCAGTATAAGTTAGGTAGGTACTATCGTTCTGCCCAAGTTACGGAGTACTCTGTACTGTATACACTTTGATCAGCACAAGAAGCACCGTGTAGAGCCCAGTCTATACAGTACCTTAGGTTACAGTAATGGTAGAATGGTAGAATGGTAGACCGTAACTTACGGACTAACTTACGGAGTATACGATGATACTGTTTAGGACTTGCACACTTGACACGGGATATGCATTTCCCTGATTGGCTGGCGCGAGACCTGCCGTGCCGTGTGTGTGTGTTGCCCCCGTTCTGTCCTAGGGTCCAACCGTCCCGCTGCCGTGGGACCCGAAATCGCATGACGGGGCTAAAGCTAAGGAATATCAGCATACAAAGGTAGACAGGCTAAGGAATATCAGCATAGACACAATAATACGGATACCTACCACATGTTGTTGAGCAGGGGGTAAGTTAGGGCATTGAAAGTATGGATTCTGCCCTGATCGGGGCATGAATCAATGATCCTCGAGCAAGCCTGGATAACTATCACAGGCCGATCATAAGTTAACTGTCACTTGTTAACTGCTTAATCTGGAAAAATCCATCTACGTAGTAGCTCTTTGATTGCAATCGAATCTTTCTATAATAGCTACAACTGATACATCTTCTATTGAGCTATGCAATACGCTCCTCCCTTTTCTGCTTTCCCTGATGCTGATCATGCTAGAAATAACTTTTTTTATCCTTGCACAGCCGCTCATGGGTCTGTAAACGTCTAGCGTGCCAAAGGTGTAACTGCTAAGCTGGGAGAGATAAATAATGAAAGAGAAAAAAGAAATTAGAAATCAATGAAAGAGGGAAAAGAGAAATAAGGAAAGGAAAACCCGCAAAAACCTGCAAACTGGCAAGCTATGTCCCGTGGTATCTCTGCATATGGACATCCCGTACACAAATATATACAAATAAATAAATAAAAAGGAGATAAGACGTTTTTGAGTCTACCTCAATCAAAGCTGTAGGCGAAGAAATCGAACAAGGTACGACGGACAGAGAAAGAAAAAAAAGTCGTTTAATCGTTTTTGGCAGGTCCAAATCGTCGCAAAAGGAGTTCATTTGTGTCCATTGAGCGTCTAGCCGCCGAGGAGCCATTGACTGCGGTGGCACCAATGGCCTCTGGGCTTTGATACGCAGTGGCGGCAACGTCGACTGACATTCGAGCATCGGGTGGTGGTGTCGCCGATGCTGAGGCTCTGCCCTCTTCCATGACGCGAGGGCGATCAAGGAGTTCCTGGATCTCGCCTTCGCGTTGAGCTTCCTGATCCAATTCGACGCTGAAGGCCTTGCGCTGAGATTCCAGGCTTTGCTGGAGCTCAAGCGCTGCAGCTTCTTCAAACCGTCGCCGGATGGCAGGATCCTTTTCACACTCTTGGAAGACGTCGACCTGTAGGTACAGGTTAGCATCACGCGCTGAAGTTGGCAAGAGATTTTTCGGCATGACAATGGCAAAGGTTAATACTTACGTCCGTGGGAAAATAGGCTGAGCGAAGTGCGGTGACAGCAATCTCCAATGCGAAACACGATACCACAATAAGAAGAAGGGTGAGCCACCACAGTCCATCGCGCCCAAATCGCTTAAGAATTCCATCCTTGACGTTGTAAATATTGTTTTTCGAGTACGTTTCGGTGAGGATAATGTTCCATAAGAACCAACCACCAATGGACAGCAGCAGGCTGACGATAACCATGACTGATCGATTGTAAACCTCAAGCAGCCTATAGTAGATCATTAGCTATCGCGACTTGGATAACTGAAAAGGTCGAAAGGTAACATACTGCATCTTAGAGGCGATAATGATGATACATGCAGTAAAAGTCAAGTCGCCCATGGCAAACAGACCATTGTCCTTGGTGAACCATGGTTGTCCGAATAATCCGAGCATCAAGAAATAAATGACCATGGCTTCCGACGAAGCCATAAACATCCATCCCAAGTATACCCTGAGATTGAATCCTTTACTCTGCTGTCCTTTATTGTACAGCTCTGGCACAGCAAGAAGCGTAGACGCCGCGAGGTCCTTTTCAAAAATACCAAGGAAAATGACAGGCAGAGAAGTAAACAACTAATTTCAATTAGCGACAATTTGTTTCATGTCGATAATCATATTTGCAGAAGGGTGACATACTGTGTTAAACATGCTCAGACTCCATGATTCGTAGAGACTGGTACCTGTGTACCCAGCCCACCGCTGATACAAAGCTTGGGTGAGGTAGAAGAGCTGTGCAAATATTAATATCAGAATTATTGTCGTAATACATAAAATCATGATACTCACCATTTCCTTCCAGAACGTGCCGAGAGTATATTTGCATGTTCTGATATAGTTCCAGCGCCCATGAACCAACAGTAGTTTCAGGAGGAACCTGAATTGGGCAATCGAATAATCAGAAGTTCTGGCTGCTTGAAGCCCTTCTTTTCCAGTGATACCAATTCCAACGTGTGCCTCTTGAATCATAGCGATATCATTGGCGCCATCACCAATCGCCAATGTAATGGAGCCCTTGACCTTGGTGCGAATGGCACTCACCAAAGAAGCCTTCTGACTAGGACTGGCTCGACAGCATATGACACTATCCACGGCCATGGCCAAATCATAGAAGAGCGACTGTGTCGTCTCGTCGAGACCAATAATCGTAAGGGTTTGTCCATCAACAACGACGACAGAGTGCGCAACGCTACCTTTGTTGACCTCAATGATTGCGCTGGCAATGTGCTGCTGGATGTGCCCATCCTCGTGGTCAAGCACTGTGACCGAGGAGTAATCCTTGATTAACCGGCAGGAATGACCAATGTTGATGGCAGTCTCCCGTTTATCACCAGTCAACATCCACATCTTGATCCCCGCCCTCCGCAGCTTGTCGATTGCTTCGGGAACACCCTTCTGCAACTTATCCTCAATCGCGGTCGCACCGGCAAGCTCAAGTCGGTTCTCGATGATATTTGCAGCCCTCTCAATCATCTCTTGCCTATCTACCAGGCTTGTTGTTGCTTCCAAGTAGCCCTTCTTCCACACCTTGTATTCCTGTTCATCGATATAACGATAGCCGTACATCAAGGTCCTCAGTCCTTCGGTTGCAAAATCGTTAATGTGCTGGAAGCAGCGTTCGAAAACAGCATGGTCATCAACAACGAGCGCTTCCTCGACAAGTTCCTCGTCAAACTCCCCTTGAAAAGAGCTTCTGGGTTCGGAGATTGCCATGGACCGACGTCCTCCGTACTGAGCCGAAGGTCGTGGAGAATAAAAGGCACTGTCATCCTCGACTGATGAGATATCAACGTCTTGTTCTCGTGATCGGAGCCAGGTGTCAATCTCATCTCGAATAGGCTGTAGTCTATTTCCAGTCATGCTTGGTCTTCCGATGCCACTGAGACTGGTCCGCCCGAGAGTGATGCTTGGCCTGCTGACGCTGTTGCTGCGGCTAATTTGCTCGCTGTTGCGCCGGATGGCCTGCTCAGCTTCGATACTCTTCCGGATGCTCGCCCTGCGCTCAATCTCTACGGCTTTCTCGGTAGCCAAGCTTGACTGTCGCAGTAGACCCATGACGATGGAGTCGGCGCCTTTGCAGAAAAGGCAAATTCTGTGGTTCGGGAAGCGAACGATAATGGACATTCTCTTTCTCTTACTGGAAAACTCAATCACATCGAGGATCTCGTACACCTCCAAGTTGGGCTCATCTTCTCGCCCCCGGGGGAAAGATTTGAGCGTGATAGTGCCCACTTGTCTGTCTATGACCAAAAAGCCCATCTCCTGGGCGGCCCGAACCAGAGCCAGCTCGTCAGGAGAAGCTGCCTGAAAGTCAATGTTGCCGTCCTCGTCAGTCTCCGGCACGCAAGTATGACAGAGAGCAATGGATAAAAGAAAGAACCGAGCTTTTCGGGCGAAGACGGTATGCGGCTTATACTGCAAGTACCGAAGAAGCTGTGTGGTTGAGAGCTCAGGCTGGTGTTTCGAGGGTCTTGCGGTTGATTTCCACGTCGCACTAGGGGGTTCCTCGCCATCATACTCGGTTTGACGCGCCAAAGCTGGTTTGGACGACGAGAGATTAGATGGACGAGGCGCTGCGCTGGATAATGAGACAATACTGCGCCGCTTGGCCGCCTTTTTGCCTTTGCTTCGTCTTCGCTGCAATTGCTGCTTCTGACGCTCTGCCTGGGCGACCGCTTCGCGCTGAATGTCGGTTTCATGCAACCATGCAGTGCCAGCGACGCTCATTTTTCTGAACCGCATGGTGTTCTCTGTCAAAGTGCCGGTTTTGTCCGAAAATAAATAGCTAAACAAGTCAGAACTTGACCTCCAGCGAGTTGGGTAACGATGATGGAAACTTACCTGACTTGTCCCAGTTCTTCATTGATCGTAGATGTCCTGGCTTCCATTGGTGTATTTGAAACGTCGTCATACATGTCAACGTCATTCATCAGAAACATCTGGGCCAATTTAACAATTTCCAAACTGACATAAAGAGACAATGGAATCATGGTGTTGAACATGATGATAAAGGACGTGAGAATGGGGAAAAAGGACACGTCTGCGTTAGTCAAATACCATGACTTATCTTCAACATTATTTGACCAGATCTGATAGGCAACAGTGTTGAAAATGGCCAATACAATGACGAAGATGACAATGATGATGACAATGCGATTGACTCTGGCCTGTAGAGCCGGCGCCTTGATGCGAGGATTCTTGGTTGCATTCATGCGAATCTTGCACTCCTCTCCCGTGTAGATGACTATTCCAACGGCTTCGGGCGTATTGCGCAAAATGCTCCCTCGATAGACGATCTCGCTGTTCGTGAGCGGATGCGTCTCTCCATCGATCGTCACCCTTCCTTCAAAGTTGTAGAGGTCCAAATTAGGGTCCTCGACAACAAACTGGGCGGTGCAAGCTGCGAGTTCATCCACACTCTTGCATCGTTTCGCCAAAGCTGCAGTTGCTTGCTTGCTCTTGAGATTCGTCTCGCCATCCAAAGCCATTGTCTCTACATAGGCCATCGAGTTGGGGCCGTCGGCGTTGAGCAAAACAATGTCGGCAGGGACAGCATCGTCACGCTCCAGTTTGATAATGTCTCCGACCTGGATGTCCTTCCATTTTGTCGGCGCCCAGTGCTTGGGACCAGGAGCCGTGGGCGATGCAGCTTCTCCTTGCTCAGGATCCGTCAAAGTAGGCCGATAGACATGAAGGACAGCAGCATCCCGATCATTCTCGGCCTTATCCAAACGATATCGCCGAAGGTCATCAAATCCTTCTTTGGCCATGGAAATGCTGACGAAAAAGAGCAAGGGAACAATGGTGGTATATGCTGGATTTATTCTTTAGCTTATCGCGTAACAGCCGTAGGGCAACGTTTTAGTGACTCACTTCCAGTGGTACTGAGACCTGATAAAATGGTCAAAGTCAGTTATTCATGTCCGCTTCTAGTGGCGCCTTATTTGCAACTTACCGGGTATCATCTGCAGGATGGAAACGCAAAGGAAATAGCTGGAAACTAGTCAGTGGTTATGCATTCTTAATGCTTAAGAGGTTCGGATAGAACGTACAAATTAGCCAATTTGGAGAATTGGGCAAATAATTGCCGTGGCACGAAACTGTAAATGGTGTATCTGCAAGAACGAACAGTATTCGCAACGTAACCTCTGCCGGTTCGCTCATCGGTGAGAGCTTTCTTCCGCATCGGATCCAGTGGAATATGTCGCCCATCTTTGCTCGGAGGAAGTTCGTTAATTCGAAGTATCGTCTTTCGTGCCTTTTCGTAGGCCGCTTTGGTTTTGTGAATGAAGCCCAGACGGCTTGCGCGACGTTTCACCCATGACTCGTAATGAGGCAACGCCGAAATCTTGGCTCCTCCATTTGGCGGGGACATTTTTGGCGGGATTTCATCAAGGTTGGGCAGTGGAGAAACGCTGATAGAGGTGCCACTCGACTTGCGTTTATGGCTCTGATCGACTCCGGCGGGGTTCACGGCGGGCAACGGTCCAGCTGACGGGCCCACTGGTGTCATTTCCACGACGCTTCCACCGCGCTCAACCTGATTGTTGATGCCTCTCGCAAAGAGTGATCTTCGCAGTGAATATCCTCGGGTCCGGGTCCGTGGTGAAGATGGTGACACCACCGGGGACACGTGCGATGGACCAGTCAATGGAGAAGTTGGAGAGGTCACCGCGACGGGGGACATGCGCATCTGTTGATTGTTTCCACCGGGACGAGATGAAGCCAATGTAGTGTCAATCGACAGGCTGGGTGCTCGAGGTCGTCCGGGCATGCCAGCGCCGCTTGCGCTCGAGATGCCCGCAGCACGCATTGGCATGGCCGAACCTTCGCTCACTCTCGTTCTATGCAAAGCTCTAGGAGTGTCTTCGGAGAATCTGACCCTCGGAGCAGGTTCGGTGCCTGCGGGCATGGACGAGCGACGACTCTCGATACCGGACGTGGTCGAGGATACCACGGCCTGGGGTGAAGTTTGAGCGTCCAAATTGGATACTTCGTCGGTCGTGGGACGAACCTCGCGGAGGGTAGTCGGGTCATCGTCATATTGCGTCGAGTGCCGTCGCCGCACGCCGGCGGTGGATCCAGCTTCATCCTGCGTTCCAACCATTTCTCAGAGCCCAGGCACAAATGGATCTGGACACACCATCAGAGGGCAGGGATATGAGATCCAAGGTTGGTTAAGTTTTCAAATATGTCCCATCAGAGACTCGCCGCGACAATAGTCGACTCACGCAAGGACCATGCCCAGTTGAACGGGCACCAGAGGGATCATTTGATGGGCGTAGCGGTGTATGGTACAGACGCCAGACAACGGGTAGAACGAGGCTAGGACGCTATGGAGCTGGAGAAAAACGAAAAAGACGTGCACGTATGGGGTTACCAGAGACCGTGGTTCTTCCGTGCAGCGTGACTTGTACACAATAGGGTGTGATTTGTCGTGATGGAGTGGTTGTGGTCAGTTTGGTGGTTCTCTATTTTTTCTGGGCAGGCAGCAGGGCAGTTCAGCTGGGTACTAGTGATACATTTGGAACGAGGAACTACAGTTACAAGCGTATGGAGGAGAAGTGGTAGGGGAGGTATGTCGGTCTGCCCATGCGTTGGGTGGCTTGGATCAATTGGCTGACGTACCCTTCTCTCTCTCTTCTCTCTTACTTCGATAGAATCCGGGTACAAGACGCGTGACTCGTCTTAGCTAGGTAAGGTAGGTAAGGTAGTTACCGTAGTAAAACCAGATTCCGTCTTGCCCGCCCACCCCCAGCCAGGAACGTCCACCAAGCGACCGACAATCCGGGCCGAGACTGAATAAATTTGGCTCAGTCATAATAAATGAAACAGAAGATGACGACAAGGACGCTTTCGGAGAATCAAATCCGTTCATTTAAAAAAAAAAATAAGGAAAAGCAAAAAAAGCAAAGCGTTTCCAGGACGAGTGTTATCTCTTCTGCGTGGAAGATAATCTGCACCTTAGCATCGATCAATAAAAAAATTATGCATGCATCGATGCAAAAGGGCGTACAGCATCTGCACCACGTACCAGGTATACGAGGGGTACTTTCCTAATCCGTTCCTCGCTTGGCCTTGCGCAATGAATTGTTACAGTGCTGGTTGGCTCATGACCCAGAGGGTATCAATTCTCCACATGGGAGAAAAAGATAGGGTCGTCCCCCGAAAATCTAGGCGTTTCGTGTGGGTCGAGAGCCCGCACCTCTCCAGACCCAGAACTGTGTTGATAAGACCAGAAATATGGGGCACAGCATTTTCAGTCCTACACCACGTTACAGAATACTCCTTCTCGAAACCGCTTTTTGGAATTGGAGTTAACTGACCGTATATAATAGAGCGCTGAACTCGCAATCAACGAATGACAGATGACGGATGACAGACTATCGGGCCATCTTTTCTTGATGTTACACGCGATGAGAAAAAGTGTATTTTTAGAATTTGCACGAGTCCCCTTTGCGGCTGATGAAGCACTACTGGATATGCCGTACCATCCTAACGATGCAGACATCACTCCATTGAATACATCTCTACCCTAATAACTCGTAGTAAGATAAGATGTAAATAATTTAATACTCCGTCATCTCTCAGAGAGCAAATATTTTAAGTTTTTCTTTTCGTCTTTTATTCTTTTTTCTGCTTTAAATTTTTTTTTATCATTTTGCTCTATATTTTGACGTGAAAGCACCTGCACTACATTTGGCTTGATCAAGACCTTATACAACTGTGCTGCAGTATAAAGGATGATCGTACTTGACTCAATAAAACAAAACACTCCAATGACGTCATATCTCTGGCGTGGTCACCTTCTACCGCAAGGAGATTAATGTCTGACAATATCATCCACAGGCATGCACATACTGCAACTCAAGCAGGAAAAGAGATATATAAATGCCTAACACTATGAGATAACATATATAATCGGACAATGCACCTGTACATTAACTGGCTTCTGCGTGGCTGATACAACCAGCCAAAGAAGCTCAAAAAGGGAAAAAGGGGGGAAAATATCATCCACTCGGCTACTTGTCGTAACCCATATCCATCAGCGTCGTGTTCTTCGTGATCCCACTTCACCCAGGAAGGTGAGAAGACACAAGGAGGCGGCGTAATTGGAGGATAACCTTCAACTGGAGTAAAATGCAGAAACCAAATCTTCCCACCGGGCGCCCCGAGGACGAGAGATCCCGGAAACAGCATATCGAAGGTCCACCACAGTAAATTGGCGAAGCCGCGCGCTAAACAATGCTGCAACAAAAATGAGACGCTCGACGTGGCTCTTCTCAACGCTCAAAAATGGATGTAAAGCAAGGCTGGATGATGATAATAACCATGGTCTTGATGCGCGGAAACAAGGCAGGACGCCACACAATGTCGGTAGTCTGTAACGCGAACAAATTGCCTTTCCATAATCTTCGTAAAATAAAAGGGAATAGAGTAAAAGTTTTCCGGCTAACAGAGGGGAATCGTTGTGTAGTCAAAGACATGCAACAGGACCCAAGAAAAGGATGGAGTGGAGCTAACGCCTCATAGTACGCCGCAATCATGATGGGATAAGTGGACGAAGAAGGTAATTTCAAACGGGAACTTAATAAAACGGCATCATAAGAGGTGACAAAAGAAGGATTTGGATGCCACCAAGTCGTAAAAAGAGTTTAGGGTTGAGCAGCAACGCACCAGTGACGGTGGTAGACCCATGCGCTCTTCTGGCATTCCTTGCTGCAGTACTTGGTTCGTCGGCAGCGACGGCACTTTGCAAACTGCCGGGTATACTCCTCCCATTTTCCGCATTGGTAGTGAGCGCATTGACGGATTCCGCCACGGGAGTCATCCTTTCGGCAGAGGTTTCGCATCACAACCCCGGCCCAGTACTGCATATCAGTAGTGTGATGACGGACAGTAAATTTCTCCACCAGAGGGAAGATGTTGAAATCATCGGGAACAAGGTACTCCTCATCAGCATTGTCGGCAAGTTGACAGTTGGCGCCTCCCTCTTCAAGAATCTGTAATTCGCGACTAATTTGCAACTTGGGAACCAGGTGAGATTTCTGAAAGTAAGATCGCAAGTTGCAATATTTGGAGACGTATGCGAGCAGCTGGAGGGACATCAGAACATCCTCGTCGCGAGGTAAGAGAGCCATGACTGATGGTGGAAGAGGAGGCCGATCCATGACGAGGCGATGATACAAGGCTTGATTTGTGCTGGCTCCATGAGGATTCACCGGGCTGACTGGACCAGGTGTCGGCGACAAAGCCATTGACGGATTGGTGTGATTTTCCGGAGCGTTGACCATGCTCATTTCCACAACAGCTCGGTGGTTGGTGAGATTGAACCCTTCAGAGTCCTGCCCTTCGGAACCATTTGCAGCAGTGAGACTGAGTGGGGAGGAAACTCCGTCAAGCACGTCGGCGCGCTCCTGGAAACCTTGCATCACAAGGCTGTTGTCAAGATCGACCATGTGGTCTCTGGAGTTCTCAGCTTCAGCAGATTCATCCGAGGCCATCCCATCGGCGTTTGGGTCGTCCGAATCTCCAGACATGGAGACCTGGTGACGAATAGAAGGTCGACGACGCTGGCGATTCATAGGAGCTGAGGGACGGACCTGAGGAGGGGCGCTTGGGGTGGTCGGAGAGTCTGGCTGCGAGGTAATGCCAGTCTGAAGTGCAGGAAGCATTGACGGCAGACGGTCGCTGTCGCGGACTGGGCGCAGACCAAAGGCATCGCTCATTTCAATGCTCGGGACGGCGGTGGCCGGTGCACGAGAACTGCTGGAGCGAGAGCCCGTGGTGATGAGAGATGGATGGATTCGGTGTCTTTCATCGTGACTCCGATGATGGTGGTGATGACGCGAAAATGTGGTTCGCTCTGGCGGTGAGGTCAGGGCATGAGCAGGGGGAGTGCTGGAGATATCCATTGCCTCCGTCTCAGGAGCCTGCTCATTCTGTGAAGAAGGTGGTATCTCGATGGATGGCGGAGGGGCCTGTCTGCGAAACTGGCGATGCTCAGAATGACTGGTACCCCGATCTGGTCGATGAGAGAAGGAAGCATTTCCATGCTCACGCGACCGCGAGTGCTGCTTGTGTTGGGAGCCCGCTCGACTGCCACGGTGTTCCTTTTCACATTTTTCCCGATAAGGATCGATGACTTTGATATAATTGTCAAGGATAGTTGCAATGACGGGAACCATGTCGGCCTCGACCACTCTGGTTCGAACGCTCTCCGAGCCACGTACGCCAATGTTGACCACGCACTGGAAAGCCAGGTTCCATTTCCACATCTCCATCATGTCTTTGCCTCTGCCCTCTTTGAGGATACAGATGAGTCTCTCGACACCGCCATCGACGGTGAGAATGTCACGGATGCGAGCGGAAGAAGTGGTGAGATATGCAAGATGGTTCAAGGAATTGATCAATGGTAATGTGGATGTGCAGTCGAGAGCGCGACGATCGTATAGCGCGGTAGTGATCCCGACAGACGCCTTGTTGACGTTTGGGATACTGAAATTGACCTCCCTCATGATGAGTCAATGAAAGGAGAGATGTGTAAGAGTAAAGGGAGAAATTTGCGGGATAAAATTCGATCAAGCCCCAATTTTCAAGCGAAAAGAATTCTCGCAGGTTGGGCCGTTTGTTGATCAAACCGTGTTCACGGGCGCGAGATTTCGATGATGGAGATGGCGAGGTGGTTCGCTGCTTCTCCTATTGTTGTTGATGAGGTGAGGCGATTCGTAAGAGGAAGGATCGAGAAAGGAGTTGAGCCGAGGAGACAAATGCCAAACAAACGATGAAAAACCGGACGCGAGATTGTCAATGAGATGAAATTGGGATGGATGAGACAGGAAACTGCGAGAGTCGTATCAAAGGATTATTCGGACATGAACCCAGCGTGCCTGAGTCACGGAGGAAGATGGACACCAGGTACAAGCCCTCGTCCTGTCCGAAAAAAAGGAGGTCTATTTGAATTTTGTCGAGGGTAGGAAAGCCCACAGCGTTGTAGGTGATCGAATCGTTTTTCTGCGATGAGAAGGAAAGCAAGAAAGACTGTGGATGCTGGCGAGTAAGAAACAGGGGGAAGAAGCCCTCCGACTAGCGGCAGGGAAATGACGCTCCTGAGATGGCCAAGGCTTTTTGGGCGGGGGCTCCTTTTGTTAGGCGGTCGTCATGAAGGAGAACAAGTGATGACGAAGCAAAGAAGGAAGATGAATGGATGAAAAAGAAGAAGTCGAGAAAGATCTTCTACCCAGGGACCGATTGTCGCATGAAATTTTTTTTCGATTCGGATTGAATCCCCTGCGTTGGGCAGTTTGAGTAGTCGAGCGAAGGCGTGAGGAGAAGATGGGAGTCGAGCTGGGTGGTGTTGCAAAAGCGAGGCGGTCCGAGGCTCCTGAAATGGATTGGTGCCCTCAGCGTGGCGGGTGGCCACCAGTCAGAGTCTCCCGCATGCGGTTCTCGGGCCCTTCGATCTGCTTGGCGAAGTCAACTTTTTAATTTGCGCAAGGGAAACAACATGTTGCCCACTCAGAGCGCTCCATGTTTCTGTACCCAGAACTGCTCATATAAGAATACTACGCGTGGTGCCGACAGATTATTAGCCACTCGACTTGATACCGTTACTTTCAAAGGTTTCTTCAACCCAAGTGCCGTCTCCGCCCACGCCAATCTCTCTACTACTACTCGTACTTGCTCGATTCTCCTCACACCTGTCGCCCCTGCTCCAATTTTGCTGCTTCGTTGAGCCACTTACAAAGTACTGTGGTAGAAAAGAAGCTCACCAGCCACCTAAAGCACCCATCTACGTACTCCTAGTACCACTGAACCTTCCCTGATTCCATTTTAAAAGAAGAGTACAATGATCGTCCCATGGTCATGATACATGGATGTTCACATTCAATCCTTACCATCCGTGCGAGCTTGATCAAAATCTTTTCATCTTCCTCTTGAGACCTATATTCTGGCTTCAGACGTAGTCTCATATACTACTGAGGATTGTATTCAAGAGCCTGTTTCTGTGATTCTTCACACAACAAAAGCTGGTTACTCTACGTAGTACGGTAGTAGCCACTTGGTAGATGCGTGTCCCGAAACACGCTTAATTTTACGGGGCAAATTACCCTCCACCCCGTCTCGAGTAATTATTATTCAGCACTTGCTTACTCGTGCTGTCAAACTTAAGCACAATAATCAATGTCCGTGCAACTGGCACGTTAAAATGTCTCTTCGGTTCGGACAATCGCCTTTGATACCGATGATGAATGTCTAGCTCGTTCGGAGGCAACAGTCAAAGAACCGGATAGCCTAAAAACGTCGTTCCATTGATTGACTTACCTCTGTCCAACAAAACCCCTCCGGACATTTCACCTATCAGGTTGGCATAAAACTGCTTATGCAAGGTGGAGAGACGACGGTCTCACGTCCGTCAATGCTGTAAGCCTTTCAGTCGCCCCGGAGTTCTTGACTTGTGGCCCCCAAACTTTCGAATGAAGCAGCTCGGAAGAACATGGTCTTACATGACAAAAGCAATCCAAGTTTGTTCTTTTTTTTTTTCCTGTCTACGGAGTAGTTTCCTCTAGTCACGTCAGATGTCTCCTCACTTCGGGCTAAACCCCTGCTTCCTGTACGCGATACCCTGCTACACAATGATGCTCTTTCTTCATGGGAGTACAGAGTGATCAAGGTACTCACATACTCGTCCGGCAACCGTTTCAGTGCCATGCAAACAACACTAAGTTAGTAAATGCCATGACCTCTCGCGTGTCCTAAAGCGTGTCCGTAGCGACATGTGACTTTTGCAATGCCGTGTGGTTTCGCTCGCGTTCGCCCGCCCGCCGTCGCCACACCGGGACAATCCGCTACCCTTCTGGATAGTTTCACCGTAAAAGTCTCGCCACTATTCGCCAACTACTCAGAGCGAGGTCAGGAATCTTCCAAAATTGCCAGAGAACTAAGGAGCCTTTTTTCGTCTCCAGAAAACAGAACGGTCCCTTTTCGCTCCAAGAACAACCTTGGCATCCGTTTCCCCGACCGCCTTTTAGCTGGTGACCCAACAAAAAATCCCTACTCCGTACCCATTGACCAAAGCGGCTTCTGTGGCGAGCTACCAAATTCTACCCACCGCTTGCCTCGTGGGGGGCGCAGACCCGTGAATAATAATTTACCGAATCCGACTTCTCTCCACCAGCCCCTCGAGCAAGGGGGAGAGATTACCACAGTACCTCCGTACAGGCGGATTTGGGATCGTCCTCACCAAGGGACCCTGATGTGCATGCGTGCCATTACCACCCAGCTAACCCTTGCTATCGCGTCATCTGTGTCTCTTTTGGCCCCAACACCTCGTGGTTATTAGACTCGGTCGCACATCTGAATCTGAGAACCTTATTGTCTGTGACCCATTCGGTTGGATGTTATTCATAGGCTTTTTCCCTCTACGAAAACCGAAACTTCCTCTGAATTCCAAGTGGATGTTTCTCTTAAAAGAATTTCATAGTCAGAAGATCATGATCCGGATGACATTGAAGCCAAATTTCTGCATTCAGCAAGATCTTCAAAATTCGTCGCAAAGTAGATTGATCTGAATGAAGATCAATGCCAGTTCTCAAGTCTCCTGGGAGAAGAGAGGAATTAAGAGAAAAGCGAAACGGCAAAAATGTTCAACCGAAAGCAAGGGTCTCTAACCTGTCCTTACATTTCTCAAGTTTCAATATTTGTAGTCTCACCCGTGCCCACACCAGATGGTAGAGAACAGAGTTTCGGGCACAACATGTCCGAGTAGCTTCCAAGCTGCCGGTTCAAAACATAAGATACTCAGTTCACTCAACCAGTCAATATAATTGTTTAGGTTCGACGTGTGTTTGGTGTCCATCTGCCATGAGCATGTGCACTGTCACAATCTCACTCTCGCCACTTGAGAAGAGACAAGGGTTTCTCGGAGCTTACTCTTTGTCTCAGCACACTGACCACAACGCACCACCGAAGAAGTCCATGTCTCATTGGTTGCACACCGCCCTTTCCGCGCTTTCCATTACGCGCCGGGATGTCTTTTCCGCCTCTGCTTAAAAAATTAGCCTTCAGGAAAGCAACGTGTTATTCAGGAGCAAATTCATTGCACGTAGCTTGATAGCCTATGAAATGAGCCACGTCTGAACCTGAGCGGATCACGAAGATGGCGATGTGTAGCTCCAAAGACGAAATTCCCAATGTCAGTCCATAATATTGTTTGCATTGGTACGCAACTGAAAATTTCAACTCAACTCCGCTTCATTGTGCGATGTCAGCTTTTAGAATTGTAGACAGATGATTCTGAGCCAGGTATTGATGCTAATGTCAGTAAGTCATCATTCGATACGTTGCATGGAATGGACGTCTCCCATCGACAGGCGCGGAGGAAAGCATGTGACTTGTAGATCTGTAAAAAGGAGATTTGTAAATCTGTAAAAAGACCGAAAATGAAGAGAGACACGGTATGGCAGGACGAAAGTTCGGCGTAGGAGAAGGGTCGAACGACCAATAGTTTCTTTTCATACGCAAAGAAAATCCAGATCTCGTACGGATGACCCAGTGAAGTGAGCACACCTCGCACAGTAAAAGCCAAGAAAGGTGTTTTTTCTGAGAAACATTGAAGTAGCCGACCGGGGAAGAGGGGCGCGCCGTCCCGGGTTCCCGTCCACCAGTTTGCGGGGTTCGGGTGGTATCATATTCCCATGGGCGCTTCGAAGATGGCGACACGAGGCACATGAAACACGAAACATCCCTGGCTGGCACAGCACAAGCACCACATAACAGACGAAGCAGCCATTAGTCTTACTTTGGGTCTTATTTCCAAAATAAACTATAAATTATACCTAGCTATCTAAGGCATTTTATAGCACAAACCTTCTTTTACCAATCCCAGCTCTGACCATGCTAATTATAATGAGCCCATAGCACGGAATTTGATGGACGAAGGTGCCATCCATGCAAGATCAAGCACGGCTCAAGCCAAACCTATTGGCACTTTTGCCAGACCAGGCAATAACGACCCGGCTTTGCCGGTCCTACTACGAGCTGGACGCCGAAATCTTCAGCGATTGATGACGTCTTGTGGCTTTTTCAAGCAAACAAGTATTTGAATAATGGTAGCGAAGAGCTGAGGGAGGTATTTGTCTCGTCTCGTCGGGTCCAAAAAAAATCTATGAAGCAGAAATGTCATTCATCGTGTAGACTGCTATGCAACGAGTCGGACGTGTGAAGAGTCTTCGCCTGCCCCTGAAGACTAAGATGGATGCGGTGGGCGTTCGATGGGTAGTGTAGATGGATATCATTCGATGTCATTTGTAAAAGGCAGCAGCAGGAGGTTGCTGTATAGAGCGAAGGAAACATATGGTCGTTGCGAATGTCGTTGCTGGTATCTATTGGGAGAGGCCTTCCGCGGAAAGATTGGTTTCACCGGCGATCAGCAAGCCAAGCATCAACCTGCGACCAGGTGTCGGCATCGTTGACTGCAGGACCGGCCGCTTTGACTCCCTTGAACACCTAAATTGCGCGTGAGCTAATATGGACTGCATAAGAGGGAGAGCAACGCATTCTGGAAACTTACCGCATCCCAGAGTCTAAATGCGATATCCAAATCTCCTGAGAAATCAACGACGTGCCAGAACCATTCTCGCGGAGCCTTTTGCTTAATTTCAGCACGTACGGATGGCGATGTGGGATCCTGCTGGGCCGAAAGCTCATCCAAGTAGGACTTAACGGCGATGCCGAGGCCACAGTCATTGTCGTCAACGAAGGGAAGACTAAATGTACGTTAGCAAGTGTCAATTGCTGCAGTATGTACAATGGCATACTCTAGGCCAAGGTCTGCCCAGTCATCTCTGTCTCTGTCTGCATCACCATTCAGGAGAAGAGTCACAAGACTTATATCAACCAGGTCTCGAAGGCTGTTCCGAAGGGCAGCGATAATGGAGTTATAGGCAAGGAGGTGGCGACTGAGCGGACCAGTGAAGCCAATAGCCTTGTGACGGAGCTTGCCTAAGCACGCCAGACGGGAGACAAGTAGTGTGTTTCGTTTATCCGTATCTAATATATGATTAGTTGCTAGACAGCCGATGGGGGAGCAAAAGAACAAACCTGATCCGCGCATCGGTGCGCCCGAATACAGTGGGAACATCTCGTTTGCGTTCAACAGGTTGAGCCGAAGAAGTTCGACTGCAATGAAGGCAGCTTCTTCAAGGTGATCTTCTGGTTTCAGAGAGGCAATAGTCGCATGCAATGACTTGCCCCAAGGAGTTAATTTGTGCTTGTCGTCGATATACTCGCGAAGGTATAGGAACCTCCAGAGGGCATTCGACAGGACCTCGCTTTTGCTTGTTAGGCGCTTCGAGATCGTCAGCTTTCTGGAACATGCAAAATATGTCGAAATCAAATTTCTTACTTCTGATTTACCAGAGGAGAAAGACTGATCGACAAAACCGCTTTCAGCAAGACAACGGATTTCGAACCCAAGAGAGCCCGGACCCGCCTTGAAGAGAAGGTCAGTATAACCGAATGAAAATGAGGCAGGATGTTCAATCATACCTGACTTGCCGTTCTGTAACGATCAAAGACGCTTTCTTTGACTTTCCAAGAAGACACGGCATCCTTCGTAGATGGTACATCTCGCAAGCTGGTGGTTCGTGCGTTGCTTTTGTCGAACCAGAAGCGCGAAGTGATCTCCTTTCGCTGGTAGAAGCGCGTCAGGGACTGGGAGAGGAGAGCTAGTGCCTGCATTCTCAGGGGCGTGAGCTGATCGCGAACTAGATTTCGGTACTCAGAGGATTCTCCATTGTCCATGGGGGGTGCCTCGTAAATGTCGCCAGAAGTTAGCCAGTTCAGGACCCGCGGGCTAAGGACGCCCTTGGAAAGATAGAAGTATAGTTCCTCGGGAAGGCGTTGTCCAATGAATTCGTGGACATCCGATGGGGCGTGCTCGGCATCGAAAGGCTCGACCTTGCCATCTGCCATGAATACAACGTGGTGCTTCACAGCTAGTCGCCCGCGGCGGTAATTGTCCAGATATTCCGTTTGCTGCACTTGGGCATCATCCTGATAATGCGTGCAAACGGCAGACACGCTCCGCCCCAGCGTGACCATCATGCTCACCGCATCGCGAACAGTAAAGGGTTTGCGATGAAAGTTTGGATTCTCCAAAGGTGGGAAGGTAGGCAAGAATGAAGAACCAGAGAGCAAGAGAGCATCCACAAAGGTATCAGAAGAAATTTTCCCTAGATCTTCCTGGCAGGTAGTACGCGAGACCCAGGTAAATTGGGACTTTTCAAAGTCAACTTTCGTAAGGACCTTGCTCACGTCGAAGAGAAATAATTCGGATGAACCGGCGACAGCATCGACGAACTGGCTGGGGTGTCTTTCCAAATATGCTAGCTTGACAAATTTTCAGCAAAGACGTTTGTAGAAGATGGGCAATCGCCATGTACACATACCTGAGCCCACGCGCTGTACGGCGCTACTTGAAATTCGATACCTTTCGCTTTCAGAATCTTTTGAAAGAATCGAAACAGGTGGGGAGGCCTGACAGCACCTGTAATAAAAGTCAGCCGCCCGCAGAGGTGTATTTCTGATGCAACACGCACCGGAATTCCCAAACGCCTCAACAGCCTGCTCTGCTTGGTTCTGATCGTAAAACTCCCATGCTTGAGCATTTGCTCGCGTGACACTGGTCAAGTCATTCCGCGACTTATTTTTCTTCACAGTATCCAGACCACTGAAAACGAAGACGGGAGTAATACCCGCTGCTTGTAAGGTATCCAGTTCATTTTCGATGATCGACTTGAGGGCGAAAGGATATCCGCCAAGAGCCGAAAGAAGCCGCTCCTTCGAGGGAGGATTGCTTAGCAGACGGTCGAGGTAGTGCGCCGCTTCAAAACCGATCACAGTATCGGCGAGGGAGGAGAATGGAATGACTTGAGCACGTTCGTCTGCCCATTCATCAAAGGTGCGAACTTGCGGTCTGTCAGTTTTCGCATCTGTACACAAGGAGGTCAAAGCCCACTTACTCCCCATGGCTGATTCGGTGATCAGAAAATTAGACAGTGGGGATACGTTGTGCAGATCGGCAGGCGTCGCGATAAGCGCGGCCGAGGGGCGCTTTGAATGCAAGGGCTGTGAGGTGATGAGAGGAAGGGAAACGGAGAATTTATCAATGAGAGACAGGGTGTAGGAAGGAACAAGTAGGTGACACTATTCGCGTCGGCCTCGGCGTGGACTGGACTTCAAAACTACACCACGAAGGGTAGCTTGGGGAAGCAGGAAGTTGCGCCAGGGCATCTAGTGCCGAGTCTGCAAGAGCGGGAAAGCGACCTGGCGAGCTCAGATCCGCTCGCGCTACCGCGTCGTCATTCCCTCTTTGATCATAGTCCAATTCCCTTCCACGTGACTGGCAGATATGGGGAACACAATGCACTTAGTTATATTGTCGGCGAGCACCGACGATAACAATACGAGGGGGAATAGCTAAAACAGATAAGTCAGTTATAGTCTTTCAATATAAAACAATACAATTTGTCTCCGACTTTTATTCACTTTTTGGATGAATCCAATCTGCGTGGTCTTTTCCTATCATGTCCAATTGACTTTCACATGCCATTGGTGAATCATTTAGAGCTCGAGCTTACAATTGATTCTATCTTCTCGAATAGTCATTCTCTATTGTCCATTACACGAGAACCATTGCTGTAATCTGTTTAGAAGGAAGTGTGTGATTCACGTGTCGATCAGAAGGCACTAGTCAGCCATGTCTGGAGCTGCAGCCGTCGAATTACCTATCATTGATCTTTCGAAACCTAGCGCAGAGGTGGGCGAAGAGATTGTCAATGCCGCAGCCACCTACGGTTTCCTCTATATCAAGAATACTGGCAGAGACATAAAGCCGGAAGCTATTGAGCGTGCTTTTGAGCTGGTACGCTGGCCTCATTCTCTAATTGTTTTGATCATGATTGACTAACCTTGCCACAGTCCCGTGAATTCTTTGCTTCACCGGAGGAAGAGAAGGCAAAGTGTCTTATTGGACCCGAGGTGAGATATGAACCTCTATCTATTGAAATGAACAACTATTGATCATGTACAGAATAAAGGATGGTCATCTATGCATAGAGAGATCTTAGATCAGGGCAACCAAAGGGTAATTCTCAGCTCACCCAAATCCAATATATTATATCTACTAACCGCACCTTTCAGAAAGGCGATTTTAAAGAGTATGCCGCCTTTACCAATATCCTTGATTGTTTCTAATTCGTCTTTAAAGAGCATTCAATTTTGGCACGTTTGAAAATGGCAAAGCACGGCAGCCGTTGCCAAAGAGTCTGGCTTCTCATGAGTCTGAGCTTAGCCAATTTGCAACCTCGTGCCATGACCTTTGCATGAAAGTCCTCAGAGCATTTGCCATTGGCTTCAAGGCAAGTTTTATTCTTATTCGAAGGATAAAGAAAATGTCTTGCCAGTAATACATGGACTGATGATTTCATCTAGATCAAAGAAGAAGATGGAGGGGAAGAATGGTTCTCGTCCCGTCATGACGTCGAGAAAAGTTCCAGCATTTTCCGGATGCTTTATGTATGCATCTAGGATTGGTTGAACTTCTGCAATTTTCATTGTCTGATTTGACTCTAGTATCCCGCCGTGCCTGAGGAGGCAGATTATATTCCGGATGTCGATATCCGTGCTGGGGCCCATAGCGATTACGGCAGCATAACCCTACTATTCCAGCGTCCCGGACAGCCCGGACTGGAGATAAAGACTCCATCCGATGAGTGGGCATCTGTACCTGTCATTCCAAACGGGACCGAGTCCGACCCGTCTCCACCCATTCTTGTCAACATTGGTGACCTTTTATCTTACTGGACTGATGGTCTCCTCAAATCTACCGTGCATCGAGTGATTTTCCCATCTGATGCTCGAAGAGGCGGAGAAGACCGATACTCCATTGCTTACTTCCTCCATCCATGCCCAGAGGTAAATCTGGTTCCAATTCCTAGTGAGGTAGTGGCTTCTAGGGGCAAAGGAGAGGGCATCACGCAAAGTAAGAGGGTGTTGACGGGGCAGCAACATTTAGACGAAAGACTGGCCGCTTCTTACGGATGGAAATCAGAGGACAAGAAAGCGTAACTCCGCAATCAGGCCTTTCCAGTCCACTCAAGTATTTGGACTCTAGGTAAAGAGCTCAGACGTTGCATCGGCGGTATCCCTCCTCCATCTTGGACCTTATATAAACAACGCAGTAAAATGTAACGACTTTCTTGCATGGCTGAGGAGCGGAAGCTAATTTTAGCTTCCCGGATTTATTGGTTTGACACGTAATTCAAGCAACTTCTTGAGGGAAACATTTGCCAGTCCTAGTACAAATTTGATATTTTTTCTTCGTATGTCCTGGATTATTCATGGCTGTCAAGATAAATTGCGGACCTCGGAAGTGGCTTGTTGCTTGAAGTGGTCAAGTACCGTTAAAGTGATTTTGCGCTCCGTACCTAAGGTACATGCGTGGCGTTACCACACTTCTTTTAGTCAGAAACTGGGCGCCGTCATCGAGCGGCAACGGTGTCTTTTCTCGATACGGCGCACCCATTTATCGTCACCGAAATCCGCCTGTCTTGTCCGAGCTCCAAAACAACTGACAACAAAGGACAACCTGTGTCACGACGCTTGGAGACCTTCTGGTATATATAAATTTCCATAAACGCAGTCATCGAAGCTTCGTCTCAATTGTACTATCATGGTTCGTCTGAGCCATCTCCTTGCCTCGTCACTGGCGGTGCTTGGCGCTAGTGCCGCCTCAGCTGTTGTCGACCTTATCCCGGACAATTTCGACAGTGTCGTTTTGAAGTCTGGCAAACCAGCGCTCGTCGAGTTCTTCGCACCATGGTGCGGACATTGCAAGAACCTTGCTCCTACCTATGAGAAGCTCGCCGAAGCCTTCACTTTTGCTGAGGACAAGGTGACTATCGCCAAGGTCGACGCCGATGCCCATCGGTCCCTTGGACAGCGATTTGGTGTTCAGGGCTTCCCTACCCTGAAATGGTTTGATGGCAAGAGCGACAAGCCTATTGAATACAACAGTGGCAGAGATTTTGAGAGCTTGGAGCAGTTCATTACGGACAAGACTGGTCTCAAGGCCAAGGTTAAGAAGGAGTTGCCTAGCAATGTCCAAATGCTCAACGATCAGTCCTTCAAACAGGAAGTTGGCAAGGACAAGGACGTTCTCGTGGCTTTCACCGCGCCGTGGTGTGGACGTATGTGACCTTCAAAACCCCCATCCATTCAAACATCACATGCCTAGGACCCTGCTAAATTAAGGAAACAGACTGCAAGAGCCTTGCGCCCATTTGGGAGACCCTCGCCAACGACTTCCAGTCCGAGCCCACCGTTTTGGTTGCCAAGGTCGACGCCGAAGCTGAGAACGCAAAGGCTCTGGCCCAAGAGCAGCTAATCGCTTCTTACCCTACCATCAAATTCTTCCCCAAGGGCTCCACTGAAGCGCTGCCCTACAACGGGGATCGTTCAGAGAAAGACTTCGTTGATTTCCTCAACGAACAGGCGGGCACTCACCGTACTGTTGGTGGCGGATTGGACATCAAGGCTGGCACGATTGACGCGCTGGACGCTGTTGTTGCCAAATTCACTGGTGGAGAGACCCTTGCTGCCGTCTCCGAGGAAGCTCAGAAGGTCGCCAAAGACCTCAAGGATACATACGCCGCGTACTACGTCCGCGTGTTTAATAAGATTGGAGCTAGCGAGGATTACGCACAGAAGGAATTGAAGCGGCTGCAGGGTCTCCTAAAGAAGGGCGGCCTTGCACCCGCCAAGGTTGATGACCTTGTTTCCCGATCCAACATTCTCCGGAAATTCACTGCCACTGAGCAGGGCAAGGACGAATTGTAAATGGGTCGGTCATGTAAATTTTCAATGCAGATCAAAAAGGAACATAAAAGTAGATCTAGTTTGAATATTTGATCTTGAAAGAGAGACCACATGAGGAATTTCCTCTTTCCTCAATGCTTTATGCTCTAGTCGTCTCAACCCTTGTTCATGATGCCAATGAAATAAAATCGTCCCAAACGCCAATTTATATATGCATATGTCCAAGAAGCTTGCAATCATCATAGAAGTTCGCCCATGTCATGAAGAGTGCTCCTCGCTGTCGCCGGACTGTAGGGTAGCCTCTATTGTGTCCAGCCGCTTCGACATCTCGTCAACTACAAAACGGGTTACAGTTAGCATGCTTCATCCCCACGTCTCATAACATTTCCTTGAACCAGTATACACGAAAACTCACTCTTCGCAAGAATCTCCGTTGACACGGATGTGAATTTCTTCTCCAGCCCATTCAGCAGCTCGTCCACCGAAGCTGCCAGTTCCGCGGGACCATCTCCTGCAATCTATATAATCCGACAGATGTCAGCCAATCCATTCAACGAATCTAACTGGCCCCAACATAACTCTCGCAGAATTTGACCCCAGAGAAACAGGGGCAACAATTTCAACATACTTCATCTGATTCTAGATGCCCATCCGCAGTAACCTTGTCTTGGGATGGTGACGACATTTTCACACACACACACGCACTCAAGCAGCGCGGCGGATCGGACAGGCGCGACTGGGATCTGGCTTGATTTGTTCAATCGAGGGGCGATAGTTCGAAGAACCGGGAAGAACCTCGTACGTTTGGGAGAAATTTGCGCGCCCTTCGTCTCAGGGAGCTAAAGCGTTCAAGAAGCAATGATGCGAGGGTAAGAGGCCGCGCCCCAGTGTCGAGACACGGATATAGCTCAGGAACCCCGGAACCAAAGAGTCGCGCTTGCGCTTCGAGGGTGCTTGGTGTCAAGTTAAGTCACTTTGGACGGGGTCCCACTTCGGGGGCGGCGTTGGCGGGAGTCGCTTGAGGTCTCTAGCTAAGAAGTTAACTGTAATCCCGTTCTGACTGGGCTAGGCTGACCGACGAGCGGTAGCGAGGAAACCTCGACACGCAACGAAGTCAATGTCAATGATTTTCAGATTCAACTTTTGTTGAATAAGATTAAAATTTAAACATTATGAGGGCCAATTTAATTGACTGATTAAAGACAGGTGAAAACAGTTTATTCTATATGCCATTGTTTGGTAGGTTCTGTGGGAATGAACGAGGATGCTATACTAATGGGCAGCCATGTCTAACGAAAACTTGTGACCATATTGAACGGTCACGCTATGATTGTTTCTTCAGAATGGTTGTAATTGCAAAATACATGCTCTTGACTTTCTTGAAACTGACTCGATCACTGCATTGCCTCTGCTAGGCCTTGTCTCAAATGCGTTGCTGACTACCAAAACATATAAACATTGATGTCAAGCACTTATATCGTCTGTATTCACACGAATTACTGTTCTCATTGCAGTCATACAGACCTTGCGCGTCCAGAAGCCTTTTCGAAGTCTTGTTCCTGAGTTTTGGTTGGGGATGGGTATCAGATTCTGGAGCCGTCAGGGCAGTCTGCTGTACGTGGTCACTCGAGTCCAACTTGCTATATTTAAACTGCATCAGAGACTGAACGTGAAGAACACAAAAACCTGAATATTCCTGCGCAGTACTGAAAGATGGAAATGGTGTCATGACCTCTTTTCCTGAAAATAGTGTAGCATTTGAATTTTCAGAGATCCGTTCAGGCCTGTGGTTCGAATCTGCAATACAAATCGATTTCGAGAGCAGGGCAGTACGGCTTGGATATTATGCTTGTCGAGATATCTCAACCAACCAATGTACGTAGGTTGCGTAGGCGGTTAGCTTTCAAAATATGCTTGTAAAGTTAACACTTTATTTTGCAAAGATTTCGAGAGTAAACACTTTGCCGTATACAATTTTGTCCAGAAACCGCAATTGGCATCATATTGGGTTTTTTAGCGGTTGGCAGAGAAGATTGCGCAGGAGCCAGTCAAATGATAGAAATTCTTCTTGAACCAATGCACAAGCTCGAATGAAAAAAATCCAAATTATTACTCCGTGAAAAGGATTTAGTAACGTGACGTGCAACGTATTTTGGAGGGCCGAGGGTTCATCAGATTGTGCTCTCGTTCAGGTGAGGGAAAGAAGTACAAAAAATAAGATTCATCTCATGCATTCAAATCAAGGGAGAAATAATAACAGAATTACTGCAATAAAAAAAAATCTTAGAACCAGGGTTTATTTCTCCTGTGCATGGCACAAGGCATTGGGAGAAGTTCATGTTGACAGGCATAGGAGTGCGGAGGATCCCAAAGAGGAATAGTGCACGATTGGAAGCGCAGCGGCGGTGTTCGCGCCGAGACGCCGACAACTTCGGTTTTGACGAAAAAGTTCCCAAAACGAAGCGTCGATTTCCCTACGCTTTGACTGGGGAAACACTTTCCGTCAAACAACAATTTTTTCTCCCCCTTTCACCTGCATAACAATCCGCGACAGACATCATGGTGAAGAAAGGAAAGCTCAAGGCGGCTCTCGAAGCCCATAAGGGCGTCAACTGGAAACTCGAGCACGAGAAGAGAGTGCGAAAAGAGGCCGAAAAGAAGAATCGCACAAAGCAGGAAGCTGCTGCAGAGAAGGCAAACGAAGAACAGGGCAGCGAGAGCGAAGAAGAAGAGCAGGATGGAAAACTGCAAATGAAGGAGGTCGGCGAAAGCGAGGACTCCAGCGCCGAAGAGGATGGCGAACAATGGGAGACCGATGAGGATGAAGAGGAAGAAGACGAGGAACCTCAACTGGTATGAATGCAATCCTTATAAAAATTTCTCATTTACTTCAACGACTGTATGATTGCAACAGATGGGCTAACCAAGATTTTTTCCCCTAGATTGACATGGCAAACATTGATGACAGCGAAAGCGAGAGCGAGAGCGACATCAATGGTCCCGAGGACGATGAAGACGAGGACGAAGACGAAGAAGAGGAAGAGGAAGAAGAAGACATTGCTCTCTCCGACATTGAAGATCTGCCCGAAGAAGAAAAAGACGACCTTGTTCCGCACCAGCGATTAACAATCAACAATGGTCCTGCGCTGCAAAAGGCATACAAATCAATTGCCCTCCCGCTTTCCTCGCTCCCCTTTTCCGCCCACCAATCCATTACTTCGTCCGAACCTACCAAGATCGAATCCATCGACGACGACCTCACTCGCGAACTGGCATTCTACAAGCAGTCTCTTGGCGCTGTGATTGCTGCCCGCGAGAAGTTGCGCAAGGAAGGCGTCCCCTTCACCCGGCCGACGGATTACTTTGCCGAAATGGTCAAGAGCGACGAGCACATGGGCAAGATCAAGGGCAAGCTGGTTGAGGAGGCGTCCCGCAAGAAGGCCTCCGCTGAGGCCCGCCGACAGCGCGACCTCAAGAAGTTTGGCAAGCAGGTGCAAGTTGCCAAGTTGCAGGAGCGTGACAGGGCCAAGCGCGATACGCTTGACAAGATTAAGCTCTTGAAGCGGAGTATGTTTTCCCTTTTTTACACCCTCTTTTCGTAGGATTCTTGCTGACGTTTCAATTCTTTCTTTTCTAAGAGCGCCAATCCGGTGACATTGAGGACGCCAATGAAAATGACCTTTTCGATGTGGCTCTCGACGATGCTGCCGCTGACGCCAAGAAGCAGCAGCAGCAGCGATCAGGCGCCAACCCGAAGCGCCAGAAGCGCGATGCTAAATTCGGCTTTGGCGGCAAGAAGCGTCACGCCAAGAGCGGTGATGCCTTTTCCAGCTCCGACATGACCGGCTTCTCAGCCAAGGCTATGAAGGCCAAGGGAAGTAAACCTGGCAAGGGCGGAGCGGCCAAGCGGCCTGGCAAGAGCCGAAGAGCCAAGAAGGCTTGAAGGAGCCTACGCGATTTAGTCGAGATGATTGACCTCTATTGGTTTCTCCATGATTTCGTCTGTTTGGTGTATTCATTTCTTCATACGCTTATATTCTATGTTCGTGGTTTCTCGTTAGTTCTACAGACAACCGGCGGGGGTAAAAAGTGTTTGTGTCATTGGCTTTGCTTGCAATCTTCATCATTGGCGTTTTGATGCCCGCTGTTGCGTGTATTGTATTTCTTCTAGATTTAGGCATTAAAAATGCACTCAAAGGGCATTTAAGAGATTTTGAAAAGGATCACTTTTGTCAATGGCTTTCACTCATGCAAAAAATCTGAACGAATCAATTGGGAATATCTGCCATTTAAAGAGCTGTTTATCTCCATAAGATCAAGTAAACAGCAAGCATAATAAGAGGCATGACAAGCCAAACTGCCAGATAGCGCCTAAGTATCCCTAGAATGGGTATCATAAGAAGCAGTTGCAGATGATGTAAATTTCAAAGAAATGCGAGCAGAAAATTATTGAAAGTAGTCACTTAAATGGTGGTCGAGATTGGCCAAACATTTGAAGCATCTACTGATACCTATGATCGAAAAGTGTACTAGACGGTGGTATGTTTCAAGCCAGGTGACTTGTGACGCACTCAGTACTTTCGATTGATAGGTTTGGGGAAGCGCGGGGCTTTGGCGTCCTCTCCGGACGGCTGAGTGCCATCTGCAGCCTGCTCCTCGGCCATGGCGCGGAGGCGATTGATAAGATTACTAAATGGTCAAACTGTTAGCTGGAGGGCCTACGGTCAAAGCGAAGAAGCCTTTTTCTTAAACTGGGTGGAGGCGAAACTTACTTTACAGGAAGGTACGGCCTCTGCTCTTGATAGACTAAGTCAATGAGTTGCTCCGGACCATCAGCATGACTGCGAAAATGGATTTTGATCCTGTCTTTGCCTCCTGGAGTAGACGCTCCGTAGACCTTGTGCGAGCATCCGTCAAAGGTACAGGTCCAGGTATCACCGGGGCCCTGAGCAACAGTGGAAGGAAGCGGCTCTTCAACTAGTTTAAGAGAAGCTTGCTCGATGATCCCATCTGGCTTCTTCCACTGGACCGGGAGAGACTCATCATCGGGGTCAGCGGGTTCGTCCTCGTCGGACTCGCTGAAAAGTTGATCGAGTAGCTGTTTGCCAGAGCGTCCCTGAGCCTCCGTCTGGGTCATCCGAGTGCTAGGAGAAATAAATGGCTCGACTTCCATATCATCTTCGTCAGCTTCCTCCTCCTTTGGCTGTGGAAGTCGTCCCCGTCGTCCAGCGGCCTTGTTGGCGTATTTGGAGCTGCGAGGTCGAAGGACCGACTTCCCTTTGCGGCCCTTGCGGCCCTTGCGGGAGGTCTGAGCGGCTGGAGTAAGGTTAAGTTCATCACTGTCGCTATCAATGACGATGGGATGCTCTGAGTCCGACATGGTTGAAGTGCGACGGTCTGATCGTTTGTTTGAAGCTGACCGACGCAGAGGCAGTGGTTGAATTGGAGTAGTGACGAGACGCTTGTAGACTTGGCTTTGTGTCCACCAATTACCGGGAGGTGTTGTTTTGAGAGCCCGAATGAGCGAGTCTCGGTGAGCGAATATTAACTCGTTAGCCTCTGCCAGACTTTCAACCTCGGTCTCACACAAAGCCTTTGCTAGGAGGTCTAGCGTGACTTGTTTGTAAAGTAATTTTTTCTGGGCCTTAACTCCACGCATTGCTTCAATGATGACCTGAACTTGTTCATCTTCTTCATCATTAGCAGTGGGCTCCGGGGGCACTTCGACGCTCTGCGATGACTCTTCCTCTTCATCCTCGTCAGATTCATCGTCCGAATCAGAAACAGCTCGATTGACCTTCTCCTGCGCCAGCGCATACTCCTCCTAAGCTCGATTAATAAATTTTGTCTAGCCTATAAATATGATGCAGGCCACCTACAGGAAATTCCTTCTTCAAATGCTTCATTATCGGCGACCTTGCCCAGGGAGGAGGCTTCTCGGACTTCTTGAGCATAGTCGCGAACAAGAAATTGTGATGTTTATAAAATATTTCCGCAACATCATCTTCACTAGCATCCTCGAGGTCGTGTGCAACAGCGTACTGAATGTGTCAGTTGACAGAGAACAGGAACAAGGACAACAGGCCAGTCATACCTTTTGCAATCCAATGCTCAAGGCACCTTTCATTTTCCTCCGAGCTCTCTTCTTTGTCAAATGCCTGTATTCATCTTCCAGGTAATACAGAACACGCACGGCCTCCGTCATCTCATCAAAGACCGGCGCATAATCTTCTGAAGGACGGATCTCAAACCAGCCCGTCCTGCCGGCGGCCCAAAGGGCCAATTGCCCATTTTCATATTGGCCATACGCGAACTTCTTCACGTTGACAATTTTTATATCCTTTGGCAGAGAGCGCTTCTGAACTGGAGGGCCAAGTTATAAGTATTCGAAAATGAATGGCCTGGGTCCGCGGGAGTACCTACTAAGATGCCTAGCTAGGCCTCTATCAACGCTCTCGAGGCGGCCTTCGACAACGACCGGGCTGTCGCTATCGGCCACCAACAGGCTTGTTGGAGTCTGAGGGTCGTCTGCTTGATAGACAAATACGTCGACAAGCTCGAATGTCGGCCAGTCATCACTGTCTCCGATGGTGGGGTCAACCGGTTTCAGGACGTTCTCCTCGAGGAATCGCATCATAAAGGACAAAGATATCTCGTCATCATAAGGAAAGGTGAAATACGCAGATGCTTCATTAGCGGCAATTGGATATATCAGCTCATGAGCTGAAAGAGCGTCGACATTCCACACATCAACAGAGATATCTCGCGCTCTCTTCCCCAGTTGAACGTGTCAACGGACGGGAGCTGGGAGGTTCAATGCGTCGTGGGATTATTCGGATTTACTGGCCGCAAGAGGTTAAATCATGGATTACTTCGGATTAATTAATGTCCGACTGCTGATTGCATCGCAACACCATTTGCTTGCCGTAGCGAATTTGGTGGGATGATCCGCACACGCTACGGCGAACGAATAATTCCATGGGCGAAGAAATAGGGTCCAAAATATTGAAACGAAGTTAGAGCATTATTGTTGCGTCAGCTTTTGCTAGTCCTCGAAAGGGTCTGGAAGATATTCCCGTCGTCATCAATCCTCAAGGTATCGAGGAAAAGACAAGGAGGACTCTTCTTCAGCGCTCTTGCGCTCTAGTCCTGCTATTCTTCCACTTCGCTCGCAGCCAATGTTCAAAGCTGCTGGACGTTTCCAGAAAGCCATCATGACCGACAGCAAGATCGTCGAAGGCGTCTTCGGTGTGTTTCCCTTTGGAAGTTTGTCTCCCCCGCGCCGGTAATACTGACGTCTTGTTAAATAGCCATCAATAAACCCCCATCTATTAGCTCAGCGCAAGTTCTCCGCGACTTGCAAACACATTTCAACCCTTCCAAATTATTTGCGCCCTGGCTCTCCGCTGAACGAAAGCGTCTCGAATCCGAATATGCGCGGCAAGGGCGAAGAAAGCGGGGCAAGGCGAAGCACTTGAATGTCAAAATGGGTCACGGAGGCACACTTGATCCAATGGCTACAGGAGTGCTTATTACGGGAGTGGGCAAAGGCACAAAGGAACTTCAGAAATTCCTCGAATGCACAAAAGTGTACGAGACAGTCGTGTTATTCGGTGTTGCGACAGATACATATGATCGGTTGGGCAAAGTCCTCAGACAAGCGCCCTTTGAACACGTTACGCGGGAGAAGGTCGAAGAAGCGTTGAAGCAGTTCCGAGGAAATATAATGCAGCGGCCGCCAATCTTCTCTGCACTACATATTGATGGAAAGAGATTATACGAGTACGCGCGCGAAGGCAAACCGCTCCCAAGAGAAATTGAAAAAAGACCTGTTTCGGTTCCGGAGCTGGAGATTGTGGAGTGGTACGAGCCTGGCACGCACCAGTATCAATGGCCGACAGAGCAAGCAGAGAAGGAGTCAAAAGACGCAGCGGAGCAGGTCCTCCACTTGAGTGAGGTTGCACCGGTTGAGCCAGCCGCTGTGCCTAATTCAGACCAATCTTTGCCAGAACCATCAGCTCCAGCAGCAGCATCTGACGACGCTGGATCAAAGCGCAAACGCAGTCCTGAGGCTCAGGCCGAATCTGACGCTGATGCCACGACAGCCAACCCCGAGCCTCTTCTAAAGCGACAAAAAGCAAGTGCTGAAGGAGGTACCATGTCCGGTGCTCTCCCAACTGCATCCGAAACCGGCGAGACATCTGCACAGGCGGAAACCGCACCCCCTCAAACAGCCACCAGACCTCCGGCAGTTAAGCTTCGAATGACAGTAACATCGGGGTTTTATGTCCGCTCATTGTGCCACGATTTGGGAGAAGCGGTAGGTTCTCTTGCGATCATGAGCGAACTAATTCGTAGTCGACAAGGTGGATTTACAGTGGGGCAAAATGTCTTGGAGTATGATGATTTGGCCAAAGGAGAAGATGTGTGGGGGCCGCAAGTGGAAAGGATGTTGGATGAGTGGAATGATAAGGACAAGAACGGTGATGGCGAAAAGAGCAAGGAGAGTCAGACTCAAGCTCCGAAATCGAGGGAAAACCAAACTCAGGGACAAACCCAGGCGGAGTCTCCAAAGTCACCAAAATCGATGCAAAACAAATCGCAATCGCCGCCTGTACCGAGCAATGCAGCAGAAAAGACAGAACAATCTGATGCTGTAGCATAGATGAAGACACATTAAAAGAGAGCAGTAGACATGTTTCGTAAATTCGTATAATATCCAAAAGATATGAACAAAAAGCTTAGACTTGGTTCGTATCATCCTATGATCTGCTAAGAACGCATTGTGTATGAAAAACCATAAAGCGTGATATCGCATATAAAATGGTCTCTAGTACATATAAAAATCATAACGCCATTCCAGAAAACCCCTCTACCATAATTGCTTCAACCCTTGTCATCCATGGCATCATATCATTACAGCAGGACCGGCCTGCTTAAGCGCGAAAAAATAGTGGTGGAAACAACTCTACTCTATCGTCCTGGCCAGTTCTTCATCGACGTCTCTGTCTGCGGCACGAGATGCGGGCACATCTTCCTTTTCCTCATGGTTGATGAAAGCGAACGATAGGAAGACGACGCAGGCACCGAGCCAATACATTGGGCCCGATCTTTGATCATTGAGGATGACCTGGCCCACGATGGAAAGCGGAATAGTAAGACTGAGGCCCACAGTAACGATAAGGGGAGAAGTCAAGAGCATCGCATAGGCCCAAGTAAAGTCAGATAACACAGAAGTTAATCCGTTGAACTATCAGACAGATTAGCTTCCAGGGTCACTGCACACCACTCAATCGTGACATCAAGACAAACTTACAAACACAATGGAGAAAATTCGAGCAGTGGGAGGCAGTTGGAAACTCTCCACTCCAGTAAAATGAAGAATGATAAAGCCCGGCCACAGGAGCAGCAAGTTGAACAGCCCCACGAGCCCAAAGAATAGCGGCATTTGAACCCTGCTTTCATTGCCGATGCGCTTCTTTAAAAGGACGGTATAAAGGCCATACATGACAGCGCTGAGGAAAGCTAAAGTGTCGCCGAGAGCTATTTGACCTTTTGATTTATGAGGGAAGGAACCTCTATTCTCATCAGTCTCCCCAGAGAGATCAACAGATGAGACTAGAATGACTCCAGCCATGGATGCCAAGACTCCAATGAACTTCTTCAAGGTAAAATGTTCAACCCGAAGGACAGAGCCAAAGAACAACGTCCAGATACTGCTCGTTGACAACAGAATCGTGGAGCTTGCCACACTGGTGTATTCTAAGCAGGCCGAGGTAAAATAGTTTGCTACGAACCAGATTATGCAGAATTCGAGACTGAGCTTCGCAGTCTCTTTGAAGGTGAGCGGTACATCATCTTGGCTTATCCTTGAAGCGGCGATCGACTCGGAGTCTCCAACTTGACAATCTACAGACCGTCTAGATTCAACGTTATCGGGTTTTGCTACAGAGCCACGCCCAGAGGAGTGGACTGGAACATAGCCGCTTGATCGCCTCCTCCAAATGCTCGATAAATCAATGGGAATGCCCGACCTGCGGGTCTTCAGGAGGTGTCGGATTGCGCTTGGAACGAGCGCAAGAGAAAACAGAGCTGTGTTGAAATATGTTACCAGGTAAGGTTTCGAATATGTGTTGTCTGCGAAGATCGTCTGGCAAACAGTTGATTAGAAGTCATCCCAGAGGTGGGGGTTACAATAAGATACTTACGCTAGCAAGGAAGTTGGAGGTTGTCCAGAGAAACACAGTAACAAGTAGAAGAATAATTCCAACGCTCCAACGAGCGATGCTCTTGAAAGAATTCTCTCTCCTCGACATTGATTCCGTGTAGTTGGCAAGGAGTGGAGTTTCAGGGCCAACTGTCGAGCTGGTTGCCCCTACCAGCGGTGGTGAAGTACTGGTGCCTTCGCCGCCTTTGGATGGTGAGGCGGACATACTGCCGAGGTAAGGGAGAAGTAGAAAAGCACGCGACAATTAAGAAAACAAATGCTTAGCTATAACGAGCTCTCAAATTCGTCTCAAGAGATGAAGGAGACAACATAGACGATAGGAAAGAAATAATGGTAGAACCTGGACAAGACATCACGACCAATGCCGGCGGCAGCAAGGTGACAGAACAATCATTAATTGATACGAGAGATAGGCAGGCCAGTGACCAATATGACGCCTGTAGATCATTTCAAGCCCGATGATGTGCTTGTACTTACCAGATTAAGAAATATTCGCGATACGAGTGTCCGGATACCCTGCTGCCTGACTATCAAAGTCCCTCCCCACCAAGGGCGCTGACACGTACAGATTACCATATCTGACACCCGCGCAAGATAAGACGTCTGAGATTCCAACAGTAATAATAAACAAATGAGTCAACACATTAAAAGATGTTTACGAGGGCACGTAAGCTGATCGTAATCTATGTCAAAGCGTGTGTTATATGTACAACATTGGCCATATTCGATAGCTTATATTCTCCTCAATTAGTAATTCTGCAATTCTGCGGCGCTGAAAGAGCAAACGATAGTAGACAGACAATGATGTGTAACGATTACAGGCATGTGCAATGAACAGTGTGGAACAGGCAACGACGTTTCTGGCTTGATTTGAACAGATCTATTCGCCCAGTCTTGACTCGACATCTCTGAATCGAGCCAGAAGGAAAGAAGGTGTTAATACAATTATAGTGGTATCTTCGTTAACAGGCACAGCCGCCCGGTTCGTTGAAGTTGTCCAAGGGTATCGGGTCGCCGTAGTCGCCATTGTACTCTTCCGACTCCTCTTGAGCTAGAGCCTGTCTTGCAATAACTGTTCGAAAGATTAGCCGCCACGAGCTCAATGAAAATAGACAGCTAAGCCACGGCTGTGTGGACCTGATGCCGACAAATCAGGGGCAATATGCTCACCTTCAAAGGCCTGCTCTACATTGACTGCCTCCTTTGCACTCGTCTCAAAATAGGGAATGCCGCCCTTAGATTGACAGAAGGTCATGGCACGCTTCGAAGAGATCTATTCACCCAGAATTAGCATTGCTGTGGAAAGCTGGCGTGTCCAGCATACCATCCGTTTGTTTTCCTCCACGTCGATCTTATTTCCAAGCACGACCTGCTTAATATCAGCACAGAGTCTTCCTGACAAGTCTACAGCGGAATCCTTACAAAAGGGAAGCTTTCTGGATCCCGCGGGCTGGCTTGAATAAGAAATTCGTCCCTCCAGCTATCCAGCGCATCAAAGCTCTTTGAATTATTAACGTCGTAAACAAGCACGCAGCAGTCTGCGCCTCGGTAGAATGCTACGCCAAGTGACTGGAATCGCTCCTGGCCGGCAGTATCCCAAAGCTGATTTATTGTCAGTATGTAGCTTTCTTTTGTTGCCCGTTTGAAACTTTCCTGCATCGTAACGAGTCGATCATCCACAAGAACTTCCTTGGTGAGGAAGTCCGCTCCAATTGTAGCCTTGTAGCTTGCGCTGAATTTTTTGTTGACCTGAACATAAGTTTAGCCACTTGACATGATCGAAGCCCAACACTGTTGAATCGGAATGTTCAATTGCGATCCTTGCTTTCATGGGTAACGGACATATTGATTCATCAAACTCGTCTTTCCAACACCGCTGTCGCCCAAGATGATGACCTAGGAAACCAGAATGCAGATTAGAATAGGTTTTTCTTTCGTTTTGGAAGGCGACATTTGAGGTCTACCTTCAATAAAACCTTCCTACGGGACGCCATTGTTGAGACCTCTGGGATGTAGCTTTCGGATCAGACAAAGCTATCGGCGACGTTAGCTTCTATTTCATTATTGCGCCAAAGTTCTTATGACGGCGAGTATCGCACCTCAAAAGGTGACCTAAAATGATCACAATAATGTGGTTATGTAAGGAAGATCAACAGGTTGTCGCGTCGAGTTGTGATAGGATTGCTTGGGTCTTGAGGTTGCTAGTCGGGCGCAGTACCAGCGCCTTGAGGCCGCCGACAAGCGAACCGCCACTGCATTGACCCTTCCAACGCAAGGCTCCCCATGTCGTCAGGGAACGGGTCTTCTAAAGCCTTAGCTCACCTCGGCTAATCGTTGGACAGAGATCCCTTGTGTCTTGTAACATCTCATTCAAGGGAATAGGTATTGTGAGATTAGATCAAAAGGAAAAGAGATTCTATTTGGTATTCTTATATTATATCTCCTACTGTTGTATTGTAAAAAATGTATCAGCACAACTATCTCCTGTGTGACCGTAAACCTATGCAAGACCGTCGAAGCGCGCCCATGCTGAATTCCTTAAATGTCCACCAGAAACGCCAGAACAGAAAAAGACCCACAAGCAAGACTATAATTTCGATCTTACTGCCTCTAATCGAAATTTCACATCTTTGAGAACTTTGCTCGAAGGCTTCCAGGACTCGTACTGTTGAAGCAATTGTGCTGTCTCGCTACGCAATTGTTGTCTTACTACATCTTCTTCGAGTAAGCCTCTCAATGCCCACGGTAAATAATAAGGATTGGCACTCGTGGGTGCCTCGTATCTTTGTATCGAAAGTGGTACATCTCCGATCGATGTGGTTTCTAGAGCATGCTCCACAGCAAGGCTAAGGAAGTAGATTAGCATGTATTTGTAGAAAAAGGCGAAGCTTTTCTTACTTATAAACCGCCTGATCATCGTAAACACGAGAGTGCCCTTCTCCTGAATAGAGACTGCCGGCAAGCGGAGAGCTCAGCTCTCGAATGAGTCCGTGGTCTGAGATGCCAAGGTTCCGCATCTTTAGGGTGAAGCCGACTAAATGCGTGATACTACAGCAAAGTAAGAAGAGAACTATGTAGAAGATCGCTGATACATACAAATCTGGGGCATGAATTCTCCCATCAACAAAGACAGCTCTATAAATGTACGGGTGACTAATGTTTGAAAATGTGGAAGACTAAAACAGTAGTTAGCACTTTCGCTTCATATCCACAGTAACAGAAGCCACTCACCTCAAGAGAAACAAGTTGATCGTCTATACTGCCAATATACACAATCCTCACGCCATGTTTCAAAGCCAAGCCCAATGCCTCCTCATACCTTTTTGAAACGGCACTGTTGGGATTCGCAAAGTCGAACAATTCTCCAGCTGAGCCACTGAGAAAACGCGATTTATAGTCCTGGAAAGGGCCCAGGTTTACACCAGCCATTGCGCAGACCCCTATCCGAGCAGATGTGACGCATCCCATTGCAATGAGCTTAGCTACCAGCATCAATGCAACTGGCACACCTTGTGAATGGCATGCAACGAGGATAAAATCTGCCTGGCGTATGTGGTCGAGCCAATTCAACATTAGCTTCCACAGGGTGTCAACACGATCGGCAATTTTCCCTTCTCCCTCGAGAGCAATTTTCTCAATCTCACAAGAGTATCCTCGATCATTGACCCATTTCTCAATGGCAGCTGCAGCTCCATTGGCAAAGCGAATGGAAGTCCCTGTGGGCTGACCGAGAACAGTTCGTATAAGCGGAGCGGGAAAATAACCATGGACACCTATTGCGAGGGCTCTTTTAATCCTTGGCGGGTCTCGCGCAATGCTCAAGTGCCTCGGCCCCGAGTCATGTCCCGGAAGTAATAAGCGACTTAAGTGTTGAAACATAGATAGGTTCTGTGCTGGCTGGTAGGTGTTTTTGATGTCCGGCAATAATAGATTGGGTACAGTTTGGCGCACTTCCTTTGCAGCTGTGACATCCACCTGTTTTGGCTTCGGTGCTGGGCTTTGCGCTGGCGAAGATTTGGCAGGTGGACCGGGCTTTGGCCCAACGAAAGATCGAGATACCCCCTCGTCCGATAATTCCATAGACTCTGGCCGCTCCCGCTTAGAGGGTTTCTTAGGTTCTGGAGGGATTTGTTCCTTCGGCTGGCTAATGGATGTTCTTTCTGGCTGAGATTGAGATGGGCTATCTGCAACGGCAAGTTCTCCAACGTCAGACGAAGTTTGGCCTGGCACATTTGAGCCACGTCCCTTGGACCAAAAAGCCCATCCGGAGGACCGTGCAGGCGTACTCTGACCCTCTGGTTGTGATGAATCTGGAGGAGGTACAGAAGCTTCGTTTTTTGACTCTGAATCAGTAGGCTTGTCATTTAGGTCTTTCGAGGGCGCCTCGACCTGTGGAGAAGCCTCGTTCTCAGCATCGTTCGTCCTTGATTCACCGCCTGGCTGTGGATTTGCTGTGAAAAATCCAAGCCATGACCGAGATATGGTGGGGGGCTCCGTTGTTCTAGTTGAATGAGTATCTTTGGAATTTGTTTCGGGATTATTTTTACTATTATCCTCCGTTCTAGTAATGGATGTGTCAGTCAGACCCTCTGAGCGTACTGTCTCAGGCTCATCTGTTTTTGCTTGGTCTGCAGCTTTCGCAATGGTGCTGTTGTTTGAAAATTGCTCTTCTGCATTGGCCTTGTCATTATTGCTGAATTTGAACAGCCAACTGCGCCATGTGTTACTTTGGTTTTCCTGCGAGTCTTTCGGTTGTGGCTCAATTTTGAGGGCACCAGGGTTGTCAACCTCATCTTCCTTTTGAAGTATTTGCTTTGAAGTTTTGTCGGCATTCTGATCTTGGATTTGCTGGGTTGATTGACTAGCTGTATCTCCAGCATCTATAGCACCTAAGCTGGATGTGCTCTTGACCGGTAATTCGCTAGTACTGTTCGATACGTGCTCTACCGGATTTGATGTAACATTTAATTTAGTCGTGGTAGTAGCACAAGGAAGCGATCTCGAGCTGGCACCGCCCTGAGATAAGGACAGTGAAGGAGACCTAGCTTTGTCTTGCTTCTGCTTTCGTATAGTTTTGGCTGAGGATACTGAAGTTGAAATGGCATTACTGGCAGCGGATATGCTTTCGCGAGCGACTTCTGTTACAGGAGTCGCCTTCGACGACCTCGGCCAGCTGGAGCCATACCAGGTCTTGGGCTCTCGGAGCTGCTGTGCGTTAGAAAAGAAACGTTGGGAAGCGCGTTGATGGTCTCACAGCATGTGACGTCCCTCCCGTCTTAGAGTTTGAGGTTGAGGATGTGATCTTTTGATCTTTGTTTTGCTCCTGTCCGTCTATAGATCCTTTTTGAGACTCGGATAGATGGTGGACATGGGTGGATTCATCGGGATTGTTCTGTCCCTTATTTTGAATGGCTTCGCCCTTAGGGTTCGGCTTAGATCGTTTGCGGGGTCCCATAGGATAACAGAGAGAGGATATGGGCGCGCGAACGAACTATTTTCTGTTCATTCAACAGCTCATGAAGTCCGATCTGAGGAAAGATAAAAAGGCTTCAAATGAGCCCGACGCTATTGATTTTACAGTAAGTTGTGGTCATGAATGTGGTTGCACTGCTCCTGACACTTCGCTTCGTCATAGGCTGATAACGGTAGCAGTGACCTTATCCCGCTGCCTGTTCAATTAAAGGGGAGGGAATCTGGACCGAGGCTTAAGTGGAGACAAGCGAGACGAAACTAAATTCCGTCTCGCTAAAGGACCCCGGCGGGAAATCTTGGCGCGCGCTAAGTCCGATTTTTTGACATCGACAAAAAGAGAAGCATCCGCCTTCAAATTATCTGAAGAGCGTGTCTTTTCTATACCGGCAGAGCCGCCCACGAAGACTTTGCCGAAGCCGTGCAAGATGGCGATCCAAAAGAAGGTTGGTCTCTTGTTTGAGTTTATTATTCAGAATTGGAAGATGGTTTACTGACGACCTCAACAGCACGGTAAAGGTCGTCTTGACAAATGGTACAAATTGGCAAAGGAAAAGGGCTATAGAGCCCGTGCTGCCTTTAAGCTCATTCAACTCAACAAGAAATATCATTTCCTGGAAAAGAGCAAAGTTCTTCTTGATCTTTGCGCTGCGCCAGGGGTAAGTCACCGGTGCTAGAACGTTCTTCAAACCGTCAGCAGCTGACCTCGATCTAGTCATGGTGTCAAGTCGCCGCGGAGACTATGCCCCCCGGGAGCCTGATTGTCGGTGTCGACCTTGCTCCTATCAAGCCTATTCCCCGAACGATTACCTTCCAAAGTGATATTACGACGGAGAAATGTAGAGCCACGATTAGGCAACATTTGAAAACTTGGAAGGCGGATGTCGTCCTTCACGATGGAGCGCCAAATGTCGGTACAGCTTGGGTGCAGGATGCTTTCACACAGGCAGAGCTGGTGTTGCAATCGATGAAATTGGCGACAGAATTTTTGGTTCAGGGTGGAGTCTTCGTTACCAAAGTTTTCCGATCTAAGGACTACAATGCTCTATTGTGGGTTTTCAATCAGCTATTCGAAAAGGTAGAAGCAACGAAGCCACCATCATCGAGAAACGTCTCGGCCGAAATTTTCGTCGTCTGTAGAGGTTTCAAGGCACCAAAGCGCATTGACCCACGATTCCTTGATCCCCGGAACGTTTTCGCGGAGCTTGCTGACCCGACGCCGAACAACGAAGCCAAAGTCTTCAATCCGGAGAAAAAGAAGCGCAAGCGAGAGGGTTATGAGGAAGGCGATTGGACACAGTACCATGAAGCACCGGCCAGCGAATTTATTCAGACCACGGACCCCATTGCAATGCTAGGCTCTCTGAACTGTTTGAGCTTCGTGCAGCCAGCTAATGGCGACGTTGCGCTTGCAGCGCTCGAAAAGATGCCAGAAACTACGCAGGAAATCCGTGATTGCTGTGCGGATCTCAAAGTGCTCGGTCGAAAAGAATTTCGTGACCTTTTGAAGTGGCGTTTGAAGATCAGAGAAAAGTTCGGGTTTTCATCGAAGAAAAAGGCTGCTCAAGAAAAGGAGGGAGAAGAAGTAGCGGAGGTGGCTCCAATGGATGAGGAGTTGCAGATTCAGGAGGACTTGCAGAGAATGCGGGACCAGGAGAGCTCACGGAAAAAGAAAGAGAGAAGACGGGAAAATGAGCGAAAGCAAAAGGACATTGTTCGAATGCAGTTGCACATGACAACTCCCATGGATATTGGTCTCGAACAGGCCGGTCCCTACGGTGAGGAAGACATGTTCGGGCTTAAGGCTGTAGATCGGGCTGGTGCAGTGGACAAGATTGCGAAGGGAAAGATGAACTACGTGGTCAATGCGCCACAGGATCAAGAAGAATCCGAAAATGATTCCGACGCGAGCAGTGACGAGGATGGCGACCAGCTCGAGGGCACTCTCGACGCCATGTACGAACAGTATCAGGAGCGGAAGTCAGAACTTGATGCGAAATACCGGGCTAAGAAAGCTCGAAAAGAGCATGAGGATGGGGATTGGGACGGCTTTTCCGATAAAGAGGGTAGCAGCTCAGATGAAGTTGAGGGGCAGGAGGAGGATAGCGATGACAGCTCATCCTCCGATGAGGACGATGGGCAGCCTTCTAAAAAGTCTCTTGTCACCTCCCTCGATGATATGAATGGCACTTCTGGTAAGGGGCTTACGAAACGCGCGACGATGTTCTTTGATCAAGATGTTTTCAAGGATATTGATGGGCTTCAAGATGGCCAGGAAGAAGGCGAAGATGAAGAATTGGATGAAGATATGGAAGATGAGCTGGATGCGCTCGAGGCATCTCGAAAGACCAAGGCTCAGAAACCTTCGAAAGCTGCCAGCAAAGGGGAATTACAATTATCCGCTGCGTCAAATAGGAACAATGGCAAGCCTGCCGAGCTCGAGGGCGCTGAAGACGATGAGTCGGACGAAGGTGGTTTCGAAGTGGTCAAGAACAAGGATGCCAAGAGTGAATGGGAAGCGCAGGGCGAGCCAACCAAAGATGGTCGGATGGGTAAGTTCTCGCAAAAGCAAGTTTTCGACAGAGTTGAACGTTGACTGTGTTGCTAGATATCGACATTATTACTGCTGAAGCTATGACCTTGGCCCAGCAACTTGCATCCGGCGAGAAAAGCAAGTACGATTTAATGGACGAGACCTACAACAAATATGCTCTCCAGGACCGCGACGGCCTCCCCGAATGGTTCCTCGACGATGAAAACAGACACAGCAAACCGCATCGACCCATTACTGCTCAGGCCGCAGCGGCACTGAAGGAGAAGATGAGAGCGCTCAATGCTCGACCCATCAAGAAGGTGCAAGAGGCAAAGAGCCGGAAGAAGTTCAAGGCTGCGCAGCGACTGGAGAAGCTACGCAAGAAGTCTGCTCTGTTGGCTGATGAGGGTGACATGACCGAGAAGGACAAAGCCCAAAGCATCGCGAAGCTCATGAGCAAGGCCGCAAAGAAGAAGCCTAAGCAGCCCGTCAAGTTGGTTGTTGCCAAGGGTACTAACCGGGGTATTTCCGGTCGCCCAAGAGGTGTCAAGGGCAAGTACAAGATTGTCGACGCTCGAATGAAGAAGGATCTGCGGGCACAAAAGAGACTCTCCAAGAAGAGAAAGTGAACCAAAAAAAGCATAGCTAGGGCATTTTATGGCGTAACCAATCTACTAAGGTATATTTTGAGGCATTATTTGCGTTGTAGATAGACTTGTTCCTTCTCTTCTCGCTGCGAACCTGATAAATTATGCTTGGGCCATATGCTATAGTGTATTGATTCGAAGTTGGATATTTAAAAGAATTTTTTTTAGTACAGCCTTTTTTGTGCTATGCATAATCTGAAATGAGGTCAATCATCACAGAGCAAACTTTGATCGCTACAATAATATCGCGGTGTACTGTATTGTCATTCCCTGAAACGTACAGCGCATGCTACTTTTTTTTTTAAGGTTTCTCCAGGTCTTGGTTACGCACGCGATCGGCGTGGCGGAGTCCGACGGCAAAAAAGCCTGGGCCTAGGGTGCGAGGGGTGTGCCTGCCGCCTACGGAGTAGACAGCACTTGTACCTCGGTAGCCCCCGGACCCTGTTCTTATGATTAAGTTTGCCGCCAATCCGCCACACCCATGCCCACCATCCCATAGGCATGGAAACCAGAACACTCTTCTCTCTGAATTTCTACAGGCAGTGACCGAACCCATGGGCTTCTTCGATCACTTACAGAAGAAGGGCAGTTCTGCCATCAAGCCCCAAGGTGCTCAAATTCGAAGAGAAGTCGTCCGAACCCCGTCGGCGCAAGTCATCGGCGGAAAGGACGCACGGCGACCACTCACGCACAAGAAAAGCCTCAATGCATCGAAGCTCGGCCAACAAAACGGGGCTTCCCCTGCACGAACTTTGGCTGTTAGACAGCAGGGGAGTCTGAGTCCTGATTCAAGATCATCAAGATCGAGGAATAGTTCACGCAGACGGACACCGGCCACGCCACAGCGGTTGAGTTCAAGCAGCGAAGACAGTGACAGCGATGACTCCCTCATAAATTCTCGCAAGCGGATTCGAACAAGTGCAAGCGGTGAACCCGATCTCAAGCGGCACCTTCCTGACAAGCGTGCTTTCGCCGACAAAGAAGATGCCAGCTTCCCCTTCATCCATGCATCGGATATTGCGTCATTGAATAAGTCGAGTAAATTTGTCAAGGCTTTTAGAGACTCGACAAGATCGACAGCGATATTCTTGCAATATCCGAGTCGTTCAAAGCCAGAGCGGTAGGACCCTGTTTAATCCGTTGTCGAATTCTCGCCCTGCTAACTTTCCTCAGGTATGAACTGGTAGTCCCGAAAGAGTCCGACGAGTTCAAGGCCTTGGACGAAATCACACAAGTGGTGGACCTTGTCGCGAAACATTATGTACCCGAATCGTTACAAGATGCCTTTCTTGACGAAGAGAAAGGTTTCCAGCGTCGCTTCAAGCGTGCCATATCTCGCCAGTCCGAGGAAGAATTCAGAGAGGCGTTAGAAGACTACAATAAGCAGATCAAGAGGCTGCGAGAGGATGGCACAGTGGTGAAGATACTCGAATCACGTCATAGCCTCGCGCTTCCTCTGGTAGAGCGGGTCTTGAACCAGATCTACGCACGCACTGTCTCCCCGAGAGTTGGCTCCTTGCGACATTATGAGAATGGAACGGACAACGTGTATGGAGAGCTTTTGCCGAGATTTATCTCTCAGATCTTCAAGGATACAAAACTCAAATCGGAGCACGTTTTCGTCGATCTTGGCTCCGGAGTTGGGAATGTGGTTTTGCAAGCAGCGCTTGAAATCGGTTGCGAAAGCTGGGGGTGCGAGATGATGGAAGGACCTTGCGACCTTGCAGAGCTGCAAGATAAAGAGTTCAAAGCACGAGCACGTCTTTGGGGTCTCGCTGTTGGATCAACTCATATTGAGCGTGGCGACTTTCTAAAGAATGAAAAAATCGGCAAGGTCCTACAACGAGCGGATGTGGTTCTGGTCAACAATCAGGCCTTTACCCCTCAGTTGAATAATGAGCTGATGAATCTCTTCTTGGATCTTCGGGAAGGCTGTCAGATTGTTTCTCTGAAATCTTTTGTTCCTCAGGGCCACAAAATTACCAGCAGAAACTTCAACTCGCCCGTAAATTTACTGGAAGTTGAAATGAAGCATTATTGGTCTGACAGTGTGAGCTGGACAGACGTTGGCGGCACATACTTTGTTGCGCGAAAAGACAGCTCTAAGCTAAGAGCCTTTGCAGAAAGAATGCGGTAACTTTCAAAGGTTTTTCAAAGCGTTGGAAGCATTTTCTTTTCTTTTCTTTTCCTTCTCCCTGCATAGCGTCAGGCATAGCATTACGCATCTACGCGAAAGACGCATCATGCATCACACATCAAGCATACGCATCATAGATGTAAATATTAAAAAAAAAGGACAGCCTCGAACATAAGAGAGAATGAGAAATGCAAATATCAGAGTTTTAGATTCACCCCCAATCTACCGACGCCGGAAAATGCAGTATAGCTGAGTCTGTGCAAATAGTACAACCACCAGAGTGTCATGAGAATCGGGATGCATCGTTCATTGCCTGCGCTTCCTTTTCCATCCGTGCCATCCACCGATCAACTAATTCTTTGTTTTCTTTTTCAAGCTTCGCACTCCTCTCCTCTGCCATATTGAGTTGTAGATTCAGCGAAATCATTTCGTCTTGGACATCCTGCATCAACAAGGTCAGCCTGGCCACTCTCTCTTACCTATCCATACTTGAAGGCGTGCCAATAATCTCAAGCCCTCGAGCTCATTTTCTTGCTCCGAACAAATATGCCAAGCTGGCACCTATCAAGCAGTGACATGGGAAAAACCGAGCGGAAACATACATCTAATAATCTTCCTTTCCCTCTTAACTCCTCGTCTCGGTCCTTTAGACGCCGCTCTAACAGGGACTTTTCTGCACGCAGGTCCATTACTAAGGCGCGACTTTCCTGGGCTGTTTTCTGCAGCTTTTCTAGCTCTTTAAGCCGTTTTGTGGCTAGTGCCTGTATCGAAACTTTTGACCGCTGCGCCATAATTAAATCCGCTCGGAGTTGGACATCGTTCTCCCCACCCCCGCCGCCGCCACCACCAGGCGCTGCTTTAGATGTCGTTCCCGACCCTGTACCTGAGGCGCTTGATGCGCGGTCTGCGAGTTTTGTGTCTGTGTATCACTTCCCAGTCAGTCGAATGTCTTTGCGTCTTACGTTTAGCACAGTTGTGGGGAAGTAGCTTGGAGAGAGATAGAGCGACGGCTAGGTGCCAGGAATTGGAAAGGAAACGGGGAAATATACAGGCTTTGAAGATCTCGAGGTTGCTCTTTTCCCGCGCATCTCGCGCTGAGAGCGCGGACGTATAGTCGTTGAGCCAGCCGGACATTACTATGGGGGAAATGGCAGATGGTCAAAGCCTCATAGTGGGGATTATGAGAGCGCGGGGTAGTGTCTATGTTTATACAGCAGGTCAGGCGGCTCGGGAAAGCGGGAGAATTTCTGAAGGTAATATATAGGGATAATGCGCTATGATACGTTGTTATTCATGGTGAAGAATGCTCAGCGATCACCAGTTCGCTGTGAGGCAAAAGGCTAGTTATGTACGAAGGGGAGGGGAGATAGCTCGGTGATGGGAAATTGGCTATGATGATGCACTCGCCGGAAACGAATTTCCGGATAGTTATAATGTCATCTATGGTAAACTCTAGAGACCCAGAACTTCTTGAATATATGAATTGTTTCTTGAACAGATTACACCTTGAATTTATTATCCTAGATAGAAGAGAACTTTATTTATTTCACCGAGTATGAAAGGCCGTTTTGGTCACCCGTCGCAATAGATGTTGTTGACTCGCCCGTTTGAGTTCCGCATGGTCAAGGGTTAGTCAGCGCGTCTATACGGTGTATGAGAGAGAAACCTGGTTCCTCCGAAAATGGCACTAAGATAACGTTATCAATCCTCTATTACTCCGTACACAGTCTATTTCATTTCATGTCGCCTAGGGTTTTGCCTTACAATAAGCATTATAATTTGGTGCGCTCTACATACCATGACAGTATAGCTTGTGCCGGATTCGAGTAGGTATTTGTTTGAGCCTCTCGAAGCCTGCTTTTTAATCCAGGTGAAGCCTGATGATCAATATGCACGATGCTGCAGTGTAACCGCATCCTCACTGGCTGCAGTACTTGTTGCATCCATCATGTCAAATGTGACGAACTTCTAATTATGCAAGGTGTAACTTATATATGGGTTTCAATTCATTTATGAGGTGACTTCATTGTGGTCTTTTCTGCATTCTATGTGTGATACATACCTTCAGTTGTATGACATCTTGCTCGTGGAGCAGCAAATCCTAACAAATATTACATGCAAAATTCAATTCCAGTAGTGAAAAATCTTCAATTAAACAAAATATTTCATTCCATCGCTATATAACACTTTTTATTACCATGCGGTTTTGCTGTAATACCTGAATGTCTCAATTACAAGATGCATCAAAACCAAAGTCACGTGAGGTCATGACATGCACACTTCGACATATCCGATGCTTCATTAACATTCAGTGCCTAATTCGACTTCATGCCAACATGTATATATTTCATATTTCTTCAGTCTCTTAGCTATAGCATAATAGCATTAATGGCAGTGGATGTTGACAGCTCGGCACCAGTATTGTAGTCCCACCGCCAAACCCGCAGTTTCGTTCCGAGGCTCCGAGCAAAATATTACAATATTTACCTTCCTTCCACCTTAACAAACCTTGGAAATATCATGATTATTTGTCGTCATCTGCAAATATAGCTCTATCAGTATGGAATCGGATTCCACGGCTCCAGCCCTCTCAGACGCCCTTGCAGAATTAATAGAAAACTATCACGAACTCAACGCATCTACCATTGATGAGCTGCACAATGAACCTTCACCACTCGAATTCATGCACTATGTAGCGCTAAACCGACCTTTCGTTGTGCGCGGTGCTACATCCCGCTGGACCGCAACGCGGAAATGGAACGCTGCCTATCTGCGAGAAATTATGCGCGGGCAAATGGTCAATGTTGCCATAACGCCTCTTGGGTAAGTATCTTGCATCATGTTACTGTACCTATCCAGGTATCATATGATGTTGTCAACTTGCGCTGGTTATGATAGTTGTGTCTGTATATCTTTATTTGATATTCTTGATTTTTTTCTTGCTTTGATTTGCAATGGGAATAGTTCTGTATCAATCAACCGTCAAGGATTTTTAAAATCTGGATCAATCTCCGTATTGCATGCTGCTATCTTTTTTTCTTTCTTTCTTTCTTTCTTTCTTTCTTTCTTTCTTTCTTTCTTTCTTTCTTTCTTTCTTTTCTTTCTTTGTTTTTTCCGGCATAGTTTCCGGCCATGTATTAGAGACACTGGAAGAAGCGATTGATACTGATTCATCTCCCTGTTCATCATGGGCAGAAATGCAGATTCACCGGTCCAAATCACAAGCGGTGACAGAGAAGACACCCTCTTCGTAAAGCCGCTCGAAGTCCAAGAAGCATTCGAGGACGTGCTAGAATATATCAGCAAGCAAGAGCTAGAACAGCGGGATGGAGAAATTAAATATGCGCAGACGCGTAAGTTCTCCCCTTAACTTTTCATTCTCCTCCACGGCAAAAATAATACTCTGGGTCATATGCATTGCACCAACGATGAGATCGAAATATGTCCTAAAATTCGGACAAACTGCCAAATAGCAGCCATCTTCACGTGCTAATGGTCGGAAATGAATCATCAAACCCGCGAGTAGAGAGCAGCCCAATTCTTACTAAACACTATATCTCAAACAGAAAACGATAATCTACGCGGGGAATACACTCCTCTTGCATCCGACGTGCAAGACATTCCCTGGGTGCGCATCGCACTGGAGAAAGACCCCGAGGCGATCAACTTCTGGCTCGGCAACTCGCGCAGCGTGACGGCACTACACAAAGATAACTTTGAAAACATATACTGCCAAGTCATTGGCCAAAAGCACTTTGTGCTCATGCCGCCTATTGAAATGCCCTGCGTCCGAGAAAAGGAGCTTCCAGGAGCAACGTACGCGCAGAATCCAGAGTCGGGGAAACTGGAAATTAAACTGGACGAAGAGAGTAATACGGTTCCGTTCCCGACGTGGGATCCGGACGTGCCGGAACGTTCGACGACGGCGTTTTCGAAGCTCAGTAGGCCGCTTAGAGTTACGTTGAACGCGGGGGATATGCTTTATTTGCCTGCCATGTGGTAAGTGAACCATGTCTCGTCTTCTCTCCTCGAGTGGGTGAGAGTGTTGAAATGTCTCCCTCCATCCCCTCAACCCCGTCCACCTTCTTCCCACCCCCTCCATAACATCAAACCCTAGGGGGCGAACAAAGCAGAAATTGACATTATCTTGGCGAAAAAAGGTATCACAAGGTCTCGCAGAGCTGCTCGGACGAGGGCTTGTGCTGCGCGGTGAATTATTGGTAAGATCTTTTGGAGCTATTCAAATAAGTCTCAGGGGATACCCGCAGATTGAGCTGACGACCTATAGGTATGACATGGAGTTTGCAGGATCATTTCATTCATTGTGTGCGTTTGAGCGCAGTGCTGCGTTGCAGATTTCTTGATTGATTCTACTCTGAGTTGTTTCTTTGATTGGTAAGGGGACAAAAAAAAGGAGATCTCGCCATTAGGATATCCGCTGCATTAGCATTTACATGTGATTAAATAGACAGGAGCAAAAAAAAAAAGGGGGACATCTGGGGGTTGAAAAAAAGATAAATTTTTAGAACGCCGTTTACACCGAGGGGGATTCTATAAGTACCTAGGTATTAAACTCCAGCAAATAGAAAAATTCAAGAAAAATAATCAACACGGTTTATCACTTATTTTTGGGGACCTTGACCCCTGCCAGTCCCCGTATGCTTGCCCATACGCTTTCAGAAACCTTTGCGGGGACTTTTCTACCCTTGAGGCTTTGGTCGATAAGCCACGTTCCGACGATGAATTCATCTCTGGTTAATTTTCCAGTCATTCTTCGGTCGACCAAATCCCAAATCTCTTCTAATATTTGATCTGGCAGCCGACTGCGGTGCCAGATATCTTTAACGACAATGTTGGAAACAAACTCTCTTTCCGGTTCCCACGGAACCTGAAACCGCTTGCTTCTGTGAAAACCACGCTGCTCGGCTTGGGTTAAAAAGACATGTATTCCTCTGTTCGAGGCAAATAGTCCCTCGTAGCGTTTGCGCTCGCGCTCAGTGATCTGATCTCTCCAGCGTTTTCGGTCGCCTTCGTGATGCTTATTTGGGTGTTTGTGTAGAATGTGTCTCCTACGGACTTTCGCGTCTTCTTCAGAGTCTTCCTTGGGAGGTGCGCGCATCGTTGTTCTCATGCCCTTGGGCGGGCTGGGGGTGGGCCGGTGCGACTCGGAAGAACGGTGATGGCGGTGGAATGGCAGGTGCGTCTTGGAATGGCGGCTCGGAACATTGATGGGGGATGGCGTTGCTTTGGGCGGCGAAGGAGCTCGACTTGCTGCGAGAGAGGAGGCAACAATGGCATTTGCCAGCGAGTCGTTTGACATGAGGGGACTGGCATGGCGTAGGACGGAGTTCGGCCGTTTCTCGCCATGCTCTGACGACGATGACTGGTCATCAAGCGCAGATGAAGAACGAAGGAGTGGCGGCGCTGGGTGCTGCCCTGAACTGGGACGGTATCGTTGGGCAATAGCCTTTCGAAGGGATTCTTCGGGCAGTCCAGCTGACCCGAGGGTTGGAGACGGGGTATGTCTGATTGGACTTTGAGAGGTCGACGCAAGCTCATCGTCTCGTGCAGGCTGTCTACTTCTTCTTGGAGGCGGAACGGTGGGTGCCGGCTTTGTTGTTCTATATTCTACAGCGGATGTAAAGGATGCTTCGGAGGATGACGGGCTCGAGGGCGTTTTCTCAGCTTCGGGGTGGTCGTGCGCACGTTGAGGGATATCACGGATCGTAGGCTTGGGTCGCAGCGGTGGCTTTGGAGGTTCCTTGGTAGGTGGAATTGCCGCATGGTGAGAACCAATGTCAATAGAAGTACGACGAGCCGCAGCAGCGGCGCCTCGGCTTGCAGCGAGGGTGACCTGAGATCTAGCAGCTGCAACGTTGGGTTGCTTTGGGACATTCTCAGCTCGTTTTGAAGAAATCGAAGCTGAGGAGGACGATGCTGCGCTCCTTGAAGAGGGGCTGATTTGAAATTTACGCGCAGCCTCTAATGTCGCAGCCGGGTGTGCATTCCCGCCCGATACACGAAGGGGTCGTGGGGACTGGATGTCAGTTGCGGCAGATGTAGCGACCACGGCAGGGCGAGTTCGAGATGTAACATTTCCAGCATGATTTTGTTCGAATTGACTGATCAAAGAGCTGGTCGTTGCGATCGATGTGACGTCAGTTCCATGCTGAGAATTTGCCGTTGAATGAGCTATATGCCCTCGCAAATCGGGTGATGGGCGGGACATGTTCGAGGCAGAAAATGACCCATTTTCTGATGAATCATCGAATTCTGAGGAGACGAAGCTGGGAGTCCCAAGGTTGCGCGACAATCTCGTAGGATTGTTGCGGTTATGGGCCTCAATTGATCGAGGAGTTGCTCTGCTGGACGCGAGCGTCGCCGCCCTGTTTGATATTGCGCTTGAACGATCTCCGGCATCGCCTGCCGACCCACGTGATGAATGCGAACTGTTTTGGGTTCTGACTAGCCGCAATCTGTCTCGTTCCGCTGATGTTTGCGCTGCCGATAAAGAAGCTCTGTCATTGTTATTGTTTTCTCGACTCACGCTGGAGGTGTTATTTGCGGAATCAGCAGCAACGGCTGGAGTTGACTTGTAGTCGAGATTCGCTTTGGCAGCAGCAGCAAGCGCTCCGTTGTCCCCTGTCAATGTTCGTTGTGGTGGCTTTGGCTTCAGGGCAGGCTTGGCGAATGCCCGAGAAGCACCCTGTAATGCTTCCAGCTGGTTGATGGACGATGGAGCCAGGTCGAAGATGGTCTCTTGGCGTGATGCTGTGGAAATAGATCGAAAATTGCGTCCCATCCTAAGGCTGTTTTTCAATCAAGAGATTGGTCAAGCTGGGATGACAGCCTGGTATCCTCTTGTCAAAGAGTAACTGGATTCGTTACTGTGTTCAAACATGCTCCTTAGATTTTTTTGGGTCACGTTTGGCAGAGAAGCATGGCCTCAATTACGATTATCCTCACGATTATCGTACTCCTGGTCGTATGCACGAGGTGGACGGCGACGTGGAGTAAAAGTGCTTTCCAAAACAATGACAGGAGACCTTCTGCATGCAGCCACAACCCATCCGCCAGCAAATATGATGTGAATTTCCGCGTTCCGCCGCCGGGAAACCCGGTCAGTCTTACGAAATCAAGAGACTGGATGCCTGAAACTGACCGCCTGAAGCCCACTGACCCTGACTAAAACGATTTCTGACACTCTGACTCCATTCTTTCTTCAACTGACGAATCATCGATATCTCTTGTCCCGTATAATCTGCTGACCCACTCTGATCATCAAAATGTCACGGTCACGTGATCGTCGTGTCGCTTTCGTGTTCTCGTATCTGCCTTGACTAAGGTAGTTAACGCGGGGACGAGAGGGCTCTTCTGCTACGTCAGAGCATGCTTCAAACGCATTTTCGTAGTTTGATAATGTCTTAAAATCAACAATAATCTGCTGTCGGTCTTGTTGCGGACATTGAAGATCATGGATGGGAGCCAGGGCAATGATGGCGTTGATAGTGAGCATCGACAGTATTGGCCTTTGCCTCCTACAGAGGAAGAGTTGGACGAAAAATATCCGCATAGGCCTCACAATCATTCAAACACATTACCGTTTCATGACCTCTTCCTGACCTTGTTCAATCCTCTCAATGACAATAAAAAGAAACCTACTGGTCCGATCATGGCCAGAAGGAAACAAGGCCCTCATGGATCAGCCAACCGATCCCCTCATGAGATCCGCCGCAACATAATTGAGAGGTTCATCTCACGTTGGCGAAAAGAAGTTGGCAATGATATATATCCTGCGTTTCGACTGATTGTTCCGGAAAAGGACAGAGATCGCCCCATGTATGGTCTCAAGGAGAAAGCGATTGGCAAGTTACTTGTAAAAACGATGAAGATTGACAAGAATTCTGAAGATGGATTTAACCTTCTTAACTGGAAACTTCCTAGCCAGAGCACCGCAAGCCGAATGGCCGGTGATTTTGCAGGCAGATGCTTTGAAATAATCTCCAAGCGGCCCATGCGAACCAGTGTAGGAGAACTGACTGTTGGAGAGGTCAACGAAATGCTGGATAAGCTCGCTGCAGCACAACGGGAGGAGCATCAGCTCCCAATCTTTGAGACCTTTTACGAGCAAATGAATCCCGAAGAGCTGCTGTGGCTCATCCGAATAATTCTTCGGCAAATGAAAGTCGGGGCTACGGAAAAGACCTTCTTTGATGTTTGGCATCCAGACGCTGAGGCGCTATTTAACGTTTCCTCCAGTCTCCGCCGCGTGTGCTGGGAGCTTTATGATCCGTCTGTACGACTCGAAAGCGACGATACTGGCATCACCTTGATGCAGTGTTTCCAGCCACAGTTAGCTCAATTTCAGATGCATTCTTTCGAGCGGATGGTGGAGAAGATGCGGCCCGCTGAAGAAGACGACACATTTTGGGTTGAAGAAAAGATGGATGGCGAGCGGATGCAGTTGCATATGATGGAAGACAGCAGCATCCTGGGTGGCAAGCGCTTTGGATTTTGGTCCCGCAAAGCCAAAGATTATACCTATCTATACGGCAACGGCTTTCAGGATGAAAATGGCGCCTTAACCAGGCACATAAAGGATGCATTCAACCCTGCGGTTCATAATATTATTCTTGACGGGGAAATGATTACCTGGGATCCTGAACAAGATGCAATGGTACCTTTTGGCACGCTGAAAACTGCTGCCATATCTGAACAGCGGAACCCGTTTTCTACTGGACAGCGACCCCTCTTCCGGGTATTCGATTGCCTATACCTGAATGGGGAACCAATTACAAGCTACACTCTGCGAGATCGACGAAGAGCGTTGGAAGCCAGTGTTCATTCTGTACCGAGGCGACTAGAAATCCTTGAATTTACTGAAGCTCATGATTTCGCCGAGATTGAGCCATTGCTGCGCAAGGTCGTTGCTGAAGCCTCAGAAGGACTGATTTTGAAGAATCCGCGTTCAATGTACCGGCTAAATGAACGGAATGACGACTGGCTGAAGGTCAAACCAGAATATATGACAGAGTTCGGCGAATCATTAGATTGTATCGTTATTGGCGGTTACTATGGTTCGGGGAAAAGGGGCGGCAGGTTGTCCAGCTTTCTTTGCGGTCTGAAAGTTGATCAACGACAAATTGACAAGGGAGCTAACCCAATGAAATGTTATTCCTTCTTCAAAGTAGGCGGTGGCTTCACTGCAATGGACTACGCCAATGTTAGACACCATACGGATGGGAAGTGGAAAGACTGGGATTCTAAACGCCCGCCTACTGAATTCATTGAACTTGCCGGCGGACACCTCCAGCATGAACGCCCTGACGTCTGGATTCGGCCGGATGACTCGGTAGTGGTGTCAGTAAAGGCAGCATCTGTAACACCAACGGATTCTTTTCGCATGGGATTGACGCTTCGATTTCCAAGATTCAAGAAGCTGCGAACAGACCGAGACTGGACAACTGCATTGTCAATTCAAGGTTTCCTTGATCTCAAAGCCAACGTTGAGAAGGAGCAAAAAGAAAAGGAGTTCACGGTCGACGATGGCCGAAAGAGAGCGAGAACCACAAGAAAGAAGGAGTTGAGAGTAGCTGGAGGCGACCAGATATTCACAACTCCCTATGCCGGGCCAGAGACCCGATTATTTGAAGGTCTGAAATTTTGTGAGTAAATTTGCTTGGATACATGGCCAAAACTCTTCTGACCACGGGTACAAGTCATTATCACGGACGCGGCAAAACCGGAGAAGAAGAGCAAAGCTGAGCTGGAGCAGCTTGTAAAAACCAATGGTGGGCAGATTTTCCAAACACATACCGCCTTCAAAGATACAATTTGTATTGCGGAAAGAAGTAAGCGACGGACAATATTTTGAGCATATCTTCTCTTTGCTAATTATTGTTCAGGAACTGTAAAAGTGGCTTCCCTTCAGAAAGCTGGAGATCAAGATATTATCCGCCCTTCATGGATTTTCGATTGTATCAAGCAAAACCAAGCGGACGGAGAAAGGCCGAGATTTGTGCTACCAGTTGAACCAAGGTACGGCCTATTCTATTCAACTGGGAAATATCTCTAGCTTACAATATCAGCCACATTTTCTCTGCGACAGAAGCTTTTCAAGAACATGCGGCGTCAAATGTCGATGAATACGGCGATAGCTATGCTCGCGATGTGTCTGTCGAGGAACTAAGAGAAGTACTAATTACCTGTCTCTGAAGCTGAGTAACATTATTAATGACAGCAGATATTTGGAAAAATGCCCGCAATATCACCCTCGCCTTCGGATGTATCCAAACTAAAAGAGCAACTACGACAACAGAGCACTGAACTTCGCGAAAGCCGTGGCTGGATGTTTACCGATCTAGTCATCTATTTGGACAAGTCCGGTCTCTCCCAGACAGATCATAGCTATTCACAAGAAAAAGAGCTTTCGCTTGCATCTGATCGAAAGCTTCAGTTGGCATCTAATTACATTAGATTTGGCGATGGCAAGATTACCGATGACCTACAAGATATTCCTCTGACACATGTCATTGTTGGTGATGACAGGAGCAGGCTCAAGCAGATAAGACAGGAAATTAAAGAGTAAGTTTATTTGTCTGCTATTATCCGGTGGTGGATACTGATAGATATTTTTAGTAAGAGCGCCCTTCCACGGATTGTCACAGTCGATTGGGTCGAGACAAGCTGGCAGGAAGAGACATTACTTGACGAAGAACGTAAGTAAATATTCAATTTTCCTTAGCGCGGCTGATGATAACCTCGATCAAAGGATTTGCTCCGGTCTGAGTCGGGTGAGATTGGAAATATACTCAATTTCACGATCCCTTGGACGTAACCGCTCTCCTTGGGCTTGTCATCGGGGACTGAAGCGTTCGATCTTGTCTTCTAGGGCAAATTTGAATTACGACTCGGCAGCCCCACATGTAATTCAGCTCGAGTGGCTATCTTCGTGAGGCAGTCTTGCCCGCGCGATGTCGTCTCTGCTTCGACAACGCCGCGAACCATCCTTCAACGCTACTGCCAAAACCGGCTCGTCTCAGGCCTGGGAGAACAAACTCCATCGGAAATATGCAAGTATTACAATGAGTCCATGCGGCAATCACTCGACAAAAAGCAGTTTAGCAAAGGTGGCACTTTTTGACCATACGAATAAGTTTCTTGGCGTTAACCAAAAGCGACATTTCAGCATCGTTTTTGATGCCATGCATTTCAATTTACCCCCATTTTTTAATTTAATGCCCAAAATGATACCCCTTCAATGCATCGAGATAGCCTAACTCTCGTATCTACACGTATTATTTAACTGAGATTCTACAGTGCTTTTAAGTCTGTCTTTGCTTTCCTCTCAAGACTTTTCGTCTTTGTGCCATCATGTGCGAGTACAGGATATATGAACCTGGACATTATCGTCAGCCAAAGCTCCAGAAAAATCCAAAAGATGCAAAAACTCAATCGACATACCAGGAATATAGATGAGCAAGACACTCTTAAGTATAATCTCGTAAATGTAACCCCATTCCTTTGCTGGACCGAGCGATTTGTACACCAGCGTGACTTCGCTCAGAATGCCAAGCGGATACAGGACATAGAACGTATTATATCTGCGCATTATTCCAGGACCGTTAGTACCTTGTTTCCCCTAGAATCATTCTGACGGCCCATTGCACAGTCTAGATTCCAGCTTTACTTCTCCGTGGAAACATACCTCAACCACGTCAATATCTTGGGCACCCCTGACCCGCCCGATCCCAGAGCAGCCACAAAATACGAGTACCGCACAATCTCAGTAAAGCTCCACGCGAACAGCATGGTCGAATACGCCACCGAGGGCGCGGTCTGCCGGGTGAAATTGTTCACAATGCCCCATACCAGGAGCAGTCTCGACGCGACTTGCATTCCGGTCGTGGTAATGGGCGAGCGCACAATTCCTGTGGTATCAAGACATGTTAGCCTTTGTATATTCCATCTTTTATTGCTTTTCTCTTCCTTCTTTTTTTTTCCCCTTTCCCTATGGCCGCCCTTATTTCTTAGGCAGTAACTATACCACGCGAGCTCCACAGCGAGACCAGCGAGACCAGCGAGACCAGTTCAATTCCGCCCCAAACCACAAAGGAGACCCAGGACCAAAGCACAAAACAAGAGCAAAAGGACAAAGGCAAAGGCAAAATCAACGCTTTCAATGCGTTCAAAGTATTCAACGTATCCAACGTATTTTACGTACCAAAAAGGGCATGCACGACCTCCAGCAGCGCAAGAGTCTGTGTCCATTTTGCAAAATTTCCTACACCCCCATACACATGCGTGAAGCCAACAAGGGGGACGAGAAGCACGACGCGGCCAAACACGGTGGTCCAGAGAACCGCCGAGACGAAATTGTACAGGATGAGGTATTGGGCTTTGAAGGACCGGCGGGGAGCGGCCGACGAGGAAGCGGCGGGTTTCGAAGTATCCATGATGATTGCTACTGTTTGTTGGTGCGCTCCGTTGGGTCTTGCGATGGGATCAATTGCGGCGCAAGCGCAAACGCAAATGCACACAAAACAATTATGTATACGGGACGAGGAGCATACACAGCAATTGGGGAAGGTTTGGGGCCAAGGCGGTTGTTGTTGAGCTGCAATAGCGCAACGACGGGCGGCCTGGCGGAGAAACTCCGGTCGGGTACGGAGGTACTTCCGCACCCTTTACCAGAGCTCACCCCGTTGACCCCCAGCTTATGACGGTTGTGGTGTCTTCAGCTAGCCGTACATTACCATACGACTGACTGACGTGGGACAGGACGACACCAGACGACGCCAGCGTAACGTGGACTGTTTGTTTGCCATGTAAAAGTCATGGCGGGAGGCGGCAGATGGGAAGGTATGATAGTTTTCATGATTCTACTCATATAGTGTTTGCCAGTACTTTGAGATTTATATATTGTTATTCGTAGAGCAAGACGTGTCGTAATATGGTCCAAATACTAGACTGCTAAGAATAGGTTGAAAGAGCCAACTCTTTCGATTCTAGAACACTTCTATTTTTCAAAGCTTCTGGTCCTCTGTATCCCCCTGATTCCTAAGTACCTAGTCTAGCATTGACGAAGATCATCATTGATTACTAGAGACTTGTCTTCCTTTTACCGCGAGATCTGCGTCAGGTGCCTAAATGAGAAGACTCAACCTTAACATTTCGAAACGATGCAAATGAACAAAGAAGGTGGCATTGTACCCTCCAGGGCCCAGTATTGAAATATAAAGAAGTAAGAGATATTCTGAAAAGGTGAAACTGGTCTGGGTCCGCCCCCCAGCTTTCGCTCCATGCAAACGCCTCCATAAATGCCCCACGCATTACACCATGCTGCCTCAGCCCATGAACCTGACCGAAAGAAAAAGAAAAGAAAAAAAAAAGAAAAAAGAAATCCCAGATTAACGCCGCACAACAACTCTTGAGCATGCAATACCAAAAAAGAATGACCGCATTAGCCCAGATATGCTTGAAACATGTTGCCCTTGGGATACGTCGGTGTGCCACAACCTTCCACGACGCAGGCGGCAAAAGGTTTGTTTTTGGACTTTGCCGATTTCCGCAGAGGCCGCTTTGAAGTACATTCTCCACAGTAAACCTAAACATTACACGATGCATCAGTAAAACTCCATATGCACGATTATATCACGGGAGAGGGAGAGGGGAAATCTTACATGTCCACAATTCTTTATCACCCAGACTTGTCGCTTGAGGTCGGTTTTGCCTGTACCCAATTCCAACTCGCAATAAGGACAGACCACCACGTCATCCTCTCCGGGAGATCGAGTGAAACCCGGGCGAGCGGGATTTGGCGCTTTATACGGAGGAGGGCTATTGTTTATTCGGAAACCAACTTCTTCGTAATCGATTACAGCTCCAGGATTCGTAAAATTGTCTGTCGTAAGGTTGACATTCTCTTCTTCTCTATTTAATTGGTAACGCGGAAATGGCCGACGATTCATCGAGCCCAGAATCAAGCTGGGTGGCTCATGGAGAAATTGGCCTCGGGGACCTGCAACTGCCGGCACGCTGGTATTTATTCCCCTTGGAGGTCTTCCACCAAAACCATGACCGAGGAAGAGGTGAGCAGGCCCAAGACCCAACATGGTTAACCCGGGAAGCTGCTCTTGGCTGGGTATCCGACGAGAAGAGACGAATTCGACATCAGGGCTCTCTTCGCGGTGGCGAGCAGTTCGTTGCTCGTCGGCGTTTGGCACTTCCAAATCGATTATGTCAGAGGGGAACCGGGGCGGACGGCTCGCTCTAGAAGACGTCGGGTTTCGAGCAGATGCAGTCGGAGGAGAATCCGGTTCATTCGTAAGATCGATAACAGCTTCAGCAGGCTGCGAGGTGGAGGCAGGAGTCCTGAAGTCTAGGCCGTCCCCAGGAAACCTCAGAGACGGAAGGCGAGGCATTGAGCGGCTATCGTCCCCTACGCCACGCGAAGAGGAGGCATGGAAATTGAAGGTCCACGAAGGTGGGTTTCGACTTTGGCCGCTTGCCATCTGGTCGTGGGTCCTCTATATCAAGTAGGAATGTCAGCGGCCCGCCAGCGAGAATGTTTAAGGCCGCTTCTCTTCAGCTATGCGTTACCTTATTGCTCCAATGAGCCGAAGCAAACGGGAGACCGTCCATACTCCACCATGAGGTGGAGATATTCAAGGCAAGAAGATAGGCGTAGGTATATCACAAGTGGAGAGAAAAAGTATTGTCCCAGACGGACCTTCCCTTTGTTGGATCTCTTGTCCAGACCCTCTTTGCCGCCAGAGTCTCGAATCCGTTGACCGAGGAGTGCCATGATGCACTCTGCGCCAGAAAGGGAAATATAGCCGAGCACGCATGGTCACCCAGCACCGAGACTCCAGAGAGCAGAAAGCACCGATAACGCCACCTGATAAGTGAAGAACGTTGAATATCAACCTCACCTGCAGCTGGGTGCTGAGTGTTGGAAGAAACTTGCGCTCAGATCTGGAGTGAGGATATTTCAGTCTTGAATTCAACTGCAATCATACTACGTATTATCACGCGTTGGTCGGAAATTCAGTCACGTGACTGTTCAGTGTGACTGTCAACGTCCAGGAGCCAATAAAAGAGAGCTTTGACCTCCGTGCCATCCATCGGAGTATATTGAAACGAGCCATATGGCTTGTTGTCATTTCAATCGGTCGTATATCGAATTCAAATGTTTTAAAGAATTGTATCGATTGTAATTCAAACAGTCTTTCCAATGGTGTTCTCAAACGTTACTATCTTGCAGACATAAATAGCTACCTACCTAGGTTACTATGTAGTTACCTATTGCTTTTGATAGCAGCTTTCGAAGAGACCACTCCAAATATTACCGGCTCATCGGACTCAATTGCGCTATCCCTTTCACAGTACTGAAATACTAATAATCATCAAGAGACCAGGGACAGTGAACCTCATTGCTCAACGCAACTTACTATAATGCAAATGCCGGTGTGGACGGACCCGAGGACTTGGCATCATTTCCGAATTTGCTTTCGTTCTTCATTTTATTTCTCCATTGACTGTATGGCATTCATGCCAAAGGTTTGTTCATCGTCGCCAAGGTCTTTTCGATGCATATTTCGTACAGCCTCCGGACAAATCCAGCATCTTAATATGGTCTCTAGAGCTTCTCTTCCATTCTTTTCGGCATGCTCCCGGGTGATCTGGTTTCATGGTCGAGCAACTGATGGCCATTGTGTTAGATTGGTCACAACTTTTCTAGCCGTTGACCTCTGGAAATGATATATACCCTTTCCTTTTTTTTAAAAAAAAAAATTGAATTCTCTTTGCAGTGAATGATTATTCTGACAATATTATCTTCTCACTTTTTAGTTTGATTGAGACTTTCAAACATGGCGTCTAATGATGGTACGGTTTACGACTGATGCCTTTGTTTTTACGGGACGTTGGATTCATTATGATCTATGTGTCATCCAGGAATCGAGAGTCACTCTAATGGTCGCTTTCCTCGCGTTGTATGTAGGACAGCCGAAGTATGGCGAATCTTTGCATATTAATTTATTAATCGCGTGCAAGGTATAGGGAGAGGGATGGGCTCCATCTTCGTCATCATCATCATCATCATCAGCAGCAGCAGGCATCAAATTTCACGGCTCAGGGATATGCTCCGCACATTATGGGGCCTTGATATCCAAGCAAAGGTAGCTCCGAGATTCGAAAATTGAAGACTCAAAATTTGGCGCACGTGTCAGAGAAAAGAAAAGAAGCAATATGTCAGTTGGGCGCTTTGCTGTTCATAGTTGGTTTTTTATAAAATTCTTTCGATAATTAAGGACAAAAGAAAACTTTCGCAACTGTTCCCGCCAGGTCGGCTATGAAGTGAGACTATTATTGTACATTCCGCCGTAGAAAAAAGAAACTTCCCTTTCCGCCATTTTTCTTTTGGACCTGAGATTAAGAAATCGTCGGCGCTCTTCCTCTAGCTAGAGCCTAGAGTGCTGATGACACCAGTACTGTCAACCACAACGAGGCTTTGAGCCTGAGGGCCCCATGCAACAGCGGCTGCAGACACTGCACTTTTCAGCGGCTCGGACCATTGCTTGCTTGACTTAGAATACTGCTGAACAGAGACACCGCTGGGACCGGAAACCGCCAAGAACTGGCCCGTGTAATCCCAAGCAATGCCCTCAACGGTGCTACCAATCTCCAGCACCTTTGTTTGCGCCGCCTTTCGCAAGTCCCATATGGCGACACTGTTCTGGCCGCGGGAAACAGCGGCAAGCCATGTGCCGTTCTCTGAGAAGGTAAGATCTCGGAGCGGACTAGCATTATCAAAGCTGGCGGCATTGGTGCCTGTTTTGACGTCAAATATCTTGATCTGGCCATCAGTACCACCAGCAGCAAAAAGGTGTCCATCAGGGTGGAACCCAGCAGTCAAGAGCTCTGTTATATGATTAGCCTTTTATCTTTCTCGTGGAATTTTGGGGTCTGGATAACTTACCAGAATCACTGTAGATTTGCAAGACAACCTTCAAGTTCTCCAAATCGTAGAGGACATAGCTCTTGTCTGCGCCTACAGAAGCAAGAATCTCACCACTTGGGTGCAGAGCTAGTGCCGTGGCCTCGCCTGCATGTGACTCGAACGATGCGATCTGTGATCCCTCGCTGAAAACCTGCACCGAACCACCTGCAGTGCTGACGATGGCTTTATCGCCCCACCAGAGAGCGTCCGTGACGGCACCCTTTCCGCTCTTTAGTGTTTGAACGAGCTTATTCTGACTGATAGAGTAGACTCCAGCAACGCCATCGGATCCGCCAACAAGGGCAAGGTCGCCCGCCGGATGAACAGCGATTGACCTGCTGCCGGGGTAGAGCGATTCCGATTTTCCTATGGGGCCAAATGATTGAATGTTCTCGCCAGTGACCCAGCCATCCGGTACTGCCCGTTTGCGACGAGTGCTGGATAATCTGCGGTGCCAATGTCAGTGAAGAGACCGAGACGAAGCAGCATTGATTCGATTCCGTACCTTTCTTGCGTAGCATCAATCTTAGCAATGATGTTGGCCGGCAGACCTTGGCTGTCGACCTGCATGGTGTCCCCATTGGCAACGTTTCCGCCGGCATTGATTGTGATTCTTGAAAGAGCTTCTCGCGCCTCATCGCGCTCTCTAGTCAATCTCGCGATCACACGGACCGCCGCATCGTGCTGATAAAGCGATGTGCTCAATTCCTGCCGCGTCTGCGCCAACTGCTGATGCAGGGTGTATGTCTCCAGAGTAAGGGCATCCCATTCATTTTGAAACACCGAAAGAAGAGATGGTATCGAAGTCAGGGTCGGAGGCCGCGGTCGAACTGTGCGCGCAGACTTTAAGTCGACAAGGTCCTCGACAGTAAGCTCCTCCCCGTTTACCGGATCCTTTCCATTTTCAGAAATGTATGTTTCGATCAATCGCTTCTCGAATACGTGGCCTACCGTGGGAATCAGTATAGTGCGTATTCATATTGCCCAGTTTGCAGCAGACATACCGCTCTTGCGAGAAGCCACTGGCTCCTGAGGCGCTTCACCAGAGACTTTGAGGAAGAAAGGGTTAGTTATTCGCCCAATGGCAACCAGAGGTTCGAGAATCTGAGACCTACTTGCACACAGCATCGCCAGAAATTTGTTAAATATGGAATCTGTGTTCAAAATGGTGACCTGGTATCGCTTTCTGTAAAGCTCGGGCTCGCGACAACAATTCAGCCTCAAATGCGCTAAACCATTAACGGATATCTAGTAGATCGTCAACTACAAGGCCGGCTTACTTCATTAATCCCTGTTTGTGTATTCCTGGTATCAAAATGAATATACCTTACATACGGAGTAAATATGACTACATATATATATATATATATTTTATCTTTTTACTTTTTGAATTTTACTGCAATCCGTATTTATTCATGTTTTCACACTCATTTGACACGACTGTTAGCTCGATATTGGCCTCGCAATTGTGTCCAGCACAGACTGATTATATCTGCAAATCTGGGTTACTGGGCCTCCCAAAGAAAACAGCCTGTTCAAGCACGAATGACTTCGAGAATCCTTGATAATCTGTCCCTTTCCCCCTAGGGAACCAAGGAATTACCCGCGTAATGGACTCTCTAGGAAATTTTAAAGATACTAGCCGCTCTTGTGCAGATGAAAGACAAACCCATGGTCAAGACGATCAATCGTCTTGGTCAAAGGAGAGCTTGATAGCCTTCTTGGGCCGTTTACTCTTCTTCTTAGGCGCATTTCGGATTTCAGAAGGCTCTTCCTCTTCCTCGTCATCTTGCCCGACTGTTTTCACAGGTTTTCTCTTCTTCTGACTACCACCTACACCAGCAACTATTTCTTTAGATCTGATGGGCGTCTCGTCACGAGCTTCGGACTCAGTTTCAGTTTTAGAAGGGTTAGAACTAGTTGCGTCCTCAGAAATCGCTGGCTCCGTACTCTTTTTTGCATCATTTTCGCCCTTGGTCAACGCTTCATATTCAGCCTTGGTGATGTTCTCATTACTCCCCTCCTCCACATATGTTGGCTCTTCATCTTCATCTTCGTTGCGAAGCCTGCTTGGCACGACTGAAGAGCGCGCATGCTTCTGTGGATCTCCTCCCACATACTGAGACTTTAGTCTTCGAAGGAAGTTTGGTTCTTTGGATTCTTTGTTTGCCATTAGCATGGCATTTATGAACGTTAAGCTTCATTATCGCACCATAACTTAGGTTCTTAGAGTTGAAGCTCATCTTGATGGATTAGGCTACCCGTGAATTTCACGTGTAATTTCGGAATAGGTGAGATTGTATTCAGCCTACAGCTTTGAGGGTTTAAAATCGCAACAATTAGCTGTGCGCCTCTTTATCTTTGTGAAATTATATTTGGATCAATCAATTGGGTGGATTTACTTGATTCATGCTCATCAAATTGCCGGAATCTCCAAGTTTAATGGACTGTTTGCCAGCGGAGAGTGGCGAAAAAAAGGGGTTCAGCAGGATAAATATTTATCGCAGGTAATGGTCTGCCTTGAGAAAGACGTGCTAAGGCAAAGAAACTGTTTCTATACACCAGGAGATTATCATTACAGTGATTTCAAGAGCTGACCTAGTGATCTTGTGGGCAAGTGGGATATTGAAGCAGGTAACAAATGGATTGCATGCATTTGCGCCGGCCGAAAATTAGCCGAGTCTCGGCACCAATCATTCCTCACGAAACCAAATCGTTTATAAAAAGCGATTGCAGCACGCGTCGAGCTAGAGCAGACATGGTACACTCTATAACTCATGCTGTAGCGCATTGATTGAGTTGGGAAGATAAGAAAAGCTATAAAAAAAAGAAAAAGAAAAAGAAAAAGAAAAAGAAAAAGAAAAAGAAAATATCTTGGTTTGTCGAGTATGAGTCTGTCCTGATGGCCAAGTTTTCAGTACCCTTGGCGAAGGGAGATTTTTTAGGCAGAGAATTTATCGTGATCCGTGATACGTCGTCCTTCGGGCCAGGTAATCATCTACTGCGCGGCAGGGCCTTGGCGTGCAGGCCACGAATGTTTCCTGAGTACACTGTACTAGTACAACGAGAGTAATCTGCCGGGAGGCGGAAGTAGTGGTACTTTAAATTCCCCAGGAGGAGGGAAATCTGGCTTTGCCACTGTAAGAGGAGGCTTTACCAATTCAAGTAGCTTACGCTTTCGGCTGCGATCCCTGATCTCGTAACGCTTCCACCAACCTCCTATCGCCTCCAACCAAGGCCGCTTGGGACGCCGAAACTTCATCGATACCCTTCCTGCTCGACCGAATGCTTTGATCCACAACTCACATTGGGTGTGTGCGTACGTCAACGTACAATTTTTGTCTCGACCTACGACTGGGCATTCCAAGCCCAATTGTATCTGGGAGTTCTCTCCAGCCGTTCGTTACTGCGATCGCGTCTCGCTGGGTGGGAAGTTGGGGTTTCTGCTCTATCTCTCCCCAGCAATCTCAACTGGACAGTGGAGATCCCTTTCTCGTCCAGTTCACACGCCGAATTCCCTGGCCTCTTCTAGCATTTAAGGAGGGCTAGAACACGAATCTGGGCCGCAGTCATGGGGCTGCTACAAAATATAACGAAGCGCATGCCGTCGTCGGGATTGCCCTCTCTGGACGACTTTTCGAAACGCAAGAACAGGATAACACCAAGATTGGCTTTCTTCAGACGGCGTATACGGTTAAGGGGGAATTCGTCTATATCCATTCCCCTCGGTGTCGTGCTACTTTTCCCATGTATTGTCATAATATTGATCCTGGTGCTTTTCCTCCGACACCCATCTTCCCCGGGCAGGATATTGATGCCCGCGGGGGCACCACCCTCCATTAGGTACGTCAATTCTTGAAATTAATCCGTCGCTCATCTTAAATTCTAACGGTATTTGCGCTATCAGAAAAATCAGCGAACAACATGACAGGGTGTTCGCAACTGGCTGTTTAGATCCTCACACCCAAAACAAGGGTGAGCGAGCAAATGCAGCTTTCGTGGTCCTTGCGCGGAATAAGGAACTCGAAGGGGTTATTCAATCCGTTAAATCGATAGAGCGTCATTTCAATCGCTGGTTCCACTACCCTTACGTCTTCCTCAACGATGGAGAGTTCAACTCGACCTTCAAGGAGACTGTAATGAATTACACAAGTGCTCCAGTTGAATTCGGCCAAATTGACCCCAGCATGTGGGGTTTCCCGGAGTGGACAGACGCCAAGGTTGCAAAAGAAGGAATTGCCGTGCAGGGCGATGCCGCAATCATGTACGGAGGCATGGAAAGCTATCATCACATGTGTAGATTCTACTCTGGGTTAGTAATCCTTGAAATTATCCGCTCACGCCCCTTCCCATTCTTGTATTCCGTCGTTGCCAAACTCAATGGCTAATCCTGAGAAGATTTTTCTACAAGCACAAACTCCTAGAGAAGTATGAGTGGTATTGGCGTTTAGAGCCCGAAATCAAATATTTCTGCGATATCACCTAGTGGGTTCAAACTTGATTTCTATTTCGAAACTCTCAACGACTAACTTGGAGAAGCGATCCTTTCCAATACATGGCTAGTGCCAATAAGACTTATGGTTTCACCATCGCCGTGAAAGAGCTCAAGGAAACGGTTCCCAATATCTTCCGCTACGCCTCCGCGTATAAACGAAAGAATAATCTTCAGTCGAAGGGGCTCTGGGAGATGTTCATTGAGTCCCCTCCAGAGGATCCAAAGCCTTTGCCCAAAGATGATCCTAAATACAAGCCCCCGCTTCCCGACGAGTTGCGCAAGATCGAGCCCAACGCCGGGGGTGTTAATGAGGTGGATCCGGAGACTATGGAAGGAGAAAAATATAACATGTGCCATTTTTGGAGTAATTTTGAAATTGCTCGATTGGACTGGTTCCGCAGCAAGGAATACGAAGAATTCTTTGACATGATGGACCGCAGCGGAGGATTTTGGATGGAGCGGGTAAGTTGTTGCTGATGAGATTTACTCAATTAAAAGCTAATATATTTAGTGGGGTGATGCTCCTATTCACTCACTAGCTGCTGGTGCCCTCCTGTCGCCATCCGACATTCATTATTTCCGGGACTTTGGTTATCGTCACACAACCATTCAGCACTGCCCGGCAAATGCACCGTCGCGACAGCTTCCACGGGAACCGTTCCTGGAGAAGACTACATCGGACGAGAAGAAACGGAGGGAAGAGGACGAATATTGGGAATCGTGGGATCCTGAAAAGGAGAACGGCGTTGGCTGCAGGTGCAGGTGCGACACAGATATTGTCGATGTCGAAGGCAAGCAAGGGAGTTGCTTGGCGGAGTGGGTCGAGGTTGCGGGTGGTTGGGCGTCGCCTTGAGACCGTCATTGTCTGTGGCATTGCATTTCACTTTTTATATTCTGTATTAATGGGCCTTTGTCGACGGAAGAAGCGCTCTGCACGTCGATTCTTCAATTTCTGCTTTTCTCCATGTTCGTAGCGCCCCTTACAGGGCGGATACCATTGGCAGCATGGTCTCTCAGCACTGGTTACGGTGAACTTCTTTTTAATTCACATGTTGTACAGATATATTTTCATTGAGAAAGACTGGTGGTTTTTTTTTGGATGCTGTTCAAGAATTAGAGTGTCATTATTAGACATAATAAAAATAGATAAATCTGGGAAGCATTGTGTTAACATGATCATCCTGTGGATCTACCCGTCAAGTTGCCCCGAGCTTTGTAACTGGAGCTTGGGGAAAGCGCTCAATTAACCGGATATGGCCGCGCTTGTTCCGTTTAGCTTGAGGCCAGCAGACCCCCGGTCGTGATCGATACCGGCATGTGCCCGATAAGAACTACTGCCCCTCCAACTCCAAGGTCCTCCCTTCCCAAAGTCGAACGTGTTCAAGAGTGAATACCAGTTATGCTCCATTTCTCACCCTTCCCTGTCCCATTATTTTCTACTATTTGAATCTGTTCGATTCTTCCTGAATGCTAGGATCATCCTTATCATATTTTCAGAGGTGTTATACTTACTCTTTGTTCTGTGATCTTTGTTTCGCGTTGGCGTCAGCTTAACCCCGCCTTCCCGCTAGGCAACAACGTCAAGAGATTCCCAGATCTTCCAAGACAGTCTTATCAAATCCTTCAGAAGTAAGCGATAACTGACTGCGATCAAACATCTTTCAAATTTGATTTTTCTTGGAATCTAGAGAAATGAGAAGAAACCATGAGACTTGCCATCATAAGGCTAATCCTGGCCAGGCCACTCAGACTGTGCTCGGAAGCTCGGCCGAAAGCTTAGGACAAACTTGCGACTTTCAGTTTCCAATAATACATATTAACGAGGCTTTAGCAAGCCATTTTTCCAACGTCAAAATGATTGATACGTCTGATAATACATCCGATGACGCTCTTAGTTCACTGGGCGATAGCGCATTCGAGGTACTCGGGGACTCTGCCATGCTTCCCTCGGAGGACGAGGAGCACGATGACACTACTGATTCTCTGCCATCATCTGATGCTCATGAATATGCCGAAGACGAAGAAGATGAAGTTGGTGATGATAATATTCCAGACAGAGGGACCGCGACTGTGGACACTGCCGGGGAGCGAATGGAACCCGACATGCTCCTCAGCGATCATCAGTGGCTTCCTAGTGTGAGCAGCACTTCCACAGCATTTGACCAAGACAGCGGGACCAGCAGTGCGGCAACGATTAGACCTCCGCTTGAGCAGTCCCATCGGCGCGAACTTTCTGTGGAGACATATTGCATCTCGGATAAGGACACTGAGGTTACGCGTACCATTCGCGACTTCAGCGAGTCAGAGACGTCTGAAATTCTCCAGTGCTTACACGTAAAGAATCCGCCTTCAAAAATTACTGCTGCAGTGCACCAGACACTTGCGAATCAAAGATTATCAGTTGAAAGGCCTTTTAGACTTCTCTATACAGGTAAATCTTGGGCAAAGGAGGAAATAGTCGCCAAAATCGGGGCCGCCTTAGCGGTTCCTATGCATGGAAACTTGAACTTTACATCTCAAGGTAAATCGTCGCGTTTTAACATCATTCCAGTGTCATCCTTCACTGTCGATGGTTATGCTACGCCTGAAGTCGAGCTCATCGATTCTTTTGGGCTCGAGCTCGTTGTCGACGAATGCACGTCTGCTGAACCTATCAGAGACTTCTCCCGGTCTGACGCAATAAATTTAACTGTCAACGATCATGTTTCTTGCCAATCGAAATGGCTTCGGTCTGGCTACCATCTACAGTCCTCATCAAACTGGGAACTCCCCGATATAGCTCTATTCTTCTGCTCAGACGATGATGATACTGAAACTCGCCTCCTCCGCCACCATGCCCTGAATGTCATGGAAAGACACGCTGTTCCATCTGTAGTAATTTCCAATACGCCCTGGTACAGACGGCCAACCATGAATTTTACGTTGAATGAGAGGAGCATACATATATGCCTGGAAGCTTGCAGTTTGGATGGATTAAGAAAGAATGTTCTTAAGAGGCTACCAGTCGACCTGTTTACCTTTTTGAACATAGACGCCGACCAAATGAATCAAAATCTCGCTTGTCTCACGGGACTTTTTCCAGGCGGACATCGAAACAAATCTGCAGAAAAAAATGGCACATCTTCGATTCCTCCTAGCACAGCGTCTGTCAAAGATGAACATAAGAATACCCGCTATGTTGCGACATTGACTTCATTTGCAGGGCGACATCTCTCAATCTGCTTAACAATTGCAGGCATCCTATGCCTCTGTGCATTCATGGTATCATCTTTTCCCGGGAAAAATTATCAAATTACTCTCTCGCGCAGGTCGGAGCAAGGTGTTCATGTTGCTCTCCCTGCGACTTCTTTTACCCCGAGTGAGTCGCGAGCAACGACGTCTAGTTTCACGGCAAATCATCTCAGTCGTGACGCGGGACCGTCTACCAAATCTATCGCAGTTCCGAATGGAATTGCTACTGCTGTATCTTCAATCTCTTCAGCCGAGCATTTCTCGAAAACTTTGGCTTCGTATTTTAACCCGTCCGACCAGTTCAAGATTCACGTTATCGGGGATTCTCATGTTCTTCTAAAGCCTCCGCAATATTTTGCATCACTAAAAAGTCCACCGAGGCTTTTTGTCCAGGTCAACCGCAGTGATGATATCATCAATGCGCATTGCTCCAAACTGTTTGATGGTGTCTACGCATTGGATCTAGAACAGGAGGAAGCTTACGGGCTGCTAAATATTTCTCTTTGGACAGAATCTAAGCCGTACCTGGAGCAGATGTTTGAGGTTGACTTTGGTTCGCCGAGAGGAAGACTGGCTCGCTGGAAGGGCGCAGCAAGGAACGCAACGCAACAGCTACGGACCAGCTTGATCAGAGCCCAGTCGGATGTTCACGCACATCTTATCAAGCTACCGACAAGTTTGCGGAATAAACTTGATCAGGTTGCAATGAATGCAAGGCAGATGCAGCGCCGCACAGAAAGCATCAGTAACGGAAATTTCCCGCAGGCTTTCACGCGGGCGTTACCTAGTTCCGAGAGAATCAAAGGCGACTTTGATAAGCTCATGAATCGGTTCTCTGATTTCTCCGAAAGCCTCATGTCCAGGAGCGAATCAGCGACGAAAAGGATGCGTCGTTCCTGGGCGGCATATTCCCGAAACATGGCCCAGAAAGCTAGTGCAATCTTTGACTCTATGGATGCTCAAGGTGTTACGAATTCGCTCTTGAATTTGCCCCGCTCGCGTCTTTTGCAAAAGGCCCACGAGCGGGCGGTCAGAGTTTGGAGAGAGAAGAAGTCGCTGCGCAAGAGCGCCGCTTAAGCTGCCAGTGAAGATGCCAACAGAACGCAGGTTAAAATATACCCTGTCCGGATTTACCGACTATAATTACTTTGACAAAGCTTTCGTTGGCTCTCATACACCTCACCACTCTTTCGTTTTATATGGGCGTCTGGAAGGAGATTTTACCCGGGATTTTGTCAGTCACCAACATATCATGTTAAATCTTCACATCTCATCCCTTTTACATTATATCAGTAGTGGGAATACCGGTATTGCAAAGATGTGTTATCTCAGTAGCTCTTATTATTGAAATATTTATTCTTTTGTCCAAACAATTCATGACGACATTGCCATGACGAAATGGCACTATTGCGATCTGCGGGTGCCTCGCTCTGGAAATTTGAAATGTATCTGATCCAGTAATCAATGATACGATAAAGGCTAAAAGAGTATCGATCTTGTTGACCCGAATATTTACCTCGGACTCTTAGAGATGATTTAGTCAATTTTGCTCCTGAAAAGAAAGCAAAAGCAACTGCTTTTGATGGATGTTTTCCGTTGACAGGTGCCAAGTACTTGACGAGGCAACAAGTATGGCGAGTTACTTCACCAGCCCCGCCGCGTGAAGAGTTGAGTAAACGACGCTAAGTCTCGCCAAGTGTTACAACCCACCATTTTCTACAACAACAGTGCGTACATCCCACCTCAGACATTGCTTGTGATTCAGTCTCCAGTCGAATTTTGAGGGACCAAAAATCAACCGTCATGTCTAGCAACACCGATACCAAGCTCAACCCGGCAGAGGAGCAAGCTGCGGCTGCTGAGCCCAGACTCGTAAAGACCGAGACTGAGCTCGCCACAAACCCTATCGGCGATGAGAAGACTGAGAAGCCCAAGGAGGCTGAGGCTGAGAAGAGTAGCTACACTGAAATCGCCTCCAACGCAGCTTCCTCCGCCACTTCTGCGGTAAAGGACAATGTGTTCTCCATGTTTGGTGGAGGCGCGAAGAAGGAGAAGAAGGAGGAGCCCGAGGACGACGCTGATGAGCCATCTGGATCCTCGAAGAAGAAGGATGCTGATAATGAGGTGGGTAAATTTACATAGGTTTAAACATTCGTAAAGCAATAACGACTTTGCTGACTTTTGAATCTTCCAGGATGAGGCTCCTGACTCTCCGGAAGTCGAGTTCCAACCTGTCGTCCACCTCACCGAGAAAGTTGAGACCAAGACCAACGAGGAGCTTGAGGAGCAGACTTTCAAGATGCGTGCCAAGCTTTTCCGATTTGACCGCGAGTCTCGCGAATGGAAGGAGCGTGGAACTGGTGACGTCAGACTCTTGAAGCACAAGGAGAACGGCAAGACTCGTTTGGTCATGAGACGTGACAAGACCTTGAAGGTCTGCGCCAACCACTACGGTATGACAGATGCTGCTGAGCTATAGTGAATTGAATAAAAGGCAAGCTAACCGGTACTCCAGTCGTCCCTGCCATGAAGCTCTCTCCTAATGTTGGAAGTGACCGGAGTTGGGTGTGGAACGCTACTGCGGATGTCAGCGAGGGTGAGCCTGAGGCACAGACCCTTGCTATCCGTTTCGCCAACAGCGAGAGTATGTCTTTTCTCTTGTCTTTCCATTTTCATCACTTTGCCGATACTAAACATCTTCCACAGATGCGAACTCTTTCAAGGAAGCGTTCATTAAGGCCCAGCAAGAGAACGAGGCCCTCTTCGGTAATTCCGACGAGTAAGCTCAGGTTGCTATTTCCCCTTTTCGCAATATTTAGCATTGCTATAGCTGTTGGTTGATGGTCTGGCAATTTATTCCTTGTCCACTGCTACCTCATTCCATCATATGAAAGCATGCGCAAACAAGTCTCAACTATTCCCCCTTTCCAATAGCTACTTTACCTAAAGGTGGCGTCTCCATATTCCCTTTCAAATCTTGCCCTCTGTTCAGCTGTGGTCATAAGAGAGTCAGCATGATTCTGATGACCTCATACGAATTTGATCACGAATTAATGAGAAAAAAGATAGTTTGGCAGTGAGGATTGAATGATTTAATTAGAATTCATAGACGTGTTGCAACCTCAATGTATTGTGTAGAGAGGGATAATTTCCAACTATGTTGCCATGACTAGATGGATTTATACTGTTTCAGTGTCAAGAATAGCGGCCTCTGAAAAGAATCAATAGGGACGTTGTTCATTCTTAACATGTTCACCGCAAAGAGGACGGCTAAAATGACGACATGAATAAGGTACGGTACAAGCATTTTAAGCCGACGCTAACCCAGAGCCCCGCCAACCAGATTCGCGTTTCCATCCTAACGCGAAGCGCCTCGAACTCTAAGGTCGCTTCATTACCAGACCTCAACTGCGCAGCTCTTTCCATATATTGAATTCATCGTATCAGCGTACCCACGAAACAAACATGCCTGACGTAAGTTGACACAGGCAAATTGATTCATACGATAATATTTACTGAGCTTGGATATCCTGCAGGTCAAACGAACCGTCAAGCTCATTACTGAGCAGCATACAATGTGAGTGTCCTTTGCGACGGACATGCGCGTCACCCTCTCTGAAAGCATGTTTGCCGGCGGATTTGGAGCATCTATACTTGTCGTGTGCCTCGTTACGAATGAGATTAATGACTTTATGGTAACAGAGATAAGCCCTCGGAAATGGAGGGCTTCCCCATGCGCCAATGGAGTATCCAGATCTTCCTCCTCAACGAGCATGGCGAGGAGATACCTGCCAATCTCTTTGAAAAGGCCACATACAATCTGCATCCGTCGTTCGGAAAGCGCGCCACTCAAAGTTCGTTTCCCAATGTTGCTCGCGTAGAGATCTCCTGCGTGCGAGAATTCCTGGTGCGGCGGTCCGCTAATGTCTTCCGATGAAACAGCATTTAAGATCCCGCCATTTACCATCACAGAGGAGGGATGGGGTGAATTCGATTTGGGAATCAACCTTACAGTTGCGGAACGCGGAGGAGAATATCCCATCACTCATGACCTTAACTTCCAAAGCGAGCGATATGAGTCTAAACATGTCATCGTAAGTGGAGGAGAGCAATCCAAGAACAGCTTGACGTTGAAGCTAAATGATTGTCGTTTGTTTTACATCTTAGACCTTCAAGAACCCGAAGCCAAACCTGCTTGCTCTCCTGAAAGAGTCAGGGCCAGTACCAGGAGACGAGAACGGATTCAAGCCAAAAAGAAGCGCTAAGCATGACGAGGACACGACTAAGAAGAAGAGGAAGTCGGAGAAAAGCGTAAAATCTCATTTTCATGGCCAAGGCACGAGAAATCAAGGGTAGCTGACTTTGTACAACTTAGATCGATATGGAGAAGCTTGCAGAGGGCCTGCAGAAGCTCGGAGAAGACGACCTGCTGCAGGTCGTTCAAATGGTCCACGACAACAAGACCGCCGATACTTACACAAAGAATGATATCGAACGTACGTTGAATTTTTGGATATTTTGAAGCGTGCGAAATAGGCACTGACATTTTTATGAAGAGGGTGAATTCCATGTCGACTTATATACCCTGCCAGACAGCCTCATCAAGATGCTCTGGGATTTCACCGTCCAGAGGGTCGATGTGTAATGGGCACATCGCATATTTAACGTATTGGGATTCTGATGCGCTCATTCAACACTGGGGAGAAAAGTTCCGGAGAAGCTCACTATTCATTTACACTTGGCCTTGACGGATCTCGTACCACATGGAGGGAATTGCTCGCCCTCTTTATTCTGGCGTTTTTCTCTTTCCTTAAACATCTTGATGGTTGTCTTAACGGCGCAAGAAACATTTATCGTTGGTTTCATGGACCTTTTTTTTTACCTTTGTTCTCCATGTCTCTCCTACACGTCAGCATTCCAGATTCACGCCGCCCGTGGGCCGTTACTTCTCTCAACCACATTCAAATGAATCTCCTTGGCTAGGTATGTACTGAAGTGGGAGTGTGCCGGGCGGGCCGCAACTCACTACTTTCTTAGTTGGGCGTTGGGGGGAAAAGTCAAAATACCATAGCTGGATGTTAGGTAATTTAAATCTGATGTCTTGGAACGGTTGATGAATTTTATTCTTTATTTGAGGTTTTTGAGTGCCCCGTAGAATATACTGCCCTACCGGCCGGTGCTAAGCCAAGTCTATCGCGCTCCTTTCGCCCATGAGAGGCAAAGGTCCCAAAGCAAGCTTGTCTACGGCTACCATGTGCCAATGGCGACTTACATGAACCATTCTATCCAAATCAAGAGAATTGCTTGTACAAGCTCCGCAGCCGGTCTTTTTCTTCGTCTCCTCCGAAAATAACCTCGACAGCGCCCTTGCACAATTGCACTATCTCCGCGAACGAGAGGTTGAAATGCGACGCAGCGAGAAAGTACTCATTTGAGAGCGGGCTGCAGAAAACGCCGACGTCGTCTGTCTGTTTCAAAAAATAATATCCCTGTTAGCACTTGTCTTCTGTTGTGTGTTGCATGATTTGCAGGTAAGGTAGCAAAAATACAAGGTATGAAGCCTGACGAGAGCTCTTTAGCTCTCCAACTAGAGAGTTCTCAAGGCGGTCTGAAACGGAATTATGGCAAGCAAAGACCATGAAAGAGAGCGGCCAAATATAAATAATAGGAAGAATAAGGGGAAAAAAGAGAGAGAAAAAAAAGGGAAGAATACTAACGCTTAACGCAATCGGACAACCCTTGTTTTTCCAATAACCAAAATGATGGTTCTCTACTCCGCCTGTAATCATTTTCGCATGGACATTACACGACAGGCACAGCTCGAGGCCGAGCTTGCGAACGGCAATCTCCTCGCGATATCCCTCTGGTAGGTGGATGACATGCCCGATACGATGTGGGTCAAACGACAAGAGCGTTTGGAGCTCCTTCTCGGTGACGGACTCGGATTCTGCAAAGTGCAGTGTGATTCCCAGATCGTAGTCGTCGGCTTTTTCAAATGCTGGACCAAAAATGGCGACGTCTCCCTTTGACGGGTCCCCGCAGAGATCGACTCCCACGACGCCGCGGTGTTGATATCGGAGGGCGAGGTCGACGACTTCCATCGCTTCGGCGGCAGTGTTGCGTCGGTCTATGGAGAGGATGAGGTATGTTTTCATGGGAGAGCTTTTGAAGGGAGATTCATTTGACTGCTTCGAGGAGGCTTGCTCCTGGTTGAACGCGTCAATGGTGCTCAAGACCAGCTGAACGTAAGATTCCTTGGAGATGCCGTGTTCTGGGCTGGTTCTGGGTGTGGTCCGAAGCTCGAGGTAGACGACGCCATCGTCACGAAAGTCTTCGAGGACGCGCCGGGTTGAGTACTCGATGCTGGATGCATCGAAGCATAGATGGTATATGTAATTGGAAAAGAGGGGAAAGAAGCTGTGATAGATATTGTTATACACGTGAAATTGGTTGAAAAGGGGTCGTTGGAACCGTCATTGAGCAGCAATATTAAGATGAGAATGGGGAATAAGAAATAATACAACGAAAAATATTCCAATATGCAAAGTTTCACGGTAATTAGGCACTGAATGGATAAAGTGCAGAAGGAAAAAGCAGAGCAATGATTGCGCACGTCTTAAGATCATAGTCTACTTTGCCAGGTGGAATTGCCAGAAGAGGGTCTTCCAGATTTGATGGTAGCTTGCCCTCTTCTCGTTTGCGCAGCCATATCTCATGCAAGCATTGACGACTAATGCTCCCGGAGAGATGAGCGTGCAGCTGTCATGTTCACATTTCCTTTGTCAGCTTTAGGTTTGAGCTTCTGCGTGAACAAGACCAAGTGAGACCCTGCCAATGGGAGGATGATTTATTCAAATGCATATGCTGGGATTGCAGTGACTTCTACCTCAATCTTGGGGAGGTCTCTGAGGAGAGATAACGTGACCGGTTTGTCACTCGGAACCGCCATGGCTACAACGACAAGGGTTCAAGATCGAATACGAAAAGTAAGAGGGGGAGAAGAGGGAAATTGAGAGATTTCAGATAATAGACAGTTGTCATAGAAAAGAGATTATTGCGCGGAAAGCAAGTTTGGTAAGACAAGGTTGACGATCTGAGGTTGGACGTCCTTTGTCATCGGGTCCCCAGTCATTCGTTGTGCTCTCGGAACCACAGCACGCGCGCATGTACTCCGTAAAATGACTGCAGACAGAAAAGAAGGCCTCTTGTCTCAGATGAAGGGCCGAATATATGGGCCGCACGCACGACAATGCATGCTCTCACAATGTCTCATCGGGCTGGCTCTTTGCCTTCCACGCATGGCCATCTTTCCCAGCAATGCCCCTGGCGGCATAAGCTGGAGAAGGGCATCGTGATCCAGACCCTTGGCGCAAACCACACTTTCGGTATACGTACAGTGTACAGAGTATCTCCATCCTTAGGTACGGCTAACCAAGCAAAGGACCACTCCAGAGTACGATCGCCATCAATACAGGAGTCAAGGCGATAGAGTAACGTTAGTACTGTAGTTACCTTCTCTGTCTTCTTATACTTTGTATTCTGGCTCCTTCTTGGTTGAGAACTTGGCTAATTACAGTACAGTCCAAGAGCCGGAGCCGATATAGAAGCGAAAGAAAAAGAGCGACCGGGCGAGGGTTCGGCTCCCTTGATCTCAAATCCGACCAAAGAGAAGAGAGAAGGAGAGAAAGTTGCTTTGGGGGGCGTTACAGCTTTAGTGGGAAAAGGGTTCGGCGCGAGTTCCGACCCTTCTTAGACCCCCATCGCCCCATCGCTTGTCACTTTGGGGCCACCGCTCACGGCCTTTTTTAGTGCCAGACACTCTCAGGGTAGTTCCGAACTGTAGTACTGTAGGATAATTACAGTACAGCAACACACTGAGAGTTTAACTACCCGACAGTACAAGCAAGAGACTCTTCAGTTACAACACACACCTGTGTCTCTGGCAGCATAGATATTGGTACCCGGCTGACATGCCACTTGCACGTAACAAGCAGCAGCACCGTCGCATGCATTGATACACATCTGCCAGGGTCTGCATTCACTTGTGCTTGGTTGAAGCTGAAAGAGCAAGAAAAAAAAAAGAAAGGAAAAGGTAACTCACTCATAAAAGGAGGCTCGAGGGTCAGGTTCAGGGATCTGAGAGGCTTTTCTCTGTTAGGCTTTCCCCTCTATTCTTGCAGTGGCCATTCAGAACCATTGGACAATTCCCAGGACCGGGTCTATCTTTTCTCCCGCTTGAAAGCCCCAAGTCCCACCCGCTCGTTTAGCCGGAAATTGCACGGCTGCCATCCCCAAAACGAACAGCCATCCTTGCCAGAGCCAAGCTTCCAAGTCCATGGGCCTGTCTTCGGCTTTTGCGCCCAGCAAGAAAAAAATGACCACGCTCTCTCTCTATGCACACATCCCTACCCCTTTCTGGGCTTTCATCATGAGGCATTCAGACTGATGTACAGGGTAGATTGCTTTGAATCTGGAATTCAAGAGATGTGCACCAGTCTTTGTCTATCAATGTAATGGTGATCTAGTATGGAAATACCTTGAGGCATGAAGCTGCCCATGAACCTTTACTGTAGGGGAGTGGCGTCTTGAGCTGGTGTATTTAAACCTCGAGTAATTTAAAATAGAAAGCGCAGTGTGTAGAGTGCACCACTCTGTGAAGTATTCGTTTCAAGAAAAGAGTCCAAAATTTGAGAAAGAACAAAAATCATTCGATTATTGTCCCCATCATCATTATTGTTATCATCATCATCATCGCTGATCCAGGGTCACCCTTCCTTCGGGGCTGGAGGTTTTCGACAGCGACACACCTACAGGCTGCACAGTACCACAGTATACCCACGCACCTCCGCCCAGCTCGGCCTTATTCTCACCCCGTCATTATTTCGCTGTTTTAAACGCTACTTTGGTAGAACTCTTTAATTAAGCGGCGGTGACTTGCACTCCCGCTATCCCGGACTATCTCTTACTTACCTACACGACTATTGCAGTGGTAATACAACACTCTCCACTTCTTCATAATCCAACCCGCTTCCTCTCCCGCTTAGACGCCAATCACCTCACCCATCCTGCTCGAAAAAACCACATACACCACCTGCCCCCCCCAAACCCGGTCAAGCTGTCTGCCGGTAATTAATCTGTCTGGTCTGCTGTTGCTCCCCTAAGCTCCGGAGCAAGTGCGAACGGCACGAAACCTTCTGGCCATCTCTGCGCGTTTCCTTTCCAGCGTCAGCGTTTCCTTTCTTCCCTTCCCTGCCCCATCTCCTTTCCTCCAACGGTCGCTGCTCTTCTTGATACCCGGACCGCGAGCAACTCTGCTCCGTTCTTCAGCCTTTCCTTTGCCCTTGCGACGATAACCTTTCCCCTAACGCTCGGGCCACCAATTATTCCCTCGCCTTCATTCTTTCCCGTCCTGGTCGACATTTTCATCCTCTACGCAGAGTCTCCAACATTCAATCCTTCACAATGGCGTCAGAGGTGACAGCGGAACAGATGCAGCAGAAGATTCAAGCTGCCCGGCGGGAGGCCGAGGGGCTCAAGGACCGCATCAAGCGCAAGAAGGATGAGCTGGCGGATACAAGCCGTGAGTCTTCCCCTCTCAGCGTGAAGCTGTCAATGCAACCCGCGAAGCTTGTTAGCGGGGAGCTGTGCTTGCGAATGACATTCGCCTTGCATGCTCTGCAATACAATTGCTGATTAAATAGCAAAACAGTCCGTCAGGTCGCCATGGAGAACACCGATAGCTTGCCACGCATTGGCATGAAGGTCCGCCGCACATTGAAGGGCCACCTGGCCAAGATCTATGCCATGCATTGGTCTACGGATAGGCGCCATCTTGTTTCGGCCTCTCAGGATGGCAAGCTCATTATCTGGGATGCCTACACCACGAATAAGGTCCACGCTATTCCTCTACGATCCTCCTGGGTCATGACTTGCGCCTACGCTCCGAGTGGAAACTACGTGGCCTGCGGTGGTCTCGACAACATTTGCTCCGTCTACAACCTCTCATCTCGCGAAGGCCCGACTCGTGTCGCGCGTGAGCTTTCCGGCCACTCTGGATACCTCTCCTGCTGTCGATTCATCAACGACCGCCGCATCCTGACTTCCTCGGGCGATATGACCTGTATGCTGTGGGATGTCGAGACGGGTAGCAAGGTGACCGAATTTGCCGACCACCTCGGCGATGTCATGAGCATCAGCATCAACCCCACGAATCAGAACATTTTCGTTTCGGGTGCCTGCGATTCCTTTGCCAAGCTGTGGGATATTCGTACCGGCAAGGCGATCCAGACTTTTGCTGGCCACGAGTCGGATATCAACGCCATTCAATTCTTCCCAGACGGAAACGCGTTCGGCACCGGATCCGATGATGCCTCCTGCAGATTATTCGACATCCGTGCAGACCGGGAACTGAACAACTACTCGGTATGTTTCTTTGATCCCCCATTGCCCAAGGTTGTGTATCAAGTTTGCGCTAACGTTGCGTTCCACACCATCTAGAATGACCAAGTCCTCTGCGGTATCACCTCCGTCGCCTTCTCAGTCTCTGGTCGTCTGTTGTTTGCTGGTTATGATGACTTTGAATGCAAGGTATGTTT